AGTAATAGCAAGGTTGGTGGAAATGTAATAATAAGTGGCAGACTGGATAGTAATAAGACGCTAAGGTTGTAAGAAATTTAGTAATAGCAAGGTTATAGGAGATGCAGTAATAGCAAGGTTATAGGAAATGCAGTGATAGGAAGGTTAGCAGAAATGTAACAACAAGTGGCAGACTAGACAGTGATGAGAGGCTGCGGTTGTAGGAAATGCAGTGATGGGAAGGTTGGTGGAAATGCAGCAATGGCAAGGTTAGCGGAAATGTAACAATAAGTAGCAGACTGGATGGTGATGAGACACTGAGGTTGTAAGAGATGCAGTGATGGCAAGGTTAGTGGAAATGTAATAATAAGTAGCAGACTAGATGGTGATAAGACACTAAGGTTGTAAGAAATGTAGTAATAGCAAGGTTGGTAGAAATGTAATAATAAGTGGCAGACTAGATAGTAATAAGACGCTGAGGTTGTAAGAAATTTAGTAATAGCAAGGTTGTAGGAGATGCAGCAATAGCAAGGTTATAGGAAATGCAGTGATAGGAAGGTTAGCAGAAATGTAATAACAAGTAGCAGACTAGACAGTGATGAGAGGCTGTAGTTGTAGGAAATGCAGTAATAGGAAGGTTGGCAGAAATGCAGCAATAGCAAGGTTAGCAGAAATGTAACAATAAGTAGCAGACTAGATAGTGATAAGAGGCTAAGGTTGTAGGAAATGCAGTAATAGCAAGGTTGTAGGAAATGCAGCAATAGCAAGGTTATAGGAAATGCAGTGATAGGAAGGTTAGTGGAAATGTAACAATAAGTGGCAGACTAGATAGTGATAAGAGGCTGAGGTTGTAGGAAATGCAGTGATAGCAAGGCTGTCAGAAATGTAACAATAAGTAGCAGACTGGATGGTGATGAGAGGCTAAGGTTGTAGGAAATGCAGCAACAAGTGGCAGACGGGATAGGTGATGAGAGGCCGAGGTTGTAGGAAATGCAGCAACAAGTGGCAGACGCGATAGGTGATGAGAGGCCGAGGTTGTAGGAAATGCAGCAACAAGTGGCAGACGCGATAGGTGATGAGAGGCCAAGATTGTAAAAAATGTAGCAACAAGTGGCTGCTCTGGACGTGCCTGTCCTCCATTCGTTGCGTCTACGCAGTAAAGTACACAATCACATTGTCCTCAAGACGGCCATCGCAGCTACAACGACAGGGACTCGATCCACTTGGTGGCCTCCTCGACACCCTGGTCGACCTTGTCCGCGTTTGTGCCCTGTCCAATGGCCGTGGGTGCGCCGGGCTTGCCTCCAGCCTTGCCGCCGACGACGGGCGTCACGGCAGCGGCCCACGTGGGGCCGTCACCGCCCTTGGCCTTGAATGGCTGCGTGCGAGTTAGCATCGTCTCCGGTTCGAGACTGTAGCATCACGCTTACCTCGGACAGATAGCAGCCATGCACGACCTTGCGCTCCTCTGGGCTTGCAGCGAAGAGATAGACGCTGCGGTCCTTGATGGCGCTCTTCGGCCCAGACACGGTCTTGATGACGTCGCTAATGGTCTTGCTGACGTTGCTCGAGTACTCGACCTTGTGGACGAGGAACTTGTTGCTGTCGTCGTCAAAGTAGCTGGTCACGGCATCGAGAACCTTCTTCTGCTCCGCCTTGGCGGCGGCCTTTTGCTCGTCGAGGATGCTCTTGCTGATCTTGGTCATGCGGTCGCGGAAGCGGGATTTAGTGAGGGCCGAGATGGTCAGGTTGTTGAGGTCGACCTGCGTGCGCTTTGCGTCGTTTTCCTTTTGGGCGCCAAACGGGAGCTTCTCGAGGGCGTCGAGGCGCTCGGAGAAGTCGCCGGCGGTGCGCTGCACGTTGTAGGCCTCCTGGCCGGTGACGGCGATGATGCGGCGGATGCCCTTTGCGATGCCGGATTCCTCGAGGACGACGAGCTCCTTGATCTCGCCCGTCTTCAGCACGTGGGTGCCACCGCAAAACTCAATCGAGAGCTTGCTCCACCTCTCGTTCTTGGGGTCGGCCATGAGCTCCTCGACAGGCGTGCCTACGGAGACGACGCGGACGGGGTCGGGGTACGTCTCGCCAAAGACGGCACGGAGGCCGTTGATCTCGCGAGCTGTCGCGAGCGACACTTCCTTTGCGTAGACGCGCGCGTCCTGCTTGATGTACGCGGTCGACACGCTCTCGACCTCTTCTAGCTCGGCGTCGCTGAGGCCGGCCTTGTGTGAAAAGTCAAAACGCAGCTTCTCAGGGGCGACGAGCGAGCCCTTTTGGTCGACTTCGCTGCCGAGGACTTGGCGGAGGGCGTAGTTGAGAACGTGGGTTCCCGTGTGGTTGCTGCGGATGGGGCTTCTCCGGAGCTCGTCAAACTCGGCAATGACCTTGCTGCCGACGCTCAGCTCGCCCTCGCCCATGTAGCCCGTGTGCAGGACGTAGCCGGCGTAGACCTGGACATCGTCGACGGTGAAGTCTGCCTCGCCGTCGACGACCAGCTTCCCGTAGTCGGCCTCTTGGCCGCCCTGCTCGGCGTAAAAGTTGGTCCTGTCGAGCAGGATGCCAAACCGCGCGGCGCGGGGAAGCTCGGCTGTGCTCTCCAGGAACCGCTTGTTGTGGTAGATGGCCTTGACGGTGGCGGTGATGTTCTCGCGGCCGTACTTGGCACCGTCGTCGGTCTTGGGGACGTTGGGCATGCTGTCCAGGGCGCCCAGGTCGTGGACGTCGAGCTTGACGGCAAGGCCGGCAGCCTTCTTGTCGCCCTTGCTGGCCTCGCGCGCCTTTTCCTGGGCGGCCTCGACTTCCGTGTCGTCGATGCTGAGCCCGCGCTCTTCGGCCATGAGCTTGGTGAGGTCGACGGGGAAGCCGTACGTGTCGTACAGGCGCCAGACGTCGTCTCCCGGCAGGTGGTTTGAGCCCTTTGCCTTTGCCTTTTGCGCGTACTTTTCAAAAATGACCTCGCCGCGGTCCAGCGACTTGGCAAAGGCCTTCTCCTCGTCGTCGAGCATCTCGATGATGTCCTGCTGCTTCTTCCTGATCTCCGGGAACATGTCGCCCATCTGGTCGACCAGGGTAGGGACAATCTGGGAGAAGAAGCCGCCAATGTCCGTCTCAAAGTACTTGCGGGCATAGCGGGCGCCTCTTCGGAGCACCCGTCGCACGACGTATCCGCGGCCGACGTTGTTTGGCACACCGCCGTCGGCAATGGCAAAGGACATCATGCGGACGTGGTCGGCGACGACGCGGTAGGCCGTGTCGATGCCGTCTGGGTCGTCCTTGCCAAACTTGGCGCCGTAGGGGCGCGCACCCGTGACGTGCTGTATCCTGGCGAACAAGGGGGTGAAGACGTCCGTGTCGTAGTTTGACGTCTTCTTCTGCAGCAGGCAGACCAGCCGCTCGAAGCCCATGCCCGTGTCAATGTGCTTGTTCGGCAGCGGCCGCAGCGAGCGGTCGGGTTCGCGATTGTACTGCATGAAGACGTTGTTCCAAATCTCAATCACCTCGGCGTCGTCGGCGTTGACCAGCTCGGCGGCGTTTCTGTACTCGCCGCCGACGGGCTCCCGCAGGTCGTAGTGGACCTCGGAGCAGGGGCCACACGGGCCCTGCTCGCCCATCTCCCAGAAGTTGTCCTTCATGTTGCCAGGCAGGATGTGGTCTTCGGGCACGCCCACGCGCTTCCACAGCTCGAGCGCCTCGACGTCCGCGTCGAGCCCGCCGGCCGCGTCGCCCTCAAAGTAGGTGACGTAGAGGCGCTTGGGGTCGACGCCGTAGACCTTCGTCAGCAGCTCCCAGGTGAAGCCGATGGCCTCGTGCTTGAAGTAGTCGCCAAAGGACCAGTTGCCGAGCATCTCGAAGAAGGTGTGGTGGTAGCTGTCCTTGCCGACGTCGTCGAGGTCGTTGTGCTTGCCGCCGGCGCGGATGCACTTTTGGGAGTTGGCGGCGCGCTTGAGCTGCGCAAAGTCCGACGACGGGTCGACCGTGCCCTGGAAGATGGCCTTGTACTGGTTCATGCCGGCGTTGGTGAAGAGCAGCGTCGGGTCCGAGAGCGGGACGACCGAGGACGAGGGCACTGCCGCGGGTCAATTGGGCTCGCAGAAGAGACGGCGCGCCTACCAAACGTGTGGCCATGCTGCGCAAAGTAGTCGAGGAACGTCTGCCGCACTTTGGCGGCCGCCCACTGGGGCTGTTCGGGCGCCATGGCAGCGGCTGTCGGGAAGCGAGTCGGGGTGCTGAAGCGCGCGGCGGGCGTGTGCGACGGCGGCGGCGGCGGCGGCGGCGGCGGCGGCGGGAGGAGAGGGCGACGACGGGGGCAGCAGCGGGTGCGGGTGCGGATGCGGGTGCGGGTGTGTGCGAGGCCGCGTCGTCCTGGTTGACTCAGACGGGGCGCGCGCGAGAAAGTCTGGTGGAGCATTGCGCTGCAGGCGGGCGCCGCGGGGTACGCCGGTACGCCGCCTGCAGATGGGATGGAACCACCCGTGGACACGCGTTGGCGCTACTTCTAGAATGCGCTCGAAGCGCGCCCGTCGCGCGCCCGACGCCATAAACACCGCCCATGCCCTGCGCGTCCAGGCTGCACAGCGCAGACACCGACACACCGACACCGACGCATCGACACATCGACACAGACACATCGACACAGACACACCGACACATTGACACACCAACACATCGACACACCGACACACCGACACACCGACGCATCGACCGCCTGCATGCGACAGAGTGTCCCCAGGGCGCGCGAAGCAACACTGCAGAGTCGATTGCGGAACAGGACGACACGCAGGCTGTGATGGATAGATGGCGGCCGTCACAGCTCCCGAGCGACACCACCACCACCACCCCCACGGCCACAGCAATGCGCCGCAGCCTGCCATGAGCGCGCCGCAGCCTGCCATGAGCGCGCCGCACGGCCAGAAGCGCGCGGCCGACGGCGCGCTCGACGGCGAGCAGCGTCTGAGCAAGCGCTTCGACCTGCTGAACCTTGGTGAGTCTCCGCCCGTCCGCCCCTCCGCACCGTCGGCTGACCGTCCCCCTCCAGACAGCGCCAACAGGGGCGCCCGCCTGTACGTGCCCGTGCCCAGCTCCTCGGACGCAGCAGCTGCAGCACCGCCGCTGACGGCCCCGCGCCCGCCCGCGCCCAGCAATGCCCCCGGCCCACGGCGCAAACGCGCTCCCCGCCCGCGCGCAAGCGACGACGCGATGCTCGTCGAAGACACGCCGCACCGCGTCTACATCCACGACCTGGCCGCCGAGCTGAGCGACACCGACTCGGACTCGGACCGCCCCGTCTTCCTGTCCGACATTGAAAAGCACCTGTCCAAGATGCCGCGGCACGTGCTGCTGCCGAGGCCGCCCGCGCCCACCGAGCACAACCAGATGGTCCTGTACAACGTGCCCGCGAGCCTGACGCTGCCCGCCGACCAGGACAGCGTGCGCAAGGCCATTGTCGACGCCCGCCAGAGGATACGGGAGAAGCAGGCGAGCGGGCTCTGTGTGCGTGCAGACACGGACGAGGGAGAGGACGCAGACGCGATGGACTTGGACTGAGCTGTGCGCTTGGACCGAGCTACGCACTTGGGCTGAGCTACGCACTTGGGCTGATAGACGCTATGCACTTGGGTTGACAGACGCTATGCACTTGGATTGACAGACACTACGCACTTGGATTGACAGACGCTCTGCACTTGGGCCGACAGACGCTCTGCACTTGGATTGACAGACGCTCTGCACTTGGATTAACAGACGCTCTGCACTTGGATTGACAGACGCTATGCACATTATATCAATTAGTAACCCGCACCTACACACCACCCGCAAGCGTGAACCAGCCACGCTTCCCCGCCGCTCACTTCCTGAACCGGTCTGTGAACCCCTTCAGCACCGCCTTGGCCTTTGCCGGCGGCCGCGGCGGCAACGCCTGCCCTTGACCCCCGCCCTGCTCGACATCTCCACTGCCCACCACCCCGCTCTGCTGTGCCCCCTGCAGCCCCGGCGCCGCCCCGTACGCCGGCATCTCCATGCCCGCGCCGCTCTGGTCCGCGCTCACCTTGCTCGCCCCGGGCGGCGCCCCGTACACGGGCGGCGCGTCGCCGTTGTACAGCGGCGGCGGCTCCGCCCAGGACCCGTCCTGTCGTTGCTGGTACGGCGGCTGTGCCGTGTACGGGTTCTGCGCGTTGTAAAAGGTGAAGTGGTTCTGCGGCGTTCCCTCCTGCCCGTACCGCTTGCGCTCCTGCCAGCTGACGAGGAACTGACTGGTTAGCATTCTGCAAGCCATGCATCCATCTGGAATCGAAAAAGACATACCCGGTGGTATGCGAGCAGCGGCTTGCCCGCCTTGAGACGGCGCTTGGCATGTACGTAGCCGCCGACGAGCCACAGCATGAAGAGGCCGAACAAGGACCCGAGGATCGTCCATTTGATGATCATTCCCTTCTGCCTGCTGTCAGCATCCACAGTCTCGACGGGAATCCACAGTCTCGACAAAAGTCCACACCGTCTCGACAAAAGTCCACAGTCTCGACAAAAGTGTACACCGTCTCGACAAAAGTCCACAGTCTCGACAAAAGTCCACACGTACCTCGCTGTACCAAAACCCGCCATCGCGGAAACACTCAATCGCCCCGTCGACATACTCGATGCAGTATCTCTTCGCCAAACCCATAATCGTGAGATGCAATGCGATGCAGAAAAGAGCGTCCGGATTCAATGGTGATGTCTTCAGTGAGGAGAGCAGTCAGAGTCGCACACGGCGCAACCCAGGGCGACCAAAGGGATATGGTCTCTCCGCGCTGCTAGACGCGGCTACTGTGGCTGTGTCTGCGCCGTCACTGCTATTCGGCGCCGCTCCAGTCCGGACGCGACGTCTGTCGCAGCTCAGCAGTCTCCCGCGCTCTCCGTTTCGGTCGTGTCGAGGTAGTTTCACGACACATGCAGGGGGGTGCTTACAAAGACCGGATGAGCGGATGCTGCAGAGCGCTGCTGGAACATGGAAAACAAGTCTGATTGATAAAAAGTCTATGAGCTATGAGAATTCAAGTACGTTGAACGAGCGACTGCAGGACGACAACGACTCGAGAACCGCGGATGCGGATGCGGAAATCTGGCTGGAGACTCGAGAGGGCTGAGGTTGACCGCGAAGCCGAGCATGTGGTCGCGCCTGTTGATCTGCAACGCTTGCGCGCCTTTAGCGCGCCACAAAAGGGGAACCTGGTCGGCATGCGCCGAGTCTTGCAGGAAATCACCAAAGGCAAGTATGGCGCTGGGCGAGCGAGAAACGGCGCCTGGCTGCTCTTGCAACGACAGTATGGCTGCGGCGAGTGAGAAACGGCGCCTGACTGCTCTTGCAACGACAGTATGGCTGCGGCGAGTGAGAAACAGCACCTGACTGCTCTTGCGACGACAGTATGGCCCCAGCCAAGAGTCCAAGCCTTGCGAGTATGTTTGTACATGTATGACTCTGTCTATGACGATACGAGAGCACGGTACCTGCTCCTACCAATGCTCCGAGTCTCTCGCGACGCCCTCTCTGCCGTCTCCGCCGGCCTCCGACCCAGATGCCGCCAAGCAAAACAACTGGAAACGAAATGAAGAAACCTATGGTATCGTGCCACCGACTCCCCTGCAGTACTCAAGAAAATCTCAACGCGATACACCCCCACCCCACTATGCTCCAGCTGCCCCACAGACGGCTGCACTCTGCTCAATGCTGAAATGCTCAATGGGCGACAACTCCTGTTCAATGACCCCAAGGTATCGTAAAAGTACAGACGCAAGGACGCGAACCGAAAAATAACTAATGCAAAAGATTACGTAGCGAAGGGCTGGCGCTGGCTCCCGTGTTGGCGCGTTCTGTCGGAGCAGAAGTGACCAAGGGAGCGTCTCGCATGATAGTGTCCCGTGGCGTTTCTGGTCGGCCTGGCGCGGGACTGCCGTGGTGGAGAGTATACTGTGGGATCGAGGGTGGCGGGGCACCAAACGGGCTCTCAGTGGAGCGAGAGGAGCGATACTCGTGAGGATGTGTCGGTGAATACGGCATGTTGTGCGGCGAGTGAAGGCCGTTTACCATCATGGCGCCATTGTTAAGGTGCAGCGGCGGAGGCGCACCGGTTGATGGCGGCGCATACGGGGCACGCATAGGCGCTGCGGGCATCTGTGGATGCACCGGCGGGCCTGTGTGCGAAGGGTAGCCGTTGGACGGAGCATACGGCGTGTGAAATGGCGCGTGGTGGCTGACCGAAGCGTGTGGCGGAGGAGGATATGAAATGCCATTTGGAAGATGAAGTGGGGCATGTGATGTTGCCGATGGTCCAGCTGGTCCAGCACTGTGCCATGCTGGTAAAGGCGGCGGTTGATTCGGTGGCAGGGTAGGTGGACCGCCGGGAACCCCCCAGGGTGGAAGTGCAGGAGGCGGAGGTAAAACGAAAGCCTGGACAGGAGAGCGGAGAGGCAATTGTTGCGGCTCTGGAAGAACAGATTTCGATCGCTCTCGATCTTCCTCGTCGCTGATACCTTGCTCCTTCTTCCAGTGACACTTTTGACACAAGTACGCAGGCGAGGTAGCCGCAATGCCGGTGTCTATGTGCAGGCGAGCGGGGCCTGCTGATGCTGGAAAGAGTGGCGCTTCGCCCATCGGATGATCAACAGCTCCGTTGGTGGGATGTCCATTCTCAGAGCTGGGTTTTTGCTCGGCGGTGTGTCCGTTGGGCTCGACACCGTTTGTTTTCGGTGGGCCATCTGCTGCAGAAGCGCGACACGGAGGATCTTCGATCTTCCACCACCTAGGGCTGGAATCGATCTTGCAACGAGTACAGCTGCGCTCCGATTTAGGCATTGACGGTTCTGTGGGCTCCTCTTTGATCGGCAAGCCAGCGTTCGAAGTGCGACCCCGAGCTGAAGTAGGCGTCTGCGCTGTGACTGCAGAGGCACGGCGGTTGACCGTGGTTGGTATCGGCTGTAGAATTGTCCGCGTTGACTGGTCCACAAGATTGGCTTTGCGTGCTGTGCCAGTAAGCGTCAGATCTGCCTGCTTGAACTCGCGCGCAAACAGCTGCAAAGCAATAATGTCAGAGCCTTCTACTTCTTCAGTGACGGGATGAACAGGCGTCTTGGGGGTATGCTCTTTGCACCAGATGGCCGCTACCATGGTTCCGGTGTCCCCGTTGAGCGTTACTGTAGGGACTGCGTCTCTTCGCGTGGCCTTCACGGGCGTGATGTCGAACCCGAAGGTATAGCCGCGATCGTGCGCACAACCTACGTGGAAGCTCGCATGACATTGCAAACATGATACACAAGCGCCACTGTTGGTCTTGCAAAGCTTGCAGGTTTGATCGTAGCGGAGAGTGCTTGCGCCGACTCCCTCCACCATATCGAGGCGGCTTGCGTTGCTGAACTTTACTTCCGGATGCCAGAGCGCGCAGTACACATGCACCCAGTTGTTGTCTGCGGTACGCTTCAGCGGCTCGCGAGGAAAGACTGGTCGGCCCTTGTCCTGTTGTTGAGTGCGGTACTCATCCTTGGCGGCATCGATGAGTTCTCTCTCCATGCGCTCCTTCTCTCTGTCCCTGTCGCTCTTCTTCTTGTGTGTGACCTTGGGCTGCTCCCAGAGGTCCTGTTCAGTCACTTTGTAAGGACACAACACGCACTCATATGTCTAGATGAGTTAGAGATAGGAAAATACCAATCAGACGGGCGACTTACGTAAGATACACTCTCCTTTTTATCGTTCCTGCATGTGTCACAAAACCACTTGTTTGCCGGTCGAACATCCTCGATGCCGTAACAGGCTTTGTGTACATTCATACGACAAGCGGTGCATTCCAAGCGTGCGCCATTCGCTGAACGACAGACGGCGCAAGGCAATTCTCTCAGTCGCGGTTGTGCTGGAACGGGTGGAGGCGTTGGAGCCTTGGGAGGCGGTGCGGTCTTCTCCTTCTCCTTCTTCTTCATGGTGGCAAGCTCGTTGTTCGGGGTCGAGATTCCACTGTCGCCAGTCCCAGTGGTACTGGTCTTCTGCTTCTTCTTCGCAGGCTCACCAACAACTTGAGCTGCCGCTGTAGGAAGATCGAGGTACTCTGGTGCACTGATCGCAGGGCTGGGGTCGGCTTGCGCAGCATAGACTTCTCGTAGAAGCTCCTCATCAATCCTTCTCTTCCATGCTTTGCCACCACCCTGAGCCACCTTCTTTGCAATCTCCTCAACGTTCTCCCACTTTACGGCATACTTGCGCCACAGGTTCGCGCAGCGCAGACAAAGCGCCACAACAAAGCCTGACTTGTCCTTCGAGCGGCCATCCGCAGGAATCATTTGACCTGGCGATACGCCGGGAGCGCGTCTCCACTGGCGAGAGTGGCGATTGCTACAGAATTTGCATTGAAAGTTGCGCTTGCGCTGCACAGCTTTCTCGTTGTCGAATGCTGAGTCGTCTTGTTGGTCGGCGATATCGTCCAGCAATCGACTCTGTGCGTCGGGCTCAACCTTCTTGCTCTTGCCTTTTCGGTTGCTGTAGGAGCCCCAAATTTCCTTGCCCTTGGATGTCTTTTTCCACATGTAGTAGTAACGAACGGCGTCTCCGTAGAACATGGTCTTACTGGTGTGCAGACGAACGCTTCTGATCTCGGACCCAAACTTGGCTACGCCTTCGTTCCACTTCTTCTCTTCCTCTTTTGTGAGCTCGGGCTCCTTCAAATCCTTGCGCTTGTCAAGCTTCCGGACCTGTTTCAAAGCGGCGTCAGCATCATACTGATGCTTTGTGAACAGCGCCAACGCCTTGGTAAGGAAGTTGGTGTTGTATGACTCTACTCCAACATGCTTTGCCAAAGCCTTCGCGCGCTCCATGTAGGCCTTGACTTGTTCCTCGGTGACAGTTGGCACATCGTCTTCTCCACGTGTCGAGGGTATGCCGAGGGAAGGCATCCTGAAGATCAGTTCCGCAGTATGTTTCGAGTCCTTGTTCGGCAGGTCTTCGCCGCGGCGCACATAACCCACGGGCTCATCCATAACCCACTTAGGGCGTTTGGCCTTCTCCGCCTTGTCGGCTTCAATGGCTGCGACAGTCTCCTTGGTAAGTTTACCTTCTTTCTTGTTGTTTGTTGATTTGACATAACGCTTCTTGATCTCAGCGGGTTTGACGAACTCTACCGGCTGGCCGTGCCACACGTTCACGTTCGCCTGATGCCGGGGACCCAGTCGGGAACTCGCGCGGGGATAGATCGCCCTGTCGTCGTATTGCAGAGCGTCCTCTACACGACAGTGAATGCCAAGGTAACGCATAGGCCACATCTTCGCAAGAGCAATCTCAGCCTGGGTAGCTGGATGCAGGTCGACTTGACTCTCTGGGTCAGGAGTGTCTGCACTATCGCTACCGATTTCCTCCTCTTCCTCGTCCAGGATCTCTTCGTCTTCGCCATCCTCGTTGGTGGCGCCAATAAGTGGAGTTCGTCTAGCTTCGAGCTTCTTCTCCTGTGCCCTACTGCACGGCCCACAAGCCCAAGCAAAGCCACGTGATGGCTTTTTCAGCAACGGTGGACGGACACAGTTCATGTGATATGTGTTGTGGCACACCGCGCATTCTACTGAGTCGTTTCTACACAGGTCAGTAATCATCGAGCGCAATAGAACGAAGAACTTACGATGCACAGTAGCCGACACAACGCTTACAAGACTTAACTGCACTGGTCAACTCTTTGACCCTGCTCGTTTCCAAGCAGATGTACTTCCAGCGCTCATCCAACGCCTTTTTCACTTTCACAGGAACATTGATGACCTGCGAGGTAGGAATGACATCGTACCAGCGATGGATAAAGCGATCGAAGACTTGGTTGAACCAAAAGCTGTCCTTGCCTTTGCGATATTCATCGAGGTCACCGATTTCGCTCCTGTGCAATATGTTGCACTTGCCGCGCAACGACGCAATCGGGCACAAGTCGGAGTGCATTGTCGCGTACACAAGTCGAGTGTCATTGTTGTAGCGACCGACATCCCGTGGCCGGTAAAACCAATTTACTCTGAGCGAGTCCACGCGCAGTTTGGGGTCGTTGTCTTTGTGGATGAATTCCATGACACGACACAGGTAGTATGGCTCCCCGGGCGGCTCACACACGAGATACACTTGGTCTAGACGCCGCATTAGAAATCGCAGGCTAAGCCGCAGGACGTGGCTGGCGCAACACCACAGCTGTCAGCCGCGGCGGAACGAAGGTCAGTACTTACCATTAACAGACACAGTCTGTCCATCATCGGCTTGCAAGCGGCCATCTTTGAGCATGGCACCACCAAATTCGAATGTCATCATGTTGGACTCGCGCGTGTAGGGGGGCGCAGCCGGGGCCTGGACTTGGGCTTGAGCACCGCGCTTAGTGGTCTGGCTTGGCGCGGTTGCACCTGCTTGAATGCCACTTGTGGCATCTTTGGTAGCATTCTTTCGTCGTTTTGTCGAAGGTTGCGCAGTGCTGGTCTGCGCTGCTGGTGTGGTTGCCGACGAGCCGGAAATACTGAGGTTTGCTTGGCTGTCTTTGGTATTGGGTCCGGAATTGTTGCCCCACGGCGCACTACCTGGTCCAGCACCTGCACCCTTCTTCCCACTCACAACTTGAGGTTGACCACTCTCGGCAGCCACAAAATCTCGCGATGGCGGATCGGACATGTTCCCATTCGTCAATGCAGGGACTGCCATCTCGAAATCCATTTCCGTGTCTTCCGCGTAATTGATGCGTGACCTGCCCGGTCGGTTACGCGATCGCGTTCCATACGGCACAGCGGCAGCCTCCTCTGAATCTTTTCTTGAAGGCTGCGCTGAATCAGAGTCATTGTTCTTGGACTCCTGATGTTGCTGATCCACGTTTGTGGCAATAGTTGCATCAGTAGAACCTTGTGGCGCAGGATGGTTTTCCGGAGCAGACACTGCGGGCGTTGAATGCCTAGTAGACGAGGCCTTGCTGGTAGCTTTTGAAGGCGCGGTACCTTCTGTGGCGATGCTGTCGTTCACTTTGCCGTTTTGCGCGTCGCTTCTGGTGTGCAATGAATCTGCATTGACCGGACTCCCGGTTCTGGACGCTTGAACATCGCCATCCTCTTTTTGTGCATCCATCTCGATGGCTTACTGCCGTGAGCGGCAATCTTGTTTGTGAGATGCGTCAAATGGTCAATGTGGCCGGCTTAGGCAGTTGAATGTTAGAATATTACCCCGTGAAGAGCGACTCTCGAGGTCGCATAGAAGGACCAATGGTGTAGAACGCGGAACTTCGAACTTAGAAACCAAATGTGGCAATGTTGATGTTGGAACAGCCGTTGGTGCGGTTCGGCGGATCGCGATTAGTCGGCAATAGCCCAGAGTAAGGCGCCAGAGCGCGTCGAGGTGTATTTCGAGGATTGGGGTGTGAGGAAGTGTCGAGGAAGAAGCATGGGAGACGACCGCGGAGCCATTCACGTAGACTGATGCACGGGCCACACGTCCGCGACATATCTGCTCTGACGCACGCCCATCAGAGTTCCGTTCCTATCGGGAGGCACCACACTTGTCCTTGATCCGTCGCAGGCGCCCTCGCTGAGAATTCAATATGGGCGCGCTGCCTGACGGTTGCCTGTTCGCGATGTTTACTTTCACAGTTTACACAGCGTCCACATACAACGTGTTCACTACTGTTGCATGGAAAGTCTCTTCGGGGCGCTCGACAGCCACTGTCCAATCTTGAACGATATTCACATTCATTGAAGCCGACCTGTTCGTTGGATGCTGTTCTAATCTTGGTGTTCATCAGATCTGAGCCGCGCACATAAATACAAGGTAAAAGGCGTCCTGTTCAGCCTATAGAAATTGTCAGGAACATTACACAATAGCTGCGAAGTCCAGGTTGTTCGTGTCACGGATTGCGAATGGACTGTCTCGTTGTTTCGCTAGTGAATCCACGAGCACCGTTGGCGACCGCCGTAAGTGTCGATGTCTTATTAGTCTAGTGCGGCCTAGGCAGGCAGGGGTGGTGTGAGCCCTGAAGGGATTCACTTGGGGTGACAAAGAACAGGAACGCGCCCACCAACGCTTCCGCCCATCTTCTGTGATACATAGAAGAGACAGCCTGATGGAGAAGCTATCGCCTACTCAGCAGTCGAGGCGTGAGCAATCTTGTGGTCTGGATGATCGTACTTGCGATGCCTGCGCAACACCTGGTTCTGACCTGTTCCGACCGCAGCCTGTACGGGCCGATCGCGATTAACACGAGTGATAAAATAGCCCATCAAGATGAGGCCCTTTCTTTGCACAGGCGACCTTCGTGCGTGGCAGCCGGTTCGGTGATGCATGCGACAAGGTCTGCACCATCACCCAGCGGGGGCAGATCCATCACCACTGAGGCCGGTGTCGAAACTTCAGCCGTGCGCTAACCAGTTCTGCCGGGCGCCATGCACCATCAGCCACCACTCGCTAGATGCGGAATGATCTGATTGGGCGGCCTTGGACCTCATCTCTTCGGCCACGTTCGCTGTTAGCGTCTACCAGCTCTTGCAACCGTAAGCATACGAGTGGTTGTAGGCCAGAGACGTTCGTTTGCGACGTGAGGAATATGTCCTTGCGGATTTCCAATGAAAACATTCTTGATCGTTGAGTTCTGATGATAAGGCTGAGATGCCTGGAAGGCCAAAGGCACAGCTCGATCTCGGCACACTTCCAGGCGCGTTGCAGAGAGCTCGACGTCGCGTCAGATTCGGCACCCTTGCATCGTGCACAAGAGACTTCAGCGTCTCTCCAGGTATTTGTCTCGTGTTGCCTCTTGCACTTCGTACTTCAAGCTCAGAGCTGGTCAGTAATGGGACACGTTACTGCGACGTTGCGCCCTCGCTACTCAAGGCTGCCCTGATCATGCAGTTTACGACTCATGTATTTTACGGTCATGCGCTCATCATTGGTTGAACACGTGCTGCCCTTGTTTCTTTACACAAACTATCGTGCGCAATCCAGTACGAGTTCTCTTATACGATCAGCTTTAACATTTGAAGATAGATCAACTTGAACGTAGGCCTGGCATCAGCTACTGATCGGAGCTAGGCGATCCTCGATGCTCTCGCGAGTTTCGAGCGGCGTCTCACTGTCAACCAAATGCATAGTTAACATATACCTAGGAACGGCCAGACAACAAGCGTGTTTACGTCTATCATCCATTTCGATTCTACAGCGCAAATTTTTCACTCTATCTGTGATGTCGATACGATGCAAGAGATTTTGACAACCTCCAGGGCTAAGCTCCAGGCTGCACACGGTAAGACTCACCAGTAGGAGCAACATGTGATTAGATCTGGCCAAGCATAGCCTCATCAGTGCCAGAAGGATGGTCAGATACAGATTACGACACTCCTTCAACACTGAACAATAGGCAACTGTACGACTGTGTGCAGGCTCCATATCGTCAACTACCCAAAATCTGACGTACTGGAAAGATGATGAAAAGCACCGGATCGCTCGTCTTCATTCAGGTTTTTTCTGATCAAACGCAGCGGCCTTTCGCCGAGCTGAGTCTGTGAGACGGTGTTTAGAGACGAGTAAGGGTCTCATCTGTGCAGCTACCACCTACCTTGAGCGCGCGCTGCACTCATACAAAGGTATACAAGGGTATTGCTCCAACGAGGACTTGAGGCCTTCAAGTCAGAAGATCTTTAACTCGACCACGATTGAAATGTGTGGCCACCATAGAAGACAACACGTGCTATCGTGCACTGCTGTCATGCAAACCCTCCTCTGAAAGTGTCGCTCGACAGGCCATGGTCGGCAAAACTTCCGCGGCATAACACAAGACGTTGTTGACGACCCTTAAAAGTCGATGTGGAGACGATTATTACGGTGTCCTTGCTTCTTTCATTCGTCATACCTTCTTTCGGGCCGCTCATATCCGTGCTTTCTCACTAGCTGGTCACTCACTGGTCACTCCTTGGTCGATCTCATCGACCGCTGCCTAGATACGCACCGAGTCGCCTTAAACCATCATTTTTCAGAATGAGTCGGGAAATGAGAAGACACGTTGATGCACGACATGCAACGTGGTGCGATTGGTTCACAACTGTTAAGACCACGGAACACAAACATACTGCCGTTTTCACCCCTCAGCTGTATCACCACGACTACGCACCCGCTGAACGTGCAAACCCCTAATGCACGCCGGACCCGATATTTGGTGTAGAAAGGAAAAGATGGTGTTTGCTAGTTGTCTGCAGACCGTCCTAGAAGGCGAGAGCAGCCAGGAGACCAGCAAGACCAGCAAGACCAGCACCCTCAATGCGAGTGGCAGCACCACTGGCCTGAGCAGAAGCAGACGCGGCGCTGCCAGTTGCAGTGGCCGAGCCAGATGCGCCTGGACTATGTTAGCAAATATGTCTCCTCTTAAGGTTATTAAACGTACGGTTGGAGCCCGTGGCGGCAGCAGAGCCGGATGCACCGCTGCCCGAAGCAGCGGCAGCAGCGCCGGGAATGCTGACAGTCTGAGAGGAAGGGAAGAGGCTGGCAATGCAGCCCTGAACGCAGTCGGAGTACTTCTGGGTGGCCTCGGCAGTGCCGTCACCCTGGTCGCACTTCGCGGCGCACTCGGTGGTCTCTACGGCCTGGGAAGAGTTGGGACGTGCAATGCCCAAGCAAGAAGCCTGGCAAGTACTGTGATCGTGTGAGCGCACGCTGCGAAGTGATATCCAATCCATTCTTACACATCGCCGGCAGCGCAAGCCGAGACACAGCTGATAGAAGGAGACGTTCCGGCAGCAGCGGTAGTTGCAGGCGCGCTGGTGATGGTGGATGACTGGGCGAAAGCGCCGGCAGCGAAGGCGAAGAGAACAGCGGTGTACTTCATTTTGAAGGTTTAGTTGCGTTATACAACTGAAGCGTATAAAAAAGCGAAGGTCGAATTCGAATTAGAATAGGTATTGACAAATTAGCGAGTGAGTGTTGTGCAATTGAAGAAATGAATCTGTGCAAAGAACGAGTGTACAGCAGAGTGTTGATCGGTTACCGACTTTCTGGGGAAGGGAAAGCTTTATTATTGACCTTTACAAAGGGGCAATGGGCCCACGGGCGAATGAACATGCACAAGGACATATTGGTGACCACATCAAACTGTAAAGGGATTAGTTACCAGTGCGCTTGGCGCTCATTTCATGCAGGTCGGGACCGGGTCCTTCTCTGATCAGCAAGCAGGATCGCGCTAGGAAACAACAACGCGTGATTGAATTCTAGGCTGCATCGTCTCTGCTGACACTGCCATTGCCAACGCTGTGCAACGCCATGTCGGACAGCGACGACTACGGCGACGGCTACGACGACACCGAGTTTTTCAACGCGGCTACGCAAGCGGAGAAGGAAATAACGCCCGCATTCCAGCCGTCGCCACGACCGACCAAGCGCCGGAGGGTCAGTCAGGCTCGTGAAAAGGCCAAGTCCATTCCATCCGAGAAAATATCAAACCGACGACGACAGGCTTTTGCAGATTCGTCTGACGAGGATGATGGTGATGAATCGTTTGGCACATGCAACAAAGGTGATTCGCCTGCAACGAGCGAAGAGCTACAGGAGAATCGGCCATCAACTCGCAAGAAGAGAGCTGCCTCGAAACAACATGATGACATCGATGGAGACGAAGATGTATCGCCTGCAAGAGCGACTGTTGCTCAAAAAAGAAAAGAGCGCATACATATTCCGACTACAGAATTGGACATGACCGATGTCTTCTTCACTCAACCACCACGAGAGCATTCGCCGCCGTGGAAGCCCAGAGGCGCAATCTGGGCAAAGCCCACTAGCATTGGAGTCCACAAACCTGCAGCAGAGCTGACCAAATGGACTGGGCTGGAAGCAATGAAGACGATGGCTTTACCTGGCAGGCAGTCCATCTCATCACGGCCGAAAACAACAGCTCCAGTCGTCGAAGAGGACCCTGATTCTATTATCGATGACGAGGGGCCTTCACAGCCACTTGCAACGGTCAGCGTGCCTACAGCCTATGACTACGAGCAGGACTTAGCTGACTTGCCATCTGATGCGTTCTCGTCTTCAACGGCGTCACCTCAGAAGCATGGTGCGGACGACGACATCACTTTATTGTCAGCGACTCGAAAAGGGGTCGCGGCGCCTCAGACCGGCTTGCGTCAGACCACGTTGTTCGGTCGGCAAGGTGCTAACGGTGAAGTACCACCATCACAGGTCAACAAGCGTTACAACTTTGTCGTCGATCAGAAGCAAGAGCCACCAACTCATCACAAGCTCGACCACGAAGCATTGAAGACCTGGGTTTACCCGACGAACCTCGGGACTATTCGAGACTACCAGTTCAACATCGTGCAGAGGGGTTTGTTCAACAATCTCTTGGTTGCATTACCTACTGGACTGGGAAAGACATTCATTGCTGCAACAATCATGTTGAATTGGTACCGCTGGACTGTAGACTCGCAGATCGTGTTTGTTGCACCAACGAAGCCACTCGTCTCGCAGCAAGTCGGAGCTTGTTTCGGCATTGCTGGCATCCCTCGGTCAGCTACCACTATGCTTACTGGAGGAGTCCAGCCGGGTCTGAGGTCTGAGGAGTGGAAGAGCAAACGCGTGTTCTTCATGACACCACAGACGCTACTGAACGATCTGAAGAACGGGTATGCAGATCCAAAAAAGATCGTCCTGTTGGTGGTAGACGAGGCGCATCGAGCGACAGGATCTTACGCGTACGTTGAGGTGGTCAGCTTCTTGCGGCGCTTTAACCAGAGCTTCCGCATCCTCGCTCTCACAGCTACTCCAGGCGCGGACGTGGAAGCGGTTCAAAAGGTTATCGACGGCCTCGACATCTCAAAGGTCGAGATTCGAACAGAGAACTCGATGGACATTTGCAATTATGTACACCAGCGCAGAGTTGAGAAGCGGGTCTTCCAGAACAGCGACGAGATGGAGATGTGCATGGACTTATATAGTCAAGCACTGCAACCACTTGTCAATCAGGTAGCTGGACTGGGCGCATACTGGAGCAACGATCCCCGAACCTTGACACCTTACGGATGCACGCAAGCGGCAGCCAAGTGGGTGAATGGGTCGGGTCGTCACGCAAACCCGGGCGTGAAGAACATAGTGCGCACCATTTTGACTCTGCTCGCTTCCATCGCCCATGCCATGGATCTAATGAAGTATCACGGCATGGCTCCCTTTTACACCAAGTTGAAAGACTTCAGGGACGACAGCCAGAAGACAAAGTCAAAGTACAAGAAGCAGATCCTCGAGAGCGATGCATTCAAGAAGCTCATGACTCGATTGGACACATGGATGAACGATGAAAACTTTGCCGGGCATCCCAAGCTCGAGCACGTGCAAGAGTGCATCCTAGAGCACTTTGTCAACGCAGGCGAGGGGCCGAACGGTTCGCAGACCAGGATCATGGTATTCGCTCACTTTCGTGACAGCGCTGAGCAGATTGTGCGCATCTTGAAGAAGCACGAACCTATGATCCGGCCTCGTGTATTCGTTGGCCAAGCAACAGCAAAAAATTCAGAAGGCATGAATCAGAAAGAGCAACTGAGTGCCATCGAAGAATTCAAATCGGGGAAATACAACACTCTAATCGCCACCTCCATCGGCGAAGAAGGCCTCGACATCGGTGAAGTTGATCTCATCATTTGTTACGACTCCAAAGCATCGCCGATCCGCATGTTGCAGAGGATGGGACGTACCGGCCGCAAGCGCGAAGGAAAGATCATCATGCTTCAGATGCAGGGGAAGGAAGAGAACGACGCCAACAAAGCAAAGGATAGCTACGAGAATATGCAAGAGCTAATTGCGAACGGATCACACTTTACGTTTCATGACGAGATCTCGCGCCGGATTGCGCCAGCAGATGTGAAGCCGGTTGTAGATCGTCGAATAGTCGACATCCCTCCGGAGAACTCGCAGCAAGACTGGCTACCAGAACCCAAGAGGAACGGACGGACGAAGAAGCCCCCAAAAAAGTTCCACATGCCTGATGGCGTATTGACCGGCTTCGTCACTGCCGGATGTATGGGAGAAGAAATTATTCCCAAAGGGCGCGGCAAGAAAGCACCTACGATCACGTCTCCAAGCGAAGAGGTGTTTGAAATTCCGTCGTTTAACTCAGTCTTACTAGACGAATCTGCGACACGCGACTTGGAAAGGCGCTTTCAGACTGTATACGACGAAGACGATGCCCCAATGGTCAGCGCATTGGACCTCGGCGAACACGCCGATCATCAGCGAACCTTGACCAAAACGCATTTTCTGCTCAAGCCAGGCCGCAAGACGCAGACCTTCGTGGCGACTATGCAGCGCATCCATGACATGGACGCCAACCGTGTGGAATCATTTAGGCATAGGTTTCATCACCCTGACTATGATTTAGACGATTTAGAGGAGGTAGTCGACAACAATTCTAAGGCTGCTACAGAGTCGCAATCCGTGATCCACGAAGACATGTGGGCTGATGATGATCCTGCGTCGCAGGAGGTCATCAAATCCAAAGCAAAGTCAAAAGCCAAAGCGAAGGCAGCGCCGAACCCAAAAGCCAAGCCGGCAGCTGAGCCGAAGGCGAAAGCACCCCCCAAGATTCTAGCTCCACGTGGTCGACCGCAGAGATCCAGGACTACAGAGACTGCTGCAGAAACACCCGTTCGAAGACCTGTAGCAGTAGACCTTACACCAAAGATGAAAACCCCTGATTGGCAGGTCTCGGCGCTAGCAGGAGAGGGAGAGGAGTCATCGCCGCCACCCACAGATCCTCGGTTCCATATAGCCTCACAAGCTGACACCATAGGCTCACAAGATACGCTTGCCGATGGTGAGGTCGAGGATTCATCGCTCTGGAAGCAGGACTCAGAACTTGCCAGCTTCATCGTCGATGGTACCATGATGGAGGAGGAGGAACAGGAGATTCCAGCATCAAGTTTACCCGGTCTTGACTTCAACGGCCTTGGAAAAGCTACACAGGCGATGATCAGGTCGGCTACAAAGTCGAGGCGACCTCTGAGAGCAGAGAAGTTCTTCACCAGCGATATAACAGATAACGATGCAGTGGTCAGTAGCGACAGTGATAACGACTCTCCACTGATCAAGCCGGGCAAAGGTGCGAACAAGAGGCCAGCTTACATCATAGATTCCGCTTCAGAGGTGTCTTCGCCTGTCCTGCAAAGGATGAGAGTACGCAGGGTGATCGAAGACGACGACGATGACGAGTGAAACCCATGCATATAAATTAGATACACCTAGATAGCGCTGCTAGCTTTACAGCGTCCGTGCACCAGCGTTTTGCAGCAGCTCAATCAAAGTATTTCCAGTACTCAGGCTCGAAGCCCTCCATTTGTTGTGTGTATGACTCTCCAGCCTTTACCCAACCTTTAATGCCACCTCCAAGGGTCAAGGCCCGTATCTGATCATCACCCTTCTCAGCGATGTAGTCTGCGAACCAGCCTGAGCAGCGCGGCCCCCTGCCGTTAGATGAACCTGTCTTGTTTCAGCCACGGTGCAGTCAGCTGGGCCAAGCGCATTGTGATAATGTGATACAATGTTCACCCCATTTCCACGCTACAGCGCTGACAACACGGAAGCCTTCAACCAACGGTCATTGCTTACCACAATAGAATGCAACCTTCTTGACGCCTGCCCGCTTGCATAGATCGAACAAGACAGCTCTGTTCATGTAGAAGCTATGTGCAGGCAAATTCAGACTGCCCTTGATAGTGCCGCCCTCAAAGTCCGTTCGACGCACATCGACCAGGAGTAAGTCATCAGAACTTAGGTCCTTGAGGGCGTCCTCGCGTGTGATAACCGGAGCTGTTGTGCTAGGCGCGGGGAAGGCAGCGTGCCAGGGTTTTGAGTCTGCCATTTGTTACAAGTTCCTGCACCAGAGACTCGATGGCATCGATCAATGGTTGCTGGGAATCTGGGATGCCAGCACCGTATAATCTCGGTTAAGTCGTAAATAGCATATGTTTAGGGCAGTCAGGGGTGGCGCGGATACTGTACCATCCGAACCAATGCCGAAGGGACCCTTCACACCCACGATATCAGAACGTCTCACAGCCAGATTACTGGGCAACTCATTTATCAGAAATCCATTAATTGCCTACTTGACACTGCCTACAAAGTACTCACATCACCGAAGCCATCAGGCTCCAAGTCGCCGAGGTCGCCGAACCCACCAAGCCCACCAAACCCACCGAACCTAGGGTGCCGAGACAGCTCAACGTCGATACAAGTCTCGGAAAAGTGAGCCAGAGCCATAGCATATCGCTAGAGAAGCCGGGGCGGACGCTAGAGAGCTTGATTTGTGCTGAAAGCTCATACAAACCTCCTCAACGTCGGAAGCATCGGGTTCATGGGCTCCCTCTTCGCCGGAAACTATAGATCATCAAGTACATCCTTAACACCTTGGTGTTTAACGAAGAGGTTGCCAACGGGGAACAGAAGAGGAGGTGCTTAGAGGGGTTGAGTTACCAGGGAAACTATCGCCCACCTAAGTTTGGCGAGCTGGTTGAGCACTTCAAAGTGCCCAGTGCTACGCTGCAGGGCATGTGGTCGCACCGGAAGGAGATCGTAGATGATGCAGGGGATAATGCAGCGGGCTTTCGGCGCCCCACCTGTCAGGTCCCGGTGACGCCTTCCACTGTGCACCGCCACAGCGACGGGCCACCGTTGCGAATTTCCGTAGATGGTCCGATGGACGCGTGATGACATGGCCGCTTCGGTAAGTCTATCAATTCCATCAGCAGTCTGTCCTTAACGCAGCTTGTCGCCTGCCGCTTTGTTCGTGCGCTTCGTATACTTCGTACCCACGCCGTGTCCTTCATTTACGCAGATCATCCGTTTCGACTTAGATCCCCTGTTGCGACCAACAGGCGGCGCCTCGGCCTTCGCTCCTGCCATTTGTGTCGACTGCGTTTCGATGCACTCTGGCCTCTTGTCATACCCCACACCAATATCCGGCTGCTGATCACCCGGCGACTTTAATTGTGAGCGTACCCAAGTCGCGAGTCGCAGAGCTGCAACCGCCTTGGAGACTCGCATCGCAGACGTTTGCTGACCGAGGGACTGTAGTAGCACGCTCTGAGCCCCAGGCAAAGATGCGCACAGCGTCGCAGGTGTTCTACCTGGCAGTCTTCTCGCTGCTGGGTAGCTCGCATGCTGCCAATCATGCCACGCCTACCAAGTCCAAGTCGCCGCCGCCAAACGTCTGCAATGTAAGCAAGAAAGCGGCTTCGCCTCAGACTCATAACTACTCCGACAGTACTAAGACTACTTTCCAGTTGGAGCCTGCGGCAATAGTATCAGACGCCTGCGCGAGCTACAGCACCCTCGAACAGCTGAACGATGCCGTCCACCCCTACCTCCACTCGATCACACAAGACACCGACTTCTTCTCACACTACCGCCTGAGCTTGTACAGCAAGAAATGCCCGTTCTGGGACGACGAGAACGGGATATGCGGAAACGTGGCGTGCGCGGTGAATACACTGGACAACGAGGAGGACATACCACTAGTCTGGCGTGCAAAGGAACTGGGAAGACTAGAGGGTCCTACCGCACATCACCCTGGCAAGAAGGAGCAGAAGGAGGACAGGAAGAGGCCGCTACATGGAAGTCTGGGCGAAAACGTTGACGAGAGCTGCGTGGTCGAATACGATGACGAATGCGACGAGCGCGACTACTGCGTACCGGACGATGCGTTCGCTCCGGCGAAGGGAGACTACGTCTCGCTTGTGGATAATCCAGAACGCTTCACAGGGTATGCCGGTGTTGGTGCCCAGCAGGTCTGGGAGGCTATCTACCGCGAGAACTGCTTCAGCAAACCGCCGAAGATGGCTCCCGGCCAGTTCAACGGTCAATCTGCACCGCTTGGCGGCCCGTCGTTTGGAGGTTTCGGGAACCAGCAGCAACAGATGGCGGCAAACCAATTGCGCAACGTCATGAAGGAGGGTGGTGTTCAGCAAAAGGTCCAGTCGGCCATCGCCCACGGAACGGCTGTTGCGCGCCTCGACCCGGTCGAGTTTGATGACACCTGCTTGGAAAAGCGAGTCTTCCACCGTGTCATCTCCGGCATGCACGCGTCTATCTCCACGCACTTGTGTTGGGACTACCTGAATCAGACCACTGGTCAATGGGGCCCGAATCTCTCGTGCTACGAGCAGCGACTCCACAACTACCCCGAACGCATCTCGAACATCTACTTCAACTATGCACTCGTCATGCGCGCGGTTGGGAAGATCAAGCAACACATCCAGGACTATTCGTTCTGCTCCGAGGATCCCGAGCAGGACCTTCGCACAAAGAACTCTGTTCTGCGTCTTGCGTCTGCGCTCCCCGCAGGCCCCGAGATCTTTGACGAGACTGTTATGTTCCAGGATCCTGATACCGTGGCATTGAAGGAAGATTTCCGCAATCGGTTCAGGAACGTCAGCAGGATTATGGACTGTGTGGGCTGCGACAAGTGCCGTCTCTGGGGGAAACTGCAGACAAATGGCTACGGCACAGCACTCAAGGTGCTGTTCGAATTCGATGAGAACGATTCCTCTAAGGACCCGCCACTCCGCCGCACTGAGCTCGTTGCACTGATCAACACCATGGACCGCCTTTCGCACTCATTGTCAGCAATCAAGGAGTTCCGTCGCATGGTCGATGAGCGCGAGGGCATCCCGAAGGCTGTCGTTCCTGCACCCCAGGAGCCCTCTCAAGGCGTTCTCAAGGCAAAACTTGCGCTTGAAAAGAATCAGGAGCCAGAGATCAGGTACAGAGAAGATGGTCTCCCCGACTTCAGCCGCGACTGGGATTCGAGCAGAATGACAGTCTGGGAAGAGATGGTGGCAGAATACAAGCTGGTGATTCGTGTCTTCAGATACGTGTTGTCGCAGTGGTACCACATGCCAAAGAAGTTGTAGGTTTCCACCTCCTTGTTGACGCGGATCAATGCTGATATGCGCGTAGTGGCAGAATCGCTGTTCTCGAGGCAAAGCGCCTGTACGATTGGTGGGCAGGCTTCGTACCCAGCGAGAGGAGCTGGGAGATCCGGATCCCCAGACGTGATGAAATGTGAAGTCGTTCTACTCCTCTATAGGGTTTTGTTTGGCAATTTGGCATAGCATAGGCGTTCGCATCGCAGCATAAGTATTCGATTGCGCTTTTGGACCTGAGAAATCATAACATGACAGTTGGCTTCTATGTTAATATGACATGCATAAGCTTCTGATACCTTTTTTTTGCATGCTATCTGAAATGCTCGTGTTCGCACGCCCCGCCCTCGTACCTCCTCCGTCACCTGCGCGCCGCGCCCTGTCTCGGCCGAACTGTCTCGAGGCTTTTCTCCGTCATACACGCCGGCGCATCGTCATGCATTGACCGGCCCCAACGCGGTCAGTCTTCGCAGACTTTAATTCCCGATTCTAAGATCCCATTGGCGTAGCGATAGACAAGACTTTTGTTAAGCTCAGCACCTGCTTTCCACGGTTTCCTATCAGGGCAGGAACAAGCCTTCCAAGCATGGCGCCTACGTTTGATGGTGATATGCCTGGACTGCCTGTTGGGGAAGGTTGCGGGCGAGCATCCTCACATCTGAAGCAGCAGACAATCGCGGACAGCGTCAAGGTGGACGCGCCCTGTCTGAAGATGATGCGAGGTACAGATTCCCCGCAAAGCCATAGATCTCTAACAGACCATCTCTCTCTTATGGTAACTCATGTAGGCGGTCGAACTACTCGCGTTTCAATGTTGGAGTTACAAGGAAGCTCAATGCCCGTGTTTGGAAGGTTACAAGCGTGACGCCTACTTCCAACGGAACGCGAACCTGCCTCATATGGCAGTTTGTTTGAGAAGTCTGACGGCATGTCTTGTGCGGCGGCTGTTTGCGGCGGTCGAGGACAGGGAGAATGGTATTGTTGGCTGTTCCCTTTGTCCTCCAAACTGTCCTCCAAATGGCAGGAGCGGGCATGCGCGGAGGGCGCCGGAGGTACTTCCAATGCCCTGCATCTTGACCGTCAGCCTCGAGACTTTGCCAAGTCGGTGTCTTTGGACTTACCTGAAACACCAGGCAGGTTCCCCGATGGCTTTTGTAACCTCCAGGCGTTTAGCCGTTTCACGGATTCAGTGTCCAGTCCTACAGCTGATTTCAGCCCCCACGATGCCGTTTAACGAGACACAGTGTAACAGCTCTGGGGTACTGATGCGTTTGTGAACGTGATATTTAATTCAATGAATTACTAGCTTACAGACCAGAGAAGAGCCTTCTATCGCACAAACCCCATGCTAAAGTATTCCCTTACTTACTCCTCTAAATTGCCTTTGCAGATGAGCCGGAAACGCTGTATAAACAGGACCACAAAATCTCTCCCAAAATCCACCCCATGCCTTGTAGATCTATCTTACTTCAACCCCAGTGGGTATATGGCTCAGTTGTTCCTCCCCATGTCACACCGCGGTGCGGCGGTTGATGGGTTCATGTCATTTACAATGGACGGCCACCGACGAACTCGCTCCATGTGCGAACTTCGCTGGGAATGCCCTCCTTCTTGGGCAGCTTCTCGCTCATACACTGAGCGAAGAGGACAGCAGTCTTGGGTTCCATAAAGAGAGGAACGCCGAAATCGACCGCGTTCCTGCGCATGACGTAGTCCTCGTCAAGCAGGCCGTTTGCCCTGAACTTGGCCAAGTTGAAGCAACCACGGATGTCGTTCTTCTCGAAGACTTCACGGAGAGCGCGCTTGTCCTCCTTGGGGAAAGCGATGACCTCAACCTTGACGCCTTCGACGTGCTTCTCGAGCAGAGCCTTGACATTCTCGTTGGCGGCAAGGAATTTGTAGCCAAGGGTCTGGATGTACTTGGCAATCTGGATCAGGGAGTTGGAGTGGAGAGATCCGGCAGTGACATCGCCGCCGAAGAGGAGAGCCTCTCCAGGCTGGGGCAGACGGAAGTTCATCTGCGACTGAGCAGATGCCCAGTAGGCCTCAATGAGATCTTTACCGAAGCAAGCCATCTCACCAGTGGAAGACATCTCGACGCCGAGGTAAGGATCGGCACCAGCCAATCTAGTCCAGGAGAACTGGGGAACCTTGGTGGCGACGTAGTCGCGGTCGACCTTCATGAGGTCAGTGGGCTCAGGAACCTCGCGGCCGACAAGAGCCCTGGTGGCAACATCGATGAAGTTGGTACCGAGGACCTTGCTGACGAAGGGGAATGAACGGGATGCACGAAGGTTGCACTCGATGACCTTGAGCTTGGGCTCAGCACCCTCGACCTCCTCCTTGATGATCTGCATGTTGAAGGGACCGGTGATGTTCCATGCCTTGGCGACCTTGTCGGCGATCTCCTTGACACGCTCCTGGATCCTGGCGTCGAGGTTGACGGGAGGCAGGACAAGGGTAGCGTCACCAGAGTGAACACCAGCGTTCTCAATGTGCTCACTGACGGCGTGTACGAGGACCTTTCCATTGGAGGCGACAGCGTCGCAGTCAATCTCCTGAGCGCCGTCGATGAACTTGGTGATGACGACTGGGTGGTCGGGGGAGACGGAAGAGGCGGCGAGCAGCTTCTCCTCTAGCTCGTTCTCGCTGCGAATGACGGTCATAGCAGCGCCAGAGAGGACGTAGGATGGGCGAACGAGGACGGGGTATTCGACGTTGTCAGCGAACTTCTTCGCTTCCTCATACGATGTCAGCTCCTTCCATGCGGGCTGGTCGACACCGATGGAGTCGAGAATGGAAGAGAACTTGTGACGGTCCTCGGCTTTGTCAATGTCGTGGGGGTCGGTTCCAAGAACCTTAGCCTTGCCGGACTCCTGCAGCTTCAAGGCAATGTTCTGAGGAAGCTGGCCACCGACGGAGACGACGACACCCTGGGCAGTCTCCAGTTCGTAGATATCCATGACACGCTCGTAGCTGAGCTCTTCGAAGTACAGCCTGTCAGCAACGTCGAAATCGGTAGACTATTGACCGTTAGCAATGAATTTGAATGATAGAGAGGGTATACGTTCATAAGTTTCTGGGTTGTAATTGATCATGACAGTCTTCTTCCCAAGCTTGTTCAGCGACATGGTAGCGTTGACAGCACACCAATCGAACTCGACTGAGCTACCAATACGGTAGACACCGCTACCGAGGACGAGAACACCATGGTCATCGAAGGAAACGTCGTGGGAAGAAGCGTTGTAGGTAGTGTACAGGTAGTCTAGAGGTAGTCAGTAACGCAAATTGCAGACGGGGGGAGGTGACCCACTCGTGTCAGCCGGGAACTCTGCGGCAAGTGTGTCGATCTTCTTGACCCATGGCCTGATGCCGAAGCCCTTCCTGCGAGCGCGGACCTCGTCCTCAGAACTGTTGACAGCCTTCGCAATCTGCTTGTCTGAGAAACCGAGCTTCTTGGCCTTGAGGATGATCTCCTTCTTGAGGCCGAATAGGCTGCCAATCTCCTCAAGCTCTTTTGTACAGTCGACAATGTTCTGAAGCTTGTACAAGAACCATTTGTCAATCTTGGTGAGCTCGTGCACCCTGTCAACAGTATAACCCTCGTGATACATAGCCTGGCCGACAGCGAGCCAGCGTCGATCTGTAGGGTTGGCGAGCTCGTAGTCAAGGTCCTCGCCGTACTTCTCGGCCTGGAAACCGAGGAACTTGGGGTCGACCTGTCGGCAGGCCTTCTGGAAGGACTCCTCGAAGGTACGACCGATGGCCATGACCTCACCAACAGACTTCATGGAACTGCCGATGTCGCGCTTGACGTTCTGAAACTTGCTCAGATCCCAACGGGGCATCTTTGTGACGACGTAGTCGAGAGAGGGTTCGAAGTTAGCGGTGGTGGTCTTGGTAACGGCGTTGGGCAGCTCGGGCAGAGTGTGTCCAAGACCAATCTTCGCGGCAGTATAGGCTAGGGGGTAACCGGTAGCCTTCGAGGCCAGAGCAGACGAACGAGACAGACGGGCGTTGACCTCGATGACCCTGTAGTCGAGACCATCGGGCTGGAGACAGTACTGGACGTTGCATTCTCCGACAACACCCAAGTGACGAACAATTTTGATCGACGCGGAACGGAGCATATGGTACTCCTCATCGCTGAATGTCTGACTGGGCGAGACAACGATACTGTCACCGGTGTGGACACCGAGAGGATCAAAGTTCTCCATGTTGCAGACTGTGATGCAGTTGTCAGCCGCATCACGAACAACCTCGTACTCGGCCTCCTTCCAACCCTTCAGGGATTTCTCAACCAGAATCTGGGGGGAAAGGGTGAGCGAACGAGCAGACAAGTCCCTGAGCTCATCAGGGTTGTTTGCGAAACCAGATCCAAGACCTCCGAGCGCGTACGCAGCACGGACGATAATAGGGTATCCGACCTTCTCGGCGGCGTCAAGAGCCTCGTCGACGGTGTTAACGGCAATCGACTTGGCGATGGGGATGTCAATCTCGTCAAGAGCTCTGGCGAACAGGTCACGATCCTCAGAGGTCTCGAGTGTCTTGACGCTTGTTCCAAGAACCTTAACACCGTACTTCTCGAAAAGACCCTTCCTGTTCATTTGAACGCCCAAGTTGAGCGCGGTCTGACCACCAAAGGACAAGAAAATGCCATCAGGCTTCTCCTTCTGGATAACATATTCGACGTATTCGGGGGTTACAGGCAGGTAGTAGATTTCATCGGCGAGCACGTGCGACGTCTGAATGGTCGCAATGTTAGGGTTGATAAGGACTGACTTTACGCCAGCCTCCTTGAGGGCCTTCAGTGCCTGGGATCCTGCAATGTGTCTCAGTTTAATGTGAATTTCCTTTCTGCGCCAAAAGTGCGCTCATACCTGAGTAGTCGAATTCTCCGGCTTGTCCAATGCTGAGACCTCCACTGCCAATGACTAGGACCTTCTTCACGTCGACCAAATTGCGGGCACCGGCAATGACGCCGCTGTTGAGGTAGGCCTGCGCATTTGGTGCTTCTTGTGTCTGGTTGAATGTGGCCGAGATCTTTGTGAACGCGCGCAGCTGGCGGTGAACCGCAGTTGACTCACCCTTCGCGCGGAGGGAGGTCAGAGGACGGGCTGTGCGGCTTGTGAAGTTTCGTGCAGACACGGAAGGAGCGATGCTGCGAAACTGGCTTGTCGTGGTAGGTACGCGACGCGCCAGACGTCCGCAGAGAGCCATGTTGCAGGCGGTCAAGCAGCTGCTGAGCTACCGAGCTCTGAGAACACCCAGTGACGGAAGTGAAGGGCGACGAACGCGCGAGAATAAGTCGCTCGAGGGCTAGTGAGGGCAATTTGGGGGGTGCTAGAGCTCGAGCTCAACAGAGCAGAGGAAATGTGACTCTATAAGAATTATTGAATCGTGGGGAAGATGTGAAGCTTGCCAAACTTTCTGTCGGCGATTTTAGCTCCATCCGATTGCGATAAGGCCCGTGGTTCAGTGCGCAGGGCCCGCTTGACTCAACGCAACCAAGGATTTAAGCATTTAATTTTGCTGGCATGCAGTCAGTTGGCCATCTCATACAATCGTGTTCTCCCCATCAGTCTGTCTACTCGTTCAATGTCACTCATTGCGCCTCTCTTCGCTCAGCCAGCGCTGCAATTCACTCAGAGACCACTCGGATCAGGGCCGATAATCGGCGCCGAACACTAATACTGGAATGGCACTGGCGGGAAGAAATTTTGAACCTGCTCTGCGGGCTACCGTCACCCGCAGTGCCCACGGGCCTCTACCTCCACTTGTAAGGAGTCATTTGCGACTGTAACCGGCCGGCGGTTGCGTCGAAGTAGAGTAGGGTTTCCTTCTTTGTCGTCTTGAGCGTGGACTGTGCACGCTAGTAGCGTTGATCGCTGACTGCCATGGCTGAGCGGCGATGGCATAGCTTCTGAACAATTTCCTCAGATCGGGGAGTCAGAACGCTCGGGACCTCTGGGGGTGGAAGCGACTCGTCTCGCATTGAAGAAACTAGCTTGAGAGACCTCAATGGAGCACGCAGTCATACATCCATGTCTCAAGAATATCTCGTCAGAATACTGGGGCGTCCTCCGCTACCCACGCAACCTTCTACAAGCGCCATGTTGTGCTCCTCTACGAGACCTTGGGCATCGTGTGATCTGGTATTCATGTTTTCTTCTGCTTCTCTGCTGCTGTGTGCCTAGTCTTATACTCCCGTGGGCTTTCTGGTGCCTTTGCCGTTGCGCCAGCCAGTCTCTGTAGCAGGCCGGGCTTCGACCACATCCCAGCCTTTCGTTCTTTGGCCTGTCCTTCAGCAGCGCGGTACTTCTCTTCAGAAGTACCAAACTCAGCTCCTGACTTGGCTTCGTAGACAGTTGCCAAACCAGCCTTCAGCATCTCCAGGCCCACATCTTTCTTGAAGAACCACTTGCGCACGTAGACCTGTGCTACTACTCGATCGTACTGATCGCGTCTGTATAGTCGCGCACGAACTCGACGGTTGAGGACGAGATCGGTGAGCATGTCAAGTGCTTCTTTCGAATACGGCTGAGCCTCTCGGCCCCAATGCGCAAGCTCTGGCGCATCGACTCCAGCGATCCGAATATGGAGCTTTGAGTTGCGTCAGTACTGCGGCGCGCAAACGACGAAAGGCATTCTAGTTTCCGGGGGAGGATTTGCTTACCGTCTGCTTTATGAGTTGGTCTCGTTTTGTCGGTACATTCTTCCATGGCAACCAGCCCCAACCAGCTAGTCGCCCACCAGGCGTGTGATACAACCTGAAGTTGTCTGCATCTCCGACACTTGTGACCTGGCCGAAGAGAGTCTTGCGCCGGAAGTAATCAGGTTTGATATGATTGACGGTGGGTATTCTTCGTAAGAAGGATTTGTAAAGGCGAACACCAGCGACGGTGGTCACTGTGAGCGCAAGAGATGGGATCAGGGTCCTTGGCTCAAGCAATGACGTTGCCCAGTCATCTGAACTGTATGATTCGGTCCATGCTGCGAGACCGGTCTTCTTCTGCTCATCTTCGTCGCCTGACCAAGGCCATCGCATCGTTCGTTTTGCGGGAAGTGTTGTTGCCGGTAAACATCGTAGCTCGGGGATCCGCATCTTACGTCAATTGAAATACGCTGCCACCGCCCGTGCGCTTCCCGTCATTTACACGTGATCATTGATGACATCCAATCATCTCTCACGTCTGCAATGAGAATATGGAGAGTGAGATGTAAGGGCATTTGAGTTGCAAGCAATTGAATCATATCTTTGCCGAATTCATTCATTGATGAAGAAGAATGGTATATTCATTCAAGCTTCTTTGCCTGAAGCTGTCCAGCGGTGTAGCAGCAGATCGGGCAACATTTGTAAATTATGGCCAGGAACTGCACCCCCGAAATAGGCCAGGTTGGTCCTTACTCTCTGCCCTTGTCAGGCTTTGACACAAGCTCACACCTCGGCGACACAAGATTACATACAACATCTCCGAGCCACAGGCGCGTCCATTTGCATGCACAGCACGATAGTGAAATAACATGCCTGCCGTCTGCGCTGCATGCAACATCCTGTACTCCGCTCGATTGCTGCTCGTCTGTCCGCGTCTTGGAAGTCTTGGGCTAGTATGGAAACTTGATGACTGGAGTGATCTAGGACGCTGCGCTTGCTGTCGAGCTGCATTTCGATTGCAACGTGTGTTTGTGGACGTAAATGGGTTTGCAATTCGACTAATGTACTACAGCTGCTATTGGCTAGGTCAGCTCAGTCTTTCTGGCATCAATGATAACATACCTCAAGTATACGTGCCGCTGTCTTATGGTGTCCTAGTGATTGACGCGTGCTAAACCTGTGACCAGTATACTCGTCATTGCGATGAGATGCGTTGAGTGCTGTTCAGCAAAGGCCTTTGGAAGTTGAAGTCGCGAATGCAGCTCAAAAGCGGAGACATGCCAAAGCGAGGACGCTTCTTCAACTCCAACACTCTCGAGTCTTTACAGTCCACTCTCATGTTCCAATTTTGCTTGGACAATGTGCACCATGTGTGTTCACCTCTGCTTACCATTTGCCACCTCCCTAGAGGCATATCTCGAACTGTTCATATCCGGCTATGAGCTTCGAATCATGCGTTCCATAGAAAATGCCTTGACGTTGGACTTGTAGTATTGTATGTGCAATGGACTGCAGCAGTCCAAGGAGGTACAGTGTCGCGATACGGCTCGCTTCCAGAGGTGCGGGCCAGCGCTTCGAATCGTACGCTCGTTGACTCAGCCTGATCAGGCACGTTGGCCCTTGATTGCGCGCATGTCTTTGGGGTGCACGTCTTAGCCAGAAGCGAGGCGTGAAGTGGGCTGGATGTGACAAGGAGACGTGGTGGGCTTCTGGAGTTGCGCAGGGATGGCTCCAAGCGCGGCTGCCGCACATGGAATGGCCACCGATGTTGCTAGCTTCCCGTGCTCAACCTCTTCACTCGAGGCCCGCGGCGCATGAGGTCTAACATCTTTATAACATCCAAATCCTCCATGCTTGCACGACCTGACAACATTCGTTACCTGCTTCGTTTCCCTTCTACATATTGTCGTATGGCGCGCAGCAACCTGTAGCCCTCTTGCGGCCATATATCAGGTGTTCGCACGATTTCATCCCTCACGGACGGAGGCCATCACTCATGTTTTCCGCCTTCGCGTCCACGACCGACACAAACACCCTCGATGACGACTCCGACATGTTCGATCAGTCTCACAATGACTTTCTGTCGCTGCCAATGTCGCATGAAAGCATACATCTGAAGGGTGGCATCGCTCCCATGCCTGAGCTTGGTAACATTGCCTATGGCAGAGAATCGGCAACATCGTCCGTGCACTATGGCGATGCCAATGACACATCGGAACTCATCCATCAAAGCGGCAGAGCCGAGGTAGATGATTCTACGCCTGGGGCTTTCTCGAACACATATGGCCTCAACCTTACTCCGTCGCCACTGCCGTATCCAAATACGCCACACTCAACAGTGGAGAATGGGTCACACGGCATCAACGGGGTTTGTTCAAATCAAACTGACATATTAGTATCAAAACCTGTCGAAGGAAATGTCTCGCATCATGAAGATGGGCTCTCAAGTCTGAAGGATACTTTTCTCAAGCATAACTTCATGACAAGAACGCCACAAAGCTTGAGCCGCGAGTCTCAACAGTCATCGACACCTGAACTCCTACAGTCCCATGATCGCCCTACGAATCCGCGCCTGATCGGTACACCGAAGGGCAAGACGGTCGAGTTGAGGGCAAATTCTAGCATACCGGCCGATCTCTCGTGGCCTGAGTTCGGAAGACAATGCATTCTGGCAGCAGAGAGCAGTAGACTGAATCCGTTTGCGTTGCATCCGGCGGAGTATAGACTGCTGCGCAACCACATCAACCATGCGCAAGTCACCATTTACCTCAATATTCGGAATGCAATCCTGCGACTTTGGCACCGCAATCCCTTGGTCTATGTCTCATTTGAAGAAGCTGCAGGCTGCACTCGAGACAAGCGCTTCTTCAACTTGACAAAAGTGGCTTATCTGTGGCTTCTCAGGAACGGCTATATCAACTTTGGTTGCGTTGAGATCCCCGGTACCGCACCAGCAGTATCAAGGAGGAAAACTAGAGACACACCGCAAAAAACGATTGTTGTAGTTGGTGCTGGGATGTCCGGTCTGGGCTGCGCGAGGCAATTGCAAGCGCTGTTCGCCCAGCTGGCAGACCAGAGTACAGGTGGAGGCGAACGACCACCGAAGATCATCATCCTCGAAGCTCGTCCACGAGTAGGCGGTAGGGTATACTCTCACCCCTTCCTCGACCAGACCAACTCAACCCTCCCTGCGGGACACCGTTGTACAGCTGAGATGGGCGCACAGATTGTCACAGGTTTCGAACACGGGAACCCACTAAATGCTATTATTCGTGGGCAGCTTGGCATCCCATACCACGGCCTCCGCGATAACACGATACTTTACGACTACGACGGAACAGTTGTAGACAGGAACCAGGACATGTTGGTTGAAAACCTATACAATGATGTTCTGGAGCGAGCGAGCGTTTATCGAAACAAAGCGCCGACACAACGGATAGTAGAAGGTGATCGAAATCTCATACTGTTTGGTCGTGACGCGAACGACAATGGCGGACCGACAATTGCGGAAATGGAGAATTCAGATGCACCTCTGTCTGTAAATGCGAAAAGCACAGCATCGACAACAGAAGAAAAGCCTACAACAGGGGTGGAGAAGCTAGCTGGTAGGGCCTACCAGCTGAGTGCTGGTTACAATCCAAACATCACAGCAGCCGAGACAATACAGAGTCTAGGGTGGAAGATCAAACCAGGAGCGTCAATGTCACAGACCGTAGACTTGGACGCTGCTGCGAAGCTGTCAGAGTACCCCACACTAGGCCAAACTATGGACGAAGGTATCAAGCAATACCAAGCCATTGTCGACATGAAGCCCAAGGATATGCGGCTGCTGAGTTGGCACCACGCCAACCTTGAATATGCCAACGCAGTCAGCGTCAACAAGCTCAGTCTGAGCGGTTGGGATCAGGACATGGGTAACGAGTTCGAAGGAGAGCACTCTGAGGTCATTGGAGGCTACCAGCAGGTTCCACGAGGACTCTGGAAGTGTCCTGATCAGCTAGACGTTCGCTTCAATACTCCGATCAAGTCGGTACGCTACAACACAGAGGAGCACCAGATCGGAAAGGCGGTTACGATCGAATCGATGAACGGACAGACCTTTGAGGCTGACCGTATCATCTTGACAACACCTCTGGGGGTGTTGAAGTCGGGGTCCATAACGTTTCAGCCGCCACTACCAGACTGGAAGCAGGGTGTGATTGAGCGCATGGGCTTCGGGCTGCTGAACAAGGCAAGTTTCCAGATTTTCGATATTTTTCCCAACTAATAGCGTGGATAGATCATCCTAGTATACGAGAAAGCCTTCTGGGAACCCGACCGTGATATGTTCGGCTTGCTGAACGAATCTGAGCACGAGGACAGCCTTCGACCTGAACACTACAACGCGCGGCGGGGAAGGTTTTATCTGTTTTGGAATTGCATCAAGACCAGTGGCAAGCCGACACTTGTTGCGCTTCTGGCCGGCGACTCTGCTCAATACGCGGAAGCAACGTCGAACGATCAGCTGGTCAAGGAAGTTACAGACCGGCTCGATTCGATGTTTGCGCCGAACTCCGTCCCACTGCCCACAGAGACCATTGTCACGCGATGGAGTAAAGACCCCTTTGCTCGAGGGAGTTACTCTTACGTCGGTGCGACGACACGAACGGGCGATTACGACGTAATGGCTCGTCCTCATGGACCATTGCACTTTGCGGGAGAAGCGACCTGTGGAACACACCCTGCTACGGTCCATGGCGCATATCTTTCAGGCCTCCGAGCTGCCGCTGAGGTGTATGAGACAATGACTGGACCGATCGAGGTTCCCAGTCCGCTGGTGGAGAAGAAGATCAAGCTCGAGCAGCTTGCAACTCCCTCTTTCGCCGACTTCAAGCCGGGGTTCGCACCTGCAGTGCTGCCAGCTCAGACCACAAAGACGGCACGAGCTCAACGGGATGAAGATTACGAGGCTGCCATCATCGGCGCCATCCTCGAGGAGGTTGGTGAGAGGCCGATCAAGCCAGGACGATCTGGAGTCAATCCGTTCTTGCTGTTCACTAAGGACTACTGGTACATCGTTAAGAAGGAGTGCGACGATGCCCGTGTAGCTGCCACTGGTAATTTCGACGCAAAGGCCACCAAGCAGGAGGTGCGAGTTGCTATTGGTCTCAGATGGCGCACCGCGGGCGAAGACATCAAGAAGCCTTACCAAGACCAGGCTGACAACGCACGAGAGAGTGCGACGTCCAGTGCGGCAGACTTCAAAGAGCGGGTGGCCCACTGGGACAGCGAAGCTGCACGCATTCGGCAGGCGTACATTCAGAAGAATCCCCCACCTGGCGGGAACGAGGACTTGATTCTCAACAGCCGGACAGCTATTGAGCTGGGAGCTGGCAAGCGACTCCGGAGACTGTGAAGTATGCATTACTTTTCATTTTAGATTCTGTTGTATCAACATGTATAATTGTTCGCATTCGACTGCGCGGCACCAGCATTTCAAGGGCGTTCGCGGGAGGGCCAGGCCTCGGACAGACATCGTCTGCGATGCTGGGGATCGAAGCCAGGCGGCTAAATGGTCGGGCGGCTTGTGGGAGGATTAGTGCATTTGCGCCATTTCGCGTCTGTGGCGTCGAACAGATGAGCAGGCGGGGGGCCCAGTGCCCGCTTGAACACAACGGCATCAGCAGCTGATGCTGGTTCTGCAAGTAATGCAGTAATAAGACGTGTGTCGATGCAGCCCGCGCTCTGGTTATGGCGTGCCTTCTAGAAGGCTCAGCGTGTGTTTGCAGCATTAGCCGCCGGATGGCTACAAGGTGTTGGCCTTTCAACCTGACGTGACCAGTGACCGCGGTACGGGGACAGGCTAAACTAACGCGAGGCCAGGCGCGCATCGGCCGCGAGGTCGCAGTGGTTGGGCGCGCGTCGGCCACAAGCAACGTGGCTCTCGAACACCGGCTGCTCCTGTGTCCGACCCTGCAGCCGTTGCGAGTTGTAGCACAGTGACACTGTCGATCGCTGGCACATTCACCGCGGGCTGCAGGGTTGGCGCATGGCTGGGTGGGGTCCGGTTGTGGGGGAGAGTCCGGGCGCTCGGCGTTCGCGTGAACTAGGAAGAGCAGCCGTCTCTAGCTCCCCAAGCCTCGTCGCTCTCGGGTTGATTCAAGACCACCGGCCGTCTCGTCTCGTGCGTGCTGGGCTGCGAACTGTGCCGTGCGAGTGCTGCATCTGCTGCATCTGCTGCATCCTGCGACCGCTCCACTGCTGCCTCGCTCTTTTGCCCCATGCTGCCCTCCGCACGCTCCCCCAGCATCTGCCCTGTGCTATCGGCATAAGCCCGCGCCGCACATGCCCTGCGCTGCCTGAACTGGACGACTACCACCTCGCCCGTCCCCCCGCTGTCCTGCGCGCCCGTCGCTGCGAGCTGCCGCCATGAGCTCGTTCTTCGGCCGCCTCAAGTCGGGCGCTGTGAGTGCCACCGACTGCTGCAGTGCCCGCAATGGCACGTACTGACGCCACTGCAGGCCCCGGCCAGCCCAGCCACCGGCCACCCGGTCGCAAAGAAGGACCCCAACGCGCCCGAGCCGACGCCGCTGGAGAAGCTGCTGGCGAACGCCGGCCCTCTGCGCGGCGACGGCAGCGACAAGTTCTTCGGCTTCGAGAACGTGAGTGCGCCCGCGCCGCTGCCGTGTTGGGATCATGCATGCTAACACGCTCGTGCCTGTAGTTTGGAAGCACCTGGTACGCGCTCCACGTCTGCCCCTGCCCGATCCGCCCCCACTGACAGTCCTCGCCAGCTACTGCAACTCGGTCGTGCAGTGTCTCTACTACTCTGTGCCCTTTCGCGAGCAGGTCATTAACTTCCCCGCCCGCTCCGCCCCCGAGTCCCTCGAACGCCCCCAGTCCCTCCCGCGCATCAACACCAACCTCCAGAATGGCCCGCAGTCGGCGCTCTCGCCAACAGGGCGAAACTCGCTGTCCAGTCCGACGTCGAAAGCGCCAGGCAAGCCCGCCACCACACCAGGCGCCCCCGGGCAGCCCCCCAAGCCTGAAGACAGCAAGGACTCGCCCGAATACAAGAAGAAGCAGGCCTTGGCTGCTGGCCCCGTCCTGACCATGGACTACGAGAACGCCAAGGCCTACGGCATGTCCGAGTCGTTGTTCACATCGCTGAAAGACATCTTCGAGGCAGTAATAGCGCACCAGTCGCGCATGGGCGTAGTCAGCCCACACAAGTTCCTCGAGATCCTGCGACGAGACAACGAGATGTTCCGTACGCCAATGCACCAGGACGCACACGAGTTCCTGAACCTGTTGCTGAACGAAGTCGTTGAGAACGTAGAGCAGTTCTCCAAGTCGCGGATAACGGAAGTTGGCGAGACCGAGCAGAACGGAGTAGTCGCACCTGCGACGAACAACAACAACATGAACACAGGCTGGGTCCACGAGCTCTTCGAGGGCACACTTACATCTGAGACGAGGTGTCTGACGTGCGAGAATACCTCTCAGCGAGACGAGGCGTTTTTGGACTTGTCTGTCGATCTCGAACAGCACTCATCAGTGACCAGCTGTCTGCGAAAGTTTTCAGAAGAAGAGATGTTGTGCGAGCGCAACAAGTTCCACTGCGACAACTGCGGAGGCTTGCAAGAAGCGGAAAAGAGAATGAAGATCAAACGACTACCGAAGATCTTAGCGTTGCACCTAAAGCGTTTCAAGTATACGGAGGATCTGCAACGGCTACAGAAGCTCTTCCACCGCGTAGTATACCCGTACTATCTCCGACTATTCAACACCACAGACGACGCCGAAGACCCAGACAGGTTATACGAGCTGTACGCAGTCGTCGTCCATATTGGTGGCGGACCTTACCACGGCCACTATGTATCGATCATCAAGACGCAAGACCGTGGCTGGCTTTTGTTCGATGACGAGATGGTCGAGCCTGTCGATAAAGCCTACGTGCGCAACTTTTTTGGTGGCGAGAACGTACTTGCATGTGCTTATGTCCTCTTTTACCAAGAGACAACGGAAGAAGCTATGATGAAGGAGCAAGAGGCCGACGCCCGCGAGGCTGCTGCGAAGCAGGCCTCAGAGCTGAACCCCGAAGCCGTCGCAGTCGCCACATCACCAAAGACAAACGGTGCGCCAAATGGCTTCGGTCACGCACATCGTCTGTCCGCAGCGCAGACACCCACAATTGAGGAGGAGGACCAATTCGCGAGTCTGAATCACGCTGCTACCGCTCCTGCGCTCCATTTTACAGAGCACGCCCACCCTGTCGAACATGTCAGCACCAACATCCCCGTCCTTAGCGCAAAGAAGAGTAACGCTGGACTCGGTTTGTTCGGCAAGAAGAACAAGGCTGAAGATAAGGAGCGCAAAGCCGCCGAGAAGGAGCTGGAGGCACAAGCCAAGGCGAAACGGAAAGAGATGGAGCAGCAGCGTCGCAACAACTACAAGAGGCAGGAGGAGGAACTGCAAGCGGCGCTGGCAGCAAGCAAAGAAACGGCGGCAGAAGAGATCAAGAAGCGCGGCACCGAGGACAACTCTGCTGCTCCAGGCCCACCAAAGGAAGCTAATGGCACCGGTGGCTTGGGTAAAGCATCTGGATTGAGCAGATTCAGGCACAGCAGCATAAGTTTGAAGGGCAAGCCCAAATTCTGGGGTAGCAAAGACAAGGGAGAAGGCAATGGCGATGAGGCAGCTGGGAATGGAGATGAGCCAAAGGCGCATGGGCTGGGCAGGAAGAAGAGCGTGTTCAAGTTTTAGGCATCATACCATTGCCATTGGATCATATTGATGGGGCTTAAGAGCGGGAATGACGATGGTATAGAGGTGCTGACAGGGTTGCGTATCCCAGCAGAGCATTCGTGTATGATCATCTCGCAGCGCGGCTCGGCCCTAGAGAACAGAGCAATTCTCGTCATATTGACCTAGCTTTGTCAAGTCTCCTTCGGGCGCAAGATGTGATGCTCAGTAACAGTCTGTGGGCTCTACAATCGACGTGTCTTCACGATATCACGGATCCCACCTGTGTTTGCTGTCTGTTCAAAGATCTTGCTGTCGTAATTTCGCCCAGGATGGACTGAAGCTCTGTCTGAATGACGCTTCCAGCCCTGAAAGCGGACCTTTGAGGGATAGCTGCCTCTCACGTTGCAGAAATGGCCAGCTATGATACACGGGATCTGTTACCCCCAGAGCTTGTGTCTAGTCGTAGAAGGTGCCCAGACAGCCTCTGAAAACCCCTTGTGTTTCTTTGAATTTTTGCTGTTGCGTCGGACTTGTTATAGATATCTCCCCCGCGAGGAGTTGGTTCACACAGATCACAGATACCGCAACACATCTTTCCACCCAGGAAATGTCACGCCGCGACAACAACACCATGAGAGCCAGAGCCTACAAATTGCAAAGCTCAGACATGCAGGAACATGCAGATGAAGTTTGGACGCGGAAAATGCTGCTTAGTCGATTCACGAGCGGGAGTGGCGATGCGGTGGAAGAGTGCGCTTAAGCTGCATAACGATCGCTGGACTTGGCAGTTGGGTAGCTGGCTACAATCAGGTGCATACTTAGAAATACAACGACCATCAGCATTTGTGAGCATCTGAAGGCATGTAGAGAGGTATTGGTATTTGGATTGGATACCTACAAAGCAACCTCATCAAAATAAGGACTTCAAAACTCAAGATGAGATGAACAAATGAATAAGACTGTAGCGAAGTGCATCGTGTCGTAATCGAAGTGGGTATATTGTCGCGGAATGTATAGGCCTTCGCTGCTAAATCGACAGAGGCCTCAAAGGGTTCTTTGCCATGTGTCCGTCTACCATAGCCCCTGTCTGATGTCGAAAGTGTAGTCGTATATGCTGGTATGGCCAAGTCTGAGCTTAAGACGATCGTACAGGGTAGCTCGAGAACACCCTGGCAATAGACTCTTCTTCAGCACCTCACTCCCCTCCTCGTTTCTTGTCCGGCGACTTGGCCAGCCCGACCTCTTTCTTTGCCTCGGTTCGCCTCAAATGTGACCGTCACTATGATTATGTTCTGTCCGTAACGCCGTGCTCAAGTACTTTTACTGGAAGTGCGCTTCGCTCAACCGAGGACCAATAGATAGACTATCATGAGGGTGTTGATGAACATGAGTGGTACTGTAGTCTCGTTAGCATAGTGCACCATGTGCATGCTGCATGCTGCAAAGCATGCCATGAGCCCCTGTATTGCTCGACTGCAGTGCTGACGTACTTCTCATGAGTGTTCGTACTGAGGAAACCAAGTTTATCAAACGTGCTTTTACGCTCGCATCGTCTCGCTGCCCAAAGCTAGGTTCTGCTGCGCCAGCAGTCCAGCCAACTATGACTACCTGTCAGCAATGTCCAAGGTTGACATTTTATATATAGTAGTGGCAAGTTCACAGCACTTCGCCAACACGGGGTCTCTGAGGCCGGCCACTTGCGCGGTGTAGGAGGGGTCAGCGATGGATGTGGAGAGTTCGACGTACTGCGCGCGAGGAACCGGTCTTCCGAGAGGATCGCTATCGCATTGATGAGGAGAACAGCGACTGCGAGCAGTGTTAGTGACGGCTGTACCTAAACAAGAGCTCATAACTCACCATAGAAGAGGCCACCGAGGCCAAAAGTGAACATGTTGGCTGTCAAGGACAGAACAGCGCCACCAAGTGTGTGTCTTGAGCGATGTTATGGGCGCTCGTATGGTCGGGGTGGCCTCGATGATGTTGCCTATCAGAAAGACAGCTGTTGCGAGAGCGAGATGCCAAGACTCGGTCGACGCGATCACGTGTTGAGATCTTCACTATGGTGCCTTTCAACATGCGGGACTATTTTCGCGGTTCCTGTCCCTTTGTGCTGGTTCGACAGTGCTGCAGGGCAGCGTCCTGGACCCCACAGCCCAAGATCGGTGCGTCGAATGCAGCCTTGCACTGAGACTTCTGCAAGGCTGTCATGCGAGGTCGGGCAGGGCCGATGGCCCGATGCATCGTGTGGTTCACAGGCGAGCAGGGATGCGGCAATCTTAGCTCAAGCTGTCAATTCGTGCTGTGCTGGTCGCCAGACGGTCGCGAGAAGTGCGAAATCCACATGGTGGAATTCTCCCGCTCTCTGCGAACTGATTGGTATCTGTTGAATGCACTTTGGCGCTCTGCTTGAGCATAGAATTCACAAATCTTGAAAAGCATCAGGATGATCGGCGCGGCTCGGTGGACCTTGCGTACGGATCGTCCCCAGTTTCACCCTTCGTCAAGTGCTTCTGCATCCGAATCGCGAGCTACGGATGTCTCTCCGCGCTTTCAGCATGTCTTCGCCAACGCGACAACGTCATTTGTGTCTGGCAGCCCCGAAAACTTGACATTCTAGAACTGCTTGAGGAAGAGCGGCCTCTGCACTACATCGACACACGGAAGTTTCATACCCGTGTTGCGCCTGCCGTATCTGTTGCTCCAGTGCTCCTGCCAGCTTCACCTCCCACTCTGCTGGCGCAGCAGCAGCACATCCCACGATCACCGCGCACGCATCGTCCACGACCGTCAGGGTGGCCTAGAGAACACTGCCGAGCCACTGATTTTCCACCAGCGTCCAGATCTAGAACAGCCGCGACTACACGCCGCGTCGCACATCAACAAACGGTTTGCAGTCGCGTATTTCCGGCGCCCAGGACCCCTCTCTCTCTTTTGCACCTCCAGCGATTACGTCTGCGTTCGATACCCTCCATGTTTGCTTTGCACCACGTCCTCCAGTGCTCTCGGTTGGTCTAGTAGAGCCCTGGTCTGTTCTGCAGTCACCGTGGAATATCGGGCAATCTGGGCTCAGGACTTCTGGGCGCCTTACGCAGAGCATAAACCATAGTCTACGAAACTTACGGCCTGCACAATACAACTCTCAATCATGATGACTCAGGACCTGCAAGAAGCTGAGAGCGGGTATTTCCCAATCAGCGACCGACCCAAGTCTCCCAGCTCCATACACAGCAGAGACTCCATGTCAATACATTCGTCGCAGCCGTCCGCCATGGTGGCGTCTCTGACCGCGTTGCAGTACCTGCCAGTACCTCTGCTGGTCCTATCATCAAATAAGACCGTAGTGGTCGCGAACGAGGCCATGGGGCGTCTGCTGGGAATCGACTTCGAAAGTACCGCCTATCATGACTTTTCGATATCTGAGGTCCTGCAGGACAAGACAATGGGAGAGCTCGGCATTGACATTCTGCAGAATGGATCACCACTGTTAGTGTCATGGGAGGTGCGTCAGAATTCTCCAGGAGGCTGATGTGCGGGTATTAATATCTAAAAAGGACTTTCTAGATTGTGTGATCGACGATGCCCAAACGAACAGTACCGATGAAGAGAATGACCAGCTGCAGAGCGGTAACACAACACCCACAGCGCACTCGACAAACGAACGGACTTCCTCCCCATCGAATCCCCCGCTGCCCCTGCTGAGCAGTACAAACCTGGCGCGGACTACTGTACATGACGTCTCTGTTGAAGTAGTTGTTTCGCCACTCATGCGCGGTCCTGGCGGTGCCGTACAGAAGAAAGACAAGACCTCACAACATGGCGCGTTCCAGGCCACTTGTATCATTTCGATATGGAAAATAGAGGACACTCAGTACTTCACTCTGACTTTCACCAGCACCACAGCTTCGCAATCAGTGGGCAGAGCGCGCCCTTCGAGTCGAGTCGTCAATCGCACCCACACCGGACCTCACCTGAACAAGTCGCGCGGCTCTGGATCGAGCTCATCATCAGGACACCGTTCGGGTAGCAGCTCGACCAACGCCTCAAAAGTCGTCACACCTACAATACAACAGCCAATCTTCCCACCCCGTGGACCACCCATACTCGGTGAATTAGATACGTCTACGATCTCAATCTTCCAAAAGGCTACTCAATTGAAGGATGCGCTTCTCAACTCGATTAACATGCCAGCATACGCCATGTGGAAAGACGAGAGTTTCGGGATACCAAATCAAGCGCTTCTACGACTTTTGCCCAAAGATGCTACGTATACTCCAGGCGATCAGCGGGCGTTCCTCGCTCTGTTCAAGGTCTGGACGGAGGACTTCCAGCGACCGCTCGACATCGATGAGTTTCCAATCGTACAAGTGTGCAGGACAAAGCAGCGTATTGAGAAGGTGCGACTTGGTATGCGCCAGTTAGGCACCGGCAGGGGCATTGTATTCGAGGCCACCGGAGAGCCAGTGGTGCATCCGGAAACCGGCGACTTCTTGGGAGGAATTGTGATATTCAAGGATGTGACAGAGTATACCAAGGCGATAGCAGCTCGGGTGGAGGAGAACGAGAAGCAGTTCGAGTACATCGCCAATTTTATGCCGGTCATGGTCTGGACAACAACGCCTGACGGCCTCCACGACTGGTTCTCGCAACGCTGGTACGATTACACCGGTCTTACCGAAGGACAGAGTCTGGGCGAGGGATGGAGACTGCCTTTCCACCCTGAGGACATGGTCACTTCGAAGCAGGTCTGGTTCAACTGCCTCGCCACCGGTGACGAATACAACACAGAGTACCGATGCCAGAGATACGATGGTGATTGGCGTTGGATGCTCGGGCGAGCCATTCCTTTCCTCAACGATGCGGGCAAGATCATCAAGTGGTTTGGTACTTGCACTGACATCCATGATCTAGTCATGGCTCGCCAGGAAGCCAAACAAACGCGCGAACAGCTGCGAAAGGTCATCGAGCATGCCAAAATCGTGCTGTGGGCTGTTGATAGGCAAAATAAGGTGGTCTTGATGGAAGGCGACAGAGGCCCCGAAAAAGACCGCAAAGAGGTTCTCGGTGGAGACATGTTCGAGCAGTTCGACATGAACGCCCCAGATCGAGAGCGCTGGAGACAGCCAATCCAGGAAATTCTCAACGGCAAGGCACAAGACGAGATGGTAGAACGATACATGTCTTCAAACCGCTACTTCCGAACGCGCCTTGTGCCACGGTGGAGTACTATACGGACAGGCGGTATTGAAGGCGAGGCATTCATCGACGGTGTCATTGGTGTTTCAATGGATATAACGGAGTTGCGAGAAAGAGAAGACCAGCTGAAGGAGCAGGAGAAGGAGAACTCGAGACTGTTGGCTAATGCTGCAGCCGCCAGAGAAGCAAGCAGGATGAAGAGTCAATTCCTCGCCAACATGTCGCACGAAATCCGGACGCCGATCGCTGGAGTGATTGGTATGAGCGAGCTTCTCTTCGACATGAATCTCAATGAGGAGCAGAAGGAGTGCGCAGAGAATATACATCGGTCAGCCAACAGCCTTTTGACTGTGATCAACGACATCTTGGACTTCTCCAAGGTCGAAAGCGGGCGACTCGACGTCGAGGAAGTGCAGTTCAGTCTCAGCGTGGTCCTCCGAGATGTCAACAAGATGATGTCTTTCGCCGCACAACGGAAAGGATTGGCGTATTATAGCTTCATTGAGCATGAAGTGGAGCAAGATCTGAGAGTCATCGGTGACCCAGGACGACTCCGCCAGATCCTGACGAATGTTCTAACGAATAGTATCAAGTTCACGTCGGATGGATCTGTGAAGCTCAATGTCGCCATCACCCAGAGGTCAAAGGATTCGGTAACGGTGAACTTCATGGTGCATGACACGGGTATTGGCATTGAAGAGGAGGTTCGTAAGCACCTGTTTCAGCCCTTCAGTCAGGCGGATTCCTCTACGGCTCGTCGCTTTGGTGGAACCGGTCTGGGCTTGACGATCAGTAAAAACCTTGTAGAGCTCATGAAGGGTCAGATCTGGTTGGACTCGAAGCTGGGACAAGGCACTACAGCCACGTTCTGGATTCCTTTCGCGAGAGCCTCCTATTCCGATGACGGGTCACCATTGGTTGATCTTGCGTCAATCCCTGACAGGCTTCAGAGTGACGTGTCGGTGTCAGTAGGAAGCTCTGAAGATCACACGCCGCCGCTGACCCCTAGAGACTCGCATTCGAGACTTCAGCCGTTCCCGATCGGAGGCAAGCTGCCGGATCATCTTGCCAGTATACCGGAATTAGAAAGGAAGAATACCCACGTTTTGGTCGTAGAAGACAAGTAAGTCTGTATTACTATGGCGATGCCTGCAAGGCAGTGACTGACAGCAAACCGTAGCCATATCAACCAGCAGATCGCCTTGAAGACCATCAAGAAGCTCAAATTCTCGGTGAATGCGGTATGGAATGGTCAAGAAGTTCTGGACTATCTGGCAAAGGACTTCACTCCTTCTCATCCACGGCCCGACATCATTCTCATGGATGTGCAAGTAAGTAACGGTGCACGACCGGGTGCTGATCTTGTGACTAAACTTTTCCTGAAGATGCCTATCCGAGATGGTTACTCTGCCACACATGCAATCAGAACTGAAGCACCGTGGAGAGACAAACCTGAAGTTCGAGGCGTTCCTATCGTCGCAATGACAGCCAGCGCCATCCAGGGTGACAAGGAAAAGTGCACGCTGGCAGGAATGGACGTGAGTTTGCATGAGACATGCCCCTATGTCAAAAACATAGTGACTGATGTTTTGAAGGACTACTTGGCCAAGCCAGTCAAAGGCAAACTTCTCGAAAAGGTTAGACCACTCAACCCCCATGGTGAACGTGAACTTACTCGCGCCAGATGCTTGTCAAATGGGCGATCGAGGGACGCCGAAAAACGGCACTTGCAAAGCTGTCCAAAAATGCACCAGATCGACATGGGTATCTATCCACATCGACCTCCTCCGCCACAAATAACGTTAGCGCAAAGGATAGTTCGCAAATCGCAAGCCAAACGGACCGTCCTGAAACAACGGCGTCCGCACTGACCGCCCAGCTAGACCGGTTGCATTATCAAAGCGATGCAGCATTCGCAAGGACATCGGAAAATGAAGCGGACAGGGCTTTGAGGCGAATACAGGCTGAGGAGAGAGATACGAAGCTGCGCGACGACAAATTGCTATCACTCACCGGACCGCAGCTTCACCGCCACGGCACGGCTCAGGGTCGGGAGAGCGAGCCCACCATGCCGCTCACAGAAGAGAACATGGAGAGGTTTTCTCATGCCCAAGATGGCGAAGTTGTTGCACGTAGGCCGAAAGAATCGCCAGATGCCGGATCAGATGTGGTCAACCAGCCGCACAGCCGGACGCAGAGCAGGGCAGAGCATCTTGCACCTCGACCGTCGCTTTCAGAATCTCGTCTTCGCGAAAGCCAACAAACGATCACTCCACAGGCTATGTCCCCCGAGTAGTCTTGCTCAAGTGGTTTCGTGGCCTGATTATACTATGAATAATACAACCAATAGCCGCTGCCTTCCCTACAGTTTGAAGGTTGACCGAGCGGATTTGCGTAGCTCGAGTTTCCAAGAAATTCTCGGAGTCATGTTGAGGAGAACTTCAAGTAAGTTACAGCACGGTAAAGAAGCATGAATAGTCCTGCCCTATTGGAATGGATGCTGTTCGTTGCTTGCATTCTGCCGATGCCCGCTGCACACCGAAGCTGGCGTCAGCACAAGACCAAATAAAAATCAGCGCAATTCGCAGCGCATGATGCACTCCACCTTGGCTAGCACAACTGCCAGTGAGTACAGCCTCCAAGGATTGTGAAAATAATTAGCATCACGATCATGATTCATTTGGTCATTGTGATTTTGCGGCTCGTAGACGACGGGGGGGGGGTCACGAGGTCAAGTCTTAGCTGGTGTATCGGCGAGCAGAGCCTCGCTCTATTGGCACTGAGGATGTTCGCGGCTTATTGCACGTGCGCTTTCAGACATGGTCAGCACTATGCTGTCTCCGCATCCAGAAGCAGTTTATCGGAAGAGCGAAACAGTGGATGCGCTCCCGCATCTGCACATATAGATAGTGCACAACGGGTCTCTCCATACGAGGCTTGGCCCCTGAAATTCTCAGGAACCATTACAGGATCTGGTCGCGACATCGAATTAGCCTCAGAACATGTCTCCACAACCAGCCTCCCACTGTTCACATCGTCGACGAGTAGCTCGCATCCTTGATGCCTAATTTCCAGAACATGGCGAGACGATTGATTGGAGCGCACAAGCGGCAACATGCACCCTATAGGAGCTGTGGGTACTGGAAAAGGAGAGTTGATAGCGATCGACCGTGTTGCCATGTGCGTTTTGCTGGTTCGAGACTTTGTACTTCACCAATGGGGACCTGAGTATCTCGAATGGGGACTTGAGCCAACGCGTTGGGTGTTTGCAGCGTTGATCTTATTCATAAAGGTAAAGGGAGATGGACAGGATCGTCACACGGCACGTGGGTGACAAGCTCGCGACTCAACTCCCTAGTAGCCATCGACTTTACCCTTGACTCCAACACGATCCAAAGGTGCTTTGACCTGGTTCCAACGGCAGTCTCTGTGCGTGCAAAGCTGCCACCATCTGACGAGCTGACATCCAGCAATGGCACCTCATTTCGGAGAGTTACATCGCGCTTTGAACAGGAGTTGTGGCCGACGTGTGACCGACTGCTTCTAATTTTGCTGGGCGCAGCTGTGCCATTGGCCGAGCAGGCAAAACGCACTATGTACGTCTACAGTACCCCTCCAAGGGTTTACTGCGAAAGCGCTAACTGAGCAATATACCGCTGCACTGGGAACAAGCTACTCTTCCTTTCTGTCTCGCCGATGTAAGAGATGGCGAGAGCAATGAATCGAGGTCACACTATACGAGATTGTGAATCTATTCACATGCCTCACCGGCTTGACTAGGCCTGGCTGCATAGAGATGCTTCACTTGCGTGATAGCGACGGGTGATGACAGACGTTGGTTCAAGGTTGTTTTGGGGCGGAGGGATGGCGTTGAGGGGAAGCGGGCCTTTGGTGGTAGCGTGAACTTGGGTAGAGGGGCAGCCGCGACGTTAAGGTATAGCAATCGAAGCTTAGTAGAGTGCGGAATGTTTTGCAGTTTGCAACGAATCGGGCCAGTCTCGTATGCCCAGTCATCACCTCTGTCAACAAATCCATTGTCGACTCCGAGGACACGAAGGGAGACCCACCAGCTTCGACACTCGTGTGATTTTGGATCTTTGAGAGCCGCGCGTCTGGTTTGTGCTATGTGAGATGAAATCTGACATGATTCCATGTGAGGAATGTGTGTAAGACGATCACACAGATGATGGCATCTCGTTGCACAAGTGGCATTCTGCGTGCTCCAGTATTTTCGCGACAGTGTCCTGCATCCCTCCACAAATCAAGGATTGCGGAAATAAAAGGGCCCCAAGAGCTTAACGAGCCACGATAAAAACTTGGCAGCTCTTGGATGCCGCCGCGGACTCGATCAAAGTTTGAGCACATTGTGGACACTGGGGCAGACGTGCTAACTAGTGTTGATCTGGCAGCTTGCTGCAGGGTCCACTGGAGGCTCGCCGAGCTTTGGGCATGGGAACTGCCGCTGACTCGGGAAGGGCAGCTGTGGAGTACTCAAGTCGAGTCTTGAGTTTATTGCTTTTGCTTTGGCGGTGTCCTTTGATTCATTGTCTTCACCGGTAAGGAGCGTCAGCGGCTTCAGGATCGTATAACCGTTTGTCGTTAGTAGAGCGACCGACTACGGCTGACCATGACTTTGGACCCTCCCACCGACATCTGTCTCTAAAGACGCCAAAAACAGGCGAAGCGAAAAGACGATACTAGCGCAGCACAAGCCTACGACAAGGTAGGAATGTGAAAAAGGTGGGGCAACGTGCTGCAGGAGGATGGCATTCCCTGCATGATGAGACATCCTAGCGATTTAGAACTTCATGGCGGAAGATTCAGCTCGTGACTGGTCGCTGGGACGGAATCACAGCGGTGAGGAGCGCGGGTTTGGCGCGGTAGGTTGCAAATTGCCACCTGTCGTCTCGTGACCCACGAGTCGTAGGCTGTGGACTGGTGCATGAAGTGTGTGCGTCTGACGTCACTCGGTGCCAGGGCTGAATACCCAGCTTTGCCGGGCCGCCAAAATCCAGAGATGAACCAGCAAACGTTCGAACGGTCGCGTCGCAGAGTCTGACGCGACATTGGCGGATATAAATCCCACCTGAGTCAGCCCTCTGCACGGAGCTGGCACGGAATGCCGTGCTTGTCTGGAGCCAAGCTCACGCTGCGAAGGACTATCTAGGGGACTGAGTGCCTGTACAGTGTACGGGGCGGACTGCGCTGTCGCGCGGAACCAGAGTCTGAGGGTGGATGTAACCTCTCAAAACATCCTCAACGACGTGGCGATGGGTACGCGATTAGCGGTCCGATTGACAGGGGATATTCAACGTGTGATGCTTGCCCCGTCTGCTCGTCTTGTCTGCAGATATTGTGCCCCAGTCGACATGGCAGTGGCAACAGCCCGCACACGTTAAAACTCAAGAGCACAGTTATCTGATCCATTTCAACAAGGGATTAACGAATCCCACACATCCACCCGTTGCATGGCTGCGCGGCGGGAGGTTGACCTCAGCTTAGCCTCACTGCTCAGTCTCAATGCGGCAGGATGGGATTCGGACGGACGCTAAGGCTGCATTGGGCACACCTAACAACCCTGGCATTTTCTCTTTTGCCGCCACCAAAAGCCATCCCGTCTCAAGGGCCGCTGATTCGCGCGGGCGCAAGCTATGACGCCTTCGTACTAGCAGCTCGGTGCACCATCGGACCCTCTTCCGGCTTCGTGAGCTGCCGGCCAAAGCCTGAGGTCAGAGCAGACCTCTGAAGAGCGGGAGGCGCTTCAAATCGGCCAAACACACAGCAGAGGCGCGGGACGCAGCAGGACCGGGGAGTATTCCACTGTCTAAGGAGGCGCTAAGCCAAGGCCGCCTTTAGGTGGGTGGGGTCAAATCCGAACCCCTGCCTTCGACGTAGTTGCGCACTGGGATTCAGCCAACCTGCAGCGTCTTGTGCTTGGCCCGCAGCCTATGATGATTGCGAAAGACAGAATTTAACTCCCCATTGATGCCCGCTGATCAGCACTCTTCATACCTCAAAGCTTCCCTTGGTTTTGCATCATCTCTGACTACAACACGCGCTACAGTCAATCTTCTCCTCATACGTTCTTACGCTCAACACATCCCTACCTCTTTGTTGCTCATTTGCTGCCATCAACCTGAACGCGTTAGCGGCCGACCGCACCTTCACCTCCGCGACACGCAAGCTTACAATCTTGCGGTCCGCCCCTGTGCCCGCTGAACAACTTTCTCCACACTCGAAGCTTGAAACGCTCGAGCACCAGTCAGTTGTGTCCGCCAGGGCCCAATCTTTAATCTCGCAAGACTTCCGCTACCACTCCTGCTTAGGACAGGTCAACTGATCGACATACCGACGGGTTTATCGTTACTTGCCTAGGCGAACTACATCACGGGTGTCCCCAGTGTCAGACCTGAATTCAAAAGGCTCGCAGATCCCACCACTATCTGCTACTGATCGTCTCCATCCCCACGTTTACCGACTTTCGAGCCATCTGTTTCAGCCTCTGGATCAACAAGAGTCGCGTACGCTCCGTGTAGCACTACTCCTTTGTTCATCTACCCTACATTCACGTCGACTACCTCATTACCTATTCCTTATTTCCGCAATGGCTATGGCCGTCGACAACCGTCAACAAACCCAGCTCGCTGGCATGGGTTACGATACTTTGCGTTACCCAGCTGCACCACACTTCACCAACCCATGGGTGTCGGCTCCTGGTGCTACACAGCAACTGTACTCAACATCCCTCACACCTGCCTCGGCCGGACTTGAGCAGTCTCAGCCTCGCCCTACCAGCATTGCGATTCCTTACCACGGCATCCCAGTAACGGCCGCTCCTCTCGGACAAGGTATTGCCCTCCCGGAAGGTCCATTTGCGACAGAAGACTTACTAGATGTGTCGCAAGATCTCATGTCAAGGAGCTACACAGGCGGATACGCTACATCTGCTTCTCCAAACAACCAAACGTATGCACCCACTTCGGCTCCTTATTCTCAGGTGGAATATGGCACACAAGATCGGGTTCCCTACACATATCAGGATGCTGCGCGTCGCTCCTCACACCCGTCAGTCCCCTCATTAGCGCTCTATGAATATTCCATGGATTCCCAGCGACAGCGCCAAAGTTCACTAGTTGACTTTAGCAGAATGAATGCGCCACAACAAGCTCCCCGCAACAGCTTCAGCGATGCGCTCGACGCTAGCCGCGGCATGGTGTCATTGAGCCAGTCTGATATCACACCAAGGAATATCTACGGCACTCAGGGGTCCAACCGCAGCTCGACCGACTCGTACGGCTTCCCCTCGACACACTCTGCGCATTCGTCGATTTCGTCAGCCAGCTACGGTGCCAATGGTTACTATGGCGGCGAGGGATCTGTTACCGACTACAGCTCTGCCTCGGAATCTGTTGACCTCACCAACTCGAGGACATTGCCCCGCCCTAGCGCCCTTTTGGGTGCCTCCATGCCTCCTGCGCCGCAGTCGATGATGGGCCAGTTCAGTTCAAAAGTCTCGTCGAGCTCGCAAAAGAAGCATAAGTGCAAGATTTGCGATAAGCGCTTCACTCGCCCTAGCTCGCTACAGACACACATGTACAGCCACACTGGCGAGAAGCGTACGTCCTCGTAGCTCAACTTCCACCGAATCTTACTAACAAATACACAGCATTCGCATGCGAAGTGGAAGGCTGCGGTCGTCATTTCTCTGTTGTGTCAAACCTCAGGAGGCATCGTAAGGTACACAAGAACGACGGTGCCCAGGATCATCCATCGCCAGACGCGTGAAGTGCCGATTACTAGATGACCGACATCTTCATTTGGACTTCATTTCTATCTTTTCATGTGTCTTTTTGACACCTTTGTTTGAGATATCCACTGTCGCGTTTTCGCAGCACAGCGAGCTCTGGTTGGGATTAGACGAATTTCTCGCTACACATAGGTGTTGTATACCTCCCGGCTACCTCGTGTTACGAGGAATCATCACGGCGTTTCCTGGCGTTCGCATAGTTTATGATTACCCCCTTTATTCGGCGATTCAAATATCCCCATCTGTACCATTAGAGCTTACGTGTTGGATTTGCGGGTTTTCAACACTTTCCGACCTTCTATGGTTCAGGGACAGATATCCCGGTCTCCATAGAGCACGACCATCGTTACACTTTTTAATACCTTAGACACCCTCATTAGCAGCATTGTTGACCCAAGAGGATCGCATGTTTGCATGACGTTTGTATAGTAGCTTGAGGGACACAGGCGGAGGCCACTTGGATTCAGGCGAGTCGCTAAACTCCGCATTCTTCCATCGGAATGTCACAATCAACGACCAGTTACAAACAAGGCTTTCTCTTCCACTGTCCTCACCTTTAATGACGCAGCTGCGACGTGTTGACAAGTCTCACCCGCTCGCCCACGATTCACGACTGGCACTTCGACGAAAACAGCTTCGGCTAACGCTCCAAATGGCTCAAGTGACCTCATCGCGCGTATACAGGGTCTTTCTTAGCTTCGGCACTGGCAGGGATTTACCCAGTATTGTCGTCTTGTGAGTCTCCACAGCATCATCGCATATGTAGCTTGAATGAAGCGGTCACGGCTGTTCAAAGCATTTTTCCCGCTGCATACTCGTTGATGATTCGGCGGGCAGCTATTATGACGACTTGTGGACTGCACAACGACGAGCCCAGCACCACTGTCTCACATGTTGTGGCCCGCTGGCACAGCACGCCTCAGTCGGATGTCCTTCTCTCTCTGTATCCTTGGCTGCAGTTCGCCTTGACTATCTCCCAATCGCATCGCTGCGCTGGCCGTGAAGACCGAAGATCGGACCGAACAGTGTGAGATGGTATCGAGCTGTGCCTGAGGATTCTTACCCAGTGTGCATTAGATCGTCGGGGACGCGACGACACGCATGACAGCGAAACGCAAGGCTGAATCGCCGGATACCATTTGTGACCCGTCCCCCAGGGTCCACCGTGCAGGCTCGATTCGTTGTGATATGGAGTGCTGACCAGTCATGTTGATGCTGTATGTATATCACTACTCCTTGAATGTCGCTACCCAAACCCTCAGGGACTTCGAAACTTTGCACCACACAGCCATCAGCCACGCGGTCGTCCCACTGTTCGCTCCGCCTTACAAAATTGCTGATCACATCTCCAAGCATCCGCAAAGGACTTCCGGTTGGCTGCGGGACTGCGAGTACTTACACACAGACACCTTGAAAATAGCACGCTACGTTTCAGCTTTGATGAAATGAAGGCTCAACCCGGGCTCTCCTGCCTGACGGCGCCCTTTGCACCATCTTGAGATGTGCCAAAATTATCTTTGATGATCTTGCATCGGTACTGTGGAAGATGACGACTGTTGCCGCGGCTTACGGCCAGGAGCATGCTGCATTGTGTCCATGTGCCCTTGTAGAGTGCGGGCTGTTGCGTCAACGGCGGGGGCAAATGCTAAGGTCAAATTAATCTTCTTTAATCAACGTCTTAGCGACTTTGAGTGTTCCCAGGAGGTTTTCACATAACCATCAATCGACGATGGAGCGTTGGGGCGAGCACGACCTCAGTTTGCAGTTAGATATCGCCGATCCATCCCGCGTTACTGAGGCATGAAAGCGCGTGTGCACCAAGTCCCAGTTCCCCAGCCATTCAGACTGAGAAGGCAGGTGCCAAGTGGGACTCTGCGCTACTCCCCGCCAGTAGTAGTAAGCAGCCGTGAAGACTAATCTCCACAACGACGCAGAAGCGAGCGCATGATTTTCCAACGGTGAAAGTCACAGGAGCGACCCACTTCGAATCGTGAAAGGCTGCGACGCCGTCCCGTACCCCGCGATGCAAGTGCATTTCAAATCCACCCATTATCGAGCACGCGCGCAATCTTCTGTTGACAAACTCTTCGAACCTTCCTATTTTGCTCAAAGGTCCTCTCGCACTCCACTCTGGTATCCATAGGACGCGCAATGCAACAGCCTTGCAACAGCCTCATCGTAGTGGTTGGTTGCCGTAGTGCATGGCATCGCCATGTCGTCGGTGTTGCATGATGTGGGCTCATGCTGCGTCCTTCACTCTCTTCCGTACGAGATTTTGTTCCTCTTCACGGACGGCCCGTCGGCGTCATCGTCGTCTCCCGCCTTCTTCTTCTTGCTGCTTCCTCCCCTCGCGCCATTCATCGTGGGCTGACTGGATTCGCGGGTGGGAAACGATGAGACTGGCGTGGCTGCGTGAGAAGGGGTTGTTCCTGCAGAAGCTGGTGTGGACGCCTCCTTTGTATGCATAGTCAGCGCAAGTCTCGCAATGCAGACTGCTGCACGGCGGTCGGTTGTGTCATGCACATACCCTCAGGAAGCTGGACGAGCTTCGACTGAAGATCCGGTCCACGTCGCTGACTTGGGCTTTGCGCCGTGTCGCCGTGCCCGCTCCACTCGTCGTCGTGGTAGTCGCCGCGCCCTTGATGTAATTGTCAAAGCCTTTTATGATGTTTCCAGCCGTCGTCTCCTCCAGGTATTGTGTCTCGGTTCGCAGGATGTTGTCTTCGAGCGCTTGCTGCGAACAGAGTAAGCACAACGCGTCGAAGCGCGCCATTCTTGGTACGCACCAGGTTCTGGTCGAGGACGTGCTTCCTCTTTAGCGATTCGCGCAGGTCTCGTCGTAGTCGCTCGTAGTATGGCATACCGCGCGAGGCAGCATCTGAGGCGGCGTTGGCGCTTCCCGGCGGCGCGTTCTCGGTCATGGTCGAAGGGTCTCGTCTGCGTGAAACGATACAGAGCGCCCAGGTAAAGTTGGTGTTATTTTTGTGGTCGCGGTCGTTGTTATCCAACAAACATCTTTGTTTCCAAACGTTCTCGAATGTCAAGTGAACCCCAGCTCGCGCTAGTCACCGCCAAGGCCGAGACCGACTGCCTTGAAAGCCTTCCCTCATCCAACCACCAACTATTTCTCTACCAAACCGCCGAACCTCGTCGCCTGTCGCTCGTCGCTCGCTCCACGCCATACCATCCGCGACACACCTGCCGAAGAGCGCGATCGCCTAAACGACGCTGAGCTCGAGCGGCTACCAAGAACCTTCTCGCGTGCGCTCTGCGACAAGTCGAACCACGGCCATGGATGCCAAGGAAATTGAGCTGCGCGGCAAGGCCATTGGCAAGGCTGTGCAAGAGAACGAGCCCAGCGCCTCGGTCATCAAACTGTTAAACGACCTGAAGACGGGCGTCCACGCTACCGAAGACATTCTGCGATCCACCCGAATCGGCGTGACTATCAACCGCCTGCGAACTCACAAGGACCCCGCCGTACAGAAGCTCGCAACAGAACTGGTCTCGAAGTGGAGGGATGAGGTCAAGAAGCAACCTAAGAAGGGCGCGCCAGCGAAGGTCGCCTCTGCAACAAATGGCAGCGCCTCGCCCGCGCCGGCATCGTCTGCGGCAGCTTCACCTGCGCCCACTCAGAGTAAAGCAAAACACAACGTAGATCCCGCGAAGCGCAGCCACAAGACAGATAAGATCAACTATGAGGTCACTGGAGACGATGCGCGAGACATGTCGGTGCGCTTGATGTACGATGGTCTGGCGCATATGAGCACCGAACGTAAGTTAAAAAACCTGGAAATTTGGCGGAGACTGCGCTAACACAACTCAGTGCCGGACATGATCCTCCCAATCGCAAAGCAAATCGAAGCCGCCGCCTACGCAAACGCCGGTAGCGTGAACGAAGCCTACAAAGGGAAAATGCGCTCTCTCTTCCAAAACCTCAAGGCCAAATCCAACCCCGCTCTAAGAAAACGTGTGTTATCCGGCGAAGTCGCGCCGAAGAAATTCGTAGTCATGACACACGACGAGATGAAGTCCGACGAGCGCCGCCTGGAAGACGAAAAACTCGAGAAGGAGAACATGAACCAGGCCATGGTCGCCCAGGTCGAGAAGAGTATCTCCAAGGAGTTCCAGTGCGGAAAATGCAAGCAGAAGATGGTTTCGTACAGCCAGGCGCAGACGAGGAGTGCTGATGAACCAATGACGACGTTCTGCGAGTGCATGAATTGCGGAAACAGGTGGAAGTTCTCTTAGGACGTGAAACTAACCTTCCGTGGGAACGCGTTCAGGATGTACTCCCATTTCGGTCGTTGGTGAAGCACGAAGTATGGATTTGGAAATAGAAAAGTTTGCAGCGGGGCGTTTTATGGGCATGGAGAGGCGCGTCAGTCTTGATTAACGTTATCATTCTACGAGTACAGCCAGTCAGCTGGGCTTCAGGTGCGGAGGCAAACTATGGCTTCCCCGCGACTCTTGGAGGAAGTTACGCCATGCAGTGTGGCTTCGAATCAATGTACAATCACACAAGGGAACCACCCAATCTGCTCCTGATTCACAGACTTCCAAAGCGTTGTAGAAACTACCTGCAAATTTCGATTTCTCAGAAACTATGGAGGTATCCAGTAACGGTCTTTCGTGCTCTTTGTGGGAATTCAGAAATCTAAGAATACAATGAGCCAAGCGGTCATACCGTTTCGGCCGCACGCTCCTCAGCCACTTCCACTTCTTCCATCTCATCTTTGTTCGCCTGGAACCCGACCCAAGGAAGCCGGCTCCTTAGCGCAAGACTGCTACAAACAACACTGAGACTACTGAGCGCCATAGCCAGCGACGCCCAGACCGGGTCGAGTCTGACATGCTTCTCGCCGTTGTGCATCCTGTGATCATCGACCTTACCACCAATCGTGATGGGAAACAAGACACCAGCCGCAATCGGCATAGCAACGAGGTTGTACACTGTAGCCCAGCCGAAGTTGAAGTAGACCCTTCGAAATACTACACGCGAAAGGTCGAGGAGAGTGAGTATCGTGGTGAGCTGGCTGTTGATGAGAATGAACGAAGATGAGGAGAGGGCAATGTCCGATCCACTGCCGATGGCGATGCTCAGATCTGCAGTGCTGAGTGCTGGAGCGTCGTTGATGCCGTCTCCGACCATGGCGATGGTGGCGCGCTTGGTGGCCCTGTTCTTACTCAGAAAAGCTGGTAGTTGAAACAATGCCGATCTTCGTGACTTCGTGAGCGTCTGCTGAAGGTATTCGATCTTCCGAGCCTTCTCATCTGGAAGTACACCAGCGATGATGTTAGTGGCAGGAATACCGACTTGAACGCCAACAGCATTTGCTGTGGTAGGGTTGTCGCCCGACAGCATCCAGACGTTTATTCCTCTCTTCTTGAGCGCTTGCACAACGCCGATCGCTTCTGGTCGAAGTGGATCGGCGATGGAGAACATGCCAGCGAGTCGCCATGTGTTCTGTGTCGAAGCTGAAAGCCAGGCCACCAATGCTACAGATTCTCCGCGAGCTTTCCAAGACTCTAGGACATGCATCGAATCCGAAGAAATAGAAACATTGTGGTCGGCCAGGTGGGTCTCGTTTCCGACGATGGCGGTCACACTTTGTCCATTAATGTTCAAAGTCGCCTTAAGTCCCTTGCCAGGGATCTCGTCTACCGTGACCACAGTACTCGCTTTGGATACGTCCTGACTTCTGTTGCAGAACTTTACCAACGCCTGAGCAATGGGATGACCGCTGTTCTCCTCCAGCTTCTTGACAACTTCCATAGCAAGTGCCCGATCCTGGTCATTGATGAATCTGTGGTCCGTTACTGCAGGACTACCGCCCTGCGTTAAAGTGCCTGTCTTGTCAAATACAATGCAGTCGAGCGAGCTAGCTTCCTGAAAAGCTTCGCCGCCACCTCTTACCAGAATACCATGCTTTGCTGCCAGACCACCACCAACGAACAGAGCAGTCGGTGCTGCAAGACCGATCCCACAAGGACATGCAATCACAAAGACTGCGATAGCAAATCGTAAAGACCACAAGGGCCAGCCACCGGTCTCTTCGTCTCTCCAATCCTTTGGTATGGTGCCTGTCGTTCCGAGAATGAGCCAGATAAGCCAGGTCATCACAGCAACAAGAACGACAAAGGGCACGAAATGTGCGGTAATAGTGTCTGCAACCCGCTCGATGTGTGCTCGGCGGGTCTGTCCTTCTCGAACCGCATTGATGATCTGATCGAGCATCGAAGAGCCCGAAATCGTAGTGATCTTCATTTTGACAGGCATTGCTTTATTGACAGTGCCTGAGTAAATGCTATCGCCGATGTTCTTCTTGACGAGGCGGGACTCGCCCGTGAGACTTGACTCGTCGAAATTGGAGCTGCCCTCTACGAGGATTCCATCGAATGGCGGCGAAGTACCGTGGTGAACACGGACTATATCATTGACCTCAAGCAGATCTGTCGGTACCTTGATGTCGCCAGTAGTTTCATCGACCAGCACTGCCTGATGGGGCCGCAATTTCCCTAGTGAGGTAACTGCGTCCCCAGTCTTCGCCTTACTGAGGGCCTCCAGGTAGCGACCAACAAGAAGGAACATGGTCAGAAAAACGACTGCGTCGAAGTAAGAATTGTCCATTGACCCGGAGGACTTCTTCGTTGCCGCCAAAACCAGTTCTGCAATCGAGGCAAATAGTGCAATCGAGGTGCCCAGCGATATGAGCATGTTCATGCTGCCAAAACGTGTGAATCGTTGTAGCAGCGGCGTATGACTTCTCGGTCGCCACATTGATCTCAGTTCCTTGTAAGTCCGTATGTGAAAAGACTTCGCCGAATACACGTAGACGGGAATGGCCAATATGAATAACGCCCAGCTAAGCCGGGTAGCATTGCCCGTTAAAGGCTCCATGATATACTTGCGAGTCTGGTTGTTGGCAGGTACCAAGCTCATGAATGCGATTCCAAGTATGAAAGTCGGGAGGGCTACAATAATGCAGACGATCAAATGGCGCATGGTCCGCCTCCGCTCTGCTGCATGCATCGCGCCGGCCCGTTCTTCGATCGTTGGCGGGTGGTATACCGACAACTTGAGGGACAGATTATTGCTTGTGATAGTGTCGAAGATTAGCCTGATGGTAAAGTTCGGTGGAGCTGGGAGATACTCGATGTGTAGGGTCGGTGAGGTCAACGTCAATGGCGGCTCGTTGATGACGACGAAATCGCCGAATTTATCCTTGATTCTCCGCCTGATGTTGCTGGGACAGTGACCGCAAAACATTCCGTCGATGTGAATCGACACGTTGCGGACGGGGGAGCCTCTAGCTACTGCGTTCAACCCTGATGTAGCAGCTGGGAGGACCTCAAGTCTATCGACACTGGCTTCAAACCCGCAGTCTTCAATCGCTTCGATAATCTCTTGTATGTGATCATTGCCCTCGAATGCAATGACTCCACTGCCCGTAAGAAGGTTGATGTTGACCGTGCGAACCGAGGGCAGCTGTTGAACAGTATGGGTGATGCTGCTGACACATGAACTACATGTCATGCCTGACAAAGCCAAAGTTGCTCTATATGTCACGGTATGGATGGCAGTTTCGATGCCTTGAAGAGTCGGTTGAGCAGATGCATTGGACCGAGCAGGATGTGGTTCTTCTAGGCCAGTCCTCGTAGATAGTGCAATGGAAGGCAACGACTTGTGATCTGCTGTGAAGTTCTCAAAGCTGTAGTCGGGGGACAGCTGGATGTCTCCTTGCTCCGCCTTGCACTGATCGCACTGTTCCAGATGTACCGTACTCTTGCGCATGATGTCTTGGTCTTTGATTGGCCGTGGTAAAGCTCGCCACGATGCAGCATGCCCCAGTTCTGCTGACCAGGCCCGGGCGTTCTGATTAGAGTCTCTGCTATCAGGAGATTCGTAGGTGGCTCTGTTGTTCTGGAATATGTTGTGGACGTCGAATCCGACAGTGTCGAGCGAGCCAGCAATGTCGTCGACAGTCACAGAGGTGTCGTGGCGAACAATGATGGAGTGGGCCACGATCGAGACGCTGACGTCTTCAGGCGCAGGTCGAAGCGCGCTCAGGCAGTCGCGAATAGCATCGATGCACGATGGACAGTGTAGGTTAGCAATGACGCAGGTTGTGCTGGTGACCGCTGGTTGTGGATTGCGCGCCCCAGTAGTCAGTGTTTTTGGTTACATGGTGTTTGAGGGGCTGCCACCTGATTCGATTTCTGTTGTGGCTTCCCGATTAAGGGTACGCGCTAGATGTGTGAAGGAAGTGGTATCGTGAGACCAGGTAGAGGAAAGTACAACTGAGAAATGTCCATGGAAGTCTTGAAAACACTAGTAACAGTTTAAGATCGATGACCCGAGAAAAGATTTTTGAAGCAATATCAACGCAACACCTGAACATGGTCGATATCGCTCCTCGCACAAGCCGCGCATATTGAAGTTTTGTGGGTCCACCGCACAATACGCGCACACTGCACAGAACTTGCCCAATGAGATCGCTCCAAACTTGACCTGGCACAGACGAACGAAATCAGGTGCCAGGGCCAAAGTCCAGATGATCAAAGTACCGTGGCTCTCCAATTGCAGGGAATGTCTACTGGAAGCCATGTTCCCTTACAAATGCGAGAGCACAGATCTTCTGCGCTCCAAGAAAACTTTTGATGGCTACAATGGATCAACGTCCTTGTCTACATGCTCTTGCAACGAGCCATAGGCTGGAGGAGCCCCTCCTCCCTCGGCCCTAACAATCTCGCTGACTGGAGCACCGGAGATCTCTCCCTTGGTCTCCATTGCGACCGTGGGCTCCGTACCTTCACCACGGCGTTCGTACGGAATAAACGCGTCGTAGTATCTAGGAATGGTGAACCCAAGGATGACGGCCACCATAATTAAGTTCGCCAGAATGAAGCCTGTGATGTGCATGGGGTCGTAACGCAGAGTGTGGAACCCTGGGTATGCAAAACTGAAGATGATGGCAAGGACCGGACCGGAGATGTATCGAAGCAGAAAAGGTAGGAATGCAGGAATCTGGTTAAAGGTCAGAGGCGGAACAACGCCAGAAGAGCAATATGCACACCTTCCAATTCTTTCCTTGTCCGACGATGACATTGAGATCGCGTCGAATTTGGTTGCCCTTATCAAAATTAGCTGTATACCTCCAGGGTCGGAAACAAGCCAACATACAGAATAGAATGCAAGGAACCAGAACTTGCGCGGGACGATGTTCCTGTTCCAGAACGATGGTGCGCGTGCGTCAGGGTCTCGTGCCAGGATGACAGCAACAATAGCAAACACTACGTAGAAGGCAACACCTGCGCCGGCACCAATTCCGGGATTGTTGATGCCATGCGCCAGGAAGATGCCGAAGAATTGACCACCAAAGAAGCCGAAGTTGTACAGACTGAAAGCCATGGTTCCAGTCTGATTGACGATGTCACGCCATCGGTATACAGTCGTGGCGCTTGTTACCTCAGTCCAGACCACGAAAATAAGAGCAATATCGTTGATCCACCTGTCGACGCCGTCCAGAAGGTAGTACCCAAATTCGGTACAGTACGGTAGGCACATCAGAAATGAGAGCACAGTCATAACAGTGACGACGACAGGGCGTGAGGCCTGCACCATGCCCGAATCGCAGATTAAGGTTACGACGACATCCAGCATAACAAATGCTGACGAGAATCCCAAAACGATAAGGGTAAAGAAGAGGAGAACGGCCCAGAAATTGGCACCAGGCATCTGAAGCACGGCTTCTGGCAGAGTCAAGAAGCCTACCACAAAGGCGCCGAGCCTGACACCGTCTTGAGGCCATCTCTCGAGGTAGCCGACAACTCCGAAGATGGCAAACGCGGCCAAGTTTTCAAATAGAACATTGCTGCTGCAGATCAGGATGGCGTCCATTACGGCGTTTGCGTGCTTCTGATTGTAACTGGCATAGCTTGTGAAGTAGCCAAATCCAATTCCAGTAGAAAAGAACACCTGACCGACGGCAGTCTGCCAGACGGCTCCGGACGCAAGCTGATCTCCTCGGAAATTGGTCCAGAGCAACTTGACGCCTTCACTGGCATTTGGAAGTGACAAAGAGCGTCCAACGAAGATGGCAGTCGTTACAATGGGTAGACCCATGGTGAAGTAGACGACTCTGCCGGTCATGCCAACCCCTCGGGAGATAGAGACCCAGATGAGAAACCAAACAAAGATGCTCCACCCAACGGTTTCGCCAATGAGTGACACTTTGGGGTAGCCAGTGTACGATGCTACGCTGTTGCCATTTGCGGTCAAAGATCCTTCTGTGATGTTACTGACGCGGAGTACATCGTTCCAGTAGAAATCTTCGATCCGGCCTTCCCAGGGCAAGGGACTGGTGAAGCTGTGCCTGAAGTAGGACATGATCCACGCTAGGTTGACGGTGAAGTATTGGACTACTATGAAGGACACAATGACCGGACCCATGCCGACCCCTTTGAGACGTCTGTTCATGTTGTTGAAGGCTATAACAGTGCCTCCCCGATAGGCCTGGCCTATGGAGACCTCGAGTATCAACGCTGGAATGGCGATGAGGAATACGGCGAGTAGGTACGGTATGAACCATTGTAATCCGTAGTTGTTATAGACGACCGAAGGGTATCGAAGAAGGTTTCCTTGTCCGGCGCAGCCACCCATGGCAGCCAGCAGGAAGGCTGCTCGTGAAGGCCATTGATCACGTCCGTCGTCTGACTTCTGTGGAGGAGGCGCAAGATAGCTGCCAATCTTGCGCAGAAAATCCATCCTAGCAGGAGCCTGGAAGGCGTCGGTGTTGGTATGCAGTGGTGGAGAGACCGTTTGTTTGAATGCACTACATAGGCGGTGGTTGCGTTTTGTATCTTGTTTGTCGAGTCAGATTCGCCAAGAACGGTAGTGAATGCAGGGGTCCTGGGTGCGTTCATCCCACACCTGAAAGGTGTTGGCGTTCACGCCACTGGACGCCCGTGAAGGCCGGAGACATTCACAACGACCAGGCACGTCGTAGACACAATACGACTCTGGAGCTATCGGCATAGGCGATGCCCCAAATACGGATGCTCTCATTGCGGATCTCCCCAGACAAGACTTGTTTGTAAAAGAGACGAGCAGCAGTGGACAGTCTCGTGGGTGCATATAGTTCGAGCACTGGAAGATGCTGCTGCTGCCCACTAACGCTCCAAGGCCATCACAGTAGCCCACCGCTCTGAATACCGAATGTCCCCAGGCTATCGCAACGCTACAATCGAGATATTCAATGCTACCAAACCAATCGTAACGTTATAATGCAGATCATGCCAAGTTTCCGCCGCGCGATGTGGATACAGCACACGGGCGGAGGTTGGGCGCACGTCAGGCGTGGCGTTTCCCGCGAATCATCAGCGGAGGCGTCTGCCGATTTCCGACTTGACGAGCCTGGGCAAAAATTTGGCCTCCGCCCTTCGTCATGCCTGTCAGCCACGAGGTGGGACACGCTGTCCGCTTTTCGTGATTTGCGTTTGAAAGGCCTTGTTGCGTGCTTTGCACGACTTTCGACTGCCAGAGACAACCGAAATTACGGAAAGGAATTGAGAGCACGCGACTTGCTTCCAGATGGAGACTTTGGGACTGCTCAGATCATGCCGCGTGGGCAATCCTGCGAAGGTCGACAGCGAGATCGGCTTTGCAGCATTAAAGTGGAGTACTCGAAGTCTTGTCTCGCCCCCAGATTAATGCTTGTGAGCATTCGGGCTTGGGATTGCGAGCTTGGGATTGCGAGCTTGGGATTGCGAGTTTGCAACCAAGCTCCTGGAGAACATCAAGGACTGTAGCGCTGTTCGGATTGGATCTGCCACTGCAGATGCTTGACCATCTCGGTCTCGAGCTCCGCCTCAAGTGTACTGACGCGATAGCTAAGTTCGGCAATCTTCGCCTCCTGGCTTTGATGGTGGTTCTTGTCACATCGCGCCCTCGTCGGAGGCCTTCAGCAGCCTTTGTATGTTTCAACAGCAGAGTATTGAGGTCGGTCTCCGTTGTTCTACCAAGTCTGATAATGGCATCCTGCAGTAGGGTGAGAACGTTACGGAGGACATCGTCCCCTCCAACGTCCTTGAAGCGATGGGGCGTAGGCGTCTCATAGTGCGGCGAAGACGGCGTTGTAGTCTGCTGCGCTGCATCAGTTAGGCGAGCTGGGGTGAGGGGCGACTTTGCAAGCCTTTGAGGCGAGGGGGTCTGCTTGTACAAATCGACTTGTCTGAGGTGTCTGCAATCCAATATTGCTTAATACAATCGAACCATCCCTGTTCCAAGGCAGCGTGCATCTTGTCGAGGGCGATGTCAATTCGCCTGTCCTGGCCGCCTTTCTCAGTGTCTCCACTTGAGTAACAACATGGGCCAGCCTGTCGTCAACAGCCTCGTCATTGGCTCCCAAACCATACTCTTCATTGGAGGTGACAGTAGTGATTCGGCCTCATTTTCTGCTAGATTCGCCAGTAAAATCAGTCGTGTATAGAGGCGGAGGTAATACTGGACGCTTGGATGGTGTTTTTGGAACTGTGTGTGCAGGCTCAGTGCGAGCGTTGTTTGCGAGGGCAACTGCCTCGCATGGGTGAGCGTTGCTGTCCCATAAAAAGAACCTGCATCGAGTCTTATCATCCGGCTGCTTCTGATATGTGCGGACTAGGTATGGAAATTCAGTGGTCACAGTATAACCTAAGCGCTGCCGAAGCTTACACCAGTTGCCTTGATTGAGACCATTTTTCTTCACTTCGGAGCGGTTTGCCGGCTGTCGGGAGCTGCAGTCGCCTGGAGTCCATCGATTGTATATCCTGATGCCGTGCTCAGTGCTTACAATGCCGGATGCCGTCCACGAAGAGTCCTCTTTACGGCGCGCCAGCACCTCCGCGCCGGTTCGTGAACTTAGACATTGTCGCGATAGACCTGTTAGATTCTACAGTACGTGCCACCACGAGAATGTTGCAGCTGCGAAGATAACCAATGTGTCGCCATTCCTTGTTCAGCCCTGCGAGGTAGCTGGTGGAGACCGCAGCTGCTCTGCTGGTGGGGCTGGGAAGGACAGGAGCTCTCTTTTGGTGCAGGTACCACAAGGAACGAGCTGCGAGCGTTTGACGATTTGCGGCCCGTCTCGCGAGTCTCCGCACCGCCCATTGCTGACGATCCTTATTGCGACTATCTGATTATCGTCTCTAGCTGCTGTGCATCTATGAGTTCCTAATCTTTCCCCAAGCGACAAGCATCCTATCATCGCGGTCGGCTGAACCGCCCAGCTCCGCGGACCCGATCATGGAAGGCGCAGGGACTCTATTTGCAAGCCAAGGGAGCTGACTCCCCTCACATACCCCGGAACCGACGTTCCCATTGCTGTAGCTGGCAGTGACATGTAAGCTGCTGAGGATCTGGTAGCGTTCCTCGATTTTCAGGTCTAACCTCCGTCACTACTGCGAAAACCTCGATTCGTCAAGATGCTCGTCCGCGCTCTGAAGATTCCGCCGGCTTTTCTGCTCCTCTTCCTCTTTCTCGCTTTCTTTGGATGGCAGCTCAGCCAGGGTCCTTCTCACGAGGAAGGCTCTGTGAGTATGGCACCTGTCCCTGCGGAGGCGCCTGCCCAGCTACCGGCTGAGAGGAAGACGCCCCGCATCGCTATGATGACTTTCGTGACCGAGGAGCGCTCATATCACCATCTTTCGCTCAAGAGCAAGGATCGTAAGTCAAAGCGCACTACTCTTGATGGCGCATAGGATGCCTCAAGGATTATTCACGAGCAAGGCTGACTCGTAGGCTACAGACTATGCGCGCCGCCATGGCTACGATTTTATCGTCGACTACGAATCGCATACGGATCGCGCTGTAATCTTCTGGAAGTACAACATGGCCGAGCGCCTCATCAAGACTGGCAAATATGATTGGATATGGTGGCTTGACTTCGATACTCTAGTCACCAATACAGATATCAAGGTCACGGACATCATCGAGGAGGAACTCGCGAACGTCACGAACCCTGACGCGATCGATTATCTTACCACGCACGATTGCAACGGCTACAACTCTGGGTCGTTCCTCGTTCGAGGCCACGAGAGGTCACTGAAGCTGATACACGACTCTTTCGCAATCCACGATGATCCGAAGAACAAAGACAAACAAATGAGCGAGCAAGACGCTACGGTTCAGCTGCTCAAAGACGACAAGACTGTGGCTGAGACTGTGCACCGAGTTCCTCAATGGAAGCTGAATGCATTTCCCCATGAGATCGCGTGCTTTGATGATTCAAACCAGGTGTGGAAGCGCGGGACATTTGTTATACACTTTGCTGGAGCCTGGGCGCATGTGAAGGGTAGCGATCCAACTGGCCAGCTGATGAAGAAATACCAAGACGAGATTATCTGGGGCGACTGGCGGGAGTTTTACGACCAGTGATTGGGGCAGTATTAATGGCCTGAACATACAGCGAGTTTTCTATGGTCTTCATATACCTATATCATTGAACCTACCCTACTAACCGAGTTACACCCGTCAACAGTTCAGATATGTACCAGGAAGCTTACATGTAACGGAGCGTATCCAGCTTACTGCCAGACATAGCTAATGTGCGTCAAGAAAGTCGGAACAATGTGTCACGTACAGGGTAGTTGTTCAGCCTTCAATATACGAGTAATGACAGCATAGGGTCCACTACAAGAGCCCGGATTCGGCTGCTGAGCGGTCCGCACACGCTTGGCTCCCGCCTAACGCAAGTACACGTTGTATGCCGATCTCTGCCTGTCGTTGGTGTTTGGGAGGGCATGGTGGTGCAATTGTGCCCGTGTTCGCGCAGAACGCGCCTGTTGGGATTTTGGCACCCGGTCAACGCTACAACAAGATGCCGTGCAAGGAAGCCGATCCCCCAACGATATGATCTGATCGATCTACGAAGATGACTGTGAGATCCAGTGGGCCTTGGTGATGGAACAGCATTCCTACTGCCAGAGTCAGGCTAAACACAGATGCGACCCCACGATGCTCGCGCCCGAATCAAAAGAGCATGCGGCTCAAATGCAGGGGTTTGTAGTGGGATCGGCATGGGACATATCCGCGCTAACGGTGTGCCGTGGTCCAACCCAGGAGCAATCCAGAGTTTTGTGCAAGTGAAGAACATAGGGATGCTATGCGCCAGCTGCACTGTATCGTCGATTCTGCGTGCGAGCGACCGGAAGGTGAAAAGACCACGCGCAGACGTTCCCAGCGATTAGCGTTCCAGTTTTCGCACCTGCAGCAGTGACGTACCTCGCTGGGAGTCTCGGCGAGTTCAACGGTGTCTTGTGCGACTTTGATTCGTGCCGGAGAAGATAAGAACTGTGTTTCCAGGACCCCACTGCGCGCTGACTGGCTGTAGGCGTTGGTTTTCCTACCAAACTTGTCCCAACAGCGTCGAGTAAGGTGGGATCCACATTGATGCGCGCCATCCACGACGGTCGATCTCAGTGTTGATTGCTCCTGTCGTGACTTGTTGTCCGCTCTTGACCCAGTTTTATCCTCGCAATCTAGTTGGCGACAAGGGGCAGCCGTCGTCTTGTCGAAATGAACAGAACTAGGTACCGGGTCTTCTGATATATTCCGAGGTCCCTTCTGGATCGCACATCATTTCTCCACTGATCCCACTGCCATTTTCGAGAACCTTTTGTAACTCTCATTAATTTCCTGCATTCACTTACGACCATTTCCTTTACTGTCAATCGCTGTTTGAGGGTCCAGGGAACATTCCTATCGGCGAAAATCCACAACCTCTACGTCACCTCAATCGCTAGCTCAAGGTCTACACGACCCCAAATATCTCAGCGATTGGCGACCTATCGCTTGCCAAACACATTTGCCAGGGCGCTGGACCTTAGAAAACCCAGCAAACATGACAACTCCCGTGAGCGAGCGGCCTGAGCCGACATACAACATGGACAGCACCACTCGTTTCCCTGCGACTCACCAGCGATCATCCGACGACGATGGCACGTACGTCGGTGAGGATCTGAGCCACCAACATTCGAATACATCAACTCAAGCAGCAAACCCGCCGAGACTTGCGACTGAAACCCGACCGCGATCTGGAACACATTTGACTGTGGACACTCAATACGAGTACCCACATCAAATGCAATCGCCATCGCAGACACGTGAGCAGGCCAGTAGGCTTGACGATGATCTCGCGGTACTTCAGATTGAGCGCGGTATTATCGACGCCGAAGCGCTCGAGAGGACGCAATCAGTCACTCGTTCTATGCAGAAAGTCCGATCTCGACGCGACGAACCCATAGACGACTTCGATGCGGCTACGAATCCTCTGCACGAACAAGCCGCCCGTTATACACCCCCGGAGAACCCCACCACGAAGTTTTCTATCTTTTTCAAAAAGATTCACAACTCGAGTTGGGTTGTTCGGTACTTCACATATATCACACCTGTGGTCCTCCTGATCCTGATACCGCTCCTCATTGGTATATTCGCCTTCCCAGGTGCGAACGTTGGCGGTGTGAAACTTCTCTGGTTTTCAATTTGGCTCATGATCGTTTGGTTGACTCTCTGGGCTGGCAGACTGCTTGCGAAACTGCTCCCATGGCCCATTGGCCTGGTCTCGAGTCTTTTCACAAACAACAGCAAAAAGTGGAGAGACATGGGAAAGCAGCTCGAGCTGCCTGCAACGCTGTTCTTTTGGTGGCTAGCAATTGAAGTCTCGTTCCTTCCCACGATGATCCACCACAATGTCAATGGGTCGGAGAACGGCAAGATCCAGCCATGGCAGGGAACTATGAACAAAGTGCTCGTCTCCTTCTTCGTTGGTTTCGTTCTAAACTTTGTCGAGAAGATCATCATCCAACTCATCGCCATCAGCTTCCACCTTCGAACTTACCAAGATCGGATTGAGCTGAATAAGTTCCAAATTGGCAGTCTGGTCAAACTGTACACGTACTCAAAGCAGAAAATCGCGATGGAAGACTCCGAGTTTGAACAAAACGATCAAGGACCATCTGGTGCCCGTACACCTGGTCAACTTATTACTGATGCACAGAAGAACATCAAGGAGGGCTTCAGTAAATTTGGAGACGTTGCAGGAAAGGTTGCAGGTGACTTCACCGGTCGTCAGGTCCAATCAAGCAGCCATCCCAGTCAGGTTGTCATCCAGCTTCTCAGCACCAACAGCGGCGGCCAGATCCTTGCTCGTCGCCTGTACCGAACTTTCGCACGCCCCGAGACCGAGACCGTACACGCCGACGATCTCAAAAATGCCTTCGAGAGTGACGACGAGGCCGACGCTGCGTTCTCGATGTTTGACAAAGATATGAATGGGGACATCTCCATGGAAGAGCTGGAAGCAGTATGTGTAGAAATCGGCCGCGAGCGCAAATCCATCACCGCATCCCTGAAGGATCTCGACAGCGTGGTGGGTAAGCTCGACGATGTATTCATGTTTGTCGTCCTTGTCATTACCATCATCGTATTCATCTCCTTGATCTCGACTTCGGCATCCGGTGTGCTCACATCCGCTGGCTCGACACTCTTGGCTCTGTCTTGGCTGTTCTCTGCAACTGCGCAGGAGTAAGTGAATCGAAGTTCCTTATCCCCACCAAGGCAATACTAACGTGTTCAGGTTCCTTCAGTCTTGCATATTCGTATTCATAAAGCACCCGTATGATGTGGGCGACCGTGTCCAGATCTACGGTAACAGTGGCGATCTTGGGCGTGGCGATGACTACTTCGTCAAAGAAATCGCTCTCTTCTACACCGAGTTCAAGAAGATGCAAGGTCACGTCGTCCAGGCACCAAACAGTTATTTGAACACGCTGTTCATCCTGAACCACCGACGTTCCGGCGCGCTTGCCGAAGCTGTTCCCATCATTATCAAGTTCGGCACCACACTTGAGCAGATCGACAGCCTCCGTACTATGCTACTCGAATTCGTCACTTCAGAGAAGCGTGAGTATCAGACTAACATACTGACGGAACTGAGGGCAGTTCAGGAGGTCCACTGGCTCGAGCTGAACGTGGTCTTCTTTTACAAGTCGAACTGGCAGAACGAGCTGTTACGTCTGCAACGTCGCAACAAATTCATCTGCGCCCTTACCATGTCCATACAGGAGTGCGGAATCGAAGGACCCCGCATGCGCTACCCTGGACAGAAGGAGTCCTTCCCTGTATACCTGCAGAACCTTCAGAACAATCCTACACCTGGTGTTGGGCAGAACGGCAACCCTGATAATCCACAAGGCAACATCAACAACCAACCTCAGGATGAGCCTTTCGTGCCGGCGGTGAACGACGGAACCAACGATCATGGAAGCATCGGACCTGCCCGCCGTGGTTCTATCCTTCGTCAACCTGGTCAACCCCGAGGCGAGTCGATTGCCCAGATGGGTAGACGCGTTGACTTCTCGCTTGGCATGAAAGGCATGATGGATGATCCAAGCGGTGATGTGCTAGATGACCGTGACATTGCGGCTCGCCAGAGAGCGACCCTCGTCAGGGTCACATCGCCTTCACGATCTCAGGACCGACCGCGTTCGTCTCAAGACACTGCTCATACTGCCCACACCACCGGTATCCAGCGCGTCGGCACCAACAGCAGTCTCGGAGCGAGAGAACGTACCCATAGGAACAGATTCTTCAGTCGCGGTCGCCACGGTGACGAGGAGACCGGCATGGCTAATATCCCCGAGGGTGACTATGATAGCACACCGGCTGGCAAAGAGAAGCTGGACCCGCGATCCGGATTGATCAGCCCTAGGGCTGTTAGGGGCAGCGAGGATTCTCGTGTGCCAACATCTTCAGGTGCCCTTAATCCGGTCAACTCCATCACCTCAGAGAGGGGTTTCCATGCCCCAGCGCGCTCGAAGACCGATAACATCGAGATGAGACGATTTCAGTAGTGTTTTCGTGATTCCCTTTACATTTGCTTCCTTCAAAAGCCTAGTCCACCGAGACCGAGGCACCATGTACCGGGTGACAGCTCTGAAGCCGATCCACCAGAGCAGACCAAGGGCAGTGCGCCATGGTCCTGCATTTCAATTCGTTTATATTGCATCGCAAAGCGTCTAGGCGAGCGACCATAGATCGGTGAGATAGATTGATACCGTACTTTACATGTCGTATGCCGTTGTGCCGTATGCCCGTGATGGACATTCAGACCCAAGGAAGTTGCTCACAGGCTACAGTCCCAGATCCATTGGAGGTAGTCATCGACAAAGCGCATGCCTGTTGCGACCGGACATAAGTTTATCGAAACTACCGGCGCCGAACCACGGTAGCGACTGCGGGAGGACCCTGACAGACCAGCATCCGCGTTTGCTTGTCCGAAAAAGCTCTCAGCGGGACGTCGCGGCCGTGAGGTGCATGAATCGCAAGGGCAATATCTTTCGTCCCGTCAAATGCAGTTTGTCTCCCGCCAGATTGATCTGGGCGGCTGTCTCGATGCGGACGGCCTGATTTGTTTCGCCTGCCGGTAATGCGAAAGGGGACAGGGCGGCTATCGCGTAAACAACGCTAACGACACGCCCCTGCATGCCCCTGCTAGAAGTGGGGCTTCTGGCGGTGAGGAGAGCAGGAGCGAACGACTTCAAAGATTCTCTACTAACCTCCCAGGCTCCGACCTTGAACCAACTGCCCAAGTCTGCTTGATACAGCCGTCGACCATCCACCATGCGAGGAGAGGTACGTCTGACCCGCATTGAACGCCCCGGGCGCGACTACCTACCCTATGACAACACCCCTCCCTTTACGCGCCCAGGACGAGATGAGAGTTCCGTTGGTTCGCCGCGCGACGGCTGCGTGCTAGCCGAGGACCAGATAGCCGCATTGAACATCAATAGCTCACAGGGCGTCGCGGATACGGGCGCTGTACATACTTGGAGACCGTATGCTGACACAGCGCTCTGCAGATCTGCCACCTCCACATCGGCCAGGCCGGTACTCAGCTCGGTAACAGCGCCTGGGAGCTGTACGTACCATGACTCTACGCGTCCTTTGACAAAGCCCGATAGCTAACCCTGCCTCCTTAGGTACCTGCTTGAGCATGGCCTCAAGGCTGACGGTCGCCCGGACCCCGATGCGAAGGAGCTCAACGAGGGCGGCTCGTTCGAGACCTTCTTCACGGAGACTGGCAACGGCAAATACGTACCTCGCTCCATCTTCGTCGACCTGGACCCCTCTGTACGCCTTAGAGCACCCACAGCACAGTCCAGATGCTAATTAGCTTAGCCCATTGACGAGATCCGCACTGGTACCTACCGCCAGCTGTTCCATCCTGAGCTGTTGGTCAGCGGCAAGGAGGACGCAGCCAATAACTGTGCGCATTCCAATATCAACTCGCTGCGAACGAGGCTGACAAAGAATAGATGCTCGTGGTCACTACACCATCGGCAAGGAGATGGTCGACAGTGTGATCGACAAGATCCGCCGTGTTGCTGGTACGCAATCCGCACTTGCACCTACACCATCCCAAATGTTAATAGCTGCCAGACAACTGCTCCTCGCTCCAGGGTTTCCTTATCTTCCACTCCTTTGGTGGAGGTACAGGTTCCGGCTTCGGTGCCCTCCTCCTAGAGCGCCTTTCCACCGACTATGGCAAGAAGTGCAAGCTCGAGTTTGCAGTCTATCCTGCTCCTCGCGTTTCCACATCTGTTGTTGAGCCCTACAATGCCGTCCTCTCGACTCACAGCACCATCGAGAACTCCGACTGCACATTCCTTGTCGACAACGAGGCGGTTTACGACATCTGCCGTCGCAACCTGGATATTCCTAGGCCCAACTACGAGCACCTTAACCGTCTGATTGCTCAAGTTGTCAGCTCCATCACCTCCTCTCTGCGATTCGACGGTGCGCTCAACGTTGATCTGAACGAGTTCCAGACCAACCTTGTGCCCTACCCTCGCATTCACTACCCCCTCATCAGCTACGCGCCCGTCATCTCGGCCAAGAAGAGCTCTCACGAGAGCTTCAAGGTCAGCGACCTCACCTTTCAGTGTAAGTGTCCCTAACGATACATCTTGATGAAACCCAGACTGATCAACTTAGGCTTCGAGCCCAACAATCAGATGGTTGTTTGCGACCCGCGCAACGGAAAGTACATGGCTGTTGCCCTTCTGTACCGTGGCGATATCGTTCCCCGCGACTGCACTGCCGCTGCTGGTGCGCTTAAGGCCAAGTCCTCGTTCAACTTGGTTGAGTGGTGCCCTACTGGTTTCAAGCTCGGAATCAACTACACTAAGCCCATCAGCGTCCCCGGCAGCGAACTCGCCGCCGTCGACCGAAGCGTTTCCATGCTCAGCAACACTACCGCCATTGCTGAGGCCTGGTCGCGTCTTGACCACAAGTTCGACCTCATGTATTCCAAGCGTGCTTTCGTGCACTGGTATGTTGGTGAGGGTATGGAGGAGGGAGAGTTCTCTGAGGCTCGTGAGGATCTCGCTGCTTTGGAGAAGGACTACGAGGAGGTTGCCAGCGACTCCATCGACGATGAAGTTGAGGAGGGCGAGTACTGAGCAGTATACCACTGTCATGAAGAGGCTTGGGCATCTTGTTGGGTTCGATATGTCAAGTTGGCACCGTGGTCTTGCTCTAAAATAGAACGCCTAGTAGACAACGTGTTAACATTTTTTACACAAACATCCTTGATTTGAGATTATGGGGCGTCACCGATGTTACTTTGTAGGCTATCTGTACTCCGACCATGGTCCTCAAAGCTACACTGCGTTGGCGAGACCACCAAGTGTGATTGAAGTGTCTCATTATTTACTTTATGCTTAATGGATCCCGGTGATTCGGAATCTTGCGGAGACAGAATTCAGGCGAGCTGTGACCAGCAGCAACAGTTGCGAGCCACAAGCTACGGTCGTGCATCCCGCGCGCTCAACTGATCCTGGCAATGGTTGCGAGTGCGGCGAGACCACGGGAGTGGGCCGAAAGAGAACATCACGTCATGCCAGATCGAGCGAAGTGCGCGAGCTTGATGAAAGCTCCCCGCAATTGTCCAGATCGCAGCTTCAAACAGATGACACCTTACACAGCTCCGTCATGTTCAGCCTACCCAGAATTCAACTACCGTCATTCCTCACCGGAGGCAGCGGAAGCCACCGATCTATCGACCTTCCATCCATCGAGGTCCACGATATCGAAACCGCCGCCGAAAAACGTTCGCGAACCCTAAAGCATCTGATCAAAGCGAACCATGCCAATTACTCGATCATATACCATGACTTGCGCTTCCACAACCACACACCACATGTATGCCGCTCCAATGCCACTCAGGGCTAAAGGTAGCTGCTAAGCTTGCTGAGTAGATCCTTGGATCCGCATACATTCTTGGAGGCACGGCAGAGCACCTGAACAACATCTACGAGAAGGAAGCAGAGGGCCTGGAGCCATGGCATGATGCACCAGCGGAAATTACAAGTGATGACTGGAGGGACTTTTTAGGCAAGAGAGAGTGGGTGTTCGAAAGCAATGAGCGGGCAGGTGCTGACTGTACAGATATCAGCGCGCCTTTGTGGACTTTTTCGAGGACCAGCTCGTGCTCAGACGATACGATATCCAGCAGGTGCTTGAGGAGTATCTTTTGGGTGGGAAGAACCCTCTGATCAACGGCATGATTTCTGGACTCGCACACCCACTCATCCACCTTGGATACGCCTACGAACTTGGATCGACGACCGTTGCCATCGAAGCCCTAGCGCTGGGTGCATGCTTCTATAGCCCGCTCCACAACTACATCGACGATAAATCGTACACCAGACCAAGTCCACATCAAAGCACAGACCTGCGCAAGATCCTTGACAAAGTTCGGCAGGACAGCCGCTTCGATAGTCTATACCCACACCGAAGCGGCGACATCTCGAAGGTGCTGGAGAAGCAAGAGGAGGCGTTCTTGGGGTACTGGAATGCTTGGGAGCTGTCAGATCCACAAACGGCGTTTCGGCAATCGCAGGAGCTCGCAGTCACTCTACTGATGGGCACTGAGGCACTGGAGGACACGAAGTTTGACTTCTTCCTTGTTCACGTCCTCACGTCATCCCATGCAGTACGCGTGCTGCTTCCGTTAGTCCCAGCAAAATTCCACATCAACCTGGTGCGACAGTGGTGGCTGTTCACATTAGCCGTGTACATCGCGCAGACACGACCTCAGATCGATACTACCATCATCGAGAAGTACGACCTGAAGGGTCGCGACTGGAAATTTGTTGTACACAAGGCGCTCGACTCATCTGAGTCTACAGATGCACACTACGTCAAAGGTATGAATGCAGAGTGTTCACAGCGTATACCCTACTAATCCCGCATAGCATTGCGATGTATGAAGAACATCTCGGAGACATGGGGTGACGAATCACAGTATTTCGAAAAGGCGGCAGTCAAATTCGCAGACGAGTTTGAGCATTGGGGTGGGTTCAGTACTGAGGAAGATGCTACTAATCTGGCGTACCCTGAAAAGCAATGAGCTCGCCATGGAGGGATCCGGAATCCGATCGGCCGCTGTCTACACCCTGATATCTATGGAGACCTACAAATATTGCGGCACTCTTAACAGGATTTGGTCGACAAACATAGATGGCTACAATTGAGTTGACTGGTTGGCAGACGGCTATGACGGAGTTGTGATCATGAGGGTGTTTGGTAGTGGAGATCCTTCGATCCAGACCTGTAATTGACACGAATAGCTACACCGCAGAATGCATCAAGCGCTGATAGGCATGGGAAATGTGCCATGTGGGACATGGGAATAGACCTGGACGCAAGCCTCTTGGCCCTGACTGTTCCTGTGATGCAAGGGCCGGCAGATCGGGGATCGAAACTCGACTCCCTGTACGTTATCGCGATTCGTTGGAGGCCTTGGGCTTATGCACACACTTCGCACAAGCACTTTGTCAGCTGCAGGCAGTCAGAGGCAGTCAGAGGCTTCAGGCATACAAACAGTAGTGACATTGAACGGGTGGTCTAGCTTACTCCAAGTGGGGTGCTACTGTTGTCAGCTTGGCTTGGGAAAGCTTCGGAGTGCTTTAGCAGCCTGTGCGTAGGTTACTATTGCCGCGACGGGAAAGATGTGATGATTCGAAAGCAGATGTGTCAGCAGTGTCAAAGACCAGTGCATGGGCCTCTGGCTTCATGGTGCATGGATGGAGACATGGGGAGTTGACCCCGCTGACTGTGCATATTCCCAAGCTCGTCCTCGCTCGCGAATTCCGAAGAAATTCGCGTATTATCAACGAACGTCATACCGACGCATCCGCAATCTTTTGTTGGTGCTCTGCAAATCCCACCAAAGTCTAACAAGCTTTCTAGCGCTAGACACGCTTGCAAACGCTTTCGGTACGCACGCGCCACACCTGCCGGGGTTCACGAGCGACTTGCGTCATACCGCGTGTATCAAGAAAGCATTCGCGATCAGAAGGAATCCGGCGGCACCGTGGTCCCGGCTTGTCCCATTGATACATCAGGCCCTTACCTTTCAGACTCTCACTTTCCACAGAAATCGTGTTTTCCTTCTCCAGCCCTTCCAAGCATCTCACACCATTCCGTCGGCTTGCCCCACCCTGCGAACTGGTAGTCTCTCCACACGCACTTGGGCACAGCTCTGACACCAAACACACAACAATGCCAGCCGCACTCAAGAAAGCGCTTGAGAAGCTCAAGCCAGGCAACAGCAGCCATGGTTCTGGGGACGAGAGCGCCATCAAGTCGCCAAGCGGGACGAAATCGCCAGTCGGTGTTGCTGCTAATGACAGAGCGCGGTCCCCTGCAGCGACGCCGCGATCTTCCGGTGTCTTCGCCCACAGGCCCAGCGGTGAATTGAAGAGGGACCAGCTTATTTCTCCTGCAGAGAGCCGGTCAAGCTTCGACCATGCTGGCGTCCCGCGAAAGTCCATGACCGGTGTGTTCCACCGCGGAACGCATAGCCCCCATCGAGCTGGCTCAAAAGATCGCAAACACGAGCGAAGTGGCTCCCTTGGCACCCACAGCCCCATGCGCATGGTCAAAGAGAAGCTTCACCTTGGGGACTCCTCCAGCGACGAGGGCGGTCCTCTCAACCGTGATGGCGAACCCCTTTCCCGCAATCAGCAGCGCAAGCACGAGAAGCAAGCACAGCAGGAAGAGCGCCACAAGCAGAACCAAGAAAAGGAGGCAGAGCTTGAGAGGAGAAGGAAAGAGATGGAGGAGCAAGCTGCCGCCGAGTTGACACCCGAACAGAAGGCGAAGTACGGTATTGTTCCTCCCAACAGCTATGCCGGCGAGTGGAAACACCAGCAGCGCTCCAACATCCAAGAGTTCACAGTGGATGACGTTGGCAAGGAAGTCACTTTCCGTGCCCGCATTCACCACTTGCGCAAAATGAGCTCCAAGTTCGTCTTCTTCGTGTTCCGCCAGCAGCTCGCCACAGTTCAAGGTGTGCTCATGGAGCACTCAGACATCTCCAAGTACATGCTGTACTGGGCAGAGCACATCGAGGTTGAGAGCGTCGTCCTTGTCAAGGGTATCCTACAGGCACCCAACTCCAAGCAAGGTGAGGTTACCGGTACTTCCATCCATGATGTTGAGATCTCGGTGCACGCACTGCACGTCGAAGCTGAAATCACCGACCACCTTCCCTTCAACGTATACGAAGCCGAAGTCACACAAGCCGACGTCGACGCCGAAGTCGCTGCGCCAGATCACAAGGAGGGGCACAACCGCGTCAGGATTGCAGACAGGACACGTCTGAATAACCGTGTCATTGACCTTCGATCGACAGCATCGCAAGGTATCTTCCGCATCCAGTCTGGCATCTGCAATCTCTTCCGCCAGGCTTTAGACGAACAGGGCTTTATCGAGATTCATACACCCAAACTGCAAGGTGGCGCGACCGAGTCTGGTGCCAGTGTATTCAAGGTTGAGTACTTCAGCCGTGGTGCTTTCCTGGCTCAGTCTCCCCAATTGGCAAAGCAGATGGCTATCTCCGCAGACTTCGGCAAGGTATACGAGATCGGCCCTGTATTCCGTGCTGAGAACAGTAACACATACCGTCACTTGACAGAGTACACTGGTCTCGATCTCGAAATGCAGATCGACGAGCACTACCATGAGGTCCTCCGTGTCCTTGACCGCACATTTAAGACGATCTTCAAGGGGATCTACGAGCGTTACCGTCCAGAAATTGAGGTCATCAAGAAGCATTTTCCTCACGAGGACTTGGTCTGGCTGGACCAGACCCCTATCATCCCATTCGCTGAGGGCGTACGCATGCTTAACGAGTCAGGATGGAGAGATGACAACGGCAATCCTCTCGACGAGAACGAGGATCTGGGCACAAGGGACGAAGTGCAGCTGGGCCGTGTCATCAAGGAGAAGCTCGGCACAGACTACTACGTGCTGGACAAGTTCCCAGCCAATGCAAGGCCTTTCTACGCCATGGCAGATCCCAACAACCCTGAGCTGACGAACTCCTTTGATATCTTCTGTCGCGGTCAGGAGATTCTCAGTGGTGGCCAGCGTATTCATGACTCCAGGATGCTGCTTAACAAGATGGATAAGCTGAAGATGGATCCCTCGACCATGGAGGAGTACATACAGGGATTCCAATGGGGTGCGCCACCTCACGGTGGTGGTGGTATCGGTTTGGAGCGCATCCTCATGCTTCTGCTCAACCTTGGTAACATTCGTCACGCATCGATGTTCCCTCGTGATCCCAAGAGTTTGCCCGAGAAGCCCGTCATCAAGCAGCTTCGTCACCCAGACGCCAGCACAATGCACCCACCCTGGGAGGGACAAGACCGTGTCTTGGCAAAGATCGACCTGCAGCCTATCGAGAAACTCATCGCCAACTACGGTGATGCGACCAACACCTCATGGCTGGAGCCTCGCACAGAAGTCTGGCGTGACCAGCACACTGGTGCCGCAGTTGGTTTCGTACCTCAAGATGGCTTTGCGATCACTGTTGGTGATCCTCTCTGCCACGAGTCTCAATACTTGAAGACCATGACTGGGTACCTGAAGTACATCAAGAAGGAGCGCAACCTCAAGCCACTCTGGCTCCTTGTTGGTGCGCCAGTAGAGGAGGTGCTCGCCACAAAGTTCAACTGGCGAACCTTCTCAGTCACTGGCGAGCAACGCGTGGACCCTGCCCATAACCCCGCAGACAAGGACGCAGATGTTCAACGTAAGATTCGCCACGCCGAAAAGGAAGGCGTCAAGATCAGCGACTACCCTATTGGAACACCACCACCACCGGAGGTAAAGAAGCAGGTCGATGCTCGCGTTGAGGATTGGCTAAAGGGCCGTAAGGGTCGCCAGGTGCACTTGACTAACATCCATCCATGGCAGGACGAGGAGCATCGCCAGTACCACATTGCTCAGACACCTGACGGCACCATCTCTGCCTTTGTCGCAATGGCACAGTTGTCCCCCGACCATGGCTGGCAGGTCAAGTACTCGCTTGACTTCCCAAACGCACCCTCTGGGTCCATTGAGTACATCGTTACCCACGCACTCAAGGCCGTTGCCGTAGCCGGCGCCGAGTCCGTCACCTTCGGTGGAGGTGCCAGCTCCAAGTTTACCCCGGGACACAACGTCAAGGGCACTCGCGTTAAGGTGCTCAGCCGCGCGTACCACGCCATCGCGACCGAGCTCAAGCTTACCAACAAGACCGAGTTCCGCGAGAAGCTGGGTGCCGTCGACGACCCGAGCTATATCTGTTACCCGCCACATGGGCTGGGCCCGATGGCGATCAAGGCGATTCTGAACTTCTTCGAGGATGATGATATGTAGACGGAGATGTGATGTCCTGTGTGGAGCGAAGGCATGATACCACAGGGCGTTGCGGCCGACGTTACGAGCTGATGATTGCACGTTGGCTCATTTTCTGCTGTTGATTGTGAGCCTGCTGATTCTTCGTTTGAGTGGTTATACATAGATAAGCCTATTCCCTAGTACAATACCCCTTACGCTACAACTGGGTTTTCCTGCATACGCTGTCTTCGTGCATTTGAATAATGCTATCTTGTGATTGCGTACGTTCCTTGGGCTTTTAAAAGGTACTTGGCCATTAAAGGGAGAGATTTGTGAATTGAAAAGAAGTCCCCTGATGGCTACAGCGAGCTGCAAGTGTTGTGGCTTGCACCTCTAGAAGTGAGAAACTGAGACGTTGGGCAGGCGTTCCGTAGAAGTATATGATAGCGACTGCTCCTATGTACAATACACCAGGCTTGTCACCTCGTATGTGCAAGCTTCATGTGGTTCGCACAAGCTGGCCAATCGTACGGCGCTCGAGATGCCTATACATGCGCGATATCAAATCACCGGTGTATTCCCGTTTTGAGGCTGCCGGAAACAGATACGGCAAGTGTATACCCCACAAAGTCGCGTCAAGCCCACAGCACTTGATGCCAATTGCTACCGTACAGTCCACTGTGCTGCGCACAAGACTCGGACAATCGCTCATTCTAATCGGTAGCAGCACGAGATGATGGTAGCCGATGCGTCAATGCTGATGGCGGAGAAGACTCGGACTGCGGGGTACGCCATGCGGAGAGATTTTGGAGTCGGCTTCGCAGAACGGCTTCCTAGGGGCCTTTGAAGAGCGATGTGATTGGCCAATAATGCGCGGCAGCCCCACGAAGGAGACGGCTGGCTGATGCTCCAGAGGGTCACTTGCGGGTCCTGGAGTTTGTCGGAAAGACGCTCATCACCAGCTTGTCTTTGGGACTGCTGGGATTGGTTGAGGACTGGGAGCTCAAACATAAAGAAGCTGAGACGAGCCGGTTGAGAGTATTAGACAGACGCGTCGCCCGGTTTGGATAACATCCAAGTTGTCAAGTTGAGCTGGTTACGTCAAGAAGTGCTCTTTCCGTTTGCGCGACAGCTCCTCCTCTTCAAGTGCGCCTGTATCCTTCTTTCTTTTTTACTTTCTAGACGACTTTCACGATGATTTTCGACGTGTTCCTCACGCCATATACGCTCCTCTTCCTTCCAGTCCTATACTACGCTTTGCCTTATATCCGCAATTGGCAAATCAAGGACGTCCCTGGACCGTTCCCCGCAGCCTTCACAAACCTCTGGCTTCTTCTCCAGGCTCGTAAAGGACGCCGCTATCTGTCCGTAGACAATGCGCACAAGAAGTATGGGCAGATGGTCAGGATCCAACCAAATCATATTAGCATCGCAGACGCCGATGCGATCCCAGTAATCTACGGTCACGGCAATGGAATGCTGAAGAGGTAATTACTCCTCCTACTTGAAGTGCATAGAAATTGACACGCTATAGCGATTACTACGACGCCTTCGTCTCCATCCGCCGCGGTCTCTTCAACACCCGCGACCGCGTCGAGCACACCCGCAAGCGCAAGACTGTCTCGCACACCTTCTCAGCCAAGTCGGTGCTCCAGTTCGAACAGTACATCCACCACAACCTAGAGGAGCTGCAGAAGCAATGGGATAAGCGTGCTGCCTCCAAGCAGGGCGGTTGGTACCAGATGGACGCTCTGAACTGGTTTAACTACCTAGCTTTCGACGTCATTGGGGATCTAGCTTTTGGTGCGCCATTCGGTATGCTTGAGAAGGGTAGGGATGTTGCTGAGGTTAGGAAGACGCCGGATTCTGAGCCTACATTTGCGCCCGCCATCGAGGTCTTGAATCGTAGGGGTGAGGTCTCTGGGTATGTTGACCACCACGAACCACGTTGTATGACAGCTAATGGGTTTCGCCCAGAACAGTTGGCATTCTCCCTCAGATCAAGCCTTACGCAAAGTATTTTCCCGACCCCTTCTTCAGTCAGGGAATGAAGGCCATCGAGAACCTTGCCGGTATCGCCGTAGCCCGCGTGAACGAGCGCCTTGCCCGACCTGACACTGAACGTGTCGATCTCCTCGCGCGTCTCATGGAAGGTCGTGACGAGAAAGGTGAGAAGCTCGGCCGCGAAGAGCTCACCGCCGAAGCACTCACCCAGCTCATCGCTGGCTCAGACACCACTTCGAACACATCCTGCGCGCTGCTCTTCCACTGCCTGCAGAACCCCGAAGTCGTGCGCAAGCTGCAACGGGAGCTCGACGAGGCGATTCCCAGCGACGACGTCCCAACATATGCCGCGGTCAAGGATCTGCAGTACGTCGACAACGTTATCAAGGAGACTATGCGCATCCACAGCACATCGTCGCTCGGTCTGCCGCGCTTGATTCCCCCGGGTCCCGGTTTGACTATGAACGGCCGCCACTTTCCCCAGGGCACCGTGCTCTCCGTTCCTGCGTACACGATCCACCACTCGAAGGAGATCTGGGGTCCGGATGCGGAAACATTCAGGCCCGAGCGCTGGGAAAAGGTCACTGAGAAGCAGAAGGCTGCGTTTATCCCTTTCAGCTATGGACCGAGGGCTTGTGTTGGCAGAAATATTGCGGAGATGGAATTGGCGCTCATCGTGGCCACTGTGTTTAAGAGATACGAGTTTGAGCTGAGGCAGGGTGAGATGCAGACTAGAGAGGGTTTCTTGAGGAAGCCGTTGGGTCTTGAAGTTGGTATGCGCAGGAGGCAGAAGTAAATTCGTGGACTGACGTTTGGACACGTGGGGCTGGAGGTATTCAGAAATCAGATGCCTTTCTTAAAAATGAATTTGGATTATCGTGGCGTCACGAATGCATTTGCATCTCGAGCCACCTGCATATCTCGAAGAACAGGTGATGGCAATTTGAAAGTCGCATGCACTGGGTTGGAGGCATCCAGGGGCTCTTGAAGATTATATTGAATTGTAACATTGTTTGACGAAGACGTGTCTGTGCGGATGCTACCATGCACTGTTCCATACACCTCTGACTTTTCCACAAATTGCGATTCATGTCAGCAACAAAGATTGAAAAAGTATAAGACTTCCATCACTGCATCTGATTGTAAGCTCGCACTTGTCGAGCCACGCAGGGGGTCTTCAGCCACACTCGCTCCTCACCCTCCTTGCATACGATGACCCTCGCGCCCTCCTCCTTGTACGTAACTCCGGGCTCGAAAAGCTTCGGTACGGTACTCTTGACGTTGAGTTCCAGCCACGCGTCGCTGTGTTTGGAGGTGTCCTCAGAAGAAGTGGCTTCATTGAACTCAAAAGCCTTAGGATCGTAAGTGTCGACGGCCGAAACATCATCAAACATATTTGAGACGGCAGTAGCGACTGCGGCGAGTGATTGCTGTTGTCGCGCATGTGCCTTTACCCATCGGTTCATAATGGCGTAGTGGATGTTCTGGAGCGTCTCGAGGTCATCATCCTCATATGCGACTCGGGCATTATGCAGAACTCGTTCGATACCTTGGAAAGAGGAGCCTGTCCAACCGTGTTTGAAGAACCCCTGGCCTGGATTTAGTCAGTGGTGTGATACAGCGAAGTCTGTGCGGTTTCTCTTACCTTGGAATTGAGATGCATCTTGAGCGTAGATGAGACGTGTGAAATCTTCGATCTTGCTGTAGGCTTCAGCCACGGCAGTGGATACCTTGCGTGCGCTGCGACGGATACTGAGCTTCGGTAGTGAGCCTCTCAGAACACCTAACCATTGCTTACGAAGTCGACGATAAGCTTTGCCTTCATGAATCTTACCAACAGTCTCAGCCGTGTTTGCATACCTCCAGGGCCAGACCGGTGGACGAGGAGGATTCAGAAGCGCACAATCCTCGATCGGACTCAAGGCAAGGAAAGGGTCCAGAACGAGGAAGATAGCTGCGATAATCTCATCGGATTGCCATTGCTGTTTCGCTGCTGGTTTCGACTTGACTTTCAGGTGCTGCAATGCTTTTGAGCTGGGTTCGGCCGACTCAGGCAGCAGCAATTGCACTAGCTTTCGAACAGTGTCTCGGACCTGATACATCTCATAGTCTTCGTGCGTGAGAGATGCTGCGCCGATGCCTTTGATCTTCTTGTATTTGTCACCAAAGTTGACCTCAACCTCTAGGTGACGGATACGGCGAGCTCCAACTTGACAGAGCGTTGTGCCCAGGTCTTTGTGGAGTACCTCAGTTGATTCTCGGTGCCATCGCCTACCAAAAAGCGCGATAGTTGTTGGGTGCACCTCGGCTTTGAATTGAAGCTCACCGTACACAACAGCGGAGGCTTCCTGGTAGAATTGACGGCTAACCGTCAGGACTGACATCTGGCTGGCGTTGAAGGAAGTGGCTTCGACGACCTTCGGGAGTAGATAGCGGAAAATTATCAACCGCAGTTCGGTGGGCAAACGCATGATGTGGCATGGTAGAAGGTTTGTGTCGTGTTCGTGCTTAGCACAGAAGAAGAATGGTGGAGTGTAGGCGGTAAGTCGATTGCATGGGTGGCCACACTTTTCGATAGCCTGACATTGACCAGCTCGCTTCTGATACCACCGATGTTGACCGCAGACCGGAAAGTGACCTTCTTTAGCAATTCGGCCTTTGTACTTGCATGGCTGGTTGGAATATGTACGGCCGTTGCACTTCGTTGCTTGCTCGCTTGTGTGGCGGCTGCAATGGTCTTTATGATCGCTATCCGAGTCGTAGTCACTGTCGAAACCATCGTTACTATCCGATGATTCATACTGCGAGTCTGCCTTGATGCTGACGGTGGCATCGTCCTCTAGAGCTGGACCGGTTGAAGCTTCGCTGCCTGAGAGGCTTGGTGGTGGGCTAGCAGGTGGACTCGAGAGCGGAGTAGAGGCCCTCCTAGCCTTACTACGTGTGCCCACCATGGTGGGATGCGGTGAGACGGTGGTGAGAAAAATGAGGTGTAGAGGCAGCTACGTTGGTAAGCTACGGTGACGCGTCGCAAAATGCGCGCCATCACGTGTGACAACAAGGGCAAGGAAAGAGCAGTCGACGACAGGCACACCGACCTCGGAGCGACTGCAGCTGTGGACCTGGAGGCCATCGATGTTCCACGAGTAGACCCGAGTATCCGAAATTACTTCTGCCATTCAACTGCAGGACTTGCTGGAAACCTCCGGGGATCAACGACGACTTAACGCCTACAGGCAGGATCGTCGAGAGTACAGGACCGGTTAGACGCAATCGACAAGTGATTAGAGATGGACATAACGCTGCATTGATGGGTGTCTGGCAGCTGCTAAGATCATACCTACTCTGCACGCCCACAGTGTACTGACTACCTCGTCGCCGCTGTCAGGAAGATCAGAATTCTACCATCTTTTGTAGATGCGAATAGTGCGCCATAACTCCAATCATGTTTCCTGGCCTTGCTTGGCCCTCTTTATCTCTTGCTTTCCCGCCCTAAAGCTCAATCTATGCTCTCGCTCCTCGTATAGAATGACGCTTAGTTGATGAAGTTGACACAGAAGAAGTGCAACAGCAAGCTCCCAAACACAAAGTCCGCAAAAGCCCTCTCGTGCGAGATGCTCTCAAAATCAGCCTTGTTCTCGGGGTTGGTCTGGATGCGGAGGGATGCCGTGAGGACGAATTGGCCGACGCAAGCGCTAAAGCCGGAGAGGAAGGCGTTGAAGGGCTGCTCACGCGTTAGCACCAGAGATTGCAGAGCTTCAATTGCACCTGCATGTGCATTGGAGGTGTGAGAGGAGCACGCACGAAGTTGCCAACGAGCACAACGTAGAGGAACTGCAGAGCACCGACGACGACAAGGAACAGCATGAAGCTGTCGAGCAGCTTGGTACGCTGTGATGTCTTCTCAACGTAGCGGTTCCATACTCCCTGCAAGATGTCTTGCGCGTCGTTGGAGGACTTGAGTTTCGCAGCCGAGTACGGTGTGCCGGGGACGGTCTGGGGAGCGGACGTGCGTTGCTTGGGCGGCATCGTGGATGGTAGGATCGAGCTGAGACGTGCAGCGGACGGCAATGGATCGAGAAGCGTTGGCTGGTGGTGAACTTGCTGGAGCTACAGGCGCGTACGTATGCACGTTGAGGCCACGATCTTCCGGTCGGCGTCTCGGAAGTCCGAAGGGAGCTCAGCTCCCCGCAAACCCAAGATCGTCATCTATCCGGCTACCTGCACCATTCCTCAGCTCCTCTTCTCGAACACGTTACTGCAATTCAACTGAAGCCCCGGAAATCCTGAAATCTTCGAATCCACTTCCAAAAACATCCCAAAACCTTCAACCATCATGGTGAGATTCTCTACGAGCTTCCCCCATGCTCTCCATCCAATCAAAGCAGCTCAATCGCGCTCCCCGCTGACTACTCTCACAGTCTCTCGCAAACATCGCCCTTCTCCTCGGCGCTCTGACCGCCGGCGGAGGCATCACAGGCTACGTTCGCACTGGCTCCATCCCCTCGGTCGCCGCCGGCGTTACGGTCGGCCTGCTCTACATCCTCGGCGGCTTGCGCATCCAGAACCGCAACCCCTATGGCGTTGAGCTCGCTCTCCTTGCGTCCATTGTGCTCGCTGGCAGCTCGATTCCCCGCGCAATCAAGTCTGGCAAGCCACTGCCCATTGGGCTGAGTCTGTTGGCTACTTTCGGATTGTATACTTTCGGCACTGCGTTCCAGCGGGGAAGCGCGAGGGTCTAAGGGCGGGATAACCCCAAAATGAGATGCGGGAGATAGGAGACCTGTTAACTGCGCACTGTAGGATAATAAATAATGCATCAAGCCGAGTAATGTCTACTTGCATTTCCTGCCACTGATGCACTCCAATTCAGTTCCCATTCGCCTTGCCCAACCTGAACTCCTCCCTCACAGCCTCGCCCAGTCTCCTAATCCCCTCATCAATCTTCTCCGCCGGCGCCGCCGCATACGTCGCCCTGAAAAACAGCGTGTCATGGACTTCCTCGTTATCCGCATAAAACCAGCTACCGCGCAGAACCAGCGCTCCATGATCAATCACCTTGAGGAAAATCTCCTCTTCAATAATGTCAATACTCTTGGATGGGAAGTCCGGATGCTTCCTGAAATCGACCTGCATCCAATGAAACATACCCGCCATGGGCGGGTTCCAGCTCATGACCTCGCGAGGCAAATGTTTTGCGCAGGCGGCGAGGATGCCGTCGCGCCGCTTAGTGTACTCCATGCGGATGTAGATGAGCCAGTCAAGATAGCCGGCGTGGCCCCAGTGCTCGTCGAGGAGCTTGAAGAGCACGAGCTGTGAGATGCCAGATGGGTTTTGCGTCGAGCAGTCGGCGTGCCTTTGGTACTTCTCGATGACTTCGGCCGAGGCTGTGAGCCACCCGATGCGTGAACCCGGCGCAATCACTTTGGAGAAGGAGTCCAGGCGCATGACGCGGCCGTCGACGTCCATAGATAAGAGACTGGGTACGAGGGACTTGAGGAAGTCGGCGTGAGACTTGGGTGTGGGGACATCTGGAGCGTTCGGGCCGGTGTACGGCTGCATCTGAAGAAAGTAGTATGGCTCGTCTTCGATGATGTAGATGTCGTGTTTTTGGCACACCTTGTACAGTGCTCGACGACGTTCAGTCCCTTGCGTGGCACCCGTGGGATTTTGGCCGGTAGGTACTGTGTACAGGAGATGGGGTTTGCGGGAGCCTCGAGTATTGACGTCCCAGGTGGATAGAATATCATCCATGGCTCCAGGAAGCAGACCTTCGGCATCTATAGGGACACCGCATACACGAACACCCATTGGCCGTGCTGTGTCGACTGCTGCAGAGAACGTGTACTCTTCGGACAACATCATATCGCCAGGCCTGGTGAGCAGCCTAAGAGCTATATCGAGGCCGGAAGTGCTTCCAATGCTCATGGTGCATCGCCAGTCCTCATACGGCGGGTCGTGTACCATCTCGGTGTGCTCAGTAACCCATCGCAGCATCTGTGCTGCTCCAGCGCCTTGGCCGTAGTTGAATGCGGTTGCAATATCGAAAGTAGACTTGTCCTCAGCCAGATCATGTTTGCCTGCTTTGATGATCACACCAGAATCCTTGGTCTCGGCCTCAGAAAACTTGCCAACGGCGGGGACTTTTATTGTCAACTCTTCGAAGGGAAAGTATTCGCTAGAAGGTAGTCCGCCGCCTAGAGATATTATGCCTGGTGTGCTAAGGTACTTGGCTGCGCCCTTGAGGGAGTTCCCCTTTCGTATCTGGGCTTCATGGCTTAAGTGGTCTGGGTAGTAGAGTCAGTCTTTAAGTTTGTTCAAGAGCACTGTCAAGTGTTTGGACGTACGCTCCCATGACTTTGCCTTTGGCTTATGGGCGTGTGATCGTAGCCTAAAATTGGCGGTGTTGGCTGGAGCTGCGGTGCCCCATTGAGATCTGTCTATCTTTTTTCGGCGTCCGTATATGTCATTGCTCTGAACAGGAGCTGTAAGTGGATTCGGGAGCGTAATTCCAGTTGTATCCGATACTGCCGAGACCTCGATGGCCGAAGGCGGTGCCATCGTTCGTACTCTGGTGCACTACTTCGTGTGTGCTTGTTGCTTTTGTATCAATTTGTAGCGGTAGGTGGTGATCTTGACCAGCAATGCAGCTGTGACGGTGTAGTATTTAGTCGAAAATGTGTTGTATGAGTGAGTGGTGTCGGGATACGAAACCCTTTATTCACATCGGCATAGTCATGTGCATATCTCTTTCGTCCGCGCCCTGCACGCGTTTGAGACCGGCGCGGCATCATTCATGCCTAATTAGGTAGCGGCTACGTACGGATCGAGCAAGCAGCGATAAGCGAGCCAGTAGCATTCGTCACGCCCTGTGAACTCACGCCCTGTGTGCACTCCGCGTAGCACACCGATCACTTCTGTAGATGAACGCTTACGATAAGCGTAGTTACGGGCGTTGCACACCGCAAGTCCTGAGAGCAGTAGCTGTCAACTGTGTCCTCGTGGCAACGACGGGACAAAGGAGGGTTCAAAAAACGTAAACGTTCGATGTGCTGGAGCCAATCGGTGGTTTGGAAGGGTCCTTGTACCAATACACGCGCATAGACGCGAAAAGCCGCTGTCAGCCGTGCCGAAGTTGAAAGAGATACCTGTCGTCGAGAAATATGGACATCGTGGTCTGTAAAAATCTGGGGTCAAGTTAATGATTGCTACTGTCCCCGCAGACTCGATGCTACAAGAGTGCCTGCTGGTTCCGGAGCCAGATTGGCCCCGAACATTGTCCATTTCGATCATCTAGCTGTCCACGTTGACTCATTACTCTCCTAGGGTCCTGGTATAAAACGCAACGCAAATGCCAAAACAACAAACCTAGCGCTCTATGCAGCCATACTTGCAAATTCGCGATACCGTGATGCAGCCCAATATCCGGACAACTCATCTCCCAATGTACGTGTGTGCTCAGCGGGAGAGGGTGGTCAAGACCAAGACCAAAACCTTACATTACTGCGCAGTTTTCGTCTTTACCTTCCTTCCCAGCCTTCTTCAGCTTGCCCTTCTCGTTGCCTGCAGGTGTGCTCGCTTGACCTGAAGCAGCAGCCTGGATGATGGCAAGACGTTGCTTTGCTCTTTCGTCTCCATGATCGGCAGCCTTAACGTACCAGACGTTTGCTTCCAACGGATCACGTCTGCAGCCAATACCCATCTCTGTGAAGTAGCCGCAGGCGTACTCGGCTTTGAAGAGGCCTGTTTCGGTCAGCCGTTATCGAAAATCACTTGGAGAAAAATGTAAACTCACCATGTTCCGCAGCCTTCTTTGCCCATTCATATGCCTCATTCTCGTCCTTTTCCAATACCGGCTCAGCACCGACCATATACCACGCACAGAGATTCATCATAGCTTCGGGGACATCAGCTTGAGCGGCGCAGTTGTAGTAGTGGACTGAGAGTGCAGCATCCTTAGGGCAACACAGCAGTCCATGCTCATAAGCTTCGCCCAGCTTCAGGGCAGCGGATGGATGTCCCAACTCGGCGGCCTGAGTGAACAGTTGGACTGCATAGATCTCGTCCTTAAAGATGTCATCGCCGTAGCCTGTCTCGTGCAGGAGACCGAGCTCGTACGGCGCATTGTTGTATTGGTAATCGGCGGATTCGGAGGCGCGCTTCAGCCACTTCACACCTTCCCTGTACTTGCCCTGGAGACCCATATCACCCCTTAAACACGCAGAACCAAGTCGCGTAGCAGCTCCTGGGTGATTCTTGGACGCCGCAGCACGGAAGAATTGTACAGCCTTGGCGTAATCTTTGCGGCATCCCCAGCCAAACTCGTAGCAAAGGGCGGCGCGGTAACCGGACTCGGCGTGACCGTGTTTGCTCGCAGCAATGAACAATGGGAAAGCTCGATCATAGTCCGGCTTGTCCTTGTTGAATAGACCGGAGGCGTAGCCATCTGCAAGGTAGTATTGCGCGAACGGGTAGCTACGATCAGCTAGGCGCTGCAGAATCTGTCGTGCTTCCTTCAACATCTCTGCAGGTGTCAAACCATGGTCTTCGTTCGAAGGGCCGGCAGTTGTGATCTCGCGTGCGACCTGTACCATGAACAGTGCGAACTCGTACTGAACCGGACTGTCCTGCGTCTTTTTGACGTTGGCTCTGTACATTTCCAACGTCTTTTTGGTCTCGAGCAACGAAGCATTCTGTCCAACAGCGCCTCGCAGCTGCGAATTTCCTATATTCGCAGCCGGTGCTATCTGCTGGTTGTATGGCAAATTCAGCAAGTCCACGTACGAGACGGGCCTTGCGTCTGGAGACCTGCGGTTTGCCGAGGCCTGTCGCTGGTAGTTGACTGGGGAGCCATTGGGCGACGGAGATCCACCCACCGAAAGATGCGGGGAATGTGTACGATCGCGTGCATTCAATTCGGACCCAAGCGTATAGGCGGAGCTGGGTCGCGCATGTGTCGTGCGGGGAACTTGCAGTGGTGACCCTGCATTGAAGTCAAAGCCATGATTTGAATCAGCGCCCGGGGACTGAAGCGGAGAGTGGACCGGGGAGCGCATAGGGTCGCGTTCGAGGTTTGTGGCAAGAGGGGGTGCGGTAAGAGGGGGTGTGGGCTGCGAGTAGTGACCAGCTTGATGCTGCTCTCGAGGAGTGTAGACAGATTCGGGCTCGTCTTGCACGCTGGCCGTTTCTAGCTCCCCAGCATGGGAGAACCGGCTGTTATAAGAGCCATTGCTGATGTGCAACTGGCGAATTGGTATGTCCCTGGTCACCGCCTCCGAGGCAGTCGAGTCCCTGCTACCTCCTACGTCTGGAGTCTCTCGCGACGGTGTTCTTGAGTGACCGACCGAGCTTGGTGTAAGGGACGAGCCAGACTGCCTCGAATCGCGGCCTCCCGCGACTGTATCGGCATGATTGTCGATGCTGAAAGATGGGATCGGAGGTCTGCGTATGCTTCCAGAGGCGGCATTCGAATCGGAGTACGCATTGGCGTGTTGAGGAGGCGGAATCGGCGGCAGGTCCCTGGTGGGCGCTGCTGAAGCTGGCTCGGCCATTTCCTGTCAATGTAATGCGCCGGTCCCTTGAACTTCCTCGGTACGTGATGGAGATCGGCGATGCGCGCGATTGCGGAAGCGCAGATTGGAGCTTGATGGTGATCTGCGAATAACCAGGTCACAGGGCTGGGGACCACCTCGGAGTGTTTGCAATGTCTGCAGTGTCTGTTGCCAGTCAGCGTCCAAACTGTGGCGTGGAATGTTCAGGCGTTCGGCAGGCTGGAAGACATGCATGCGCTGAACCCTGGTTTGGGTCCAGTGGAACGTGGACATGTGACACTTACAGGTCAACGAACACGGAACTAGAACGTCCAGATTGCGCTGACGCAGAGTCGACTGTGTTTTCAAGGCCTCGCGAGTCCAAACTGGTCACAGCGTTGTATATGTCACGGAGTCGTGGCTGTTCAAGCTTCCCCACTATCGGCTGCAGGCACGATGGAGCACAGAAGCAGACGTGATCCTTGAACAGCCCCCACACAAGACCCTCCTCAGGTTTTCCGTTCACGCTAGACGTCAAGAACACGAGCTGCTTGGACCGCTGCGAGTGCTGAATACGAGGTCGATGATCTGAGAGAAAGCCTCGGAGGCAGATGAGCCGCTACGGCCTACGGACTCGGTTCGTTCCGAGAGTGCTGGGTCACAAGAAGGAGACACAGCTCAAGAAAAGTCCCAGATGATTACAAAATGGACCCCTGAAGGATCTCGGAGAATTTAGCTCGTGTTCAATGGCGCCGCCTTACCAATTGAGCCGCGGAGAATTGGACCAAAGACGCGCGAGGCAGAGGCTCCAAAATGGAGAAAATCCTCCTGGGGGGGTGTGAGGGTGCAGTCGTCATTCATCATGGCTCGTGCTGAGCAGCCACTGACACACTGTTGAGGAATGCAATGTGCTGCCACCACGACACCAGCTAGGTATTCATTTCCCATCCCCGACTTTCGCTTCTCACGCAGACGGGGTCAGAATCCCTCCAGGAAGGCCAGCGTACGGCACAGAAAGCTTGTGCACGCCCATCACGATACCGATGCATGGGTTATCAGGGTGTGTGGCCTGGTGTGGGAAGCCATGCAGGATCAGATGCTGGTGCTAAAACCAGGGCCTTGACCGGATGGGTGGTTTCGGCTGTCAGCCAGCGCAGCCAGCGCAGTCAGCACAGCGTGCTTGCCGCGGAGACTTCGCCGTGAGCGGCGCGCTTCTACTGCAGGCACCAAGGGGCGGAAGGATTCGGGCGCAGCACCGTATCTGTTAGGTTCTTATGGTGAGATGCGTCTAGGTATAGTGCATGCTTACGTCTCCCGTTTTACTGCGAGTGGCGATGTTGCGCTGAGCATCGCCAGGACTCCATAGCATGGGACATGGGCAGGATCTTCGTCAGAGTGGACTGCCATGTAGAAAATGGTGCAGCTCGCCGATACAGGATCAGCGAACGACCACGGGTCTAGCTGCATGCCCGGGCGTCCAGTTCCTCGTTACAGCGGGGGTGGGTCCGCGAGCATGCTCAAGATGCAGCTCGGCCGTCCAGCATGCCCAGGTGGGTAGAACGAGCAGAAGAGCGTCGGTCGCTGCTGCGTCGTCTTAAGTCCACTTGATACGACGGGCGAAAGCGATCGTTACCGTCGCCGAGCGGGATCTGCTACACTTTCGCAATCACAATGGCGGCCGTAATGGCTAGTGGTGGCTAAAATAGATCTCCTGGCCTCTGACGCCGCTGCTTCTGGCAAGGGGTACCTAGCCCCATCGCTCATCTGGTTGCCCTCACGACCTGCCGCCCATCGCCACAGGCCAGGTCCGCGGCTGATAGCCTGTCACAGCACCGAGAGCCCTGTTGCCGCGTCGTTCGTTGCGCTGCGCTGTTTTCACTGCACGATCGTTCTTTCTGTGGATCGTTTGCTGTTGCCCCAGAGCGCTCTCGCTGAAACCCACCGCACCTTGCGCCTGCCCTACCGGACGCCCGCATCGACTCCCGTGCCCGTCGCCCCCCACAGCAACAACGCCGCGACAGGCTCCACCCGCTCATTCGCACAACAACAGCAGCACCTCATACGGGCGTGCGGCTCCTGTTGCGCCGTATTCTTTCCGCCGGCCCTTGCTGGCTTGCTGGCCGATCCGTCTGAGCCGTGCAACCGCAAAGGGAGACTACATTCCGCGCAATGTCTCTGCCGCAGCGACCGGACGGCTCGCGGAGGGGTGAGAGAGACGCCTTCCGCGAGTCGACCTCGCACCGCCGCCGGAGGACTTCTGACGCCGAAAACACGCGCTCCCACGACCGTACACACAGCCATAGCAAGAGTGGCGCCCACTCGCACGCTCGCCCGCTGCCCTTGCCCGGGACGCCCGTTCCCATGGACAGAGATCCCGTCATGCGTAGCGCGCAATCCACGCCTGCGCAGGACTTGGGCAGGAAGCGCAGCCTGATCCGCCCAGACCGCCGGCGAAACGACCCCAATGACCCCAACTATCACTATCGCAAGCATGCCCAGCGCATGGACGTCCAGCCCTCGACCACCGGCAACGACCCTATCATGGAAGACGCCATGGAGGCTGAGACGGTCAGCTCCGACAGCACCGACCTGAAGCCGCCACACATGCGCAATGCTTCTGGAGGAGGTTACAACGATAAACAGGCGCCATTGGACGACGAGTCGCCGCGTGGGGTGCGCAGGCCGACGAGGAGCAAGACAATGGAGAATCTGGAGAAGCAGCGCCAGAAGGAGAAGGACAAGATGCGACCCCCGAGTCTGTGGAATGTCTACTGCGCCATCATCACATTCTGGTGCCCGGATGCGGTTCTCAAGTGCTTCGGCAAGCCGCAGAAGGCGCAGCAGCGTGCTTGGAGGGAGAAGGTTGGACTCGTCAGCATCATTCTGCTCATCTGTACTTTTGTCGGCTACCTCACATTTGGTTTCACCGAGACTGTTTGCCCCTCGAGCGGCAACGTTCGCCTGAGGGTCAATGAAGTCGGCGGAGGATACATGATCATCCATGGCAAGGCCTACGATTTGGCTCAGTCCACGCATCCGCTCGCACGAGGGGTCCCCTCGGGCGCCAACGTCCTTTTCGACCTTCCCGAGAAGCACAGTGGACAAGACGGCAGTTTCCTCTTCCAGAACGTCAACGGTGCTTGCAAGGGGCTTATCACTGCCAAAGCCGACTCAGGCATCCCGGATGTGAACGGCAACTTGGGTTGGTACTTTCCTTGCCGCACTTTCAATCAGGATGGTTCCAGCAAGCCCAACACTACCTTCCTCGAATACAACGGCTTCCAGTGCCATACCTCGGATAATGCCCGCAAGGCCTTTTACGGCCTTCGGAATGCTGGAGATGTATACTTCACATGGGACGACATTCGCAACAGCTCGCGCAACCTAATGGTCTGGGGTGGAGACGTCCTCGATCTGACCCTTCTCGACTGGTTCAATACTTCGTCGGTAGATATTCCGACCATCTTCAACGAAATCAAGAGCAACCCAGCAGTACGAGGTATCGATGTTACACGTGCCTACTCTTCCAGCTACGAGAAGCAGGTGGCGCGCTGCTTTACCGAGACCATCAAGGTCGGCTCCATAGACACAGAAAGCATTGGCTGCATCGCTTCCAAGGTCGTCCTTTACGTTTCGCTCGTCTTCATCCTGGCTGTCGTCATGGCCAAGTTCGTGCTTGCTCTGACCTTTCAATGGTTCCTTAGCAGAAAGTTTGGCGCTGATAAGACTTCCACCGGCAAGGCAGACTCAAAGCAGAGGAAGCAGCAGATTGAGGAGTGGAGTGATGATATCTACCGCCCACCACCACGTCTCGCAGACCCCGCCGCTGGACCTGATCGATCGAGCAAGCGCGGTAGCACATTCTTGCCGTCTACCTCTAGGTTCACCAGTCCCTACGCTATGGAGAAATCAGCCAAGATCCGTGCGCCGCCAACAACAATGACCAGCCAGAGCGCTGCTTCCCGCCTGCTTTCGTCCAACAACGGCATGTACAGACAACTCAACGCCAGCCAAGGCACGCTCCCAACGACATACTTCGAAAACAAGAACCAGGGCCAATCACGATCAAGCTTACTTCTTTCGGGATCAACTGAGAACCGCTACTCTAGTGTCATCGGCGAAGAAGGGCCTGGTCCATCTGGTTTCATCCACGAAGCCGTCGTTCCCCAGCCCCCTCCTGAATGGCAGCCTTTCGGTTACCCTCTGGCTCACTCGATCTGCCTGGTCACCGCGTACTCCGAGGGTGCGGAAGGCCTGCGCACGACTCTAGATTCCATTGCCACTACCGACTACCCCAACAGCCACAAGCTCATTCTCGTCATTTGCGACGGTATGATCAAGGGCCAGGGTGAAGACCTCACCACACCGGAGATTTGCTTGGGTATGATGAAGGATCACGCAATCCTTCCTCACGAGGTTCAAGCATACTCTTACGTTGCAGTCGCTAGCGGTTCGAAGCGTCACAACATGGCCAAGATCTATTCCGGATTCTACGACTATGGCGAGGACTCTCGTATCGCCTCGGACAAGCAGCAACGTGTTCCAATGATGGTCGTCGTCAAGTGCGGTACACCGGATGAGGCGACAAAGTCGAAGGCTGGTAACCGTGGCAAGCGTGACAGTCAGATCATCCTCATGTCGTTCTTGCAGAAGGTCATGTTTGACGAGCGTATGACGGAGCTTGAGTTCGAGATGTTCAACGGTATCTGGAAGATTACTGGCATATCGCCAGACTTCTACGAGATAGTGCTCATGGTTGACGCTGATACCAAGGTCTTCCCAGACAGTCTGACACACATGGTTTCCGCCATGGTCAAGGATCCCGAGATCATGGGTCTCTGTGGAGAGACAAAGATCGCGAATAAGCGGGATTCGTGGGTTTCGATGATCCAGGTGTTCGAGTAAGTTACTCCCGACGTTTGACGATCGCGCCACTGACAGCAGTAGATACTTCATCTCGCATCACCTGGCCAAGTCTTTCGAATCGGTATTCGGAGGTGTCACTTGTCTCCCCGGGTGCTTCTGCATGTACCGCATCAAGGCTCCTAAAGGTGGTCAGAACTACTGGGTGCCCATTCTGGCTAACCCTGATGTCGTCGAACACTACTCGGAGAACGTGGTCGACACGTTGCACAAGAAGAACCTGCTCCTGTTGGGCGAGGACCGTTACCTCTCGACACTAATGCTCAAGACATTCCCCAAGCGCAAACAGGTCTTCGTCCCCCAAGCCGTCTGCAAAACCACCGTACCGGATGAGTTCAAAGTCCTACTGTCACAACGTAGGCGATGGATCAATAGTACTGTCCACAACTTGATGGAGCTGGTACTAGTGCGAGATCTGTGTGGCACCTTCTGCTTCAGCATGCAGTTCGTTGTGTTCATTGAGCTGATCGGAACACTGGTTCTGCCGGCCGCCATTGCCTTTACCTTTTACCTAAGTAAGCCACCGTGCGCCCGATATAGTCGTTTCGATGCTGACGTGCTCTAGTTGCCATCGCCATCAAAGCAGCGGTCCTGCACACGGCGGCGCCCGTCATCCCTCTTGTCCTCCTTGCGCTCATCTTGGGCCTGCCAGCGGTTCTCATCGTTGTCACGGCTCACCGCTGGTCTTACGTCGCCTGGATGTTTGTCTACCTGCTGTCGCTTCCCATCTGGAACTTCGTGCTTCCTACGTACGCGTTCTGGAAGTTTGATGACTTCAGTTGGGGCGACACCCGGAAGACGTCAGGCGAGAAGACGAAGAAGGCGGGTCTGGAGTATGAAGGCGAATTCGATAGTAGCAAGATTACGATGCGGAGATGGCACGACTTCGAAGCAGGTAAGGTGCACAACTTTCCCCTGACGATGCCTGTCACTAACCTGACGCGCCAATAGAGCGTAGACTTAGGACACCTGGCGGGGGGTGGTCACAGACGACGACATCGGCTGGGGGATGGCAGCAGCAGCAGCAGCAGCAGCAAGGATATGAGCCGTACTATGACAACTGATTTTCGCATGGTGGCGTTGCTTGGGAAGGGAATCTGTCCTGTCGTTTGCGCGGCGGGCTAAAAGACTGCATATTGTACTACGTTGCTTCTCACTGCATTGCCAGGATGCTCGGGTGTCTTCTCACGCCATTTCGCTCACTTGTAAGGGTACTGTAGATGTTGGAACGGGCCGGTACAGAGGCCATTTAGAATAATTGTAGGCTTAATGCATTCATCCAGCATGGGGGAACTGGTAGCACACGGCGCAACGTCGTTGAAGTTGCGGCAGCTTGTCCTGTCTCCACTATGCACTGACATTCCTCGCCGTGTGGCGGCTGTCGTGGAGTGCCAGCGACTGCGTGCACAACATACTCGTGCGCGTCTTGGCTGGAGGTGCCCGTCGCACACAACGACGGACAGTGGCCAGCAACAAGGCCGCTCCTGCTCTCGTGCAATGCCCGTGTCCTAATCTGGACTGACATTATCTCGTCTCGCTTCCTGACACGGGCGCAGGAAGACAAAAACGGCAGTCGAGCCACAGGACAGGGAGGCCCGGACGAATGTGCGAGGAGTGATTGGCGACAACACATGAGTTGTGTAACATCGCCAGCGCGCAGTACCCGTTGTCGTGTTGGCAGGAGGCCATGTGAGCTGTAGCACATATTGCATCGACCACCCCCCCGCCTTTGCTCGTTGGAACCCCGTTGTGCAACTGCAAGCCCGGGCGCACGCTGTGCCGGCCGCTTAGCCCTGACAGAGGGCAACTGGCGTAGCTGGCGTTTGCACGGTAATGCGCACAGATCTGCGGCGTGAACATGTCGAGATCTGTGTGTCCGAGGGGTCTTTGGGCAGCAGTACAGCTTTGTGGCATCGTGGCATGATGGAGCGGCTGCTGGCTGGAGATCTGGGGAGGCGTGCCTGGCCTAGATCGGTGCGGCGCGCAACACAATCGCATGTTCCCGAGCCAGCAGCATCTGGAGTCGCGTCTGCGAGGGTTCCCAGATGGGCGTTCTATCAGCGAGGAGTGGATGAGCCGCACTGCATGGTCAGATCACTGCTGCGCGGCGGCGACGCTGCTCCAATAACTAGCGCAGTGCACCGGCATGGACACCCCACAGTCGTCAGTACAGCGCTTCCTCTGCCTGCAGCAGTGCAGCTCCCGTGCAGGACATGCGGGAGAACAGTCAGCAACGACTCGGGCGGCGGTCTTACATAGCGCCTGCGTCCTGCATCCTGCGTCCTGCGTCCTGCATCCTGCATCCTGCGTTCACATGTGTGCTTGGTGAATGCACTGGTGAATGCACGTCGTCCAGTCAGCCTCCACCCCACGCCGCCGACACTGTATAGACTCTGTAGAGACTCTAGAGAGCCCGCCGCGCCGCCCACTAATAGCCCGCGCGACTGCAGCCGTCCTCACCTCAGTCGCATACCGCTGCCACTGTTCCTGCCGCTGCCACTGTTCCTGCCACTGCCACTGCCGTTGCCACTGGTCCTGCCACACTGGTCCTGCCCCAGCGGCCCTGCGACCGACACTGGCTGGCCGACACAGCGACCGCGGGTGGCCATGACCAGCCCGCACGATCCGCTGCCACACGCCTACGAGCAGCACCACCAGCACCACCTCGCGCCCGCGCCCCCGACGAACGCCACACTCTCCCACGCAGGCACCACGCCGGGCTACGCGGGCCCCTCCAGCGCGCTTGCTCTCGCGGCGACACTCGCCTCGCTGTCGGACAGCAGGGAAGATGCACTAGTCAGCGACGACGACGAGGGCGGGGGCATATCCTTAGACTTGAGCGAACCACCACCCGAACCGCCACCCGCACCGCCTGCCCTGCTGGCAGACTCCCTGGGGTCTGCTGCCATCCACATGCATGCCGCCATGGCCCACCTGCAGTCCTTCGCACACGACACCATCCCGCCGCTGACCAGCGACATGACCTCCTTCCATATCAACAACGTCCACCTGCCCCCGCCCCCGCCGTATCTAGGGCACCTCTCGAGCTCCGAGCCCTCGCTGGAACCGCTACCCGCATGGCCCGAGGCCTACCAGAGCATCAAGGACAACTACCAGTTTGTGCCCATCACCTCCTTCTTCCACTACCTCACTCCGGAGAAGTCCACAGTGCCTGGACTCGACCTTGTCAAAGTACCGCACGTCATCACGCGGGAAGATCTGCAGGGCGACAGCTACGATTTCCAGGGCATTGATTGGACCGCACGAAACACCACAAGAAGCTCAGTACGAAGCAAGCGAAGAGAATGTGAGCAGGTACGGCTGTCGCCCAGCCGGAAAGAGACCCGCACAGTAGGCAAACCCTGAAATATTGGAGTGGTGCCCAGGCTAACTTGGGCCAGCGTTGCACTGCACCGATACGCAACACGGACAGCTTCTTCTCCTTTCGAAGAAATACCACCTCACATCGTGCTTACTGCCCTCACTTCCAGCTCCGGAACATACTCGCGGCGACATCTCGAAATGATATCTTCTATGCAGCTGGTCAGAAAGTTATGCGTACTGATGCTGAGGGTTCTCCCGCAGACGCTGTCATAGACATGAGCAAAAAGACGGCCCTGGATGGTTCCATTACGATAATAGCGACTCTCGACGATGTCTTGATAGCGGGTGCTTTTGAGGGCGAGTACGCCATCACTGACTTGTCGTCGACGGCAGGTACCCAATGCACGTTCGGCCGCACATCAGACTTTGCTACAGACACAAAGTCCAAGATCGTCAACCACCTGCATCTTTTCGAATCCAGAACCACGTATCGCCCTCAAGGTGTCTTCTGCTCGAATGACCATCGCTTGCGCATACTGGACTGTGCAACCAACACATTCACGCACAACTTCCAGTACTCGGCTGGTGTCAATTGTTCGGCTACCAGCCCAAACGGCCGAATGCGTGTCGTGGTTGGTGACTTCCACGAGACGCTCATCACGAATGCGGAAACGGGGCGACCCTTCGAGACTCTCAAGGCTCACACTGACGACGCCTTTGCATGTGCCTGGGCAGATGACGGCATTCACATCGCAACCGCAGCTCAAGACTCAACCATTGTTGTCTGGGATGCGCGCTACTGGGCCCAACCCCTCACTGTCCTCACAAGCGAGGTCAGCATCCCCCGAGCCCTCCGCTTCTCACCCCTCGGCTCTGGCCCACGCGTCCTCGTCGCCGCTGAGGCAGATGACTACATCAATATCATCAACGCACAGACCTTTGAGTCGAAACAGGTCTTCGATTTCTTTGGGCCCCTTGGCGGCGTCACGTTCACGCCCGATGGCCAGTCTCTCTTCGTCGCCAATGGCGAGCGCAGATTTGGCGGTATCATCGAACTAGAGCGCACCGGCTGGGCTGAGCGTACTGCGAGACGCGGCTCATTTGACAACGAGCGCGATGAGCTCGTCACTGACTGGGCGCGCGATGATCTCCTTGGCGACTTTAACGAATGCCACTCTGGCCCCGTCGAGCGGCAGAGGAGAGGCGTCGATTTCAGCCAGCTGGTCGTATGACGGCGGCTTTGTAGATGTTTGCACCAACATGGTAGGCTATGGGGGAATTATTCATGATGCATCATGGCCCTTCTCCTTCTTGCTTTTTTCAAGGCGTTCATAGAGGCGGGCCGGCCCTTTGGTAAACACGTTGGATTGGATTGCAGGACTGGAAGATACCACGGCATCATCGGCATTGCGATTGGTGTTGACGAGTATTTTAATATACATTTTCATGATATATATTGCAGGAAAATTTTATCGTACTGCTCAAATCTATTGTAATACTTCTCATTTCACTCCAAATGTCTGCGTGGCAAGTGCTGATGAGTATGTTCACATTTCAATTTGATGTTGAGGACGATTACATGATATCGCACTTCGCCGGCAACCCACAGGGCCCCTCGCTATCCTTCTGTTTCTCCTGAGGACCAGTAGGCTGCTCAGGTACCCTCTGCGTCGTCTGTGCTGCGGTCGCTGTCTCCTTCACGCCATTACTTGTCCCGTTTTGTGTTTGGTTTTGTGTTGTAGTCGTATTTGGCGCATTGCCATTAGCCACGGCAGCTGGAGCAGCCTGCTCAGCCTTGGACCCCGTCTTGGATGTGCCATCTAGTCACGGGTGAGCCTTGGCCACTGCGGCGTAGAATACCTTGCCCTGCTCAGTCGCAATGCTGAGTTCGAGCGCAGTAGGCTGACGGCTGCCGTCAGCGCCGGAGAAGGTTCCCGCGCCCCAGGGCGATCCGCCGTGGACCTCCTCGAGGTTAGCCAGCTGGGCGAACACCGTCTTGTAGCCAAGGGGAACGTAGATGAAGCCGTGGTGCGTCAGGGTCGACATGGCGGCAATGGCCGTCGACTCCTGGCCGCCACCGAGCGTGCCGGTGCTGATGAATAGGCCAGCGTACTTGCCCCAGAAAGAGCCCTGCTGCCACTGCTTGCCGGTCTTGTCCCAGAAGGTCTTAAACTGGGCGGGGAAGTTGCCGTAGCGCGTGGGGATGCCGAAGAGTACGGCATCAAAGGCTTCGAGCTCCGAGGGGTCGTTCAGAACGGGGATGTCGGTGGGCTTGGGAGGCGCGTACATCTTCTGCAGGACTTCGTCCGAGAGCGTCTCGGGGACCTGGAAGAGGGTGGCGTCTCCGCCGGCCTCGCGGATGCCCTTGAGCTCAGCGTCGGCCTGTGTGATTCTGTTAGTACGCGAGCTTGCTCGATATCATGACCACCAGCAGTGTACGGAACGGCTCTGTACGAAGTCGTAACAGATCCGAACCTACACGGTGAGGAAGTTCGGATGATTAGAGGAGCTTACTAGTGTCTTGACATGACCGTACATGGAGTAGTAGACGATAGCGATCTTGGGAGCCATTGTGAGTGTTTCGGGGTATCAAGTAACAGAAGAGACGGGTGGGGTGTCGGTTCAAGAGGAGGGGGCAGCAGCTGCTATTTATACAGCAACATCAGTGCGATAAGAGCATTCCAAGTCGGGCCAACGACGCCGATTGCTGCAACTGGACCATGGCATCAGCCTTGCTGTCTACGCATGAAGCCATCGATGCTTCCCGATCGCGGTCAAGCTCGCGCGAATGCTCTCGCTTGAGCCGCACTAGCGCCAATCAGAGGTGGGGCACTGATTATCAAAGGCTCTGTAATGGTTGCCAATCTTCAGAAGGCTGCCTCGCCCTGCTGACCGTGAGGCACTGCGACCGCGGCACCCTTTCCGTTCCTGAGACTTTCTGCTGCTGGTGACGCGATGACTGCAGGCTCTTGATAAGCAGTGTCGAGTGCGGCAGAGACGAGCTTCTGAGCCGTTTGCAGCTTACTGTTTGGTGTGTAAGCATTGAGGTACCTGACGTTAGTCTCCTTGGGTGTTACGGTCTTCGGCAATGCGGGGTCGGTGCGGTCGGTGCGATCGGCTGAGGAAACGGGTCGACTTCTTACGCACATCGCACGACAACCAGATTCTGATCCACGATCGGTCTTCGACTGCCACCACAACATCACCAATTGGTAAAGATTGAGAATTCGCAAAGAATACATTGTTACATGCCTAAGTGAACGCTGGAATGCTAGAAGGGGGCAGCGTCCCGCCGCCCCATGCAAATGCCCGCCCGAAGAAAATGCTCGAGGTGTACAGAAACTTTTTGTTCTGCGTGACGGTGGCTCTTTGGCCTGGTATCATCCAGGCTCGCTGCCTGTTCGCATGAGAAGTCGTTGAGAGTAAAGTCGTAATGCTGAAAATCGCCATAGGAGTACATAAGAATCGAAAATGGTTCATCGATCGCGCTGCGATCAGGTCGAGATGGAGTGGAACCTCCTGCGCACACCAGCTAGGAACTCATCCTCGTCGATGCGCTGGAACGGTCCCTCCTCCTCTTTCTCGTAGAGGCCGGTGCTGCCGTATGGGCCCTTGCCGCTGAACTCGACGTTCGCGGGCCAATGACCGTCGGTGATGGCCTGCGCTAGAGCGAAGTCGCCGTGGACCGAGCTGGATCCTGGCTCGAAGATGCAGTCTGCAAAAAAAAGCTCAACGTAGAGCTCCTGTGGGATGGTGCTCTCAGCACGTCGTTGTACCAAGGCGCGAGCCTGCTGCAGCAACGTCTGCAAAGCATCTGTGGCCTCCTGGGTCGAGCGCCCATGCTCGTGGCCGCACAAGTGCAGCGCGCGCACCTGCATGTCGCCCCGGAATTTGGCGTCCTCGTGGGAGAACAGGTCTGCGCATACGGAAGGAAGAGAGATCGACAAAGTCTCAAGCTTCGGGCAGCTTCGGAATGTCCCGCAAAGGTGCTCACTGTCACTTGGGGATCCAGGGTGAGGGTGCCAGAAGCCATCCTGTGACCGTGGGCTGTGCTCGAGTACCCGGAGGGTCTTGCACGATGCCTTGACAACAGCCATGACACCATCGATGGTGATGGTGGAGATGCAGGTCATGTGGAACTCCTCAAGCTGGGTTGCGGTACGAGCAATGGCAAAGAGATCGTCATCGGTGATTGGCATGAAGGTGGTGTCACCGAAGATCTTCAGTCGCCTCAGCCGACCGAAGTTGACCGACTGCAGCGCCTGGAGATCGACTTGGTTCTCCTTCTCCGCAGCCTGCTGCGAGGTGGGGTCGATGCACTGAAGCTCCAACGACTCGAGGGGCTTGCCATTACCGGTTAGGAGAGTCCTCCACGAATGCGCGTCCAGATGCCTGATCGTGGTCCAAGGAACAGATAGAGATGTGAGGTTGGTGCAGTTCTTGAGGGAATCAAAGATCATGCGGTTTGTCTCGGCTGTGTAGAATCCGTGGAACCACATGCGCTTGATCTTAGAGGCCAGCTCCGGGAAGTCGTTGAAGTTCCTTACAGTTTGCTTTAGGGAAGCAAAGGGATCGCGATAGACAGCCGTGCCAGTAGGGCGATCAATGAGCTCGTACAAGGGGTAGCTTGACCGTCGGTTGGACAGCTCTGCCCACCGCTGGAGATCGTTAGACTGGGTTCACTCTATCATAGATGCGTCATGCTTACCTCGCCTCCCTTCCAACGGCGGATGTACACATTCTTGAGGGCGTACTCCAGGGCCCACTCGTGCCATTGCCAGCAGACGGTCCGAATGGCACAGATGGCATCCCACTTGAGCATCTCAGGTGGAACGGGGCCTCTCACATAGCGCTGGAGAGTCGACTTCTGGAGTGGCAGGGGCGCCTGGGATAGCCCAAAGGTGTATGCTGGGCCATCTCGGATATTGGCTTCGGCAACCTCCTCGAGGATCTTGGAAAGGATTTCGAACGGTAGGTGCTTGATTTGCATTGAATTATCGACAATGGGTACGTGGGTGATTCTGGTTTGTCGACGATACGAAATAGGTGCTGGTAGAAGACTGCTTCTATATTTGTGGCGATATGAGGATGAGTTGTGGGTAAAGCGAGATAATCGGTTCAGGTCAGGTGGTCTGAACCTCAGGTGAAGTGGGAAGTTGTCTCTTATAGTGAAAATCGCCCTCACTCATCAGGGTGCAGAATTTTATTAGACAAAAGGCACCGTGGTACGTTGTTAGTCAAGAGTCAAGAGTTTCCCCAGCTCCATGCAGCAGCGCCAACTGCTCGGACGCCGGGTACAGCAGTGGAGCAAAGCTAAAAAGATCATTCTGGCACAGGGCATGAATGACACGAATTGACCAATGGGCTGGGGGCCATACGGTAGCACGCGCGTGCTTCCGCGACGGAGAGGCGTTGGAGAGCCTGGTTGTCTCTGCCATGAATGGATTTCTGTGATGTAAGAGTTTGCCAAGCGGTCCTTTCCCCGGGCTGGGCAGAGCAGAATCAGCGACTCAGCCGTCACGTGCAGCTGGTCACAAGGCCATCTCGCAATTTCGAGGGGGTAACAGAATGGTGTTTCTGACACATCAAAATCCTTTGGCAAGACCCTCCGACCACCGTTTACTGTCCTCGTGCTTGCGAAGCCCTGTGCAGCTGGGCGTCCTCTTGGGTCGGACGTTTGCAAAGCACGACGCTGGTGTTGTCGATGCAGCCGATGCATGCCGCCTACCGCTTCGGTGCGCTGTCGAAGCCTCGCTCCTCATATCACGATCCTTAGAAAGGAATGTGCGGAGAAGGCGGCTTGCGCGACGTTCCTGCAAGCACCTGGTTGCACAACTTCCACAAGGATTGCATGTTTCCGCGACTCCTGGCGGCTGCAACTGCCAGTGTCGCCATCGATATTCGGTCTCACACCTTCGATTTCGTCAACTGTCGCCATGATGTCTCACATAACTCAGCTGTTTCTGCGTCCTGACGTGTTGTTGAGGCCTTCACGGTGCCCCCGCCTGTAATAGCACTAGGGCGCTGTCAGCGCCACGGCAATTTTGCATTTACTCAATCAACGGCTTTCAGCGACCATGATGATATCCCGCATACCGACGTCTCGATCAAAGAACCTGTAATCTCGGGAACGATACCGGTGCCACCTGCCTTCGAACCTTCATCTCCTGGCATGGACCACCGCGAATTTTCACCATGTCCTCAAATTTACCGGCAAGGACGCGTCTCCAGCGTCTGCATGGAAACGAGCTTGGCTGCAGCAGCTTCGTCTTCGAAACAGCTTCTTTGGTAATCTGTTACGTTTTCGAACCTTCCCCGCCATGCGACCCTCCTGTCTCCACATGCCTCGTTGACGGTCCGGAAGCTACTTTAGCTCGAAAGGCCAACATAGCACACCGTAACAATTTTGATTGCAGACTAGAACTGAGGCTGCTCCTGTGGCTGATCAGACAGGAAGGCCGGGTGAGCTGCTGCTTTCACGCTGATCTCTGAAGATCCTACACTGCATGGCTCTGGGCGCCGCACATCTTATTCACAAGGTGAAAATGGACGGAGGCGCAGCCGGGTTGTTCTGAGATCAACGACGCTTCCCCAGAGCCTTGAGATCCAAGGGACGCTACCCCGCAAAACGATCTTTGACCCCTGACACGGTTGACTTTTGCCTCCTGCAAAGCGTAGGGCTCAGACCTGACCTATCGCACGCACTTGCCAAAACCATCAGGGCCAATTCTTCGGGAATCGCCAACCCGTCTCGGGGATGCTATAGCCTCTGCTGTTCCGCAGTCTGGATCCGGGATCACGAGGCTGGCCGTATGACACGTCTCTTCAGCGCTAGGCGCCGCAACACTACTGAAGACATCGTGACCTTCTTCTTTTCGCCCCAGCTTCCAAGCATCGTGAGATTCGTAAGCTAACTATTTTTACAGTGTCTACGTGGCAACTCGGAGGCGGACCCTGGATCCGCCGGCAGTGCACAGATCACGGCACAATGACGCGATACCGCATATTTCCGGACGGTATCGATTGATCGTCAATCCAGCAACTCTTCTAATGTTCACAATCAAACCGCAAGGGACACAGAATTCAAAACTGCGCATCGCTGCTACGAAATGCTCGCACATGACCATCGGCATTCTGTACCTGCGACAGGGTCTGGCGTTCGTGGAGCGCTCAGAGCGACGTCAAGTCCATATCTTTGAGGCTCGAGGTTGACAGTTGCTCACTCGGGAAGCTGACAGACGTAGTACTCATCTCTGGCGTCCAGGAATATTGAACGTCTCTTATCGATGTAGCACAATGTTGCGGCTCGCTATCATCCACGCCCCGGCTTTGAATACCGTGCCAATTGCACAACGGGTTGTTATCTTCTCACCGGCAAGGACACACCTGGAAGAGGATGTCTTGAGGTGTAGAGGGTGCACATACATCTCTCCAAGTACATTGACTCCGCCGTCTATACGGGCTCGGCCGGGCAGGTTACGGACACCAGAGGACAGGTCATCTGATTGAGGATGATTCTGCTGCCAACGAGAATAAGCGAAACATTGTGCGCGATCACGATAGCTTCATATCACTCTCACACCAGTGTCTTGATATCAGCAGGCACTATGTCCATGCCGCTGGCTTTTAGTTTCGAGGATTGCGAGAAAGCACGCGCACACAACAGACATCTTCTCTTGGCTCGTGGAATCAACTGGGGACATATCTGAGATTGAAGAAATACTCCATGCCTATCTGTAGGTTGTTTCCCGGGTCGCAAAGTCTGGAGTGAACCATGCAGTCTTTGAACGCTGCGTAAGGCAATGTCTTCTTTGAATACCGAATGAAGTTGCTCGATTTTGCTGCTGAAGAGTGAAACGGTTATCCAGGTGAAGGGTAAGCAGATGTTTGGTTCCGGAAGAGGCTCTTCACAGTCACCATCGAGCTCAAGTGAAAACAGCAAAGAGACAGTCCCGCGCACCCGGAACTAGCCACGTGCAAGCTAATAGATTGAAAAGTGATAGCGGCCGGCTTTTGGTCCGGCTTACAATCAGGATCAATAGAACTCCCCACTCCCTCGATAATCGCCGCAGTGTTAGAAAGCACTTTGCTTCTAAGGCCACGGTCTGTCGGAGCATTGGGGAACCCGACAGAATATCTTCCATATCTCCGTGGTCGTGCGAAGACTTGATTTTGGATGTGGGTGGTCAATGGCTTCCGCTGGGCACTATACCAAGTGTCGGCCATGTGCCGACCAGAGAGGCTTCGTATATCTTGCGAAACGCGGGGAAGAGTGCTTCCACGTACCAGCAGGCGAGATCGCATACACCCATGCAAAGATCCAGGATACTTGACCGCTTGATAGGACGGGATTTAAAGATAGTCTCCGCATACGCAATTTGGCAATCCCTGTCCGGCATCTAAAAACACGTTTCGTCGGCAGTCTACAGCCTTAGAGCTAACCGCTTCGCGTTTTACACTCCAATTCAGCAGCAATTTGGGTGAGCAATCGGCGACCATCTCGATGAGAGGCAGCGGAAGTGCAATGTACCAGGAGGAGTACCGGCAGATTTCATTCCTTGTCTCTATTTTCTCCGCCTCCCATGTATGTCACAGCTCCTCGCTCGACTGTGTATATATGTGTCGCTGCGGCTTCGATATGAGGTCAATCCACAATCCAATCTACAATCCACTGCCGACATGAAGTTCTCAACTCTTGCACTAGGAAGCGTCATTGCTACCGCCAACGCAGCCGTTCTAGGCGATCGCTCTCAGTTCAAAGAGCGCGCTGCCAATGCTGTTGTTGGCACACCAGAAGGTTTTGCGTCAGGAACGACTGGAGGAGGAAGCGCTGCTTGTTTAGTTCCCTCCAGCGTAGCTGAGCTGAAGACATGGCTCACTGACAGTACTGCTCGTTGCATTGTGCTTGACAAGGAGTAAATAATCCACGTTACTTGCAGTCAGCATTCGCTAACGACCTTAGATACAACTTCAAGGGCACAGAGGGCACCACGACTGAGACGGGATGCCGGCCAGCCTCTAACACGTGCCCAGGCAACGGCGGTCAGGATGCCATCAATAAAGCCTCGTGGTGCACCAATGGAAATGCAGGTGCTGGTGTCACGTCTATCAGCGTGACTTACGATACTGCTGGTGTTTCAGGAATTAACGTTGGCTCTAACAAGAGCATCATTGGCGTTGGATCGAAGGGTGTCATCCGCGGGAAGGGTCTCCGTATGGCGAATGGTGCGAAGAACGGTAGGCAAGAACACAGGTGTTTGGCATTCGCTGCTTTACTGACATGTTTACTCAGTCATCATTCAGAACATTCACATTACGGAGGTTCGAATTCCTATTGAGATAGCTGAAAGTGGCTTGGCTAATCGTATCAGCTCAACCCTCAATACATCTGGGGCGGAGATGCCATTACTGTAGATGGCTCTGATCTGATCTGGGTCGGTGAGTCGGAATCATCCCTCTTTGGAATCTCTTTGTGGTTGCTAATCCGTTGACAGACCACGTCAAGGTCTCCCTCGTCGGCCGCCAGATGTTTGTCGCTGGTAACTCGGCTTCTAACCGAGTGACACTTTCCAACAATGAGTTCGATGGCACAACTAGTTGGTCCGCCTCGTGCGACGGTCATCACTACTGGACTATCCTCCTAGTTGGATCCAACGATCTTATCACCATGAAGGGCAACTACATCCACCACACCTCTGGTCGCAGCCCTAAGGTTGGTGGCAACACCCTCCTCCATGCCGTCAACAACTACTTCTATGCGAACACTGGCCATGCTTTCGACAATGATGCCGGTGGTATGGTTGTTGCTGAAGGCAACGTGTTCCAGAATGTCGTAACGTGAGTGAGCCATCCTCATTTCTGTGACCCGAGACTGACTTGACTCGCTAGGCCACTTCTTTCCAACTCCGGAAAGTTCTTCGGTTCTCCATCAACAACTACGAACACTGCTTGCACCACTAACTTGGGACATGCATGCCAATTGAATGCCTTTGGCAGCTCCGGCACACTTGGTGGTACGGACACGAGTTTCTTCAGCAATTTCAGTGGCAAGACTGTCGCTACCGCTTCTACAGCGAGCGCAAACATTGCAAACACTGCCGGCGTTGGAAAGATCTAGACCTCCATCACGCATTGAGCAGGTACAGCGCCTCAGTTGCACGGTGCTTCGATGATAGTGTTTATATAATACGAGAAGCACAGGTACTGTCACGTGATGCTAGTATATCTCCTTTACATATTGACCTCCTACTACGTAGCTTTATAGTTCATACATAACTTACTTGCGTACTACGTACCCCATACTATGACAATTATTACAAAACGGACAAGACTCGCTAAGCCTTCTCATACGTGTCAACGATCCCCGCTGTCGCAGCGAGGAAGGCATGCCCCAGATGACCATTCAAATGGCAGCGTTGTAGTCTCTCAATTTGATCGGCTCAACTGGAAGTTCTTATTTCTTGAGAAAGCTGTTATAGAAAGGACTGCACCTTGGTCGCGCTTGGTCAGCATCGTTCGCGCAACCTCCCATGCCGTATGTATTTCGAAATATCTAAGACTGCTGTAGATCTGGCGACGATGATTTCATACTGAAAGACATACCTCAAAGCATTTTTCCAGTATGTAACGAAAACATCCGACCAAGATTTGCTCAAACTCCGCGCTTACACCTTCTATTAGATACCATATCAGACCGGCGCACACTTGTAAATGAATACCTGGATGATGAGTTTCTTTGAGTCTGGTTCGGAATCAGATGTCAATGCTAGCTATCAATGCTACTTTGCATATGCACGACCGCGACGTTGTCCATTTAGGTAAGCCCAACAAATCATTTCTCCACACAGTCAATACGAGTGACCGATACTCTGTAGATGTTAAGCTTGATAATGTTCTGATCAATTATCGCCATCTTAACTAAGACGTTGCAGTTGAAAAGGTACAAATACCTGATCTCAAGAATGCAGCGTATCTCCCAAAGCCCAGGTGTATTGAAGGAATGCTCGCTGGAAATGATAATTGGCACAGCCCTGCGAGTCACTTCAAGGGAGAGCTCTACAAACCATCTAACTTATACTCGTTCAGGTTAGTAGTAAGTACTCACTATGAGCAAACAGTTTTTATTGCTAACATAGCAAGTGTATTTACGCTGCTCTGGGGCGTGTCATACTAGGGCCTAACAATGACTTTAAACTGCACGAATCAAGAGGCGCACTACTTGCATCTGTCTGCCTGCAGCGCCAAGTATTATATTTAGGGACAGAGAAGGGTTAAAAAGGCTTATCAAGCATGTATGCGATGAAGGAGCAAACTGCGAGGTTCTTAAAATGCTTTAGGAGGATCGGGCGGCAGATTATATCCTATGTGTGCTGTTCCTAGAGTGGACAGATATCGACTCGACGTTAAGGACTTGGTCCAAGTATTAAACAATCTAGACCCGTCACAGCAGTTTACAGCTCGTCAAGCATTGGAATATCCCTGGGTTAAGGGCATCAGAACTACTTACTAGTAGCGCAACGACATCGATCAGAGTGATGGCGCAGAATTCCAAGCTTGGAGCAGATTTGCTAAGCTCTTAGTCCATAGGTTGGATTGGGTGTTGAGTGGCGTGTACCTCCCCAAGATCGTTGTATTCCGTTTAGTGATTGCAGAATCGAGAGCCTTCCTTGCAAGCACAAGGTCCTTCAAAAATCATTGCCTGCTCCAAAGCACATGGGTATCTTTTGCTACATCCCCCTATATGCACACTTCCTACTGTTTTCCCTCTGCAAGCAGCTTCGCGATCTTATCCTCTAGCATCTTGATATCATCACCTACGACCTTGACGTTCCCTTGCATTGCCTTCTCCTGCTTCTTTACGTCTTCCTCTACCAGTTCTAGTTGCTCCTCCCACTTCTTAATCTCTTCTTCTTGCTTCGACTGCCGCGACTCCAGTTCAGTCAGTAGCTTGTCTGCTTGCCAAGCGCTCGTATGTACAAGGCGCAATGTACGTAGGCGCTCGAGCACCAGGGGCAGGATTGGCGAGAGCCTGTCGATTGAAGGCAATGTGCCGTAGAGTGCATTGATCTTAGCCTCCTGGTCAGGCGTTGGGGTGTCGTCCGAAGTTCCAGCGCGCGATGCTTCCAGTCGCGCTTCTTTGAGGTCCTCAGCCTCCTCTATCAGTCTCTTAATTTGCTGTGATGCGCCGTCAAGATTGTTTGTCGAGGCGTCGCCAATAGCGCCAAGCGTTTGCTCTAGCCTTTGTAATGTCGTGAAGACTGGTAACGTGGAATCCTCGCTCGTCTCAGGAAGAGAAGTGCCATTAAGCCCAAGGCTACTCTCCATCTGCGTTATTCTCATGTCGAACTCAGCCACCTGGTTCAACACATGCTCCAATTGACTCCTTTGGATTTGCGATCCAGGCAAAGGAGGTTGCTTTGCGATGGCTGCTGCGATTTTCGAGCTTGGCGCAAAGGGCTTGTAGTCAGTGAACTTCTGTATTGTCCTGTCGAGCAGCGGTTCTGCTCCTCCCCTCCGCCTTGCATAGAGCTCGTCGACCTTATCTGAGATGAGGTCCATGACCTCCTTGGCGTCTCGTTCCTCGATCTGCGCCTTATCCCCGGACCGCTTCCTCTGCTCGTACTCGTCCTCCAGCTCCTGCAACTCCTGCTTCACTCTCATGAGCTTCCGCGAGAAGCCTTCCTGCTCTTCGTCGCTGTCGTCGCCCATAATGTCTCCTCGCCGCCGATGCCGTGTGTATATGCGGTATGCCTGCCGTTGCGCGGCATTATCCGAGAAGTCCACGCCGTTGGCGTCTACACGCGAGGTCTGAAAACGGTTGCGCGCCTCGCCAGGCTGCAGACGTTGGTGGCTGACACCAGCGCTGTCTGCATCAGAACCGTAGTCTGACTCGGATATCGCCGTCGAGGCTTGTATTGTTGAGACATCTTCAGCAAGTTCGGGGGTCTCGTAAACGTCTGGTGCGGTGTCGATCCCAGGAAGGTTGTCAAACTTTGGTCGTGATGCTTCTTCTGTGGCCATTGTGAAGTGGTCGTGGATACGGACTGGAAAGGAGAGGTGCGCCGGCGAGGTGGGGTGTTGAGGTTGTGGGGTGTAAACCTTGGGAACGCGTCAATTGGGAGTCGCGACCGTCCGTGCGCGCGATGTGCCATGTGCACCTCAAAGTTGAGCGCTGAAGGTCTGGGAACGGATCAAGCAGATTGTCCCGTATCAGACGTCATGATCACATTTGGATCACGAATGTAAGGAAGCGATGCTATGGGGTGTTCAGAATGGGTTGGAATTGCTTTGTCTTCTTCTCGGTGACTAACACATAGCTGGATATGCGCTTATGCTTGAACCCTGAATGTTCGCCCACTGGCGGTCTTGCGCTCCTTCTCTTCAGACTCAGGCCTGGCTCTTCGCAGGACTGTAGCATGTTGAGCGCGTGGAAATCTACACGAAACACACGTGTCAACGTACCTTGAAGGAAATCGGCGGTCCTCTTGCGCATTCTCGAGTGGATGAACGCCTTGGAAGCCTTAATGTGGTAGTGGAAGTAATCGCGGAAGGTCTGGATGTGAGAGATGACCTCAGCGCGTCGGGCAGCCGCCAAATGGCGAGGAAACAGGACTGGAAACGGTCAGCAACATCTCCTGTGCAAGCCTGGTTAGACCCACCAAACGTAATGTAGCCAATATCAGCAGAACCAGAAGTGTCGACGCCTGGAATGCCTTGAAGCTCAAGAGGTGGATCGTTGCGGAAGAGCACCTGGGGCGCGTTCTGGATAGCCCTCCGCCTTGCGTCGACGAACTCTTGGAGGAAAACCTTTCCAAAGATCCTGTCTGTCTCTTCCCTGAAAACAGTGGAAAAGATGACTGTAACACGGTCGAAACTGGCCTTGATGTATATCGCTTCCTCCTCACGGTAGTGTATCGCGCGCACCTCACCGCCCTCTTTCACACCCTGGGGCGCAGACTCTGAAGTGTACTTGGAAGCTTCCTCCTGCAGTTGCGCAAACTCGTCGAAAGCCTGCTCAAAGGGTGCAGCCATTGCATTCCGCTTAAGAAGTGATATGCGCCTGATGAGATCATCACGGCTCTCTGGTAGCTGTCAGCCGCTGCCTGGTTCCAAGTGACTGATCCCCGTACCCTTATCTTCTGGCAGGTTCTCCAGATCTACTAGCACGGAGAAGTCGTACCCTGACTCCGGCGAGACGATGTAAGGGCCATATTCGCGCTCGAGCACTGCTTGGGCGCCGTACTGAACAAGCTCCGAGAAGCACTTGATCTGCAGGGAAACGAGAATCTTTGTCTTGCTTTCGGGAGTCGAGATGTGGAACGTGACGCCGTCGAAGTCGGAGACCACCTGGTCAATGTTGGCTGGAGCTCCTCTATATGCGGTCAGTCTGACAGGTCGCAGCGCAGGAAGCGGCGGGGTATGGCGCACCCAGAGAAGCGGTCCTTCAATAGGGACTCGATGAGCACGTTCTGGTAGTCGAGGAGAAGCATTGTGGTTGTCGAGGTGCCGTGAAGGGGTGCAAAAGTGTATGGCGGGGAGCTCTCGTAGGCTGATGCGGAGGCCGGAGGTGCCTGCCCAGTGTCGTCGTCGGAAGGTGGGTCCAAGCTGTGGCGCACCTTAGGGCGGGTCGCAACTTCCAAAAAGTTTCGAGAGCTGCCGCCGCGCGAAAAGTTCATCAATTTTCGAGCTGGCGTCCAACCACCAAATCAGGAGCCCGGAGAAGCAATGATCTGAAGGATATACTGTAAATCTTCTACTCTTGCTTATACGCTTGTGATACTCTCAGAGTTTGGTAGTGACGCATCATGGTCAAGTCATATAAGTATGTACCGCGGGCGCAAAGCAGCTGCACCTTCCACTAACAAACATTTAGCAAGTACGAGCAGAGCGACGCTTTTGGCGTTGTTGCGACTGCTACCTCCAATCTCGTCTGGGCTGCCGAAGTCACCGCACCTGGCTCCAAGTCCTCCGGAGCAGGACGTGCATACGCCGCCGCAAACGAAGAAGTGCTTTGCTGGGATGTAAAGAAGGGCGAGCTCTTGAGCAGATGGCGCGATGCCAGCTGCACTGAGGAGGTGACAGTCATTTGCCGTAGTGAGATCGACCCGGATGTGTTCGCTGTGGGATACGCAGATGGAAGCATACGAATCTGGGACGCAAGGACGTCGACCGCCATTATCAGCTTCAACGGACATAAGTCAGCCGTCACCACCCTAGCTTTTGACCAGAGTGGAGTGCGCCTTGCAAGTGGTGCCAAAGACACAGACATCGTGATATGGGACCTCGTTTCGGAGACCGGTCTCTTCAAACTTCGAGGGCACAAGGGCCAGATCACCGGCCTGAAATTCCTCCATCCCGGAAAAGCACCGCAGGAAGATGGAGAAGCGGTGGAAATGGATACCGACCAGGCTTTTCTACTCTCCACGAGCAAGGACGCCTTGATCAAGATCTGGGACATCAGCACACAGCATTGTATCGAAACACACATTGCGCAGACGAACGGGGAGTGCTGGGCGCTTGGAGTATCACCGGACGGCAGTGGATGCATTACTGCAGGAAATGATGGCGAATTGAAGGTCTGGGCTATTGATCTGCCGGGGCTGCGACAAGCTGGAGCTGCTGTTGGCGAAGCTACAGAACAGCGCTACCTCACAGCAAGAGGCATCTTATACCGATCTGGAAAGGATCGAACACAGGGCATCTATTTCCACCCCAAGTCCAACTACATTGCGGTACACGGCGCAGAGAAAGCCGTCGAAATCTGGCGGATACGCACAGAAGAGGAAGTGAAGAAAAGTCTAGCCAGGAAGAGGAGAAGAAGACGTGAGAAGGGAAAGAATGAGACAAACAGCGAGGCACAAGAGGAAGAGGCGGAAGATAAGATCAACGTAGCAGACGCTGAAATTGGTGATGTAATCACCTCGTACGTTACAGTGCGCACGGCAGGAAAGGCCAGGTCCGTTGCATGGATGAAGACTAGGGGATCGAAGAAGATGCAGCTCTTGATCGGCACTAACAACAACCTTATCGACGTATACGATATCCCTACGAAGAGCAAGTCGAAGACCGACGAGGTACCAGACTATACCCGCACACTGTCTGTTGAGCTGGCAGGACACAGGAACGACGTGCGTGCACTGGCTCTCAGCTCAGACGACCGCATGTTGGCATCAGCTTCGAGCGGTGGCCTCAAAATCTGGAACATCAAGACACAGAACTGCTTGCGAACGCTGGAGTGTGGCTACGCGCTTTGCTGCGCGTTCTTGCCCGGTGACAAGATCGTAGTCGTTGGTACGAAAGAAGGTCATCTTGAGCTTTACGACATTGCAGCTTCGTCACTACTTGACAAGATCGAGGCCCACGAGGGCGCTGTCTGGACCCTACAAGTCCATCCTGGCGGGAAGTCACTCATCACAGGAAGTGCAGACAAGTCGGTCAAGTTCTGGAACTTCGAGATTGCGCAGGAAGAGATTCCCGGTACAAAGCGCACACTGCCTCGACTCAAGCTTGTACAGTCACGGATATTGAAGCTTAACGATGACGTTCTGAGTCTGCAGTTTTCGCCTGACTCCAGATTGTTGGCCGTCGCAACCCTCGATAACACTGTCAAGGTCTTCTTCGTCGACTCACTCAAGCTCTTCCTCAACTTGTACGGTCACAAATTGCCAGTCCTCAACATATCGATATCCAGCGACAGCAAGCTGATCGCGACATGTTCCGCCGACAAGAACGTTCGAATTTGGGGTCTCGACTTCGGTGACTGTCACAAAGCGCTCTTCGGCCACGAAGATAGCATCATGCAAATATCTTTTATCCCACACCCCGTGGATGGCGACGAGAAGCACATCTTTTTCAGCGCAAGTAAAGACAAGACAATCAAGAGCTGGGATGGCGACAAGTTCCAGCAGATACAGAAGTTCCGCGGTCACCACGGCGAAATTTGGGCTATGACATTGGCTCGCACCGGCGACTTCATCGTTACTGCCTCTCATGACAAGAGCATCCGCATCTGGTCCAAGTCTGACGAGCCCATATTCCTCGAGGAAGAGCGTGAGCGCGAACTTGAGGAGCTCTACGAAAACACGCTTGCCCACTCTCTCGAAGACGAGGAAAATCCCAACGGCGAACGCGCAGAAGCAGTCGATGCCTCGAAGCAGACTATCAGCTCTCTCACAGCCGGAGAACGTATCCAAGAAGCGCTCGATCTTGGCATCGCAGACTTGGAAGTTGTTCGCGAGTGGGAGGTGCAGAGACGGGCAAACCCCAAGATTGCGCCACCACAACGCAATGTCATATTCATGGCGCTAGGCAACATCTCAGCGGAGCGCCACGTCCTGAACACCATGGCAAAGATTCCCGCCGCACAGCTTCAGGACGCACTGCTTGTCCTGCCGTTCGCGTCCCTACCTGCGCTCTTCACGTTCCTCAGTATTTGGGTGCAGAAGCAGTGGAACGTAACACTCACTTGCCGTGTGCTATTCTTTATGCTTAAGACACATCAAAAGCAGATCGTCGCCTCGAGGGAGCTGAAGACAATGCTCGAGGACATGAGAAGTGAGCTGAGGAGAAGTCTTAGCGGTAACAAGGATCTGATCGGATTCAACGTTGCAGCGCTAAGGTTCGTGGGCGAGAGGGTAGACGAGCAGAAGATTGTCAGGCTGGAAGACGTGGAGAGGATCGAAGAAGAGGGCTACCAGAGGAAGAAGAGAGGGTTTGTGGATGTTGCGTAAAATTTTCGATTTCCAATGCATTGAAAGGCGTCATAGCTGGTTGGTCATGTATAGGTACCATGGCCTTGCGCTGTCTTTGAAATCCAAGGCTTCTCAAAGCGCAATGATACGTGCTTTCCCAGTACACGATTCAACTTCGCGCGATGCGCTCATCTTCGGCAGGCCAAACGTGCGCTCGGATCGAAGCGTTAGTACGGCAGTGACTCGCTAATTACGCGGTGAAAGTGAAATACCGTGAACGGGCTACATTGTTGTCCATTAACAGAGAGTAAGATATACAGACACTGTAGCCAACGAACAAGGGCCTCGATCTGCAAAAGCCTTCACCGGTCTCGAGGAAGCCACTCGTAGAGGACAACCCGTTTTTGGGTTAGTGTTCAAGATATCCGTATAAAGTTGTGGGTGGGACCTAGAAATGTGAAGGTCAGCTTCTTTGTAGGAGATAACGTCAAGGGGTTGAACCTGCGAAGTATCGGGCTCGAACTCGCACTCTCTGTCATCATTAGCAAACAAACCAATGTTCTTCCCCAATCTACTACTAGCCACGTGTAGCTAACTCAAAGCGCCTGCACACTGCAAACTCATGGGACGCAAATGTTCAAATACAAATGCTCGAATTGGGGTATGTCATTTCCGCAACATGCGCACACAAAACCAGAACAATCAAGACTAACTATAAAACGAGGGCCGGATGACAAGATGCCGCCCTGTATAACAGAAAGAAAAGCGCGGGTGCAAGGATGCAGAGGTATTGTACACCATGCAAAAAATGCAATACCGTAGTCGCAGCTAGGCATTGCAGACACAGTCAAAGACAGAGGTGTATGAGGTCAGGAAGGTCATGCGAGAATCGGTCGTGAAAGCGTCGTGATGTTGGATGAGTTGGGTATCAAACGTTGCAATAGATGAGTGACGCGGTAGACGCTGTCGATTATGGCCACCAGCCTTGTCTCTTGTAGCTCTCAATTACATCTTCGACGCCTTCTTTTGTGAGCTTCTCGTGTGTGTACCTGCAGTTCGTTAGTAGACATCTCCTCAGGGCAGTTGGAATGGCATACTTGAATCCTGTGTCCTTCTCGAATGCACTGCCGTCCATGCTGAGGTCTGTGTCCTTCAACAACTCCTTCTCCATAAACGGGCTAAGAGGCGTTGACTGGCTGATGCCCGCTGTATTCTGCAACTCTGCCCACGGGTCCAGCGTCTCGTCGTTGACTTCGTCGACTACATGGTCCATGTTAAGTCGCGCAAATGCCGAGATCAGTGTGCCGTGGAAGCCGGTCTCGATGCTGAAGACGTCGTGCATGATCTTGGCGACTGCTCCTTGTGCTGCTGCATGTCAGCTCGTGTCCACGACCCAAATGTCTGGTATCCTACAAGTGTTTCCGTGGTCCACAATGTTGTAAATCGGCGGCGGTGTCTTCTTGCCCTGCTTGACATACCACTCGGCGCCTGTCCATAGCGCTCGCGTCACGTCGTCGATGTGCACTGTGTTCGTCCTCAAATCATCTTTCCACAACCACCGCATCTCCTTGCCCTTGCTCTGGTACACCCTCGCCATACACAGCGCGGTGCTGAGGAACTTGCCTGTGTAGGGACCGTATACGTGCGCAATTCTCATTATCATAAGGTTCAGCCCATCGACCTTGGCCAGGTCCTCCTCAGCCTTGAGCTTCCACTTCGCCTGGTTATTCCACGGCTTCAGCTTGTCCGTCTCTTTGCGTGGCGTCGACTCAGGCTTATAGACCATGCCTGTGCTGAGCTCCTGGAAGCACTGCACCTTGCGCTTTGCGGCTTCGCGGCCGACGGCTATGGAGAGGGCGTGGGAGCGGAGTTCGTAGACCTTGTCGTCTTGTGAGAAACGCGTCTCGCCGCCGCAGTTGAACACGAAATCGAATTCCTTGCCGCCTTGGCGGTCAAAGATGCGCTGGAGGGAGCCTGTTGAGCGCATCAGTCCATATCCCCTTCTCTGCGGTGGAGGGGCACGCACGTTCTTGCGAGGCATCGGCCTGCATGAAGTGCTCTCGTGAACACGCTTCCTTGAACTCGGGCGCAAGCCATGCCAGCTCCGGCAGGTGCTTATCGACGAGGCGGATTTCCGAGGCGAGGCTGTTGTCGTGGACGTACTTGGCGAGGTTCCGTCCGATGTAGCCTGCGATCACTGTTAGACCAAGGGACCTCATGTTGCCGCGGGGGAGGCCGAGGCGGGTGACGTACCCAGGCCGCCGATTATCAGGACCGCGGGCTTCCCATCAGTCGACATGTCTGCGGGCGCACACTCTGTGTGTACTCTGCTGCCAGCGCAAGTGCTCGTTCTTAGATATTGGCGTGTGCGGGAGTTGAGCGCTGGTGATTGATCGCCGCGCTTAGGACTCAGGCCGCGCCGTGACTGCAGGAATAGGAACCAGGTGCTTGAGAACTGTCAGGTCTTTTCTGGAAGCACAGAAGAAGCCACAGGCAGCTTTTGCAAATTTGACCGAGAAGTCTGCGAACAAGCAGTCCAAGAGAGGTAGAATGACGGCCTCGGCGCAGTTATCATACAACTACCAGTTGACGAGCGCGATTCATTGGTGTGCAGACCGCTGGAGTAGTGGGAGCCCAAAGCCAATATTTAAAGCCCGCCCACGGCAACGCTGTCGGAGGAAAATTGCAGGCACAGCTTCGATCGGGAAGGAAGACACGCCCGCCGCAAACGGCGGAGCTCGTGCTCGCGCCGCGACAGTGTTCCAGCGTTGCTTCTTGAGGTGCGGGCCTGGAGTGGCTTACCACCTGCATCACATGTCTGGCAGCCTTGACAGCCTTCCCCTGCAGGTACAGCATGGTTCTTTGCAGGCGACCTCCTCCGACTGTTGCACAGCAGCACGGCACGCGCAGTGCCGTCCAATCTTCCAGCAACGCCGTCTGCACAGAACCAGACGCGGGTGATGAACATTGGAACCGGACGGGAGCGCGCCGTAGCTCTGAACCTTCCCTGAACTTCGGTGGCAAGTCCGTCGTATGACAGGTGCAACTGGTGCAGTGTGCCCGATGGGAGCGGGGCCCACGGGCAATTTCTGCCACATCGAGAGACATGGCAACTGACGACACGCTTTCAAGCGATGCTGAATGAGTCGATCATCTTGTCCCCACATACACCAATCACAGAGCAAGCATTCCTGCGTTGCTGTCTGGCACGGTTGCACTGCGAGATGTCAGATCAATCAAGCCCTTTGGTTCTGGTCCAGGTTTCAGCTTCCGCATCAAGCACCGACCCTGCAAAACTTCTGCCCTGACCACTACACCTGCAGCAGCGCAAACAATCTCCGATGAAGCAAGGAGCAAGACCCAAATGCGATCTGGAAAAATACAATCGCACGACACTTGCGGGGCGCCGGAAGCTGTACAAGAAGCTGACCGGAAGTTTCCTTTCAGGACGCCGAGGCATGAGTCGTGGCCGTCAAAGTTTGCTGCTTCTCAAACATGACTTGGGGCTAGGGATCAGTTGCTTCATGTACCTGGTCACGAGCTCGTTGTGCCACGTGTTACGGCGGATCTGCGATCTGTGCTGCACTTGAGCGCTGCCCTGATATGAGGCAGCATGCCAGACATGTCTCTAGTCGTCATTTCCAGAAGCCTTCCATCACCAAACAGTGTCTGAAATTTATTTGTGGGACAGGTGCATACACGCTCAGACCAGGTCAGCAAGCCAGATTGCTTCTTGTACGTAGAGCTTGGTCGGCGATCACTTAGAAATCGATACTCCACAGATAGCTTCACCCGACGATCGTGGTGTCCAGATGGAGATGTGGTTGAAAGCACGCCCGTGCATGCCGCCATGCCGCCATGCTGCACGTAATGCTGATCGACCCGCTGCACCATGCACGAGCGAGGAATTCGTCACAAGCGGGATGCAAGGCCGTTGAACATGCTGCAGCATTTGAACGCATTGCAAATCAAACCCTATCATGAAGATAAGGTGCGCAGTAAGTCTGCGTTGTGAATCGAGGACACCTTCACGCTGGTAAAAGCAATGCAAAGCAGGCTGTCGCCGAAAATCCATATCGAGGTTGTACAAAGCCACCGTGCTTCCCATACTCCTAGCGCAGCCCTATAAAGATGTCCGAAGACGTACGGCGAGTAGTCTGACCGCCCCCACAGTTGAGTGACCGAGGGCGTCGTCGGCGGTACTCTCGGACCCTGTCTCTAGAACTCCCAGTCTTCATCGACAGACTTGATTGCCCAGTCGAACTTCTCACGAAGCGTCTTCGAGAAGAAGCGCTCGATAGGCACGTCGAACTTCTTGGAGAAGACCACGGTAAGGCGGGGATCAATGTAGTTCTGTTCATGCTTAGCGGTGAACAATCAGGTAGATAGTGGGATGTGCTTACGATCTTGGATGTGCCCAGGGCAACCTCCTTGTTACCCTCCTTGTCCTCCATCTGGATCTTCATGTTCTCGATGCGCTGGTTTAACTTGTCGACAGCACCCTCCAGCTTTTCGATCGTTGGTCCCTTGCCTTCAGCCTCGACCTTGCCAGTCTTGTTCTCTTTCTTGTACTTGGCCGCTAGGTCATCGGCCTTCTCAAGACGGGACTCGAGCTCTTTAGGCTTCATCTCCTTCTCACCTTCTGCTGCCATCTTTTCGTTATCCTTTTCGAACTTCTTTGTGATCTTCTGGCGTTCAGCTTCCACTTCAGACTCTTGATGAGCCCTCACCCAGTCGTTGTCAAGGTCCTCAGGGCGCTCGAAGTACTCGGCACCCTTCTTCTTTTTGATCTTTGGGTCAACGTTGATCATCATCATCTTTGTCCGCCACAGCTGGTATCGAAGACCATTGATCTGTGCTTTATTAGTGACATTTAAAAAAAACTTGGTGTGCTGCGCGACGTACTCTCTCTTGCATCTTTTCGATGGAACCAGCGTGTCCAGCAGCGACGGTACGCTTGTGGTTACACAGGATGGCAACCTCACGGTTGGCATCATTATATGCCTTGACCTTCTCTTGAATGGTACCTGTGGCCTCCATCTCTTTCAGCAGCCGAGCCATGGTGTACGAAGCGTTGTAAGTACGGAAGACCTTCGCAGTGAGACCCGGCATGTAGCTTGTCAAGTGCTTGTTCAGGGCCGAAGTCGTCAGTCTGTCGAAGATGTCGTCGCCGCTAGTCTTTGGTTCTTTCTTGAAGATCTTCAAGTTCTTGAACACTTGTGTATCGACTTCTACTTCGTCGTAGAAACGAATACTGTCTTTACCAAGGAAATCGAAGATGACCGTATTCGGAGGCTTCAAGGTGACGTGTTGGAACTTCAGCGAACAGCAGCCGACTGTGTCCGCCTCGTCTTCGCCCTTCTCGTTACCCGCACGGAGTGCGAACTGATCAATCAAGTAGATGGCAGTCGCACGTTGGCGGTCAACCATCTTCTCAGACTTGAGCTCTTTCCTATAATCCGCTCGGATATGATCGATGTGCTTCTTCAGTTCGCGGGCCTTCTCGAACTTCTTGAAATCACTCTGACCCTTGATATCGGAGTTGGCAGCCAGCATAACGTACTTGTATGCACCGTTGATGTTCTCCTGCCACATGGCCAGCCATGTACCTTCGTGATCGTGCTTGACTTCCTTCCATCTGTGGCCTGCCGGTGGCTCGGGCACGGGCGCATCCTCGCCAATATTGATGGTGATCTGCTCAGGCGCCACGCGCTTCTTGACACGGCCGGTCTTCGGATGCTCGCCACGCCCACGGAATAGACTCGGCGGTTCAACGCGGAAGTTTCCAACCTTTTGCTTGCGCCCATCCCATAAGCAGTACATGTACTTCTCTTCAGCTTCGTCCTTCTCAGCCTTGAGTGCTTTCTTCTCCGCAGCTGGAAGGGCCTTCTTCCTCGCACGCTCGGCATCAAAGTGTTCGAAGATAGGCTTGAAGTCGCACTTTTCGAACTTCTTGATCTTGACTGTTTTGCCATCCTTGTCTTTACCGTGTCCTGTCTTGTCGAGGACAGCAACGAAGTCCTCAAAGAAGTTTTTGTTGAATGTTGGGTTCTCGATGTTGTGGGTCGAGTTGAGCATGCCTCCGTAGAAGCCAGCAATTTCCTCAGCATCTGGGTGCAGAGACACTGGCACTCCGTCATACACCAGCTTGACGTTCTTTGGCAGAGGTTCGTAATCAGGTGGGAAAACGACACCGTTGTGCTCAAGAGTGTCCCACTTCTTGGTGCCGTCACCCTTCGCTGTGTCTGCCTCCCACCAACGGTACTCCTCTTCTTCGTTTGCGTCCCGGTCTTGTTGCTCTTCCTCTTCGGACTTGACCTTTGCCTTGCCTTTCTTCGCTGGAGCTGCCTTGGGCTTGGCCTGAGCCTTTCTCGCCGCTGGCTTCTTCGCAAGTGGAGCGTCAGAATCAGACTCTGCCTTCTTGATGCCGTTGGCTTTCCTCACTGGTGCCTTCTTCTTTGCAAGCGGAATATCGTCATCAGACTCGCTCTCGACCTTAGTTTTACGTTTAGGTGCGGCCTTCTCTTTTGTGCGAATTGCCTTGGCTTCCTTTGCCGCAGCCTTCTCAATTGCCTCCTTCTTCTTCACCAGCTTCGCGGTCAACGGCATATCAGAGTCGGAGTCCGCGCCAATCTGCTCTGCAGATGCCTTGGGAAGTGTCCGAGCCTTGAGAGGTACGTCGCTGAGTTCGGAGTCGGAGTTGTCTTGCGCAGGCTTTGCTTGCTGAGATGTTCTTCGCCGCTTACTCTGCGGCAGAGTTAGCACATCATTCGTCAGGGAACCCAATCTTTACCCACCAGTGGCTTGTCGTCCCCATCTTCGGAGCCGCTCTGTTCTTTGTAATTGGCAGTAGGAATGCTACCGCGAGACTTGCGCTTTCCATTCGCGGTACCGTTTGGCGCATCGATATCCATGTCGTCTACTGGACCCATTCGTATCGAGATTCCAGGTTCGACATGGCCATTAGCCGGAAGCTGTTTGTCCATAGCTTTATCGACGGATTTGGGGATAGTTTCGTTGGAGATTGCTGAATGGAGAAGGTGATTAGCACGATTTCGGAAGTTGAAGGTTTCCTAGCGGCACGCGCCAACGGCAGAAATGATGTAGTCGGATGTGGAGAAGATGGCGATAGCAAGGTTGAAGATCATCGCGTAGGTAAAGCTGTGGGTGACGTGGACGTAAGGCAAATCAAGCTGTGTGCAGGCACTCACCTCCATCATGCACCTTTGCGAGAGGCATATCGTCCGAAGAGGACATGGCGTAACCGATTCGAACGCGTTGGTGTCGCGGGTATCGAGTAGACGTAACGGTAGAAGCAGCTTTGTTCAGCGCGAACGCAGAAGCTCTAGCGGAACCGAGTAAACGGGCGCAAGAGGCGCGCTGTGATGGTGGTGCGGCGAGTGCGAGTATGAAGCGGCCGCCTCGCAGAATGGGTCTGAGTGTGAAGGAGGCGATGGTGAATGGAGCTGAGAACTCGATAGATGAGTGAAGAAAGAGGAATGCTGGGTTTATGTGAAGCCTCCCTTCAGCGGGTTCAAGGCGGCGCACGGGCTTTTCGGCCTTTACTAAAATGATCGCGCAGGAACCTTTGTAACAAGAGCCGCCTTACCATCTCAGAACATGACACGCTGGGGGAGATAATCTAAGAAAATGTATCTTGAGGGAATGAGTATAGCAAGACAAGACCAGGCTGCAGGATGGACTTTTGCGTAGGCAGCTGCAGTCCATCTCATTCTGCCTTTATTGCTCCTGCCAACTTCGAAGTCAACTTAATCACGCCAGAACACCATCGTCGTCTGATCCTGGTTTACGAGGTGTCATTTCCAGGCATTTGCAGACAGAATGATGAGCTTCTCAGTCAATTGTGTATTACCAGCGAATTGAGTGACGCAGCGTCCCGTATGGTCCGCCGTTGAGCTGCAGCCACGTGATTTGCTGGGCAATCCGTAAAGCCCTGGCTCCGCAACAACTCCGGCTAGCGTTTGCAGATTCGCCCGACCGTGAAGCTCGAACAGACAGCAGCTCACCACCACCACCCGGCCGTCGCCATCTCCACTCATCCCAATTCCTCGCCATGATGCTGTCCCGAGCTGCTCGCCCCGCCATGAGGGCTGGCATGGCCGCCGCCGCCCGGTACGCATCCCCCGGAGTCGCAGCTTCTGCACGCCCGCCGTGCGCTGCACCCACCGCGTCCATTGCATCTTCAATTGCATCAAGTGCTGACTGAATGTTTGCGTCTGCAGTCCTGCCCCCATCGCCGCCAATGTCGCCGGCTACGCTACGCTCCGTGAGATCGAGGGCCGTCTCAAGTCGATTCGCAACATCGAGAAGATCACCAAGACCATGAAAGTTGTCGCCTCCACCAAGCTCACCCGCGCCCAGAAGGCCATGGTCACCTCGCGTACTTACGGTCAGACCTCCAACGCTGTCTTCGAGAGCGCCGAGACCAAGCCCGTCGACAACGGCAACAAGACACTGATCGTCGTCTGCTCCTCGGACAAGGGTCTCTGTGGTGGTATCCACTCCGGTATGTCGAGGAGGGTCCGCAAGATGCTCCTCGACGCTCCCAACGCCGACATCGCCGTCATTGGTGAGAAGTGCAAGGCCCAGCTGTCCCGTTCCAACGGCAAGAACTTCGTCCTCAGCTTCGCTGGTGCCGGGAAGGACATTCCTACTTTCGCCGACGCCTCCGCCATCGCCGACCAGATCTCGCTCCTCTCCACCGACTACGCCTCCATCCAGATCGTCTACAACAGCTTCATCAATGCTGGTTCTTACGAGGCTACCGTCCAGGAGGCTTACTCGCAGGAGGCCATCACCCAGTCTGGTACGCTATGGTCGAACTTATATCTGAGAGCGTTATGCTGATGTGACTAGCCAACTACTCCGCTTTCGAGATCGAGGACGAGGCTCTCCCTAACCTCCGCGAGTACGCTCTTGCCAACTCGCTCTACTGGGTACGCACATTGGGTCAATTGGCGCAAACGATATACTGACAGCATACAGGCACTTGCTGAGGGTCACGCCTGCGAGCAGTCCGCGCGCCAGAACGCTATGGACAATGCCTCCAAGAACGCTGGTGACATGATCAACAAGTTCCAGATCCTCTACAACCGTACCCGTCAAGCCGTCATTACTGGCGAACTTGTCGAGATTATTACTGGTGCGGCTGCTTCCGAGAGCTAGACGCGATAATGGTGGTAAACTAGATATCCGGACCATTTGGCTCAGGTTGCGCCGTGTAGAATAAGTACTGTTCATAGCTCATTTGTCACCTGCTAAGCAACTGCAAGCCCATTCCCACGGTACGCGTGTATTGTGCCTTTTGCGTTGCTCAAGACCGAAGTTCTTGTCCTATCAGATGCCAGAAGAATTGGCTACAACTGTAGAATCATTGTGCCACCAGACGACCTGTCAGGTTGCGAGATATTCGCAGATCAATGTCGAAGACCTTCCAAATCTCCAGGACTTCGTGACCTGCAGTCGCTCTTTGGTGCTGCCGGAGAGTCATCTTACGCCCCCGTTGCTCTGACTGCTTTCGAGACTGCTGCTTGTCTATTTTTCCAAACATGTCCTCTTGCGCTCTTGGATTTGCATGCGCGGCTTCTTCAGACGACCATCGAACCTCCGCGACGCATGGTCAAAGTCGAGTCAGTGTCGCCACCCGTTGCAATGAGCGCGACCTGAACAGCACGGCATTCGAGACGTTTTTCTGCCATATAAGGGCGGTTGAAACGTTCTTTTCAGCTGGAAACCTTGGTGCGTGCTCCTGCTAAGGTAACTACAAAGTGACCAATGATGATAACGCCAAATCGCCCAATTGGGACGTAGCCCCCCAGCAGAGCAGACGTTCTTGAGTATGAAACGTGCCATTGAAACAATCACCCCTCTCAGCCTGCACAGTTCGTCGGTGACAACCTGACGATGCCGAGCTATAACATGGAGCATTATGTATAGCTCTGCGCGCAGGCTGCAAGGCTCTTCCTTCTGCTTCTCGCTGCGATCTTCCCGTTCACCAGCTGCTAGCATCAGCCCTGCAGCAACCTTTGACATCATCTTCAGTCACGGGGTTCGACGCGATCGTTTGCATGCGCTATTATTGACAAGCGCGTTGTTCTCGCAGCTAGTCTGCGATAATTACTTCATTGCCTCCAGCCTTCGGATTTGTTGAAGCTGAGCTTTTTGACGCTCTGTCCTCTCGTGGTTGCTATTTTCTTCAAGCCTCTGTTCTTCGTTACTCTCTCCTCGGCTGGCACGACAACGACTTGCTCCACGACTTTTACACAACGCCACAACACGATGACCGAGTTACTGCGTAGCGAATTGAAAGAGAAGATGGCAGCTTTGAAGAGCCTGTATGCCAGTCGGCACTACTCACAATGCGCCAAATTTGGCGAACTCTTACTGAGCGAGAAACACGACGAGGTAGGTGCAATCGACGGAACATGCTTGAGCAAACATAAGTCTCGAGTAGCAGCTGAAATCAACTGTACTAGCGGACCTTTTGTATCTTTCCGAGAGTCTTTTGAAGTGCAGGGTAGTTGCAGACTCAGATCGACATCCCGAATTTCTAATACATGAAGAGCACGCAAGAGACTTCCTCTGCCACCTGACAGCGCGTGCAAGCAACAAACTGCAAAGCCAATAATAACATCCAACAGACACATCCTCTCCACCTAGCCCATCTGAGCTTCTACACAGCACTTGCCCACGACACACTGGCCAGAGAAGCCACACTAAAGAATCGCTGGGAGGAGCTTCGCCTAGCAGAATCGCACTACAACGCCGCCATTCTCGCTCTTTCGCCACTGCAATCACCAACCCAGTGCGATCCATGGTCCCCAAACTCTTCAACAACGAGCCCTCCATCCCCGTACCCACGGAGGCGTGGCTCAATCTACTCGAACAGAAGCGCAGCGTCCAGCGTCACGTCTCTGGGCGATGAAGACGCGTACCAGACGAGCGCAACCCCTTCACCAAAACGCGAATCGCGACACGAGCGCAACGACTCGGCAGTCCAAGAGTCGACGGTCTCTCAGACCAGAGCCCACGCTATGCCCACGTCACCCTCGCGCCCCCAGAGTGCACAGCAATTCTATGTCACCGCCAACATCTCGTCCTTTGTGCGGCTGATCGAGTCCCACGTGTCGGACGTGCGCGAGCAGAGAAGCAGGACCGCCAGTGTGCCAGCAGTGCATTTCATGGTGCCTCCGTCGCGGCGGAGCCCCACGAAAGCTACGGCCAGACAGAGCGGGCCTCTAAGTGATGACGGGGAGGACAGTGCCATGAAGGCGATCAGGGAGAGCAGGAGGAATGTGAGCTTCAGGCCGAGGTTTGATCCGACGCGTACGCAGAAACTGTGTAATGAGGCGCTTGCTGAGCTTGCCGAGTAAGGGTGGTTGGCCCGCGTGTTTAGACGGTGAGAGGGAGGACGGTGATTTCTTGTACTATCTGTGCTCAGGGTTGTTTTCTTCACTAGCTGTATTAGTATTCGTAATGTAGCATGGCACCAAAGACACAGTCACATTTGTCGTGTTCCAATGGCATATTTGTCGTGGTCCAATGGCATATTTGTCGCGGTCCAATGGCGTATTTGTCGTGGTCCAATGGCATATTTGTCGCGGTCCAATGGCATATTTTGTCGTGGTCCAATGGAGGCCTGAAGTGCACTGGAAATAATAATTGAGAACCCAGAGCTCGTGGTCGATGTGTGAAGGTGGACATGTATGCGTGAAGGTGGACATGTATGCGTGAAGGTGGACATGAAAGTACTCAAAATGTCGAGAATACATTCATCCATCCATCTATCCATCTATCCAAAGGCGCGGCACCCGTGATATCGTGACTTTTACCAGCCTGTCAACCTAAAACGCCATGCAATGCAATGCCATATCTCTCTCTACTTCATCATCTCATCCAGTCCCCGCTTTATCCTCTGGGCCTTGATGCGCAGTTCCTTGACGCTCTCCAGAAACAGCTCATCGCTCTCAATCTGGCCTGTGCTCTCGACGCGGAAGATGAAGTGGTCGCGCACTCGCCCCAGCTTCACCTTGTCCTTGAACTCTGGGTGTCGTAAGCACTCGCGCGACACGGTGTCGTTCATGGGCTTGTCGACCACGGCCTTGTTCTCGCCCTCGTGGCCGCTCAGCTCCGGATCTGCTGCTGCCTCTTCGGCGGTGATCTTGTCGAGCCGGATGACGCCCTTGGGGAAGCAGCGCGCGAACTTCTTCGCGTCGGCGCCCACAATCGGCTTCAAGATGTCGATGGTCGGCATGAGGCGGTAGCTGGCAGTCGCGACGGGCGAGAACTTTGCGTGGTCCTGGCCAATGCCCTTCATGGCGTGCATGGTGAGTGTGATTCTCTGGCCCGGGCGCATCTTGACGATCAGAATGTCCGGGTTTGTTGCGCGAATGGGCTGGGCGGCGTCGAACATGTCTGACTGCTTGCCCAGCGGCGCCCACACGAGGTCCTTGGCGTACACCGAGTGGTTAGTGTACAGCTTGTCCGGGTCCGTCTCACCTGCCACGGCGCGCTGCAGTCCGCCCTCCTGCCAGGTGCACTCGGCGTCGAGATGGAGGATGGCGCAGTTGAAGTCCGAGGGGCCGCCAGAGCCCTCGTCGTCGTCGGTCGGCTTGACGTACCACTTCATCCAGTCGAGGCCCTTGGGGTCGCCGCAGAGGGGGATCAGGCCCAGGCGGTGGGCGAGCACCTCGTCCTGGATGATCGACGTGTTCTGGTAGATGAAGACGTCTTCGATGGCGAGGGTGGGGAGCTCGGAGAGCATGATGCGGCGGAAGCCGTTTGCGACCGAGGTGTCGACGCCGGAGAGCGAGAAGGACGAGTCGTAGGGCGTGGGGCGGGCATGGAACTGGACGTTGAAGTTCTGGGGGTTGTCAGTGCCCAGCTTTGCTTTCGACCCACATGTCACACGTGTTGCAGGCGGACAGTACCTCCTTGAAGAACTCCAGGTCCCAGTCGTGGTTCTCGCCGGGCCAGTGCCCAGGGAAGTCGGTCGACTGCTGGTTCTGGACGATTTCAGCGCCCACATGGAGCTTCTGCAGACGCGGTCAGCCCTCTGGAATCGAATTGCACAGTCGTGCTCGCGGACGTGCCTTGCGCTCAGCCAGCACGGCAGAGTTTGGAAGAGCCATGGTCAACGGGGTCGACGGGGTCGTTGCTGCAGTTCGCCGTTCGCGGTCCGCGGCGCGGGCAGCCTGAACTTTTTTGTTTGACGTGCATAATTCGATCTATCGGCGGCGAGCGAAAGCCAAGCGCCGACGCACCGGCCAATCGCGCCGCACCTCAAGTCCATGACATGTCCATTGATTTTGGACGGGCTTCACCACCGCCACGCCCTCAATCTCGACTCCACTCGCCCATTGAGGCTTCCCCCGGGCACGACAGCGAGCCTCCCCCATCATGCCTGCAACCATCGCGCGTCTGGCCGGCCACGCCGCGAAGCGAGTGTGCCTGAACGCCGCCCGCCCGCAGCTGCGCGGCCAGCTCCCTGCCCGCCCGACACGGCCGACTGCGCGCCCGCTGTCGACGACGCTCGCCCGCCGCTATGCCGAGGTCGACGGCAGCCAGCGCACGCGCATGGTGCCCACCACCGAGGACTTTAGTCGCCCCATTGAGCCCGAGGACGCCGACGAGCTGGCCGCGCTGGAGGCCGAGGCCGAGGACAGCGACGTCCACAGCGCCCGCAAGATCCGCCACTACACGGTCAACTTTGGGCCCCAGCACCCCGCCGCCCACGGCGTGCTGCGTCTGATCCTGGAGCTCAACGGCGAGGAGATTGTGCGCGCCGACCCCCACGTGGGCCTGCTGCACCGCGGCACCGAGAAGCTCATCGAGTACCGCACCTATCTGCAGGCCCTGCCGTACTTTGACCGCCTCGACTACGTCTCCATGATGACCAACGAGCAGTGCTTCTCCCTCGCCGTGGAGAAGCTGCTGAACATTGACATCCCCATCCGTGCCAAGTACATCCGCACGCTGTTCGGCGAGATCACCCGCATCCTGAACCATCTCATGTCCGTCCTGTCCCATGCCATGGACGTTGGTGCGCTGACGCCGTTCCTGTGGGGCTTCGAGGAGCGCGAGAAGCTCATGGTATGCCGTTGAGCTGTGAGCGCCGAACTGCAGAAGCTAACACGCCCAGGAATTCTACGAGCGTGTCTCTGGCGCCCGTCTGCACGCCGCCTACGTCCGCCCCGGCGGCGTGTCGCAGGATCTGCCCATTGGCCTGCTCGACGACATCTACCAGTGGGCCACTCAGTTTGGTGACCGCATCGACGAGACGGAGGAGATGCTGACCGACAACCGCATCTGGATTGGCCGCACCAAGGGTGTTGGCATCGTCTCTGCCGCCGATGCCATCAACTACTCCTTCTCCGGTGTCATGCTCCGAGGGTCCGGTGTCCCCTGGGACATCCGCAAGTCGCAGCCATACGACGCATACGACAGGGTCGACTTCGACGTCCCCGTCGGTGTCAATGGCGACTGCTACGACCGCTACCTCTGCCGCATGGAGGAGTTCCGCCAGTCGCTCCGCATCATCCACCAGTGCTTGAACGACATGCCCGCCGGCCCCATCAAGGTCGAGGACTACAAGATCGCACCCCCTCCCCGTGCCGCCATGAAGGAGAACATGGAGGCCCTCATCCACCACTTCTTGCTCTTCAGCAAGGGCTACACGGTACCACCTGGCGAGACATACAGCGCCATCGAGGCACCCAAGGGCGAGATGGGTGTCTTCCTTGTCTCGGACGGCAGCGAGAGGCCATACAGGTGCAAGATCAGGGCGCCCGGTTTCGCACACTTGGCCTGCATGGACCAGATCTCCAGAGGGCATCTGTTGGCCGACGCGGTCGCCATTATTGGAACTATGGATCTGGTACGTGATCATTTTACTTTTTCGAACTTGAACCCATTGGGAGCGATTCTAACTCCATCCAGGTCTTCGGAGAAGTCGACAGGTAGAGAATCAAGACGGAAGAAAACGAATTGCGCTAGCTTGAGATACCAGGCGGCTGACTGTACATACTGTACCCCTACTTTTTTTTTGAAAGTCAATCGACGTTTTGCACGCTCACATTGTCTGCGCTTTGACAGCTGCCCTGTGGTCATTCGGTGTCGCATAACATGAAGGCTTATCAGACTCCACGCAGCTCATAGATTCTGACAGATACTACTCGATCAGCTGTACACGATCGGTCGCTCACTCGCTATTTCAGCTAAACGGCGAGAGCTTTGTGTCCCGTAGTATATCGAGAGCACTGACGACAGTGCTGCTACCACGGGTGCCTGGCCAAGTAAAAGCACGTCCGCAGCTGGAACCATGGCGACGACGAGATCTGGGGCTGTAACAGGTGGAGCGCAGGCTGCGACTGCAACGCCATCTACAGGCGCAAGGGCTTCGCTTGATATCGTACACATAAGCACGTCCAGGTTCGGGATGCTTGCCTTTAGACTGCTGGCTGGAGAATCGGATGCTGATATGCTGCTGTGAGGGTATGGCTGTTGTCCAGTTTCACCTGTCGCATTGGCAGTCATCATACTCGTGATGGCTTGACGGACGAGTCCAGCTCAGTCCGCACGAATCCTGTATTCACTCACGGATCCTGTATTCACTCACGGATCCTGTATTCACTCACGAATCCTGTATTCACTCACGATTCCTGTATTCACTCACGATTCCTGTATTCACTCACGATTCCTGTATTCACTCACGAATCCTGTATTCACTCACGGATCCTGTATTCACTCACCCTCCCTGCCGCTGGGACACGTTCTGGTCGCTCGCACATACCAAGACATCCATATCAACGCTGTCAAAGCATCTACTCACCTCACACGACCATCAAGATGAAACATCTCTTCGCTGCTACAGTTGTTCTCAGCTCTGACAGATGCCCGTGTTTTGCCAGACTCGTCTCGTCAGAACGTCAGTGCCACTCAAGATGAAGCCCTCCACGCTGCCGCATCCAAACAAATCCATTTAACTCGCCCAGCATCATTACCCTCGCAGCTGACCTATGGCAAGAGTCCATCAACCGTGGCGCAAAGCTCCTGACCGGGATGAAATCCAGCGACAGCGCCGCAGCAGCCCTCTGCGGCTTCTCAACCCCCACAGCCGAGTCTCCATTCGACGGCTCTCTCGTCGAGAACTTACAGAATTGGGGCTACAACGACAACACCCCCGCGATGCAGAAACTCCACGACCGGGAATCCAACATGGCCAGCGCCTCAGGCCGCATGCTCTCCAAAACCTTCGCAGACCTGAGCATGGACACCTATTCCAAGAGCACCGGGGGCCCATACGAATGCTTCCAGGTCGAGCATTACAGCGGCCCTGCAACCATGAAGAACGAAGATGGCACTCTGCCCGAGAAGAGCGACCAACTCCACTCTGTCTGCGGCGCCACCTACCGTGCAACCGGCACCGAATACATCATCGGCGTCGACGCGGCAGCAGGCGCTCTCTTCGCACTGAACCGAAAATCCTCGCCCAAGGCTGCGCGTGAGCTCTGGCGCCACAGACCTGAGGTCGCGGAGCTGCCGCATCTGCGCTCCGCGAGCGATATCTCGTGGGCCGTGTGGAACCGCGCCGTGTCCTCGACCCCAGGTGCAGAGATCGCGGACGTGAAGTACCTCATAAACATGATGATCATCAGCAGGGAAACGAACCAGTACATCCGGCGCGCGATTTCGTCACTAACGCCGCCGCTGGAGGAAACGCTTGGGTGGCCGGGCACGAAGTTCAGCAAATGAGTGGATTGAAAAGGTGAGTGTTTCGGAGCGAGAAGGAGGGGAGTTGACCGTATCTTCTATTCTATGTTGCCGGGCCGGAGCCAGAGGGTGCGATGCAAGGTGCTAAGAAGGTGAGGGCGAAACTTTAGGGTCTGCGGACGAGAATTGTGGCGCGGAAGGCATGGCAAGTGTTTGCAATAGTAGTTTCAGCAGATGGAATCGTGGTGGGTAACAATAATCCAGGACGTGGCTTGTCCGTCGGTTTGGAACTTCGGTCATGCCCAAAGTTAAAGCACTTGAGTACATTCAACTCACACGCTGAGTGTTTTGTTATAACTAGATAAGATTGGAAAGGCAGTCGACAGGGCACTTCAGGGTGACAACTAGCAAAACGTCATCGAGTTGTCTTGATTGGTCCTGCAGCTTGAGGGGGCAAATTATCATTGACTGTAAAGAGGTTTGGCAGCCGAGTCTCCTTCTAGTAGTCGTTGTCGCGCCTCGAGCTAGTCTCCTCGCGATCATTCCTGCTGGATCCGTACGAGTCGTCCTTATCATTACCATAGCTCGATTTCTTCGAGCCGTACGAATCCTCGTTGTCATTGCCGTAGCCTGACTTGTTGGAGGATCCGTACGAAGTCTCGTTGGAGCTATCGCCGTAGCCAGACTTCTTTGAACCATAGGAGTCTTCGTTGTCGTTGCTTCCGGAGCTTGACTTCTTGGAGCCGTAGGTATCGTTGTCATCGGTGTTGCCGTAGTTCGACTTCTTGGCGCCGTAGCTGTCGTCATCATCATTGCTGTTGCCATATCCACTGGACTTCTTGGATCCGTAGGTATCGTTCTCGTCAGTGTTGCCGTAGCCACTGGACTTCTTTGATCCATAGGAATCTTCGTTGGAGTCGTTGCCGTAGCCAGACTTCTTCGAACCGTATGAATCCTCGTTTTCGTTGTAGCTGCTCGATTTCTTGCTGGAGCCATACGAGTCATCATTGTTGTTGCCAAACTTGTTGACCTTGTCTGAACTGTACGACTTCTCATTGTCATCTCCGTAGCGGTTGTTCTTGGAACCGTAGGCACCGGACTGGTCTCCGAAGCTCTTGTTCTTGGTGCTGTCGCTGGAGTCCAGGGTGTCGCTGTTGTCAACGCCGAAGCCGGACTCTTTCCTACCGGTAGTCTGTCGGCTGTTGGCAAATTCATCATCATTGCTGCGGCCTACGCCGCCTGAGAATGTGCTGTCGTTATTGCCGTAGCTTGAATTCTTGTTGGAGTAAGACTCATTGTCGTCTCCATAACCGCCGGACTGCTTGTTGGAGTTGGAGTCGTCGTTGCGGTCAGACGAGTACTCGTTGTTGCGGTCACGGTTGCCGTAGCCAGAGCTGCGTTCCTCTCCATATGAGTTGTCACGGTCGTTATTGTAAGACATCTCGAGGTAAATATCTGATCTTGGACGCCCCTAGTGTTGTTGAAAGCTGTCAATAATGGACTGGTAGTATGACTGGTGCTGCGTTGATGTCCTGATCCATCGAAGAACGTCCCCTTCTTATAGCGTCACTCCAACGCGGCAAGCCAAAGCAGGACTATGATCCTGTCCCAAAGTGTCCTGTACCGCATCAAACCCCGCAATTGGAAGATTGTGTCTGTGAACCCTGCAACGCTGATTGTCATGGGCGACTGCGCCACAGATTGCTCCAGATGCACGGAAGTTCTCCTGTTTGGCGATGGTGCGCGATAGCTTCGGCCAAACTCAACACCATAACTGCAATGGCGAGTACTTATGCCGTGCTACGCCATAGCACACTGCGGGTGCTCGTACGAATTTGCGAGAAGTCGGGCATCAACCGCAGCCTCGATCTGTGCTCACCAAAGTGTGACAAATTGTGCTCGCCATTGCATTCAGTCCGGCGCAATCTATCGTCAGGCCGGTGGACCTGCGAGGATCGAATCGGTGCGACATCAATATGGTGATGGACATGGTGGGGTAAATATTCGCTCTTTCCGAGGAGCGAATGATGCCATAGGATTCAGACACGGGACGGAACGGCCGGTCTCTGTCTCCTCATGTGCGGGCACGCAAGAAACAGGCTTGAGCGAGTCGCGGTGTTGGGAGTGATAGGTGGATGGATGGAACTGTCTTGTTGTAGCGTCGAAAGTGCGACGGTGCACAAAAGCATTAGCCCTGATGGCCACCAGGGTACACACGATCCCCAACGGTGCTCCTTCGCGCCTTCCTGGTCTTCTTATCGGCAGTAGGCTCTACTAGATACACTCTGACGCCCATCTGACACTGGGGACATTTCGGTATTGCTATATTTCACCAGCGTATTAGAATCGCGGAGGCTTGCTCCGGCACGTCAAGTGCAGACTCCACTACTAACACGAATACATGATTCTAACGTCTTCCTCCGCGATGCCAAAGACTTCATTGCCTGATCATCGCACTACTGCTTACATCATACAAAGGCTAGGCCACCTGCAACAACGGCAGCCGCCGTATATAGGCTCTCCATGCTACCTTGTGTCGCTCTTGCCGCCACCCCTGTTGACGAGCCAGTTGCAGCTGAACACGTCGCGCTGCTAAGCGGTGTAGTTCTGCTTGCTGTTATGGACACAACTGACCCGTTCTGTTGAACGTTCTCCCGCGCATCAAAAAGCTGCTCTCCATTGCTGGCCTGCGCCCAGCCTAGGGCTGTGCCCGAGCCGTTAACAGCCTTTCCACGTACATAAGCATCGAGCTGGACACCATCCAAATCGATCGTTGCTTCAAATCCCGTCCGGCGTGCGGTCGTGACAGTTGTCCAAGTCGAGGAGTCCGACGAGTTCGCCGTGTACACGACCCAGCTTTCGCACTCCGTCTGTCCGTTCCAGGAAAAATATTGCTTTGTTCGCATTCTTATCCCAATAGACATCTGGCTTGGTAAAAGGTTTTTTTAGCCATGGAGGCTTGTATGCGCGGTAACAGTTCACAGCATTCGTTTTACCGAACTGAACGTCTAACAGAATTTCACCCTGAGCGTTGAGCTCCGCGAAATAGGGCTGGCTTCCGTACCCGACGAGGTAGTTCATATTTCCGTCCGACAGCTTCAGGACTTGCATGCTTCCTTCGAAGGTCGCAAAAGTCTTTGCGGCATTGGTGAATTTTTTGGTGTCCGAGTTGACGTCTAGGAGGAGATCGCGGGAGTAAGCAATATCTTCCATAGGGCCATTGTCGAAAAGTGCGATTTGGACCGGGTTCTTGGAGTCTACCCAGCGCGCGTCGTGCTGGAAGGCGAAAACAGCGTCGTCGTCGATCTCAAAATTGGACCGTTTGCCGCCCAAGCGCCAGATAATGTGTCCGTCCTCGCCAGAGATCTTGTAAATACAGTCCATTACTCGTGCCGAGACAAGGTGGTCACCGGCCGCGTCCTACTGAATGGACTTGATGTGGAAATAGTCGCATGGGGAGTTCTGAGCTCGACCGACGTCTTCGGGAAGGGAGTTGTACGATTCGTTGATGCCTATGTGAGTGCTTGCATTCCATTCAAAGACGGTCTCGCCGGTCTCGACGTTAATCTCTTGAAACATGTTCTCGAACAACCAGCCGTTTTCGATACCGCCAGTCTCTGTCAAGTTCCAAGGTATCGCATGATAAACCGGTATGAGAGCAGTGTCATCACTTGTGATGGTAAATTCGTGAATCTCGCCCATGTCGCTACCAAAACGATTGGCCTGGAAGTGCACGAGCTCAACGTACGACTCGTTGAGGATGTAATAAGATCCACGGCCATACCCGTTCAATACTTCGCCTGACCAGAATGTGAGAACGGGCTGACCTCTGTACGTCTGTGTTTTGAAGTCGAACAGCTCGGTACAGTTGGCAATCCAGGCGAGTGGACCCAACCTGTCCTGGGAGAAGTCTGTCACTCTATTAGCTGAGTTCCTCGACGTCTCACGACCAGACTCTCGTACCATACATTGTTGGCCAATTCTGACCACTTGTAGACTCGCCGTCCATACCCAAGGAAATATACCCGTGCCGACGATGATCGTAAGAATGCGCATCTTGGCGGGCTCTTCTCAGAGCTCTTGAGGTATTGAATTCAAAGCTAGCAATAGAGGCGCACCCACGTCCAACATGAAGGGGATGATGCCAGATTTTATGAGGCCGAAAGCTTTGCCTGACTAGGTTTCCCGCTTGCCGTATACATGCTGTCAGGTAGCTAGATATGGAAACATCACACATCCACTCTCGAGGCGTCCAGTCACGTACTGGCGAGGTTCTGGATTCATATGGGTTAGCGATCCTCCGGCTAGCTTGTTTTCTGGGCTGCGCGTGCTGGCCAGAAGCAGGTGTGATGATAAGCTTAATTTCCTCAGCAGGGCAGGTACAATAATCCCACCTGCAGTGGCTGAGCTATTGGATGGCGACTCTACTGCAAACCTCTAGTCCATGGACTCCAAGGTAGAATGTAAGACTGCGCTTTTTGAAAAACCATTTCGTGGATTGGGGATGGGCGACTCAGATATGCAACTGTTAGGAACATCATTGGTACAACTACACCACATCACTCACACTCGCCTAGGGATGCCGAAGATGGCTTGCTGTCGATCATGTGTCAAGTTCAGGTATTTGTGTCTATAAACCCGGATAGTCGCTCTACGCTTTCTCATGGAAAATCCGCTCAACGCCATGTGCTACCCCATGCTTCTAGGGTATTGTGCAATCACAAACGGCTCGTTACGCACGACATTGTACTTCATGCTGCCTCAAACGACCCTTCTCTCGGGCCAATACCTCTTCAGCTCCTCATATATTGTGAAAATGAACGCAGAACTGGGTATCGACCGTGCGACAGTAATGCCGCACCCACGGTACATGCCCTTGATGCCATGGTCTCTCCATAACGCCTTACCCACGGTGCCAAACGTGGACCGCCCGCCAGTCAGCTTGCCCACGTCTTCTGTCTGCATCCGAGACTTGATAGTATCTGCAGGATAGAACGCGAAGTTGTATGCTGCACCAGCGATGGATCCAGCTGCCATGCGCTGATAGATTGGTAGATCTTCGCTGGCAGATCCATTCGCTTTCTTGAAGGCGATCTTCATGCCTTCGTAGCCGCCGAACCACGCCGCGCCGCCGCCTGTCTCGCGGATGAATGTTCCGAGTTGGCCATGCCAATAGCCAAGGATGCCTTGGTGACGGTACACTGAGACAATGCTGCTGAGTACAGTTGGGCGAGCAGCGAGGCCGCTAGCTGTCTCTACAGGGACCTGCACTTTACATTTGACAAGCTCGATCGGTGTGAGGAAAAGTGAGGTTATGGCGCCGGCGACCATACCGCAGCCGAGCATTGCTGGATAGGGCAGGTCTTGGTCGGGGTTCTCCTTCAACTCTGGGTAGATGCCAGAAGCCTTTAGAGTATCTCCAGCGACACGGTACTGTGTAATGATCAGTTCGAACAGACAGTAACGCTCAGCAGATGGGGGCTCCTACGCTGAAGAACAAAATGCTTGTCTCGACAGCAGCACCCACCAGCGGTGCACTGATGCCCCTGTATACTCCAAGAAACCCATCTTGTTGTAGTGACTTCTTGAAGCAATCCAACGGCCCGTTATACCGCAATGGCAGTGTATCCGGCTGCGACTGCAGGCGCACCTTGACTGTGTCGAAGGGGTACTCAATGTACTTGCCGACGATGCCAGCCAGCGACCCACACACAACATCCTTCAAGGCCTCTTGTCCTTGACCACCAGCATTTGTGCCGGCTGTGGGACTCGCCTCTTCCATCATGGCTGGTTTGCTCGATCCACCTCTTGCCCCCACCACCGAAACTGGACTCTCGTGTAGTTCCATATGTGCGCTGGGATTATCGGTTCGTGTGTACGCGTATATACAGGATGTGACGGTCAAAGCTGTGTCACGAAGCTAGGAGCATGGCACTGTACGAAGCAGCGATCGTAGGCGGTGAAGAGGGCGAGAGGTGGCTGCTCAAGCTGCCGGTCCCATGGGCGCGGGCACGATATTATGTGTTCCGGCAAGTGGAGAAGGAGTCGTAGGCGCGATGTAGCACAGGGCGACCAAGGCCTCAAATATGCAGCGGGCCGCGGGGAGGGTGCTGTAATAGGGTGGTGGTAAATGGACCCAAGCCCAGGATATCGTGCGAAGGTGCCAAAAGTGTGACGAGATTTCCGAACTAGCTTTTAAAGCCCCTGCATGAGCACGACGAGCTGCAAAGAGCGGGAATAGCGCACGGCGCGTGGTTGCTGTGTTGTGCAGCGCGGTAGACCAGGCCGTTGACGAGCCAATGGCTGATACAAACTCCATACCTAGCCGGATCTGATAAAAATTTTATCTGATGGAATCCAGATCGTGTGCTTCGGGGTGGGGTCGGCGCAAAGAGCGGCAGGCTTCTGCATCTATGCAACACTTATTTGCCTCGTGTCAGTCACCAATGACACAGCCAAGTAACATCAGAGTCTTTATGCGATGACACCCCGGACACAAGCAGGATCCTCGAGGATAGATCTACCTGCGCGGAGGCATTATCAACGTCGCCTTCGTCGAATAGATCATAGGCTGAGTCCAGTTCATCGTTGAGCCGTTTGTCGATGATACCGGCCACATTGCTGGATGGACACAGGACTCCAAAACGCTGTCAATGGTATAAATATGAAATGGTGCAGCAGAGCGAGCGTTGAAAATGAATGTTTGCGCCGCATTAGTGAGGCGAGTTGCAGAGCTGCTTGCACCTAAGCCAGAGGACAAGTATGACGATGAGGGCGATGCTGAGGAAGCGGAGGCTCTCGACAAAGAAGTCAATATCTAGAAGAGCCGCAAGGAGCAACAAGCTGTCATTGACGATCCCACTGTGGCGGTGGCGTTGATAGGTGAGGGCGAGGGCCCGGTGGCATGAGAAGTTTCAGCAGAGGGTTCAGGAGAGGGAGAAGAACTCTCGTTGAGCGTTCCCAATAGTGAAGTTGATGTCGATGCGCTTTTCGCTGCAGAGTAGGCATGGCTCGCACAGAAGGGCGGTCATGTTGACCCAACAGTACGTGCACGACTCCAAAAGCTGGCTGAGATTATGAAGAAGATGGTCTGATGGAACGATTCTCTCAAACAAAGCTCGCCAGATCAGAATCGTCACGCCCAGATTGCATTGGACTGCACCGCGTATAGTTCGGGCTTTTATGCTAGTCAGCATAAAGACAGCATGTTTTTGTTTGAGCCCTGTCAAAGCCTCGGGCCCATCTGTTGCCGCAAGCCCCACCTACCCGGGCAAGCACTAGAGCGGCCTAGCGGGTGACTGGGGTCTTCCTATCGATAATTATTTTCGCTGCAGCCCTGCAGACCATGAAGCTGGAGCCAATATCACCACCAAACAATATCAACATGTCTGATGCAGTAGCGGCAGAAGCGCCTGCCGCGCCGGTGACGGTTGTCAAGGGAATGAAGAAGAATGGTTTGGCATATCATGTGTGGTGTCGAGGAATTAGGAAGCTAACAGCATCTTCAGGCAAGCAGTGGCACGACAACAAGAGCGCCTTCCGACCCCGCGCAAACCAGACATCGTGGGATAAGCGAACAGCCGAGAGGAAAGCGATGGCTGCAGTCAAGGCTAAGGAGAAGGAGCTGAAGGACGAAAAGGCAGCAGCAAAGCAGGCGCAAACCGACCGAATCCGCGAGAAGCGTGCCGTGAAGGAGGAGAGGGAGCGCTTCGCCAAGATGGAAGAGAAGATGCACAAGAAGCGCGTAGAGCGCCTGAAGAGGAGGGAGAAGCGCAATGCTATGCTCAAGTCGTGAGCAAATGCAAGGGTCACGACGAGCAGGGGAGCAGCGCGCCTCCCTCTGCGATTCGGATGGAAATGCCTCACGAAGGCACACGGCAGCAATACCACCACTAGCAATGCGCAAAGGCACACACAACTGGAGACATCCAGGTTCCAGGCCACGGTAGTCGAGAGCGGGCGCAACATGCATGCATATTGAACGGCGTTTTGGGTAGTCTTGGGAACATTCACATTTGGCACATGCGCGCTGGGTCATCGTAGGACAGCATTATGCAGTATTCTTGAATGGCACAGCTACAAGAATTAAGATAAACCTCAAGACAAACATCAAAACAAAAATCAAGACGACAACAGTGCATATTTTTTATTGCGCACGTGTTCAAGAGTGAAGCGTATTCGATGCTGATTTGTACGACGCTTGGTGCTTACTGCTCGGATGTAGCGCCGATCGTTCAGGGTCCCAGTGCAGTGACGCGCCGCGGCTCCTCTACCCAGCAGCGTTCGAGCTCCACCAGCCCTCACCATCAACATGAGGACATGGACAACCTCTACCTGCATTCAGGCTACTCGCGGCCTCTGCGTCCCAACATCTACGACCGCGAGTCTCGGCCGTCTATTCGTGTGAGCTCCGACCCAGACTCCAGCAGCAGGAGACCGCACTTGCACAAACACAAGTCGTCGCATCGTCACCACCATCACCACGACGAGCACCACCGGCACAGCTCCACACGCCACCATGCGAAAGAGGTTGTGCAGTTGGCTCTGCAGCCGCCAACCAGCTTTGGAGACCTCTTGAAGCAGGCTCGAGGTAGCAAAGATCCTTCCCCGAGCCATAGTCGCAGCCACAGTCGACGGGGAAGCCCAAGGAGAGGCGAGACCGGCGGGCAGCAGACGGCCAGCAAGGATGTAGGGCTCACCATACCACCGCCGCGACCGCTGCGGCCAGAGGACATAGAGCGCGAGTCCAGGAGGGTGGAGGCCAGGGAGCGGTACGTTCGCAGCAAATCATTTACGGCTACGCATGCTAAGAAGACTCGAGGGACCTTCGAACTGCCTTGCAGACTCTTTCCGACCAATCCCTCAGGACCTCCCGTCGCCTCGATGACACGTACTACTCGATCCTTGAGAAAGTCTCGACACTACGCCAAACGATCGGCACAATGCAAGAGCTGTCAGGTCTGACAAAGGAACTGCATATCAATTTCGAGGCGGACTCAAAGCATCTGCTCGACGATGTCAGGAGCCAGTTCGAGAATTCGGACAACTTTGACGCGCAGCAGAAGCAGGTAGCTGTGCTGGAGGAGCGAGTCAGAGCAGGCAAAGAGAAGGCCGATGCGCTCACAGCGAGACTGGCAGAGGCGAAGAAGAGAGTCGACGAGAGAGCAAGGAGCGAGGCTGAATGGGAGGCCAGCACTAATCGTACGTCTCAGCACATTCACATTCGCATTATGCACTCTGACTATATCCGCAGGCTGGTGGCAGTGGTTCGGTGGTATAGTCGCCTCTATTGTTTCGCTCATCGTCATCCTAGTAGTCCTTCACCATCTTAAGCCCACACACGTCGACATGAACCCCAAGCCTATGCTGGATCCCGCTGTCGCGGCCAAGATCCGCGAAGCACCGATACCTAGGATGGCAAAGGATAATATACTGGAGCTCGCAACTTCAGTGTCGACAGTGAGTCTGCAGAGGCCATCTGCTCAGTCAAGTGCAGGCTTGGACGATCGGCTGTTGCGTAGGTTTGATGAGCTGTAGCTCGGCTTGTAAGATAGCTGCCGGCGTCGTATATACCCATAGATCATGTTACTTATCTCCATTGTTGTGAAGCTACTCGATACTATGTTACCTGTCGATCGATCTGTCACTTGTCATGCGGGCAGAGGTGCCGCTACGGAGAATATGGTCAATGGTCTGTATAGGTACGCCCAACACGCAGTTCGCGTCAAACTGCGTCAAGAAACGGTCACATGGAAGTGAAGCGTCCAATAGCAAATGCTTCGGCCGCCTGGAAGCTCCAGAATGGTTTGCCCTGCGTAAGGCTACATATCTCGTCCGCCAAAAAGCTGACCGGAATGATTCTTACAATTCGTTTCTGGAGCTCTTCATCTCACCGGTGACCCTAAGGGAGGTACTGACGCCACAATCTGCTTGTCGGTGAGCGCCGAAGACAGCTTGTTTGTGGTGTTGATATGTTGATATGTGGGGTAGATAGCCGGCGAGGCGCGAACGTCATCAGCGCTGGTGACGGCAGAGCCGTCCCACAGCCAATGGGAGTAGCCTTGAAGGCTAGTTATTTGATATGTAATTCTACGTGGGTACTGTACCTGAAGGCTGGGTTCTAACGAACGTAGGGATGCCGGGCTGTCAACGGCTTCTAACGGCTGTACCTTTGTTTGCTTCTTGCGGATAGAGAAGGGTAGGGCGTCTATGCTGATGGCCATCGCCGGTGGATTATAAGGTTCAATGATCGTCCACTCAGACCTCGGGCACGTCGCAGATAACCTCAATGGCGTAGAATCTGGCGTGACTCAAACGCAGACGCTGAGGGCAGTGGTGATCGGCCCTTGATTACACACCCATTAGCGAATAGGGCGAGACCCGACTGGTAACGTGCGCTGGCACTCGCTCCCTCTCAGGGTCCGGTCACAAGTTCTAGTGCGTATTGTCGTGGCCTCGTACCCCTCCTTTTGGCGGGCATAAAGTCGTTCGTAGGTTCGTGGTCAGAACTGAATCACCTCTTCCTCGCGCGAAACCATCTCTCTTGAATCGATTGCGTTGTTAGCCTCTTGTTGTACCACTAGCGCTGTATCCACTGTACCGGCCACCCAGCCTCATTATTAGCTTCATACACGTACCTTAGTAAGACGTTGGTGGCTTTCCAGAACTTCTCTCCCATCCAACGACACTTCACACTCAAGTACGCTAGCTCCTTGGTTGTTACTCCGCTCAGCCGCCCGTTAGTGAAGCATGACACTGACTATGCTGATAGTTCAGTCACAATGGATCAGAGCTACGAGAGTCTCATGTCCATGAGTGAGCACCGCCCCATGCTAGTGTCGCCGTATCTGTCAACCCAGATCAATGAGACAGTTTGTAGCTGTCGCTGCGGATGTGGCTGTAACTGCGCTGGACACGGGAACGATGGTGATTACGACCAACGGAGTGAGAGCCAGAGTGATACAGCAGTCGGGTCGAGTGCCTCTGAGAATGGCGAACAATTTTCCACTGGCCAACATGTGCATGAGGACGACTCTCATGGTGATCGCTTCGACCACTTGGATGAAAATATCCTGTCCCCACGTGCCGTATCACAGCATGGACTTGTATGGCTGCTGGAACAGATTGGCGAGCCAGCAGTGAGATGGCAGCGAACGGCTCTGGGTGCACCACTAGGTCGCCATCTCGAGGATCCCGTGGACAGCTTATTCAACGAGGCGCCCAAGACTGATAGTCGTAGCAATGCAGTGTTTGAACATGGACACTTGCAAAGGCAGTCTCCGGTTCCCGGCATTGATGCACTGTTTGTCTCAGATGGCACCGAGGACATCGAACTTGTCTACTACTTTGACGTCAGACCCCTCCGACTGAGTGCGGAGTTCGAGCACGCACGGGGAGGAGCCAACGAGCATTTGCTCATCCCAGATGAGAACTCCTTATTAACTTCGAAGCATTGATACATCCAGCAGTCTTTGAGCTTTGCTTTCCACAGTCGCTTAGTGGTCATGATCTTCGTCCCATTTTGGCGTTCAAGGATGTACTGAACAACTTATACACTTTGTTGGACGCGGTTGGCGGATGGGTTATTATTTGTACTGTGCGACATGTGAGCTTAGAATGATGAATATGATTTCTTTACAGTATCACATGCCTTCCCTGCGTATACGGGACAAGACCTACTGTTAGCGGAACGGTATGCAGGCTGAATAGACTGCTATCTCTGTTTTCACATGTGGTCCTGTAGCTCTAAAGCTCTATAAGCGGAGGTGGTGGGAACGGCCGGAAACCACACGCGCACTGCTGCATCTTGAGCATGGTCGCGTGAGCCGAGAGTCTACGAGTCTGTGGGGTGCCGGGAGCTTGTGATAATGTGAAGTGTTGCAGGTGATGTCCACGGGTGAAGGTGGTGTTGTTGTTCACTCAGTATGTGCAAGCCTCCCGCGGGAGGAAGCAGCCCGCGGGTGCACGCGTGGAGCGCCCCCAGTCCACACATGGTTGTTGCGGGTTACCATCCGCGCCTCCCTATTTCACCCGCATCGCGATATCGAGAACCTTGCTTTTCAGCAGAGAACTGACACAACCACGCTCCCCGGTGTCGAGGCGCTCCTTAGTGTGGAAGTTGGGCGCTGTGGCTTTATTCTGGGCTTCATCTATGGGGCCACACGCTGGCTCCTGCTGTGAGAAGTTGCGTGTCTTCATGATGGCTGCTTCGTTGTCAATAATGACTGCAAAGGGCTACCAGATAGCGAGGGACACTCAGAAAACTCGTACACCCGAGAGACGGTCGCGGGCCAGAGCTGTGACCGACTGTCCAGCTGCAGATCCCCCAACGAGGTCTTCTCCAACATTTCAAGTGTCCAGAAAATATCGATCAGGAATCATTATTGCCGCGGACCCACAAGACTATTCTCCGCCCCACGAACCATGCGCTACTGATTTCGGTGTGTTGCTGACTGTGACTTTGGATCTTCAGTTGAACATTGAGCCTTCAGACCCTGCGCATGCAGGGCAAATTTTTTACAAATGCACACATGCATCTTCAGCTTTTCCAGCTTTTCCAGCTGCTCTGCATGTACTGAGTGGAGATATTATACGTAGTTATCGCAGTCGCGATGAGCGAGCAAGCATTGATAGTCCAATCTTAGCCGATTGACCTCACTGGGGCCCGCATGAACGAGGCCGCGGATTGTGGTCGAGATCTGATCCCAGCGCCATCCCTTGGCTCAACAAGAACACCGCCAGCTCATATCAGCTCATATACCTACTTAGCGAAACAGCCACAAACTTCCACATCCACATAAGCCACGCTCCCCGTATCCAGCTGTCAAAGTGCTCTCGACCTCCCACGTCCCTGGCATCCTCGACCTGACGTTACTCGCCCTGTGATTCGCTCTTGAGGCTCTCCACGCCTCTCCCCACCTCCGCTACGTCATTCTATCGCTGCATGTCGAAAACATAGCTCGACATCGTTCGATCTCACATGTTTCCGAAATCCAGCTCGTTTAAAGGCCTTCCGCAGTACGGGTTCGAGAAGTCTTTGGCTGTGCGGTTGTCCATTGTTGAGGGCTGGTGAGTTGCGGTTCAATTGGCATGTGAGTATGCGCTGACACCTTCACAGAACCCGTTATCGATCCCCGAACCTCCCATACAGCCTCCTTCGATCGTTGAGCACGCAAATACACTGCATTTGCTCCATCGAAATTGTATAAGGACGGTACCTACTGCAGGGTATATGCAAGTCCGGCTTGAATACTGAATGACAGTGTTGGCCGTTCCGAAAAACACAGTACGCAAGGATTTCGGGTTGCATACACTGTGGAGGAAACAGTTACACGCTCCCGTGAAGACCCGATTTTCGGGCGTCCCCGCATCGAGAGTGCGCATCCGCACGGCAAACCTGCAGCTCTGGCGTGGCACTAGTGTACCCGCGCGACCGACGGCATCGCTGCGATTGGCAACAGCACTCACGTTAGTGAACCCGGGCTTTTGTTTCACGAGGACGTATAAGGATACAATATCACCCAAGAGTCTGGACCGTCTACATCATGGCGTCGGCATGCCCTCCAAGACGTTTCCAGGTGGAGCCTATTGAGACCACCACCTCTAGCTCCAAGGAACGCAAGGAAGAGTTGAAAGAAGAGATCTCGAATCCCACACGAAAATTTGCCCCTGAGCCAATTGAGACGATCACCAAGAGCAACCGCACATTTGCTCCTGAGCCTGTCGAGACCACATCAAAGTCCAACCGAAAGTCCGCGCCTAAGCCCACAGAAACATCGGCAAGGGCCAACCGCAAGTTTGCACCTGAGCCGGTGGAAATCACCACGAAGTCCAACCGCAAGTTCGTACCGCAACCCACTGAGCTCACGCAAAAGACCACTCGCCGGTTTGCCCCTCAGCCGATCGAGACTACGCAGTCTACGAACCGCAAATTCACACCTGAGACCATTGAGACCACGCAGAAAAAGGTTCGGCGCTTCGCTCCTGAACCAGTAGAAACCACTAAGACATCAAGTAAGAGCAGCCGTCGGAAGTTTGCTGAAGAGTGGGATGAAACAACCTCACCTCGTAGATTCAAGCCTGAGCCTCTAGAGATAACAGCACGAGGCAACAAAAGGCAGCCGCCTAGTCCAAGGAAGTTTGCGCCGCAGTTGGTAGAGAGCGCACAGAGAACACGCAAAGCAGGTGATGCCACTCCAGCACTCCTGCCTTCTGATAAGACAGAGGCAACTCCTGAGATTAGCGCTATAAGTGCAAGAAGAGCACGGATTCTGGGAATTTCACCGACACCGCCGAATAACACGCCAACGATCGATCTACCGCGGAACCCTCTTTCTCGAAACCCTCTGTTCCTGGAGATTCAGCGCTCGGAGCTGCCGCCATCAAGAAGAAGGTCCTGGTTCTCGTGCTCTGAACATTCATTTCGAGTTCCAGATCTGGACCCCATTGAGTCTTCCGAATCAGAAGGATCTAATCCTCCGTCACCGATCACTTCCACCTCCAACCATTCTTTCATGTACAAGGAAGCCACTCGAAGAAGGGAAAGCGTCGATGACAGTTCCTCTGGGTATATGCTTGCTCTTGCTGCCAAAGCTGCAGAGAGACAACTGCGCGAGCAAGCGATGGCCGCCTTTCCAAACGACGATTTTCACGAGCCTGTTGATCACTTCATAGATCATGAAACAGACGACGGCGTGACGAACGACAGACGAGGCTCATCTTACAGCGAAGTCAACTGGGATTTGAAGGCTATGCGAGAGTATCAAGACTTGCAGGACTACGAAAAGCGAAAGCTGCAAAGGCAGGCCGCCCAGCCGACTAAGGCTGCGGAGGCGGCGAAACCTGCCTTCAATCCTTTTGGCAATCCAGCTGGTTTCCTGGATGCTGCAACTGCTAAGAAGTTGGCACAAGACAATGAAGTAGAGCCCATGCGCAAGGGCGCGCGTCCTCCCATGTTGGGGAAGAACATCAAATTCCCGAGATGCGCATCCCCCGAGCCAGCACGTTTCGACCCCACGCAAGGCTGCGATGCAGTACGCACAGCCATGTGTTACTTGTCTGAGCAGAGCAAGGCCGCTGAGGATGGGAAGGAGAGCCTGTGGTGCGGCAGAGGCAATGGCAAGCAAACGAGCACAACGCCATCCTTATGGTCTACAGCCAATAGTCGAGCCTCCAGTACCCATGGCTTGTGGGGTGGCATGTGTACCAAGGAGGAAGGAGACAAGTCTCCGAGAGGACCTTCGGGCATCTTGACACCCAGGCACGAGAAGGCAAATCCCATGTCGCCAAATCCATCTCCAGCCATGAGCATGAGCCTGCTGCCACCTACACCACCCGCGTATTCGACCGACTTTGGCAACATTGACGCGAAGCTTGCCATCGAACAGACCATCGAGGAAGAATTTGGGGATGACTTCGTGACGCAGGTTTACAACTATCTGTCGTTGGGCTACCCATCCATGGCTCAACCCTTCGATCCAGAGCTGTCTAAGATTGCTGGTATCCCCATCTCAGAGTTGAGGCAGGACGACCACCTCGCAAAGTCCCGAGGCTATATTCGTCTGGGCAAGGATGGCAATCTTAAAGATGCTGAGATTACAGAAGAGACATGCACACGCTGGCGCGCTCTTCGCACTTACATTCAAGAGTGGGCAAGGCAGCACCCAAAGATGAGCGACCAGTTATCGATTGAAGGTCATGGCGTTTCCGTGAGGAAGGGAAGTTGGGGGCTTTAGAAGATGACATCCTGCATCTTTCTGTTCGTGATCTATATATGCATTTACTGAGCGATTTAGCGTGTCCATAGCGACCTTGGCGTTTTCCAAATTCGATAACCCTTTTGCATTTCTCCGGGGTTCAATGGCGCAATGCTCGATCGTACATTCCCTAGACATCAGGCGTCCTCAAGTGACATGTAATCTGCACATACATGTCACAATAGCATATTCTTACGATCTATCTAAAGTTTGTCGCTGCCGAGAGTGCGATTGTAGCCAACAAACACGGAACGATTACTTCCTTTTGCAGGCTTCCAGCGCTTCGGAGGCTCTTGATTCACAAGAACTGCAGCCAAAACCTGCGTTACGGAAACATGGTCACCTTTAAGGTGCCAATGAAAAGATTCGCTGTGAGGATTGAGTTTGACTTGTAGAGCGTGAGGGAAGGCTCGCCTCGGAGCCGCTCCTACGAGCTAGCCCCCACTACGTCCCATGGCGCTGGGACCCGTGAAGCGGCAAGAAGGTCATGACACGCGAGGCGTCTTGGCGTAGTCTGTTCTTCCTAAGGTATTGTTGACTTTGCTTTTTATTCACCCCACACCAGCACTGGCTGTTCGTGTTGACGACGCCACTCTGATATCCCGCACCCGCAACCGACAACGTTGCTATCGAAATTGTGCGACCATAGTTCACAACAACGGACGTTGCCCCTTTTGTGTACATGTCGATTGGCCTCGCACTCGCATTTCTCAGTATCTCACGGCAGATTTGGAAGCTCGACATGGCCTCATATCTGGACCGCACGGCACGGGGGGGGGGGGGGGGGGGGGGGGGGGGGGGGGGGGGCTCCGCTGCAGCATTGAACGAGCTGCCGAAGCCTTCGCGTTGGTGGCACTCTCCAGGACATCTTGCCGTTGTATTGGGTGTAAACAACCTTGTAAACGGAACCTTGCGGACCAATAGCCCGTCACCATCCCACCCGCGATGATACCTGTACGATGTACCCTGAATACCTTATCTCTCCGTCAGCCACCACCATCATGCCATCCCCCGGAGTCTGTATGCAGATGGGACATTCAAGGCAACGCAGGTACAGTTCGTGACTCTCGACAAGATTTGTTGCTGCCAGGCGACTTCCCTCGTGTCTATACTGTATGTATACTTGGCTAGATTGTACCTCATTATGTTCTTCTCTCTTCAACAACATCCACCATTTGGCCGTAGGCGTGTGGGTGCGGACGAACATCCCGTCGCCCACGGTGCCAATCCTGCGGATCTCATCGCGCGTCCGCAGCGTCTCAGGGTTCTTTTTCACTCCACTAGCTTCGCGGCACGGCTCTAGAGCTCTTCTTGGATCATGTACTGACCATGCTCATTCATCCTAGACTACTTATGATTACCCTCGGTCTTATCCCTCGCACGATGTCGTGCACGGGTGCGTATTGGTGATAAGTGACGAATGAAGCTGTGTTGTCGCCAGAGACGAACACCGGACAGCAATCATTGGGGGGTCGTTGGAGACCCGTTTGGAGGTCTCTCACCCACGGATGGCCAATCCTCTGACTGATATACAGCTCTTTGTACATTTGCCAGCTATCTGATACAGTCGTGGGTTGTAAATTTTACCACTCATTCTTGATCCCTTCTATGAAGACCCTCTGAGCAACTCCACAACTCCGTCCGTCACCTTGGGCCCTCATCATCTAGGGTACGATCGAATCTTCTTATCTTTGAAACCTCCATGATCGGCACTCGACTCTGGCCCATAGCCCTAGGTCTTCCCTTTTGAAGTTGTTCGCCAATACCTCTCTTCCTCGCCAGATCAACAGCAATGGCTGGTCAAGGGTTCGAGATGTCTTTTCATCAGGAACTGAAATCGCAGTCATGGACTATGTATGGGATTGGAATGTTCACAATAGTCGTTCGAACGTAAGTGCCCCAAGATCACAGTCTGTCGCTGAAGTTAACGTGTAACACAGCATTGCACGATGGCGAAGAGTTCGAAGTCCCTCACAATTCGCAATCGATGACTGGTTGATGGCGACGGCCGTGCCACTGTTTTACACAGGATTGGTCGTATGCCTCAACACTATCGCACAAGGCGGTGGGAGCAATCTATTCCCTCCAGGACAGTTGTCGACCTTTACAGAACAGGAAATACAAGAGCGCATTAAAGGATCAAAGATAGTGATTGTCTCCGAACAGGTAGGTCATGGACATCCAGAGTCGACGACCAGGACTAACGATACTACAGTGCATGCTGAATGTGATCTGGTCGCTCAAGGCTTGCATGCTGCTGATGTTCGCCCGCATGACATCGGGGACAAGACACATCAAGTGGATCAAGATTGTTGCCATTTATGTCTTTGTTGGCTGGGTGGCTGTGCAGATTGCTTTCTTCACAGCATGTATGCCATTCAGCGGCTACTGGGCTATCCCAGTCTCGAACCCTCAGTGCACCACACTGCAGCACTTTGCGATCGTCCAGGCGACGTTCAACCTCAGCAGCGATGTTCTGATCATCGCGGTACCTATTCCAATGGTCGTGTCGTTGAATCTACCGATCAGACAGAAGATAGGTCTGGGTGTGCTGTTCAGCATGGGTACATTTGTCGTAAGACTGACCAATAGTGCTCAAGCCGTTTACTAGCTGACCGTATCCAGATCATTGCTGCGATTCTCACGAAAGTCTACAACCTGTCCAACGTTTACGATACCGCATACATGCTCTGGTATACACGGGAAGCCTCAGTAGCTGTATATGTAGCCAATCTGCCTGGTATATGGCCGCTGGCTCGTGAGCACATCCGCTTTCTACGCGATCACACCAACTCGTACATCACCGGACAGTCTCGCATGCCACCCTATGGCTACGGATCCAACTACGGAAACCTATCGAAGCAGCAGCGCAGTCACATACGTGTGACCGTCACGGATGTCGAACCTGATGAGGTGGAGCTCAAGGACTCGTACAACAGGCCGGGCGCACGATCTATTCACTCGTCGCCCAGCCTGACCGGTAAAGATTTTAGGTCCGGTAAGACCAGTCTCGATAGCGATGAGCGGGCTATCAATGACCTCAGCAGCTGGAAGGGAATGAATGTGATGGAGGTACAAGTTGATACGAAGGTGGAGATACGAAGAGGGGGCTGGGCTGGGACAGAATTACAGGGTGTGCAAACGAAAACCCAGATCGAAGGAGGTTGTAGGGCATGACAACCTTGCACTTTCACTATTCACAATACTATAGAGCCGGCATCTTCGGTATTAAAGAATCTTTGCAAATGTCACCGAGCTTCCAGATTATACATCATCGACGCTTCATCATCATGGTGCACCCCTCTCTCAACCCTCATATATGCATTGCCAATGCGCGCACTACTATCAGTAATGATCCGGGAGAGATCGCTGACCGAGCGGACGAACATGTGGAGCTTGCAGTGAAAAAGAATTTCCGCATCAATTTAGTATGGTGCTCACGTGGCAACGCGATGCGGAAGTCGCGTCTTCCTAATGGAGCGGCGACATTCGCAAGCCAGGCAACCATGCTTCTCCAACGACGATGGTACTGAACCTGCGTAGCCCTTCAAAGCATAATTCAATGATCACGCGGTTCATCAAACACCCAACGTCCACAAATTTCCACGGCGAAAACGATCGGTCCCCCAAGAGACGGCGAATCGATGACGTAACCAAGCCGCCGACGACACCGCGCAAGAAACGCAACTTCGAAGATGAAATCGCCAACTCGGACGGCGAAGATGAAGGCGCGGTGATAAATCAGGAGCCCTCGGACACAAAGACAGATCTAGAGAGCGCCCTGCCGCCCATTGAGACCGGTCAAGAAGCAATCGAGACATATGAGGCGTTCAAAGCGTCCCAAGAAGAGAAGCCAGAGGGGGCTGAAGAGCGATTGAAAGATCGGGCATGGATCCGAGGGAAGAGTTCTCTTTACGTCGATGCGTTCAACTTGGCGCTCGACACAGTGTTGGAAGAAGAAAGCCACCTCTTTGACGAGGCAGAGACGGAAGTGTTCAGGGTATGGAGGAACCTGAATTACGAAGCACAGTACCTTTACGTGCGACTCTTCCTGCGCAAGACATCTGCGTGGCATCGAATAAGAAATCTCGGCTACCACAGCGACCTCTCAGATATGGACACAGCGGTCGAGGCTCTACAGCGCACGTTCGATCTACCAACATCGTCTGCGGAGGTCGAGATATACCCTGGCGAGCAGGAAGCACCTGTTGACGCCGCACTTGCAAAAACCTTTGCATTCGCCGATCGATCAGAGGACGAGATCACAACACTGGACGAAGCATCCTCTCTGCTGCGCTTGGACGAGCTGAAGGCTCTTGCGAAAGATGCAAAAGTCCACGGCAAGAACAAAAGAGAGCTATTGACAGCACTGCAAAGGACAAGCAAAAAACAAGCTGGTCTCGGACATGTCGGACTGAGGCGATCGGACACAGACAGTTCAAGGCAATCTAGAACATCGATACAGTCATCTGTTTCAGGTACAGCAACTCCAGCGCCCCAGGAACCTGAAGAAGGCAACTGGTCTGACCTATCAGACAGTGCCAATCGAGATGCGCACTTCACTCGAAAGATCATGAGCGAGACAGGTTCGTGTATACGACTATCAGCGCCAACAAGGAAGCTGTTTGAGCGTGTTCATCTTGTCTTCTATCGATCGACAGAATGGACCGAGAAATCGTTGATTACGATCATACTTGCGAAGATAGCGCGTCGCAACTTTCCAGAGTATATTGTTTCCCGGTCCGCAAACATCTTCGCTTCCCGATCCCTGCTTCTGGAGTACGAAGCATCGATACGAACACAGTTTCGAATAGACAACATCCTGGAGTTCAATGGAAGACCAACTAAAAGAGACTACCAGGAGATCGTGGATGTGTTTGAAGAGGTTTACTCTCGATGGCAAATTCTTGTAGAAGAAGAGCAGCGCAAGGAGGATAGTGTCTACCACAGCGGCGAGGGGTCCTACCTTCGTCGTCTATCTCCAGCCTGGGTCTATACCCGCATCATACACAAGGCAATGTATGTTCTCGCCCGTCGCAAAGAATATCAACTCGAGTACGATGTTACCTCTGCGCTACTTGGGCAGCGCCTCTTCCATCACTCTCGCCGAGGAGCTTGGTACCAACGCAAAGCACTTATCGAAGAACATTACATGGCCACCCTCTCAGCCACCCAAAATTGGAGCGAAGAACAGCAGAAGAAGCACTGGAAACGCATCGCCCTACGAACCTGCGAAGTCGGTCTACAAGACAATCTCGTCCACATCATCCACCACTACGACCTCCAAAAGCGCGTCACCAAACTCGAGAAATTCCTCAATATCGCCAAGCGCCTCCAGCATGATTTCACGCACGTACGTCTCACTAAGCCGATCGAAGTCACCGTCAACGGAACCCAAATCCTACGCCCACTGCCCCTAAATCGTCGCAACAGCTCCCCCGGCCCGCACCGTCGTAGCGGTAAAACGATCTGGCTCGACTCCCGCGAAGGCGGCGAATGTAGCGTTGAAGCCATGTGTCTATCGCACTACCGCAACCAGGAATGGAAAGGTTTTCATAGCGAAGGTGGCATCCTACGCACGCTGTTCGCGTATCTCTTCTACGATGTACTGTTTACGTATGTCCCGAATGTGTTTCAGACGCAGTATCAGACGTGCCCGCTGGATCTACATACTGACGCGTTCTACCCGAGTCGTATCTCGGAGATCAATGCCAGGCTGAACGCGATCTCGAATGGCGGCGCGGAAAGCATTATCAGAAGAGTATACGCTGAGCACCACGAGAAGAGGACGTGTGTCGTGGGTCTGGACTGGAGGTATGACGTCAATGACTTGTATGAGATAGTGCGATGTTTCGATGGCGAGGCGTTGGCGACGGTTTGCAAGGTCATGGCGCAGGAGTATGGACAGCGCGGTGGTGGCGTACCAGATTTGTTTCTTTGGAAGCTTGCGAGTGGGGAGGGAGAGAAGGGCAAGGTCAAGTTTGTTGAGGTCAAGAGCGAGAACGATCGCTTGAGTGATACGCAGAGGCTGTGGTTACACGTGCTCAGTGGTGCGGGAGTGAAGGTTGAGCTTTGTGCTGCCGTGGCTGAAGAGGTTATACAAAAGTGAGAAAAAGAACAGTAGGACCTGCGCAGTTTGTTGGGCTATTACAACAGCATCTCAGAGCACTGTGTGTTGGCATGCTAAGATCCAACGTAGTTCTGAACAGCAAGCTGGAATATGGACAGTACCGTTCATTCAACCACTACTTGGTTTTAGCGATAACAAGATAATAGAATAGCAAGACCTCAATCAGTGTACATATTTCATATCGCGTGTCCCGGGCGGGTCCCACGACCAGGGCCATTCCTTCCTGACAAGTCCGTACTCACCCAAGCTCTCGTGCTCTCTCCGTGCTGACGGCCGTCATAGATCACAGCGCCGGTCTTATGATCATCACACCAGCTTGTTAGACTACCATCATCGCCTGAACGATCGCTTACTTGCGAAACGTGAACACCGCTGCGTCTGTTACCCTGCCATTCCATCTCAATGTCCTCCTTCACGATGATGCGACGTTCCTCCTCTTCGCTGTCTCCATCTTCCCCATTTACAGGACGTACCCGCAAGGCGTGGTCATTTTTCGACAGTCGCGAGCCGAAGCCAGTGGCTGACTTCTGCCCTATCGTTTTGCTAGCGCTGTTGGATGCATAATGCTTCGAGTACATGGAGCGCGGGAGGAGATAGGAAAGAGTAGGAGCACAAGCCGCGATGAGGCTGACTACTAGCTCGAGCATGATCATGGCAAGTAGAGTCGTGTAATTCCACAGCGGATCCTTCTCCAACGTATACTGCGAGACAAGGGTCATTACTGAGGCGATGCAAGCAATCAGACCGATGGACAGCAGGCCGAAGATGCGAGCCTTCTTCTTCCAGCTCAGCTGAACCTTCCATAGTACAATCACCGGGATGGCGAGAGCGGTGAAGTCCAGAGCGAGGTTCAGGCGAAGGATGCTGTTCATGGAATTGACGGACAGACATTTCGGTACCTTGCCCGACTCGGCGATTCGAAGCAAGTCGAAACTCGCGTACTGAGGGTTGCACTTAAAGACGTTCAGAAACAGCGCTGCGAAGGTGTAGGCTGCACATATGACGAAAAATGCCCAGTTAACATTCTTCCAAAACCTTGTTGTAAGGGTTGTGAGTCGAATGTTGAATAATGCAATGCTCATCTTGAGAAGTCCCACATAGACGTAGAACACAGTCGCGGCTGACGGTGCGAGCTACACTTCAACGTTAGTTCTGCGTGACGGCGGATCATCAGGGTCGTCCTCGCTCACATATTTGTAATGGCGATACTCTTGATAAGTGATGTCGTAGAAGTGCTTTCCGGCCCCGCCGTACTGGACCATAGCGATCTGAAGCGCTGGGTACGCCATGGAGAGGAGATACGCTGGAATGATGAGCCAGTCATCGGCACCGAAACGGACCCCATGGACGAATAATCGAATGCCCAGCCTTAGGAAGGTGACAACCGTGAGAATAACCATACACACTGAGAGCGCGGCTATGATACCTGGGCCTTTTGTCTCGAAGTGGTAATTCTCCGTCGGACGGAGAGGTGGAATTGTGACTCCATCTTTGGGATCTTTAATATTAGGGGCCAGGCCGGCAAGGAGCAATATTCCTGCAACGATCCGTTCGTCGAGTTCGTTGGCCGGCGGTGTGTTGAAATAAGCAGACACCATCGTGCTATGATTATGCTGGCTCGTCCTTACGACACCTTACGGAGAGATAACACATGGGTGTAGGGCAATTCCGAGATAGATCGACAGAACAAAATTCCAGCCAGAGGTTCTGAACTCGAGTGTTCTTAAGGACTCGCTCATTCCATTGCCCTGTTTGAAGTATGCAGGCACATCCCATCCGTATGGGATGGGCAGGCCTGTATTGCATACGAGCAGCGAGCGTGAATGGCGCGATATCTCAACACTCCGTGTGGGATTCAGAGTCGAAGAGACGATCGCTTCCTACTCTGTCAACAGGAGACCGTTGTCATGACCTTCGAGGTATCCCAGACGCGCGGAAGGTGGCTCCACCGGAGTTCTGCAGCTTGGGTACTGCTGGCACGCAGGTACCTGTCCGTGCCCATGTTGCAGCATTCGCCGTGCCGTGCCATGTTGCAGAATCTTTTCTCTACGGGACCAATCGGGCCCGCAGACACGGCAGACGAGTGTGGGCCGTTGACTCTGAGGGGATATCGAGATGCACTAGAGACCGGATGTTTGGGAAGGCAGCAAGGAGCGGCTCCACCAGGCCGCTTATGGTAACTAGTTCCCTTTGCCCTACACATGTGAGGAAAGGCCTCACCCGCAGCGTTCGTCAAATGCCCCCTTCTTTGACACTACTGGCCTTACACCTCTGCGCAAGGACAAATTTTAGATATTCTAAAGCCGCAATCTATGGACCCTGATTCCCACTAACGTTGCAGTAGAAACGCAATGCTTTGTAATTTTAGTGTATCATGCCAAGCCCCTGTTCACCACAGGCGCCTTCCTAATACACCGGAGGCGCGCCGGGCGGATGTCTTCGCTGGGCCAGGCATGCAAGATCGTGGCCCAACATGCGGAGTCCGTGTGCTACACCTGGGACGAACAATCTCGGTAATGTAGAAATTGACAATAACCGGATGGACAAGGATGGGCTATTGAGATACGCACTACGATATGATTCGTAGAGAGACCTGTCTGACCCACTTTTCTACTCGCGTCGACTCTCGCCTCCAGAAGACTACCTACCGATTGGGGAGACAGCGCCCTTGTCCATCCGGTTATTGCCAATTCCTACGGTAGGCAGTCGCAGTCTTGCAAGGCCCGTAAGCGTGTGAGCGAAAGTTCAGGGGAAACCTCATCACCCGGGGCCGCAGCTCTCAATTGACTGCATCAATCGCAGAGTTCCGCGTTCCATCTTATCTGCTCGCTTCTTAAACTCTTCGCAATACATATTCCAGAGCTACGAGTTGGCCCCTGCCCTGCTCCGTGGCGGTGGTTGTGCCCAGCATCAACCCGCAGTCCGAGTCATGTTGTACGCTTTCCAATGTCCGCTCCTCTCAGGAGCCTACGAAAGCGAGCGAAGGGTTTCCAAGGAATCACAGAACTAATTTTGGACCAATCCCACCTCTCACCTGAATGACTGGAGCCAACGGCGCAGCACGTTGGAATGGGAACGCGTCTTCCAAGATGGAAGCGGATACAGGCTGCCGACCCAGCCGCGTAAATCCCTTCCAGAACCATGTATAGGAAGATGTGCAGATGATGCCAGAAGGGACAAGTATCAAGCCCCAAGCTTTTCCTCCCATTCTTTTAACAGCCATTCTATCAGTAGACCACTTCACTTCGTTGTTGCTACTGGTTGTCCATTCGTTTTAGTCATCCTCGTCTTCGCTCTACTATGTACTCGCCTACCATTGTTTCGAGCCTGCTGTTAGGAGCATTGCCCTTCCTGACTTCAGCACAAGATAACATCAACGTCGCAAGGCTCACTGCTAGTAAGGGTGACCCCCCTCCCCCCCGCGCGCGTTGAAGTCTGGTCCACCACAATCTAACCCACCAACAGGCGACTGCACTGGTGTCAAAGGCATTAGCCCAAAATGTAGCAGCCAAGAGTCTGCGTATCAACGAGACTTCTTCTACATCGGTGGTGGCTATGTCGATTCCGGCATCCCAGGCCAGCAGATGTGGAGCGACCAACTCTATGTCGAGAAGCTGACGCCCGCCAAGAAAGTCAACAAGCCTTACCCCATGGTTTTCGTCTCCGCGGGTATCAACACAGGCGCAGAATGGCTGAATACGCCAGACAATCGCAAAGGGTGGGCTTCCTACTACCTTGACCAAGGCTACCAGGTCTACATTGTCGATATTGCTGCCAACGGCCGAAGTGGCCAGCAGCTTCTTGCCAAGTACCCTCTGCGCATTGGATCCACCGACATTATCAATGAGCAGGGCTTCACAGCTCCGGAAGACTTCGACCAGTACCCACAGGCAAACGCACATACACAATGGCCTGGCAACGGATCTCGTGGAGATCTCGTTTTTGACGCCTTCACTGCCGCCAACGTTCCCATCTCTTCATCTAACGTGAACGTGGAGAGCACTATGCGCACATCTGGATGCCAGCTTCTCAGTATGATTGGCCAGTCATACACAGTCTGCCATTCTGCCGGTTGCACTTACACAGCCATCTGGTCAGACGCATGCCCTGATCTGCTGCGTGCCAACATCAACATTGAGCCTGGCAACCTCCCATTCACTTCTCTGATCGGAAACACCACCGTTGCTGGAGTCGGTCGTACCGCTGCTCGGCCTTGTGGTCTCACATACACACCGCTGCAATTCGATCCGCCTGTAACGAACTGCTCGGCCATTACCACCGCTGAGGTTGGAACGGACGACCCGGCCAAGCGCTCCTGCATTCTCCAGAGTGGCACCATCCACAAGCTCACCCAGCTCAGCAAAGTGCCTTACATCATGATCACGGGCGAGGCCAGCCCGCATATCACGTACGACCACTGCTTCGTCGAGTACTTCAAGCAGATGAACCTCACCAACTACCAGTGGATCAAGCTTGCCAACATTGGTATCAAGGGCAATGCCCACTTCATGTTCCTGGAGAAGAACAACCAGGTCATCGCCGCGGCGATCAACTACGGTCTTGGGAAAATGAACGGAAGCCCAGCTGCTCCAGGTCATCCAAGTCTTCCTGTCCTTTGAATGAGAGACGTAGCTTTCGATGGCTGTCAATGACGAATCTAATTGTATATATATAGTTTGGAGCCCGACTGCATAATAGATGCCGCACTCCCTAATCGAACGTCGCAAAAATGTCTCCGTTTCAGGCTCCCTATTGCAGATCGAGGGCCCTTCCTAAAATGCGCAACTTACGTCCATCGTCCCTGCAGCAATCACCGTGCTTGGATCCGTCTAATGCCTCAACAAGTAACAGTTCCTTCGGTTCGTAGAGTGGGCCGTATTCATCGCCCCTCAGCCGAGCGGATCCGTTTAGGCGCTCGGTACCGACAGGTTTGGCGTGTCAAGGTGATGTGGAGGTCAAGAGGCGACAGCGAGCATCAAGACTTCCCACGGAAACCCCAGCGTGGCTCGAGTTTGTAGGTAATGGAAAGGTGAAGAATAACGAACGAACACGCGCCGCTTGGTTCCGTTTCGCGTCCAGGGAATTCTCTTTTTATCTCATGCAACGTGCTTGCCATCTTGTAGCCCCGCCTGCCTCGCCGATCCCGGCTCCTTAGCAGCATCAACGCCCCTACCTCACCCCAGAAATGGGCTCGCCCAGTCCGACTCAGTGATACAAAATAATTTCTCAAGTACTGCGTAGAGCTTGTGAAAACACGCAATTTAGCTGAGTACGTCCACTAGAGCTTCCAAGGTTGAGCCTAGATGGCGGGGGCGTTAACCTCGAGGACAGGTCAAACACCATAGTTGAAGTACAGAAGGACATAGCACGAGCACTGCGTTCAACGGTATTTGAGACGCTGCTGCAAAGCTGGACCTACCGCCGGCCATGGATAGTGGATAGTCAGGATACCTGGTGCATCCGTTGGCCTTCTCAGCCGCCCAGTGAACACACACTCGGATCTTGCGCAAGCATCACGCTCATGATCGATACGACGACCAAGATGTATCAGTGCGTTCCAACTACCGTAACGACTGTTTATAGTTTGGGCCCTCACATCCATTACCACAGTCTCCCCAAAGACCTCTGACAGAGCAGATTATGACGCTCAGACGCGCTTCTCAGCAACCTGAGGAGTTTTCTCGTCAAGAACGTCACGCTCCTCAATCTCCCTCTCCACCTCCTTCATGTTGATGTGCGCAACCGCCGAGTCACCATCGAAGATTTTGCCAATCTCCTCAAGAGTTGGACCGCGGGTCTCAGGGTACACGAAATACACCCAGACAAGCTCGACGCAGATCCAGCACTATCAGGACAATTAGCGTTGATCTTAAGATCAAATATGCGCGAAGAAAGGTACTTACAGTGTAGAAGAGCGCCAAGTTCCAGTGGCTGGGCAGACGCTTCCATGCAACCGGGTTGGTCTGACCACCAATTGCAAGAATAGCCTGAACAGTGATGTTCATGATCATGAGACCCTTGCCACGGAGGCGGTAAGGCAGAATCTCGAGAGCGTAGGCGACGAGTAGACCGGACCAGGCAAGCGAGTAGAAGATACCAAACATCCAGATAAAGGGAATTTGTGCGTAGCCGGCGCCTTCGTTACTCTCGCCCGACTTCTCGTATATAGCGCATGTGATAGTCCAGCAGATGAAGTTGAGGACCATACCGCTGGTTGCGATCAAGAAGAGCTTTCGGCGTCCGACCTTGTCGATTAGGGTGGCAGCGTAGAGGGAGACACCGAGTTGTAGAATACGTTCACCACCAGTGAGCTAACGCATGTCAGCAGTGATCCCATCAAACGGTACTCGACACTTACACCCATCTTCTGACTCTGACTCGTGATACCAGCACCTTCGTACACAAGGTTGATGTAGTTGGAGAACAGGGCATTGCCGCTGTACTGGGAAATGATACCGAGAGAGATCAGGATAGCCAGTCTCCAGCGGTTGCCGCGGGTCTTGAGGAAATCTATATAGCTGGAATTCTGCGAGGCATCAACTTCCATTCTGATGGTCTCCTTCATCTCCTGGTACTCGAATTGTACGGTTGGGTCGTTTTGGTTGCCTTCGGCGTGGTAGAAAGACAGCATGCTCAGAGCATCCTCGTAGCGCTCCTTGGAAATAAGCCACTGCGGGACGGTTAGGAGTGCATAAAAGAGGGGATGGACATACGTACTCGAGGTGATTCCGGAACCCACCAGATGAGCGACAACTGAATAGCAGAAGGCAGACCCTGAAGAAGGGTAATGGACCTCCAAGACCATTCGTTGTCAGCTTGCGAGGTGCCCCAAGCGATCCAGGCAACGAAGACGGCTCCCAAGTTCCACAGGCAGTTATAGACGGCGGTGAACTTGGCGCGGTGTTGCGGGTGACAGATTTCAGTGAGGAGGATCGGCGAGCACATCTGCGCGAAGCTATTGCCGAAACCGAGAACAAGACGACCAGCCATGTAAATCTGCCAGTTAGTGGCGAAGGTTGAGACGATAGCACCAGCAATCATAATGACACAGCCAATGGCGATGGGAATCTTGCGGCCCCACCATTCAGCGGCAAAAGGTCTGATAGAACGTGGTCAGTGACAATGTACCGCAACTGCAGGTGCCAAATCTCTTACACGATGAAGAAACTGGCAATAGAACCAATGTTGTACGCATTGTTCATGATACCCAGGCGGTTGTCGTCGGGCTTATCGAAGTACGCCGTCCATCGGTCCATCTGCTGCGAGGAGTTCATCATCATACTGGTCACAGAATCAACAATGTCCCATTGTCTGACAATTTTTGAGACTCACCCATCGTAACCGGTTGTGGCCGAAGCAACGCAGAGAACGCATGACCAGAAGTACAGCTTGCGCATGTTCGGTCGCTTTTTCCATTCGACCTTCTCGAATTGAGGAGCACCCTCACGAGCCGCAACCGCGTTTTGGTTGGGCGCTTTGGCGCCGATAGCGAACGAAGGCATGACGGCTTGGTCTTACTCCACAGTGCTGATATTTGTAGGAGTCAGTGATACCACCAGGGTGTGTTGACTTGGATCAAGAGGAGCCGCGACCATCAAGTAGTATTTATGCTCAGAGTAATTCATCCGGGACGGTAGCGCGAGAATGATGGCTGAAATTTACAGGCGCGTTGTCGTGGACGGCCCGCCATGTGAGGTTATCAGGGATGGTCGTGAGGAGTGTCAGACCAAGCCCGGATTTCACCAATGAATTCGAACCAAGACATACCAAGACTGTCCTCCCAAGCCACCCGCTGGCACCAGGCCCGACAACCCCGGGCCAAGGACAAATATCTTATTGGTTGTCAGCGTTGCAACCGTCGCAACTGGGTACGGCTTTGACCATATCAACGGTCTGTGTTCCGCAAATTGCGGCCGCATACTGAAAGCTGGGGAAACAGGGGAGCTGTACCGACAGCGTGAGCACGCAAGGCCACGAGATCAGAGGGCCAGACCTGAATCAGATCATAACTACTGGTCCAGGACTATTGGTGGGGAATTTATCCATGTCTGGTGCAACAAAACAGGCGGGTCTGATCAGGTCGTCAGTGCTGTTGTGCTTCCCGAACATGATATTGTGCTTACCATTGGCCCTGTACCGCGTCTATTCTTCACAAGCCCTAGGGCATTCTGCGAGGTAAATGCCATTTCAGACATTCTCTGATGCCGGTAGAGAGGTTGAGTACGCCTCGCAAATCTATCTACGACTGACCTATGTCCGCGGTGTTGTCTGTTGCATACTATTAACGCATGTGGCTCTGTCGATCCTTTCCAGACGAGCTTAGTAGATAATACCTGAGAGAAAAGTTGTAGGCTGTATCTGTCGATGTAAGTACAAGCGCTATTCTCGTCAGGAGCAACCTTAGTCCAGCAGACGTTCCCTCGGCGCAAGCCGACGTTGTCCGCGTTGCTGTGCCTCTACATAGCCTCAAAGGCCATGCATTTGCAACAAGGCCACCGGTACCCCTCAATCACAAGAGCCATGAGCCACGCCGACACGTGAGGGATGTGGTGTGAAGTACACAGTAGTCAGTCGCGCACATCGCTAAAGCGCGTCGCTTAGTGATGAGGCGAAGATTCCCGTTTAACCGGTCATCGTGGCCAGGCTTCCGCTGCAGCATCAACAAGGCCGCAGCGGGATCGCCAGATTCCCGCTCCGATTGGCGTGGCGTCCGTGTTGCGCTTGATTTTGATCTTGGCATGGTTAAATTCAAGGTCGAGGTGTTGGACCAGATTCTTGGCCATCTCTTATCATCATGTTGTGGCGGACGCCTGGTAAGAGGGGATGGGATTTGAGGCTGAGCGTGTTGTGGAAGATGGCGGGCCTGTCTTTCACATATGATGCCCTTGAAGTAGAAACACTAGGTATTGGATGGTTCGTGCCTTCGGTCCTCTTGCCTCTCCGCCGAACCGGAAGGCATCGAACGAAACTCTTTCCGCGTTGGGACATGGTGCTGGAGCCTCCTCGTTAGCCGCGCATAAGACGCAAGCGCCGCCTGCTACGAAGGACGTACTCGACCTCACCTCAACTGAAAGCACCCGCCCATCCGAAAGGCGTCACCGTGATAGATGCTGTGAGGCTGCAACCAATGGCGAGCTCGCGACTTCCTCGCGAAGCCGTTCTTCCTGACGACATCATTGCGCTTCTGCCGCGATCTCTACTTACTGAGCGTAGTCGCCGCTATAGCGAGCACTGGAAATAGGACCTTGCTGTACTACAGTTAGATGGACCTAGACGACATCTAGGGGCACAAGACGCTTACAGCGTGGCTCTCCGATGTGTCGTCTCTGGCAGTGAGAATGCTAATACACAAGCTTCCGAGCGCTGTTCGCGTACTAAGCCATCGTGTATACCAAGAACGTAGGAATGATTGCCAGGGGCCGAGAGAATAACAATGAATACAGTGCTGCACTATTATATATACTACCTCTCCTCTCTTGGCCCTCCATCATAAGTCATAACATCATCAATCGTAATCGCAGTATCCAAATTTTCCCAACATGGCTGTCCAACCATTATACTTCCCACCTACCGCCAGATCTGCCATCTCTTCTTCGGCTTGGGCGGCACAAAGCTCTCCTGGCTCATCTCCTGCTCGCTTGCGCTATAGCTCCTCTCGTCTTCATCGAGGCTATCATATTCGTCATCCTCATACCGTCCGTTGCCGAGATGTCTCGCTCCCACCCCGGCGTTGTGGTTGCTGCTAGGGTACGCGGGATAGGACGTGCGATCGTATCCGCCTCGTTCGACGTAGATAGCTCTCTCGGGCGCAGGTACAGGCAGTAGAGCAGGTAAAGGTGGGGGCGCTGCTCGCTGAGGCGCTGGAGGTGCATAGTGGCCATTGGATACAGGGCGGGACTGGCTGCTGGGTCGCGGCCCGCTGCTGAAGTAGTCGGCCCCTGCGGTGTCGTCTCGTGCTTGCATGCCACCACGGTAGTTGTATGGTGAGTCTGGACCAGCGCCTACGATGGCGGGGTGTGGTGGGTAGGACTTGCGTTTCTGTGTGTCGTGTTTCGATTCCGATGGGATATGAGCGAGGACATGAGCATCGTGCTCGAAGTTGTCGTTGCCGTGCTGATTCAGGATGCCACCCATGGAATGCCTGTTCACTTCAGGCGACTGAGGGTCAGGCAGCTGCGACTTGTGTGACGCGTTGTGTGTGGGTGTTTTCCGCAAGGATCCAGACCCCACGGGCGGCAGCACTGCAGTCTGGGGTACAGACTGAGGCTGAGGCTGAGGAGCGCTGCTGTGTCTTCTTCCGCTAACAGACTCCCATGCTGAGCCTTGCCGGCCGTAGATTGCGGGACCCACGTCTTCGCTTTGCCTGCTGCCTGCCGCGACGTCGCGGGCTCCGTCTGTGTATGCGGGATCTGCGACAGCCTCGTTAGCATGGAAGCCTGAGCTCAGACGGTTGCCAGCAGGAAGAGCTTGGGACGTAGGAGCGGCGCGCTTATTGCGGGATCCAAAGCCAGGGATCAGAATCCTGGGTCCGACTTTGTACCTTTGACGAGCGCGCTCTTCCTCGTCCTCTTCTGACATCTCTCCTAGATCGCTACCACTGCCGCTCTCACTACCACTCTGGGAGTAGCCATCATCGCCGATAGGTCTCCTCTTGCGCCGGCCTCCACCGAAGATGCCGAGGAAACTGCCTTTGCGTGGATGCTTCTCAACCATGCCAGGCTCGGGAGTGGTGTAATTGAGGGCAGGAATCAAAAGGCGGTAAGGTGTTGTGATGCCCGCCGGATCATGCTGTGAGACTTCCATATTCAATGAAATATCCAGGCCGCCTTCAAGGTTGATGAAGTCTCTCTTCTTGTTCTGTTGCAATCCTTTCTTGGTCAGAACGCTGGGCCTGCGTTTGAACTCAAAAGGACGCTCGAGGGAGGCATCATTGCGCGCTTGGGTTGGCGGCAGACTTTGTGTAGAGTCGCGGCGGTCTACACTGTCGACCGAAGCGCGGCGGCGGAAGAGTGAAGTCAACGAGTTGCGGCGAGACCGAGTGGGCCGTTCGCTCTCGGACCGGTCTGGCGAGAACGACGACTGAGGCTGATTGTGCACGTTGGACTGCAGCTCATCGGCAGTGGCATTTTGAGGGTTGTTGTAGTACGATAGAGGTGGACCGCGTCCTCGTACGCTTGGGCGTCGCCCTTGGTCACTGCTAAATCTTCTGACCATCTGGCGCGGATTGAAAGTATCCGAGAGTCTCCTAGCGGGCTGCGGTCTGTCTTCTGGCTCAGGTGTACCAGGTGGCGACGACCCAGGCTTGTACTGACGAATACTGCACCAGTTTCGGTGAGGGAGAAGGTGGTTATTGTTCCTCTTCTTTCCGTCTACGTCGTGTGTGAATATCGGAATCATATCTTCATCAGTGTTGGCGTCAAGGTGGTGCACTTTGTTGCGCTTGTTGAGGATATCAGCCATCATGTCTGGCGGTGGCGTGTTGACAATAGCGGATGAGACTACGTTCGGCATGTATCTCGCATCCTTGTCCTTCGGGATCTTCAGCTTCTTGTTGGAGTAGAACTGGCCAACAGCACCAAGATGCACATCACCTCCGAGAATCGTGACGCGAACAGACTTGGTCTGTGCGACGTGCTGCAGCTCCTTGATGAACCAGTTGCGTTCCTCCTTGTGGTGCTTAGCAGTCCAATGATCATCGAGATCGTCGAGGATCTCGGCTCCACCGTCGAACTTGTTAACAAAGCCACCAAGCAGACCAGCTCGGCCCAGAGCCTTGATAGGGTCCATCATTCTGCTGGTCAGAATGTTTTCAAGGAAATTCAACCTTGGGTACGCAATAGGTACGCCCAGAAGGACGATCAAGTGCTTGGTCTGGCCTTTAATAATCTCGTCCTCGAGTCGATCGAAAACGATGTCATATGAGTCTTCAGTCAGGATCTCGTCACGTCGTCGCTCCGTCCGACAGTCTAGCCCAAGGAAGGCCAACTCTCTCCCCAGATGCATAAAGACGCTCCGCGAACGCTCTCTGATATAAGGTCCAGGACTCTTGCCAAGCACCCACGAGGGCTCTGTCTGTTCGGTCTCGGCCGGGACTGACTGATGCTGGAAGAGCATGTAGTATTTGAAGGCCACTGCGCCAATGCCGGTAAAGACTGGTGTCTGCATAAAGTGATGGGGATAAGATCCGTAACCCTGCATGAGTTAGCATAAAAAGAGCCGAAATAGGCAGCGTCTGGCTTACGTCGATGATGTCATGGTCATCCCAGATATTGACCATTGGAATCTGAGAGTTGGCCATGCCGAACAAACCTTGTGAAAACCACATTGAGTACCGGTCTAGATAGAACTGCTCCAGTTCGTTCTGCATTTCCTCAGAGAATGGGGTGCGGTGCTTGTTCAATGGGTTTCTATTCTCTGTCCATTGTCTGAACAAAGTCGTCTGCTTCATGGCAGCGTCATTGTAAATCTGGTCGCCACCACCGAGCATGACATGGAATGGTCGACTTTGGTGTGAGTTCAGGACGTCTCGCCACATTGGGTCCGGGCCACAGAAGTCCTTGGAATTTACACTTAGAGAGAAGCCGTTGCAGCTGTGGAACATGATGTTCATGGTCTCACCCTTTGCTGGCACCCAAAAGCCGATTGCAGGCCCTTTATTGATCCGGTAGGCTACGCGCGCTTGTGTGCTGCCAAGTTCGACCTCGAGGTTGAAGCGCCAGAACGTGACCCCTCGTTCTGCATGCAGGCGGACAGCAGGTATTTCTCGCACCTTTCCTAGCCTCTCACCATCCTTCTTGTGAATGCGTGATGATTTGACACTCGCACCATTGCCGGTGCGAGCGAAGGAGAAGAGGCCAGTGTCATCTTCGACTCGTGACAGATCTTCGTTCTCAGCAATTTCGTCCACGGCTTTCACGTACATCATCTGTCCAGTTCTCGAGACCTTGAACTGGCCCTCAACAGGATCAACATATGCTGGGCTCGACTCATCGCCTTCGAGCTCTTGTGGTGGGAGAGGCAGGATATCCATTGCCTGCTTGAACAGACGCAAGGTGGGTGGTCTTTGGTATGACGATTCAGAATCGGTGGTGACAATCATGACACTGCCCCTCCAGATCTCCCGTTCTTTACCGGCTCGACTTTGATCTCTTCGAAGACCAGTGTATCGCAAGAGTGGTCCACACTTCAAGTAAAGGGGCGGATTGAAGCTGGTCTGAGATGTAGGCTCGTCCGCGTAACCATCATAGGTAGGCTCAACATGAGTGCTTGATCGCCGGCGTTTGCCAGCTTGGCTTTCTTCCCACCAGGCTTTGTTCGAACCACCCGGCGTTCGTGCAGGAGTACTCAAATCCAGGTCTTCGGCAACAAGGGTAGCTATCGGTGCTTGTCTCCACTCTTCTAGCATAGGCGTTTTGACATGGGTCCGCTCATGACCCTTGTGGCGTGCAAGGTGATGGGGGTCTTGCGGATGTATTTCAGAGTCAACATCAGAAAAGCCAACGCTCTTGCGCGCCACCGGCGGTAGTGGAGAATCGTAAGGGTGGACTTGGAACTGCCCATTACTTGGGGGAGTGCCCTTCTGATTGATCTGTTGTTGCTGCATCTCCATCCGAGCAGCCATGATGCCTCTGCTATCTCTTTGGCTTCCATGTCGAGTCGGCTGCTGAACTAGAGGAGAGTTCTTTGAGTACCTCCTGCTGTCGAAACGAGTGACCTCGGTTCCGCTCAGAGTGTCGTCGATACCTGCATCTTCTAAACCAAGCCCAGAAAGCGGGGTTAGACTTCCAATAGGGTGCTCGACTGGCTTCCTTTGGATCTGTTGTACAGCGGGCGCGGCTGTAGCAGTTGGTACAACGGCACGATCCTTGAAGCTCCCAGCACCTCTTGAAACCATAGCTGGTTCCTTGCCCTTGATGCTAGGATTGCGGGCGATGGTGGGGTCTGCGTTAGGTACCTTCGATATCGAGGTCAGGCGTGGCTGCTTCTGTGAAGGGATACGGTGAGGAGCTGGAACTGCCACTGCTTGTGCTGCAGACGGGTCCCATGGCTCGCTGAGATCGTAGGCATAGCCATCTTCGGATTCGAGATCACTGATATCAGGCGACTTTGGATGGCTGGAGAGTGGCGCAGAAACATGGCGCTTATTGGACCCTGTGCGCTGGACGGTGCCAGGTACCATCTCGTAGGTCGGTTGTGAAACGTGGCGCTTATTGCTCAAGGCTCGCTCAGTGGTGTCCTGGACCGGTTCGAAGGTCGGTGCAGGCTGCGTTGCCAGCCTCTTCTCCTTTTCAGCTGCGTCACGCGCCCGTCGAGCACGCATCTCAGCTTCCACCCGTTCTTGTGCGGCCAGCTCTGCTTCGAGTATGCGCGCCCGCCTCTCTTCTTTGCTGATGTCGTCGAGCTTGCCCTCGAGCTTCTGCAAGGGCGATCGATCAGGGACGGAGGGATTTCGCTGTGACCCGCGACGTTCGATGGACCCTGAAAGAGGCTCGGCTGGTGCGTACGGAGGTGACCGCAACTCGTACAACCTCCCAGCAGGCGTCTGAATGGTTGGTTGCTGTCTGCTTGGGTTGATCTGGATGGGAGGATCGCGTGAAGAGCGGGAGGGTACTTTGGAGCTCAATCTCTGCGCATACGGGTCTTTGAAGGACGTCGGCGGGGCTCGAGGGACGTCTGGCGCAGCGGGCATCGGTTCGACCAGTGCGCCGGTGGTTGGGGGGATATGTTGGTTCTGCCGCCGTCTATGCGAAGAGCCTCGAGACACACCATTCGACGCAGGGGTGGCGACTGGCCGGGCAGTATTGCTCGTGGCCATGTTGGGGTCCTGGGGCTGCAATCGTGCGTCTGCCGGTCGACGGTAGGAATTGCGCTTCTGGGGGAACGATTCGTAATGCTGCTGCGCTGTAGGAGGACTCGAGATTCGAGTGGCATAGGTGCCAGTGTCTCTACTATTCTCCATGCTGCTACGAGATCATGGAGCTGGCCGGGTGCTGAGCGAGTGGAGCACCTCGACTCTTGCTGCAGCCTGGGTCCCGTCGTGGTGCAGATGATGGTGCGAGATTGGAGTGCAGGCGGCGTCACACTGTCACCGCAGGTCACTTAGACGTGTCTCAACTGGCACGACTTGCATAAGAGCTGTCTGGGGCTATGTGGTGCTGCAGAGAGGCTGCGCAGGCCGTGCTGCACAGTGGATTCGATGCTTAGGGCCTAGGAAAAGAGCAACGCGAGGGCGAGAAGCAAGCGCAGGCAACGACGGCTATGTAGGTAGTATGTACAGGGAAGATGGAGAGAGAGAATGCACGATGTAGGGGACTCGTCATGGTGACTGCGCCGCCAACACAGCGTGCCTTGAGGTGCCAGCCATCGTCAAGCCACTCCAACCCCCTCCATACATGTCCGTCGACGAGGCAGCGGCAAGGCCCACGCGCCTGCCCGTATCCATCTGGCGCCGGGCTCCCGGCCCCACTTGTGTGCAGACAGCCTGAGGCAGGGCCGTTGCGGTGATGATCTGGCTCGGAGACGGATGGGCCGCGGCGACCGCGAGCGTTTCACCGAATCTGCGAGTTGTGAGCCTGCGAGCCTGCGAGTTGTGAGCCTGCGAGCCTGCGAGTCTGCGAGTCTTCTCTCTTGCCATCTTCTGCATTCCTTCTAGACGCCGCCGACCTGCGACTATTTCAGCCGCAGACCCCTGGCGCAGCCCTCGCAGTGCCCTGACAGTCGTCGCAATAATCCGTCTCCTTCCTCAATAGGCCGACAGTATACGAACACCCTTTCACTCGGCCACCTATTACTAAACACGACCACCAACAGAGGCCACGCCTCACCGACACCCTCACTGCACCACAGCAGTGCATGACCGCAGCCGCGTGCGCATATATTTTGTAGCCATCTCCGCCATGCGCGTTCTCGACATGTTCAGTCTGCTGTCGGCGGCATCGCTGGCAGCAGCAGGGAGCCACCACCTGCCAAAGCGCAACTACGCGGCCAACGACTACTACGCTATCCATGTCTCGCCGTCCACGTCGCCGTCAGAACTCGCCGCGCATCTCGGCCTGACCTACGAGGGTCCCTTTGGCTCTCTCGACGACCACCACGTCTTCAAGGCCCCGAAGCATGACGGCGACATCGTGGAGGATGCCAGGCAGGAACTGAAGAGGCGCCGGCTGAAGAGGGAGGCGGCGCAGGAGTACCACCCGCTCGATAGCATCCACTTCACACAGAAGCAGAAGCTCAAGCCGAGGCATTGGAAGCGCAGCGTGATCCCCCCACGACAGAATGTCAACGACGCCATCAACACACAGCGCGAGGTCGCAAAGTCGCTGAGCATCCAGGACCCCATCTTCAGCGAGCAATGGCACATCTTCAACGTCAAGACGCCCGGCAACGACATGAACATCACGGATGTGTGGATGCAGGGCATCACGGGAAAAGGCGTCACAGCTTGCGTTGTTGACGACGGCCTCGACTACGACAGCGGCGACTTGAAAGACAACTTCTTCGCAGAAGGCTCGCACGACTTCAACGACAACGAAGATCTGCCCACACCGAAGCTGTCCGACGACAGACACGGCACACGGTGCGCCGGAGAGATTGCAGCTGGGAAGAACAATGTCTGCGGTGTCGGACTGGCATACGACTCGAAGATCTCTGGTGTGCGCATCCTCTCGGGGCAGATTACAGACATGGACGAGGCGCTGGCCATCAACTACGAGATGCAAAAGAACGATATCTACTCCTGTTCGTGGGGGCCTCCAGACGATGGCAGAACTATGCAGGCACCAGGAATCTTGATCGAGAAGGCCATGGTCACAGCTGTCCAGCAAGGTCGCGGCGGCAAGGGCTCCGTCTACGTCTTTGCAGCCGGCAATGGCGCAGCGAGCGACGACAACTGTAACTTCGATGGTTACACGAACAGCATCTACAGCATTACTGTAGGTGCAATTGACATGCTCAACCAGCACCCTTACTACTCCGAGGCCTGCTCCGCTCAGCTGGTCGTTACCTACAGCAGTGGAGGCGGTGATGCGATCCACACCACAGATGTCGGCGCAAACAAGTGCACGGGTCAGCACGGAGGTACATCGGCGGCAGGTCCTCTTGGTGTTGGAGTGTACGCTCTAGTGTTGTCAGCACGCCCTGACCTCACATGGCGTGACGTCCAGTGGCTCACTGTGCTAACAGCCGTGCCTTTTGACACGCCCAGCGATTGGACCGAGACCACCCTCGGCCGCATGTACAGCCACCAGTTTGGATACGGCAAACTCGACGCATGGGCCATCGTGGAGAAGGCCAAGGACTGGAAGCTTGTCAAGCCGCAGGCCTGGTTCTACTCGCCCTGGATGCACATCAAGAAGTCGATTCCAGAGGGCAACGAGGGTCTGGCCAGCGTGTTCGAGGTGACAGTAGACATGTTGAAGGAGGCCAACTTCGAGCGTGTCGAGCACATCACAGTCACCATGAACGTCAAACACCAGCGCCGTGGCGATATCAGCGTCGAGCTAATCTCTCCAACCGGCATGAGCTCTCACCTCTCCACCGCCCGCCGCGACGATGATGACATTCGCGGCTACGAAGACTGGACATTCATGTCTGTCGCCCACTGGGGCGAATCCGGCATTGGAAACTGGACAGTGATTGTCAAAGACACCGTCGCCAACAACAAGAAGACGGGCACTCTGACAGACTGGAAATTGCGTCTCTGGGGCGAATGCATCGACTCCTCCAAAGCCACACTCCTCCCCATCCCCACCGAGCATGACGACGACGATCACGACATAATCGACGACCATCCCGCCCACACAACCTCCGTCACGCTTCCCAGTCACACACCCACCGTCACAGCAAACCCCTCGGACCACCCAGATCGCCCGGTGAACCAGAAGCCCACCGGCGCCGCCGCCGGCGCCGCCGCCGACGCGTCACCAACGATTTCAGCCTCCCCGTCCGCATCTGCAACCCCAGAACCCGAGTCCGAAAATCTCCTGCCCTCCATCTTCCCCACCTTCGGCGTCAGCCGGCGCACGCAGATCTGGATCTATGGCTCGCTGGCCCTGATCATCGTCTTCGTGTCGGGGCTCGGCGCGTACTTCTACATTGCGCGCCGCAAGCGGCAGCAATCGAGCCGTGACGCGTACGAATTTGAGGTCCTGGACGACGTCGAGGATCGCGAGGAGACGGGCATGTTGAGCGGAGCCGCGGCGAAGAAGGGCCGCGCGAGGCGGGGTGGAGAGCTGTATGATGCGTTTGCGGGCGAAAGTGATGAGGATCTGTTAAGCGATAGTGATGGTGGGGATGAGGGGCCATATCGCGATCAGGAGAGATATAATGAGAAGCATGGTAGGGAGGAGGGGAGCGAAGGGAGTGGGAGTGAGGGGCGGAGAAAGGAGTAGATTGATTTGCCGGGTGGTCTGTGATCTGTATCAACGTATGTAGGATGTGCATTGATGGCGTTTGAAGGTGCAACTAGAGAGTGGAACACTCGTTGCGCGGCTTAACTTCGCATTGAAATGGGTATCGTTGGTCTACATGCTTTTCCCTCCCTGAACGCCGTATTATGCAATCTAATCCTGTCCAGCCTGTTCTACGCAACCTTGCGCCCGACGTTCCCTACTCCGCGTCCTACAACACTGACCACGATCTCGCCTCTATCCTCCTCGCCACCGTTTTCTCTGAATCCCCAGCCACTCCCACCAAAGACTTTGGAGTCTCTCGCTAGCGAAATAATCTCCTCGCTGGCCAGAACATGCTTCCCCAGCGCCACGCGACCAACGTCTTCAGAACCCATGGCCATGAGCATGAGCACCGTAGGTGCAGCAACGCTCTCTACAGCGCCGCCCATGGAAATCTTCTCCAGCAGCTGGTACGCGCACTGCTTTCCAATCTCGTCCGCCGGCACGCCTCCCTCGGGCGGGCTGCAAACATCCGCGCTATATATGCAACCCGTACTGCTCTCCGCAACCAGGCTGAGTCCAAAGCCCACGGCGCCCTTGACCTTGCCGCTGCCTCCCTTCTGGTTCGTTGGGATCAGAGGCGCAGGCGAGGCGTCGGAGAAGATATACGTGTCCGGCACGAACTTGTTCAGGATGCCGCGCGCCTCGTGGATCATGCGCTCGTTGTTGCTCTTGGGGACTTCGACGGCATACGCCACGCCGCGGATCTTCTTCACGCGGCCGGGGTTCAGGAGGTGCAGGGTCTTGGGCAGGCGGACCTGGTGGTTGAAGACGAGCTGGACTTCGCCGCCGGCGCTCTTGGCGGGGCCCGGGGCGCACGAGCGCTTGAGGATGCGCAGTTCGATGTTACGCTCGATGCCGAAGTTCTTGAACAGAGGGAGCAGCGCAGTGCGCACCGTGTCTGCGCTGACGTCTCCTGCGGGCGTGGAGGAAGTCACGCACCCCTCGCCGTGTAGGATGACGTTGACTTTGTCTTTTGAAAAGGGCGAGAGTATGCAGAGTGGGATCAGCCACCAGCTCACGCCTCTCCGAGCGCACTCGCGCGGGATCTCGTGTCTGATCACGCCGCCGTGGGCGCCGAGGCCTTCTGCACTGCCAGTGATCAGGCCCGGGCGGTAGACGAGCGTGGTGCCGGTCATGGAGAACTGGACTTGGCCACCGTTTGTGACGGCGTCGAGGAGGCGGACGAAGTTCGTTTCATAGCGCGTGAGACCAGGGTTTGTGGACGAGGAGCGAATTTGCGATATGCGGATTGGGCGGCCGGTGAGGGTTGCGAGGAGCAGGCGCGAGATCATGTGACGGTGGCCTGTGAAGTTGAGCGGCTGCTGGAGGGCTTCGTCGACGGCCATGCTGGGCGAAGTGTGCGGGGAGGAGTCGTCTCGTGCGCTGTAGAAGTGAATGCGAGCTTCGATGCGGTAACTTTTTCTGGGCTAATCGATAAGGAAGGTGCGCTAGTCTACTTAGCACCAAAGCGGGCTCCTGTCGCGTCTGCGCGTCGATTCCTCGAAACGCTCGAGCTTTATAGCTTTGGAGCACCATATTCACACTATTTCATTGGTTTACTTTTGCTGGCTCTGGCGGAGTTTTGAGGGTGTCTGCCGGGTCCAATGGCAGTAACAGGGAGGCTGCGGCGGGCAGGCCTCACAAGAGAAGGTGGAACACCACTACTACGAACAGTGAGCGGGAAGCCACATGCTCGGGTAGAGGACCACGAGGACGTCTTGCAGAAGGAACACAAGCCTCAAGAACTGCAGGAGGACTTCAATGCCCCTCCTGTAGACTCAGATGATGAGGCGTTGAGAGTACCACCACCAAAGACCACGAAGTCTCCACTCGAATCACTCAAGTCACTGTTACCAAGTTCCAAAGACGAGGACGGTCTACGAAAGCCGCCGAAACGAAAAGCCGGATCAAAGCTACCTCCACACAATCCAGAGCCGGAGCTGAGAAAGCCCGGGCCGGCGAAGAAAGCACGTAATGCTGCACCTATCGTGCCGAGATCTGGATCGTTCAAGCAGAATCAAGCAGCCAAGGTAGGCATCGAGGGGAACAAAGAAAACAGTTGCGGCACGCACACACCTCCAGCATCGTCAGGAGACATCTGGAGGGAGAGATTTGGATTGTTCTCAAGCCAGTCCTCCCAGACCGCACCAAAGAAGACTTATGGAGGCGGGAACAAAGCCAGAAACATACATGTGGCGCCGCCATCTGCAAAGAAACAAGACAGGAAGCCAATCCTCTACGCAGTCAAAGCCAAGAATGAGGTTGTCCAACCTGAGCAGCATGAGAGCGAATCTGAGTGCTCCATGCTGGGGGATGACGACATCAAGCAGATGGACGCCGACTTAACCGCGATAGAGGCGGAGCAACGAAAGATGGAGGAATTGGGGCTTCGAAATGTCCCAGGGAGGAAGAAGAAGCCTGTAGAGTCGAACGGCAACACTGACGAAGCGTCTGCCATGGATGAAGCGGAGCTCGACGCCACGCTGGGAAAACCTACACTCCACGAACAGCTTGGCTTGACAGGAAGACAAGAGGGGTCTCTACCACCCTCGAGCGCGCCGCAAGAAGATATGGACAGCATCGACGATTACGTCCGCGAGCTCCCCGCCCAGGCAGAAGAAGGCACCGCCTGCCCGGTCTGCAATGAGCCCGTCGACCAAGATCTTTACTGGCTTTTCTGGAAAGGGCTTGACAAGACCATCAAGAACCAAGCCGCCTTCTGTCACACACACAGAAAAGCGACCGCTCAGAAAGAGTACTTGGCCGAAGGCTATCCATCCGTCGATGGTCTCCCGTCAATACAGTGGAGTGCCATACCCGAACGCATCAAAAAGCACCGCATGGCTCTATACAGCATCCTAGCAGGCGAAACACCCAGCCACCACCGCAAGCGCTACGCCCCGCTCGCACTCACCGGCAAAGCCGCCGCTGTCCCCCGCACCCGCACCGACCTCTCGCCCTCCAAGAACGCACAACTCTCCGCCTACGCCCTCGACTCCAACAGTGTGTACCCAGGCTACTACGGCCCTCGCGGTCGGCGCCTCATAACCGAGGCCGTCATGTCCCTGCTCAATGCCGAGATCAAGAGGAGTGCGGATCCGGTGGTGCAGACCAGCGGGCCTGCGACGTTTGTCCAGGCTGTCCTTGTGCCGGAAGTCGCGGTCCGGCTCATCATGGAGGATTTACGATGCGATGTGGAGAGTGCGGAGGAGGTGCGGGAGGCCACGTTCGAGATGGGAGCGTTGCTACATGAGGAGGTAGAGGATAGGGTTGAGCTTGCTGGAGGAGAAGAGGATGAAGAGAACGAGTATCATGGGTAAGGACGATGGTAATAGTGAGGACGTTCTCGGAAAAGGTCTGGCTTCGACTTTGTGATGGCGTGGATTTGTGAGTATTGCGCTGAGGTGTTTTTGATACCCGAGTATTGTTGGCGGTACGCATATCCCTTTGTATGTTGCAATCTACCTGTTGGGGCGGCATGCATATATCAGTGATTAAATGGTTGATTCCTTTCTCATGGCATGCTCATGCAGATCTACAGTTCATCTCTCTTCCTCCGCTCGCCCTCCTGCTGCTGCTCCTGCCGCGCCTCAAACTTCTCCCTCTCCACATCCTCCTCCCACATCTTCTTCTTCGGATTCCTCGGCTTATCGCTCTCCTTCAACACCGTACCATCACCCCTGACCACCGGACCCTCGTCATCAGGCTGCTGTCTGTTCTGCCTAAGCTGCGGGTGCACATCTTCCTGCTGCTCTGCGTGCTGAGCTTGTTGCTGCGCCTGCTCCGCCATCTTGCCCACTTCCTGGCTCAACGATTGCGGTGAACTAGGATCACCGTGATGATACCCTCTTCCGCCGCCGCCAACACGGATATGATTCTGCCTAGGTGGGGCGTCCGGGTCGATATTACGTCTTGGTGCGCCGCCTGTTGCGCTCGGTTTGATGATCAGACTCGAGCTGGTTTCCGAAAGAGCGATGCTTGAGGATTTACTACTGGTTGCTGCGCTGCTCAGACCGAATACGCCAAAGACGACGCGGAATAGGATCCTGAGCGGCCAGATTAGAAACCAGGTCAGGGGTCCGTAGAGCCAGCGCCGGAAGATCAGCCAGATAATGGTCGTGATGAGGATGTAGAATGTGGTTTCCAGGTACCAGGTATCGCTCTTTGTACTCTTCAGCAACGTCGTTACAAGAGTTCGACTGTTCGCGAGGAGTGTGTTGAGGTCGGAATACTTTTCCCCCAGATCTGCGAGCGCGGCTGTGGACTGTTCGAGTGTTTCTTGTGCGAAGCGGGACCGTGAGAGCTCGTCTTGCATCAACGCATGCGTGCGTCGGAGGGCAGCTGTTACGTCGGACGAGGCTTGGGCGACAATTTCCTCTTCGGCGAGGCCCTTGTTCTGTTTCCGTTGGCGGTATGTGGAAGATGGTGTTGAGGCGCCGGACTGCAGGTTCGAGAAGAGCAGCTCTCGTTCCTTGAGCTTTGCGCGTTCGGCGTTGTGTTTGGCTGTGAGTTGGGCTTTGCGATATTGTGATCTCGACCTATGACTGTGTCAATCCCATTGTTATGTATGAGGACTGGATACAAGCACTCACGACTTCAAGTCCTCTGTCAAACGTGCAAGCAGCACTGCTAGTCTAGAGCGTTCGCCTTCTTTTGAACTATCCCTTCTCTTGCCTAGTACTCCAGCACTCTGCTGTAATATGTCCTCAACTTCCTGTCTCAGCAGCTCAAGCTCTTCTTCAACACTCTTCAGAGTCTCGTGTATCTCAGCACTCAATTCCAGGCGTACATCCCCCTCGTCACTGCTCAGCGGCTGCGACCCAGGTTGGAAGTCTAATTTGGCAAGGCGCTGTATGAGCTGTCCGACAGACTTGTTCGACTCTGTCAGCGCGGTCAGACGGGTGGTGAGCGTCTGAGTGGTGGGAGGTAACGGCGCCATTGTGCATCATACAGGTGTTCGAATGCGAGCGCTATGACGGAGGGGAGCAGTCCAGCTGGCCATTCAGACCCACTGCGCCAATCGTGCACGGACTGTGGAAAGTGAGGATCAATCGTTCAACGTCGTATCGAGGCGTTGTCGTCGCAGTCATTGTAAGTGGTTGTCGCATTAGATGCTGCTATCGAAACTAACAATGCTTATAGATCATTCTGCATCTTTGTATTGACGCCACGGCACCGTTCTCTCCACAGCCGCCATCATGATCACACGATTCCTCACCGAAGTCCGCGTCGCATTCAACCCCTTCAATCCCCGCTCGAAGCCCGCGCGGTTGTTCCTCTCGCTCATTCCCTCCGATGCACGCTCTAACGGCTTGCTTGTTCAGTCGACAATGTTGCCCCGGACAAGCAAGCAAAACGCTACATTAGGCGTAAAGTTCAGTACGTGCCCACCACAAAGCACTGTTGAGGCTGTCCAGCGGTCTTCGCAGACACCCAGATTGCGCTCCCAGCGACTGTGTACTTGGTATACAATAATAAGCTAACAAACGATCCAGAGGATGGCAAGGAGATGAACCTCGATCTTAGCAACATGCGGATAACAGAAGTCATGGAGGAAGTCGACCGACATTCACGAACGCTCGCTCGAAAAGAGGAATTGTCAGGCAACTAATATATCCAACATTAGTATGAAGACCACAGGCAGAAACGAGGGCAATTGACGCGTAGGACTGAGAAGTTTCGAAAAAGTGGGCAGGCGAGATGCATGATGCCCTGCACGAAGCGAATGAAATAACGTCAGAGGAACTCGGAGTGACTGAGAACAACTCCCACAATTGTACAAACTTGTATGTAAGATGCGTCATACGGAGTCACGCTGGGGAACTACTTCTGGGAATGATTATCACTTTGAATGAATCTATGTAATGCAGACAATAGGCTTTTTCGACACTCTGAGCACCTCTGTACTGCGTTCAACAATTAGCGATGCGGTACACCATTGTTTGCCACATGAGCTGTTTGCCGTCTTTTGCGATTCCAGACAACTAGCTGGAGGGGGCACCAGAGATGTAGAACCATTTGTCGATGCTAGAGTCGATAGGGGCAGGGGACTTGTCCTCGCCCGAGGGGATGTTGAGCGAGCTGGTGTCGGTCTTGTCGGCGGAGTGAGAGACGGTGGCGTTGGCGAGAGCGATGTCGTTTTTGGCGGTCTTGCCAGCAACGAGCTTCTCCCAAGCCTCGGCGCACTCACGGACGATGTCCATGGCGTATTTCTTGTTCTTGCACTCGCCGGAGAAGGCGAACTGGTTCTCGGGCTTGCCATCGGGGATCTTGTAGATGCGGAACCACTCATTAGTGGCACGCAGAAGGCCGGGCAGGTGGCGCTCGACATCTTCGACATCGTTCAGCTTGGGAGCCAAGGGGTCGTTGACATTGACGACAATGATCTTCCAATCAGTCTCGCCCTCGTCAAGCAGAGCCATGACACCGAGGACCTTGACCTGGATGACATCTCCGGGCTTGTTGACAAGCTCACCGATCTCGCAGACGTCGAGCGGGTCGTTGTCACCGTTGGCCTTGGTCTCAGGGTGTGTGACGTTGGGGTCCTCCCATGTCTACAGCAGCCGTCAGCCATCAGTACTCAATGTCTTGTGTATGGTCGACATCGGGGGGCGTCAGCGTACCTGGGGGAAGGCACCGTAGTTCCAGAGGTAGCCCTTGTGGGGAAAGCAGTTACGGACGAAGCGGAGCTTGCCTTTCTTGGTGTCCTGCTTGATGGGGTTGAGGGTCTCCTCCTTGGAGATCTGTTGGGGTTGTCAGTGGCATGTCGCCATCGCGGGGTAGCAGAGCCTCAGGGACTGCGCTCAATTGCACTCAATGGCAGGGCCCGCACCTCCATCTTAGCGTTGGTCCAGCGGGGGACCTCGACGACCATGTTGAGTATCGTCTGCTGCTCGTTGGCGTAGAGCGGGATGTCGTGCCATGCTGAGATGGGCACGCCATCCTTCTCGATGTAGACGCGGTGCTCGAGGGTGTTCGCCGCAGCGACCTTGCGGGTAGTGTAAGCCATAGTGGGGAGTCCTGACTTGCTGGGTGTGGAGGGTGAAGTGGAGGAGGAGAAGTGCCGCTGGATTTTGTCGAGGCGCTGGAGGGGTCTAGTGGGGCTGGCAGGCGCAGGCGGGCGGTGTTGGTTAGCCAGTGTGACGAAAGTATGCCTGCATGGGGCAGACCTAGAGCTCAGGAAAGACAATTGTAGTTGAGACTTCACTCGCTTGGCTATATTGAGCCTCAGCAACGACCGGGAGCAGTGCATGCAGATGGTTGTTATTGGGTATCGGCTAGCTGATCGATGTTCGGCAGCGCTCCTCTTGTCTAAACCGAGGTGTCGAAACAGCTGCGGGCGGATGTTTTCCACGCGCATCGCCGCACGGACGGTAACGGTACGGGTCTTTTTGCCTCCCCAACGTGCAGAGGGAAACCACATTTGGAGCCAAAAGATTCCCAAGAAAGCCATGTTCAGTAGAGTCTATTCGGCCGCCAGAAACCAGAAGTCACAACGCTCGTATGCTCAGGCTCTTGCACTTGTTCCACACCGTCCGCTACGTAATCCAATCCTTCAACATCCTCATCGACATCCTCCCTCAGTCCGTACGAGAATTGCACGTCTGACAACTCCCCGAAGCCCTCGTGGTCCAATGCCCCGGTCTCACTCATGTGTTCCTGGCCATAACCTTCTAGATAGCGGTAGCTGCCGTTGTCCTCGAGGCCAAGATGTACGGGCCAGCGCTGCCGTTGATCTTGCTGCACATAGATACTGGGACCAGAGAAGCTGAAAAGTCTTGAAGAATGGGTATCCGGGGCAGCGGAGCGCACTGTGGGTACTTCAGCGGTCCTACGATATAAGTCGTGTCTACTCTGTCGAAAACTGTCGGGAGGTCTGGCAGAAGCCTGAGCTTCAGCAGGCCGACCTCTGCGTGTTGGCGCTTGTCGTGGTTCTGCCTCGGACATTTCAGTGTAGTGTTGTAACGTTCCATCTAATTCCAGCAGCTGCGGCGGACGGTCATGGGCAGTGTGGTCCCTTACAACGTCGGTAGAAGCTCGTCTCTGCATCGATGCGTTAATTCCGCTAACGTAAGACATCTTGGCTGAACCTTTAGTCATGGAGGCCTCCAGATGACCAGCGTGGACGCGGCGTCGCAACACTGGGTCCATCGAAGGCGGCGAAGTAACGTCATCATTTGTGTGACGGTCCACGGCTCGATCAGCGAGATTCGGCTGTCGAGGAGAAGATGAGGGTTGAGGCAATGACTGCGGTCTCGAAAGCCCTGATGGCGTTGGAGCCACAGATGACACCCAAAACCGATTCGAAGTAGCAGTTACGCGGTCACGTATGACCGAAGACGGCGCTCCCTGATGACCTACAGTACCTCTGCCATAAGAAACCTGATCAGTCTCCCGAGTCCAAGCATCGATTCGTTTATCGTGATCGGCCGATATATCCCTATGCTGTCCTGGAGTGACACTAGGAGCGCAGATGGATTCAGACCATGAGAAGTGGCTTGTACTCTCGTGCCGCGGCCCCTTGCTACCGAAGCCCAAATAAGACGCTTTAGCCTCCGACTCAACTGGTGGAACGGCAGTTTCTGGTGCTTTCGACGGATCCCGTATTCGTCTCGGGCGATATGCCTTTGCCCTAGCGGAGGCATCTGGTGGACGCCCGCTCTTTGCCTGGATGTTCCCATCTGTATTCGCCAGCACTGGTCGCACAGTCGTGAAGAATGCAGAGATGTCTTCTTCTTTGGCTCGTGCGTGATCCTTCTTTCGCTTCTTCTTAGCCTCCGGGGCTTGCATGGTATGGTTGTTCCCGCTATGATTGTTTCGCAGGAACTTCATCTCAGAGAAGACAAGATCCGGTACTGTGATACCGTCAGTCACTCGTTGGGCCACGTGAGGCTCTGTACATGCAGGACTCACAACCACGACCCTTGACCGAGGTAGAGGTTCGACCCTTGCTGAAGAGCCCAATTTTCTCGGATGGCTTGAGCTGCACCAATGATAAGCATCCCCATTACACTTCGGTGTGTAACACGCTTACAGTCGACCGATCACTGGAGACGTTTCTAGCTTGCAACTCCTTTCCGATGCCATTTTGGGTCTTCTCGTTCTTCTTGCGCTTCGACTTCCTTGACTCGCTCTTTCGACCCGGTCGCTGGCCCTCATCCTGCTCGTTAGCCCTTTTCGAACCGGTAGCGTATTTATCTGCTCGGGCTTTGCGACGAGGTTTCCGTGCATAGCGTTGGCTCACAGCACTACTGGCTGTGGATATACTAGAACCAGAGTGAGATCTATCATTGTGGCCCTCGTCGGCCACATTTGGGACACCGTAGCGGTCTCGCTTGTTCGCTGAGACGCCCTTGCACCCAGGCTGTGGGGAAGGATCTTTGAGCAATGAACTGTCCGATGAGCCGCGCTTTCGTCTTCGCCTCGCATCGGGAACAGCGTCAGGCTGTCTTGGCAGAAGGAAGCGTTCGAGTCCCGGTTGCTGAGACGAGACTGGATCCCGAGTCTCAGCAAGCCACTTTCGAATGTCCATCTCAAGGCCCAACTGTTGCATTCCACTGCATCAACAATAGCGCGAGCGGCCTTCGGCGAGCCGTCCCGTTGGTCTGAGCAGTCGAGGGGTCCAAGCTGGAACGAACCACGAAGGCTGTATGACAGCGCGCTGGGGGCGGCAGCGTTAGTTGGTCAAGCCCTACGACGATTGGGCTTATGCAACATGAAGGATAGTGCCATACCGTTTCTGCCAGGCGGACGTTGGTGCAAGGGTCGAGCAGCCTGGGAGAGTTAGGAAGTTGGGCTGAAGGCACCTGTCGACGCTGCTTGCCATCAGTGTACTGCTAGAGAAGGCAGGCAGGCACGGAAATTTCGACACGCTTGGCTATTTGACATCAAGTCGTCTAGTCCTGAGAGCCATCTGACTGCGTAAGATTCCTCGCCGAAAGCTCACAGCTGTCGTGTCCCATTACTGCAGACGTCTAGGAAACGGTCATCTTCGCTGGCAGGGAGCTATGCATGGCTGGTCGTAGCTCTCGAATGATGAGTGTGGGCTTCTACAGGCATGGTGAGTGCTCTCAGTCACTTCATACTTACCCTAGACGCTGCAGGTATAGGCGTGCGGATACCGCAGTGTCATGGAATGCTAGGTGACGCCCCCACGATAGCTTGGGCCGAGCCGGCATAGGATGTTGATAGAAATGACTGCAAAGAGTCGCGGCGCTCGAATGTAACCTTTCGCAACGCTGGACAACGTGTACGCCGCGTCCGGCACATCGAAGTTTGAGCTAATAGTGTTATGTTTTCAGAAGGCCCCCTGAACCCAGAGACCGATCGCCCTCACATTGAGGCCGCTGCGATCAGGAAGCAGCGAGCGTCAATCTACGAACGCAACGGGTTCTGCGAATCTTGAAGCAGAGACTTGCGCGGAAACGCGTTCGTAGATAGATCTGCGTTGACTCGGGTACATTTCGCACGTTGCGACGGAGTGAATGCCAGTAACGCACAGGCTGACGGGGCCTCCCATCTGGTCATGCCCAGCTCTACCCGTTCGACCCCTCCGTGATGTTTGGGTCGGCGACCTTGATAAGCGGCCTGGACCCACCTGTCACTCGACCAATCCCACGAGGTATAGGCCATATTCACGGTGATGTCTTTGGTTTGGCTGCATCCGAATGCGCTCCTCTCCTTCCGAGCACGCAAGCCGCTGTTTGCAATGGACCTTCGAGTGCACGCCATGTGCGACCGTCCAATCGCGTGACTGCCTGTGCCGGAGCCTGGAGGACTCGAATCAGCCACTTCTACCTGTCTCTTTTTGCTGGCTCGCTGCCTTGTTATTGGACTTGGCTAGCCTTGAGCTAGCCATGGGCTGCATAATTCCGGCATGAGGAAACGCACACGGGACGAGCTAGTCCTGGCCGAAGCAGAGGTGTGGGAGAGCTGGTGTTTTTGCGATCAGGCGTTGGGCCAGCAGAGCGAATTCGCGAGCGCAGCAGCCCTGCCTGTTTGCCTGACCGCAACTGCGATGTTCCTGGCACGCATAATTTAAAAGGCTCAACAAACAGCAATTGATCGAGGCCCATCTCTTCCCGACTACCTATCAGGCTGTCACTGTCCAGTCCTGCTCTTGCGTGAGCGCCAACCCTACACCAACACAGCTAGCGCTCGTTCACTGGAGGGGTCTTAGTTCTATCTGCCCCGCCAACCCAAGCCCTCCACCTCGCTTTCTCTGCCTCATCATCACGACCTTGCAGCGGACTTCTTCCTCCATCCACACAGATTATCGATTGCCTGTGCCATCGATACCGAAACAGCCTGGTGCCTAAGACTAAATGTTCGTTCCGTCACGTTGCTTGTTATGACCTGCAGAGGAAGCCGCGATGGCCTTCCCGCGCATGTGTCCTCCCAACTTCCTTCTCTCTAGTACCCTTCTCATCCACCTGTCCTGAAGCTCTTTGTATCGCGCGCGTCTGTTTCTTGTTCGAGAGTCAGTATTGAGACAGTTCAGTGCTCCTTTAGATCACCATGTCGAAGCTCTTCGTAGGGTAAGTCAGTCCTCGCTGCTATTACGGATCCATCACTGACAAGCTTGCAGAGGTCTTGCCTGGCATACCGATGATGCGACTCTGCGCCAGAAGTTCGAGGAGTTCGGCCAAGTCGAAGAGGCCGTAAGTAGCGCTCTTGCGCATAGCATCTCCGCAACGACGCAGCGTTACTCACTTCACCACAGGTCGTCGTCAAGGACCGCGACACTGGCCGCAGCAGAGGCTTCGGTTTCGTCCGCTTCGCCTCCGACGCTGAGGCTGACACTGCTATGCAGAACATGAACAACGTCGAGTCAGTGCTCCCGACCTTGGCCTTCAACACCACTAGCGATGCGCCTCGATTGAAGTCATCACTCGAGAAGCCTTGCGCAAAATCTGTCGCATGCCATCGCTTCTAGTACAACAAGCTGATCATGACAGATTCGATGGACGCACTGTCCGCGTCGACAAGGCCTCTGACCGCGCTGGCGGCGGTGGTGGTGGTGGTGGTGGTCGCGGCGGCTTCGGAGGAGGTTACGGCCGTGGCGGCGGTGGTGGCTACAGTGGCGGCGGCGGTGGTGGTGAGTTTGCAATCTGCAGTACTGAGAGTCCCAACTAACTTGCACCAGGCTACAACGGCGGCGGTGGTGGTCGCGGTTCGTAATCAATACACTGTCCCCACCACGCAGCATACTAACTACAAGTGTAGGCTATGGTGGTCAGGGCAGCGGCGGCCAGTGGGCTCCCTCTGGCGGCCAGGGCTACCAAGGTCAAGGTCAAGGCCAAGGCGGCTACGGTGGCCAGCGTCAAGGCTACGGCGACCAGCAGCAGCAGGGCGGCGGCGGCGGCGGCGGCGGCCAGTGGTAAATCCTCACGCGAACCCCCCTCGACGACTTACGGCGGTGTGCTTTACAACATATTGCGCTGTAGATCTGATGTTGGGGTTGAGGAATCTGTTGCCTCTGGTCTTCGATAGAGGCGATCGTTCGAGCTCTGGTAGACGCCTTTTCTGACTAGGATGGGTGCTGGTGGCCCAATGTGCTTCTCAAGCTTCTTGTACAAGGATCCTAAAGGTTGCGATTGAGTCGCACTGACGAGATGATTGATACCCATTGAATCAGGACTTGCTTGTCTAGGGTCGTGGTTCTGGTTGCTTTACTCAACCCTGTGTACGGTTCTTCATATTCGTGGTCGAGATTCACACCTAAAAGTTGCTGCTGCTCTCATGCACGCATATAACATTTCCCGCTCAATGCATAATGGAGGTGATATGGTCATGTTCACTTCAATTCGGCAGAGTACGACTGCTGGACATTTTACTGGTCTGCGGTACATCACCAATCGTCGTTCAAGCTCTCGCTGGTGAGACTCTTACCTACTTTACCTGAATCAAAACAAGGCAAAGTGTCTGCCTGCAATCAATCTCAATGCGATCAAGCTGTGGTCTGGGCATACCAAAAGCCTGTTTCACACAACCCCACATGTTTCGAGCAATAAACTGCAGTGCCACCGTTACACGACCGGGAGGTACAACATCACACCCGTGCAAGATTTTCCAGTATGACAACTCGCATCCTGTGATGGAAAACAGAGCGAAAGCCGTCAGCTTAGCGAGCGCATTGTGACAAGCCCGCATTCAGCATACATAACCGCCGTGAGCCCAAGGCATGGCTGCAGACGAGTGCATACAGAAATGCAAGTGGTCGTCGCGAGTTAGGCGCACCACCCACAAAGCCATGTGGCCCGGATGACCAGCAATGCTGCTGGCTGCTGGTTTGACGCTGGGCAGGAAAGAACATCAACACCACTGCAGTCCATATCATGAAGAGTTGGTATGGGCACGGTAACGCACCTGTCGCGCGTCGGCAGGCTCCCGCAGGCAGTCGCTTTCTGACCACTGTCTTCGTTAGCCTCATCCTCATTACTGGATTGGACACTTTCTTTCCTGGCCTCAAGCATCAGTTCATTCCACAGCCTGACCAGCTTGGCAGTCGGCCACAGTCAGCGACCAGTAACGCCTCGAAATCATTTGAATGGTCTCAGGTACGTGTTGGGCATTCCTAAGCATCAGCAATGTGGGGAAGCTGTGCGAGCCATCTGCCCTGCTGCCGCTACATCTGGTTCACAAGATCGAGACCATCGACAACTTGAACGCCAGCGATATGACGAAGAGTTAAGAACTTCAGTACAGACCGGTTTGGCGACAACATGTCTACCTGCATCGCCATAGACGCTGGAAATTTCTGATCAAGATTGGAGGCATGAACAAAGTAACAGCTTCCAGCAAGCCTCAAGATTCCACTATGCAGTATCCCTTCGCTTCGGCATTTTCCACTTTGACATATAATGTCTTTGGATCTCAATCCAATCTCTCCGGGGCACATTGACTGACCACCATAGATTGCACCCAAGAAACACCTCGAGTTCCATAAGTGCTTCGAGAAGTTCAAGTGCGCGAAACTGAGTCTTCCTCTCGACTACTTCAACAGCACTAATGGCACGTTTTTGAGCAGCACGGTCAGTGTTGCCATTGTAAAGCTGCCTGCAGAGGTGCCAATCGATGACCCTCGATATGGAGGCCCAATCTTGCTCAACCCAGGTGGTCCGGGAGGCTCTGGAGCATTGTTCGCACTCATGGCAGCAGAGTCGATACAGTGGGTTGTCGATTCAGCTTCTGATCCCGCAGAGATCGTCAAGGACTCTCGCTACTTTGATGTGATTGGGTTTGATCCCCGTGGTATTGGCGAGACTGAGCCGGCCGCGACATGCATATCTGATCCCGCCGCAGCATGGTCCTGGAGACTGCGAGAGACTGAAGAAGGTATCCTGGGCAGCTCAGATGCCGCACTTGGCCGACTGTGGTCCAAGACCCATGCCTTGGGTTCCTCCTGCAAGCTGGCCATGGAAAGTGAAGATGGTCCAGACATCAAACAATTCATGACTACTGCTTTCGTTGCTCGAGACATGCTGGAGATCATCGAACTTCATGCCAAATACAACGCACATGAAATTGCTCAAGCCACACACAATACTGGGCAACGTGCTGGCTGCCGCAATACTGCACTGGCGCACTATACCCCGGGAGAAGCCAAGCTGCAATACTGGGGTTTCTCTTACGGAACACTGCTCGGCTCCACATTTGCTTCTATGTTCCCAGATCGTGTTGGTCGCGCAGTGCTCGATGGCGTTGTCAACGACTGGGACTACCATCACTCCTTGGGCAACGGCAGTCTGATCGATAACGATAAAGCCATGGAGTCGTTTTACTCTTACTGTCTGAACTCTGGATACGAAGAGTGCCCTCTGAGTGGTAACGCTACCACCACTGCAGAGATCAAGAACAACACGAGAAGGATTCTGAAGAGGCTGTACCACAACCCGTACATTCTCAGCTCAGCAGAGGGCCCGGAAGTAGTTACCTATGTAAGCGACGAATGTCTATGCTCATTTCAATACTAACAGTCTAAAGTCTGACATTAAGTCTACTATCTTCAGCAGCATCTATCAACCTCAGCACAGTTTCAAGCCGCTTGGCTTTCTTCTGCCACAGATCGAAAATGGTGGCGGCGATTTGATCGACTACATATCGAAACCCTTCCGACTGGCTCATACGTTCTCGTGCGGTGTCAATAGCACGGTCAACCCTGGTATCTCTTACACCAGCGATGTTCCAACCTTTGCTATCCTATGCGCAGATAGTGTCGACCAGTCCAATCTCACCATCGACGAATTCACTGAGTACTGGCACCTCCTGCAGAGCATTTCCTCGGTAGCTGGCGACTTATGGTCGTTCCTCATGTTAAAATGTGCAGCTTGGAACATCCGCGCGAACTACAGATTCGATGGGCCGTACGGCGGCAATACCAGCCATCCGATCTTGTTCATCAGCAACACCGCCGACCCGGTGACACCACTGAAAAGCGGAAGGATTATGCACTCCAAATTCCCCAACAGCGGACTTCTTGTCAATGACCAGGCTGGACACTGCTCCTTCTCGGCGACCAATCTGTGTGCCTACGAGAAGATCAGGACTTACTTCCAGACTGGCGCGCTTCCCACGCCAAACACGCTCTGTACACCTCCACCGAGTGCGTACTCCCTCAACTCCACGGATCCAAAGTCACCGTTCTATGACCCCACGCTAGGCGTTGGTGCTCATGTTTTCCGAGACTTGCACATTACCGCACAACAGCAGATATTGCACAGTACAGTGAAGACTATGCAGCGTGTGATGAGTGAGAACGAAAGCTTTGGCTTTAGTTTGTTGATTGGCAACCCAAAGGCAGCAAAGATCCAGAGGATGATGAGTAAAAAGTACCTGGACTGATCACGGGGACAATGTTTTGAAACCTGCAGGCTCGCAGATGAGCTGCCGTTCGTTGTTATTTTTATCATGAGCCTTCAGCCCCTCTCTATTCCTTAAGTATGTAGAAGTTTAGCCTCAAGTACTGACTAGTTGCGAGCTGTGAAAACGACTCAGAGCTCAGAAGTAGAGCTTATACTCCTTCCCAATTTCTCTACTAATGATATCATTATAGTAGCACTCGCCCAGCGATAAAATCATGCCAAGTTCTGCTTCAGTTTTGTACGCGAGAGTTGAGAAGTCTGCGCATTTCTGCGGTAACACCATTTTGCTGTGGAAACAACCTCAAGGCCCGGACCACTCTGTCTGTTCCAAAGACTCTATTGACATTACATCTCTTTTGATTGTAAAGCAAGTCCTCCAGAAGTACCAGCGATTGCGCAGCTCAGCTGACAGACTTAGAAGATGTGACGCGCATTGATTGCGCTGGGCACTTTTGTATCATTAGTTGAGGCTGAGGATATAGATCGTCTCGTACATGCATAGCATCTTAGGCGGTCTAGCAAGTAGATTTGGAGGGTGAAATGGCCAATCTGAGGAATTGAGAAAGGTGGTGCAAGGCAATTGCGAAGGTGAAGCAAGTTGGAAAGTGGGCCCCTAGTATGACGTGATGATGTAGATCGGAGTGAAAGTTAAGGAAAGAGCGAGTTCCAGACATGGAAGGCTAGTTCTTTAGACCGATAAGTCCGATATTGGAAGTCTAATCAGGTCTGAATAGTCCGCTCGCGACGCGAAGCTGACTTCCCTGAATACGATACTGATAATACATTGATTCCTCGCCTCTCCTTTCTTTGAAAATATCAGAGACCGTGCTCTCATAAGCCAACAGCAGTTGGCATGTGTGGTCATCCCAATGCAATTTCACATCCGTCAGCGGAAACCGGGTCTAAGGGCATTTTTTTCTCTTCTTGGAAAAGGGTGCAATTGAACTTTTGACCGGTAAAGTACCATCGAGCAAGAGACTTTGAAGGGGGCCAGAAGCAGATCACAGTTCAAGAAACAGACACACCCGCAGGAGGAAAGAACCGAGTAGCGGTCTGGAACAGGAGTCTTCAAGTAGGAGTATGATAGGCCTGAAACGGAAATGTATAAAGACAAAAATCAGTGTGAGTGACACGCCCACCTTCCCATGTTCGAATTAAAGCCAACTCAGCTGGCCTATTTCCAGATGAACACACCCAAGCCATTGGTGGCTGTGATGGGATAGAGTCCGGAACCCGTAAACTGGAGGTAGTTCCAAGATAAACCCAAAGACTCATACTTCACGCCAGCTCCTCGCAGCCAATTTCTCAGTCAATGGTCTGAACTCTGAGCCCTTGACGCTGCCCTGGTCAATCATCTTGATCTTGCGCCTCTCCTCGAGATAAGTAGCTGGCTGCCCGTTCTCGTCAATACCCTTCCAGCTCCTGACCTCAATGAGTCGACCGCCATTATCGTCCTCGGAATCGGTCACGTCATCCTCAGAACTGACCTGCTTTCGACTAGGCGGTGGTGTGATGGAGCTAGCACGCTCCATAGCCTCAGCGCGTGAGACGTGGCGATAGCCTGAGAATTTGGGCTGTTCGGATGATGGAGGCGATGGCGGTGGTCGGGCTTCACGCTCACGAGGCGGAGGGGGGCTGACACTGAAATGACGAACTCGGACTCTCTCAAAGCGTTGGGGGGGAGAGGTAGAGATGCCGCGAGCCCGATCAACGCGGATCTCATCATAGTGCCGTCGTGGAGAGGGCGATGATCGACGTATGTGGAGACGTTCCATGCGGTCAATCGGAGGTGACGCAGGCTGGTCCACGTAGCTGCGGGCTTCGTAACGGTGATAGGTCTCAGACTTCCTGTCATCAGATCTTTCGTCTGGGTGGGGGTCTTCTCGCCTTTCTGAAGCGAATTGAACACGTGGGCCACCAACTTCTACGTTCGTGCTTTGTTGGCTATCGCGCAAGCTGGTCCTCCGCCTGTACGAGGTTTCGTAGGTCATATCCGCAGGTTTGAGAATCCTTGGACTGGCTGTCTCTAAGCCACCATCATTTGTAGAGGTCTCATCGGCCGTCGAGAAGACTCGGCGGTCAGGTATCACAGTCCTGTAGGGGTGTGGATCTGACTGTATACGGATACGACTCTCACTGCGCTGCACTGGGCTCCTTGGCCTCCGTTCTTCCGAAACGTCTCGATAGCTGACCCTGGAGGTCCTTGAACGTGCCGGCGGAGGCGAGGGACTGAGTTCGACGATTCGTGGACTCGGACGAGGTGGACTCTGCTTCCTATACGAGTGAGTACGAACAACATCAGGTGGCGGCCATACTTCGTTGGAGGCAGGGTGTGGGTCGTTGGGTCTTGTGGCGTCCATGCAAATAACATCTGGCGGTGGCCACACTCGATCGTACCTTGATCGTCCAGGACTCAGTGCAGACATGCGGACTCTTGCTGTGTTTTGGTAGCTGCGGGGAGGGCTTCGCTGCAGTGTGCGCAGCCCGATGTTTGCGCGACTCGTGCCTTCTTTGATGATGTGGGGGCGAAAGTGATCTGTCTTCCAAGACGCATATATCTCATCCCGACTCCTTCGCCGACCTCTCTGCTCGCTGCGGTCAATCTTGACGTGAACAGGTTCCCTAGGCCAGTCGCAAGGGTCCTCGGCGGTACAGGTACGAACTCTGGTGTAGCTGTTCGCTCGCTCGCGATGTGTGTTCTTGGTGCGTTTCTTACACTTTCGACATGGCGTAGTGACAAGTGGCTTGCCTGGTATGACAGGATGGTTTCGATGGTAGCCAGCAGATCGCATTTGTCCACACTCGCTACAAGTGTGACACAGCAGCACGGGGACTGTTTGTTCTTCGACCTGTGGTGGCGCTTCGCTGCCTGCCTGATAATGGTAGGAAAAATGCTCGTCTACCCTCTTGTCGTGCGAAGGAGCCACGAAGGACACATTGCGATGTGCAGGAGCCATAACACCAGAGACAGAGCCGACCAGATCCACTCGAGCAGATTGAGGTGCGTATGAATCTGGGTACTGCCAACCAACGTTATGGCTTGACAAAGGTGGCGGCGGACTACTATAGTTGCGCGCAAGTTGTGTGTAGCCGGATGGCGCAAGGCCTGCGGACATTGACTGAGCGCCAGATGGATGTCCCTGGCCTGGAGCCTGGCCTTGACCGAGCGGCAGCGGTCGCTGGGGAAACCTACATTGAAGATAGCATCAGCGAAAGGCCCAAGAGGCGTTCAAGGCATACTCGAACACTTGCATTGACATACCTGGCTTGCCCGAAAGCAGCGTGCGGCGTGAACCCACCCTGGAGCCCTTGATATGAAACGATGGAACTCGCTGCTGCGGGAGGAGGGGTGGGCGCTGCTGGAGGCACACCAAGTCCAGGGAATTGCTGCGACAAGTGCTTAGCTGATCGAGTGTCGAATACATCCCGAGGGAGTGAACAGAGCTTCTGCACGGCGTGTTAGTTGCGGTTGGTGAGCAAATGATATCGCCCGAGTAAACACTTACACATTGAAAAGATACTGGTTAGCAGGGTCGGCGACTGAGCCTGGGTACTGTGGTATTGGCTGTCCAGCACTCGCTGCCGAGCTGCTGCCGCCGCCGCCCATGTACGCAGCGAATGCTTTTCGCTGCTCATCGTTTGCCATCTTGTATGTGGAAGGTAGGTGGCGTGCGGTGTTGAGGTCGTGGAAGGTCCGCCTTGGTCAAGTGGGGAGAGAGGCAGGTACGGACCAGGCACCAAATCCGAGATGCGGAAGATGCAAAAAAAAGGAATGTGATGTGGGGTAGGTAACAGAAGAAGAATCAGAATGAAATAATGATCCCAGTGGTCTGCGTTAAGCCAAGGTGAAGGTGAGGTGACTGAGACTCGGTCACAACCGCAAATCCACCTTAGGCAACCTACCAGTTTTGAAGCTACGGTCAACAGGGCTTTGAGATACGCGAATGCAAATCCTGCGGTGGGGCTCAAATGTTCTTTTATTCTTCCCAAAACGCCAGTCTGTCAGCATGCCGACCAACATATCTTTACAGGTGCTACTCTTAGATCATAACGTCTAGTCCACCCTTAGTACCCTCGCGCCCTTCCTCTTCGCGGCCCTCTTCTTCTTATGGCCCTGATCGAAAGCCACGGCACTACCGTGGTCACGGCCAAAGTTGTCAAGGTCCTTGACCTTGTAGATCCTGATGATCCAGTTCTCACTGGTGAATGCCTCTTCGATGGTGTTGAGCTTGGGACCCTCGGCAGGCAGCTTCACGCCACGGACACGGTCCTGAGCCTGTCCAGCGGGGAAGAGGGAGTTGTAGTTGTAGTACGACATCTTGTACCTTGACCATGCGTTAGCAGCTGCGTCGCGAGGATCATTAGTGGTACTTACATCAAGCTGTTCTTCATAGTCTCAGTGGCGCCGTCATCCACACGGTACTCGCCACGGGCAGTAAAGAAGTTGCGCTCCTTGACCTCATCAGGCCAGATGCCTTCAGCGATACGGACCATCCAGAGGAACTTGTTGATGTCATCGCCGGAGTAGCCAAGAAGACCACCAAATACAACAAGGACGTAATCGACCTCGTGCTGGCGCATGATGGGGTAAGAGACCTCCTCTCTCGAGCTCATAGCCTTACCAACGGTGGCAATGTGAGTATTGTTCCAGGTGTTGTTGTCAACGAGAGTCGGACGGTCAGCCATACCACCAATCTGGTATCCGTAATCCCACCAGGACATGATCTTGGCATCCTGAGCAGTGTTCTGCCTGAGCCAGTAGTACGCCTCGCGGTAATCATCGATGATGTGCTGGCTACCATCGGCAAGCTTGGAAGCAAGGACAACGGAAGGTGAGGAGTAGGCGTTGGATGTAACCCAAGTGCAGTGGAGCACAAAGAGCATGAGGTAGACAGCAGAAGCGCCCACAACTGTGAGCTTGGAGGCGTACGACTGGATTCCAACGTAAGGCTTGCGCGTAGAGCGGAGACCATCCGGCAGGACCGCGGCAGCAGCAATACTGGCAGCGTCGGACGCCTCACCCTCCTTGGGCTCAGCCTTGACGACCGGGGTCTTAGCATCGAGGTAGGTGTCCAGGATCTGAGAGAAAGCAATGGCCGATGCTACGCAGACAATGGGGGTCAGGGTAAGCATCAGACGAACCATGACACCAGCGAAGTAACTGGCAAGTACAGCGTAGATGACAACGAAAACTTGCTCGTCAGTCAGCTTAGTGAAGCACATGTAGACACCAGCGGGGAACAGCCAGATCATCATGCTCAAGTCGAAGAAGAAAGCGGGCCATGCGGTAGGCTGGTGCTCGGAGACGGAGGCAATGATGGGAATGTGAATCTTGGCGTATCCGGTATCCCAGAGAGAGTAGAAACGGCCGGTCCAGGGTGCGATTACTCCGGTGACAGTCAAGAGGACAAGTCCACCGAAAGCCACGACGAAGACGAACAAGACAAGAGCGCGGAGCAGAGTCTGGAACTGCTTGCTGGGGAGCTGAGCGCGGACCCAGTCGACGAAGGCAACCAGCTGCAGGAGGCCAAACACACCGAGCGCAGACATGTGCTCAGAACTACGGATGGGCAGGAAACCAACAAATGGAATCTGCATACTCGCCAGCGTGCCGAGCGCATACCACGAGGTGTAGCTGACGTAGAGCCTGGGGCTGTAGCGTCCCATGCAGATCAAGACGAATGCGTGCAGGGGCAGCAAGTTCGTGATGAAGACGTATCCACCCCACGCCGACACCATGTATCCGTAGAACAACGCGGTCAACGCGCCCCAGAACATGGATCCTTCCTTGACGGCCTTGATCCACAGGAAGAAGGTGAAGACGAGCAGGAAGATGGCGATCGCCTCGTTATCGTAACTACCGGCGACCGAACGCGAGATGTAACCGGGGGTGATACCCATGAACGCTGCGGCGAGCAGACCGGCGGAGGGCGAGGTAACCATCTCGGTGGTCAGGAGATATGTTGCGAGCGCAGTGAGGCCGGAAAAGGCCGGGGCGAGAAGGACGCAAATGTTACGAATGTCGACGGGGAGGGCGAGGGCACGGAGGAGGTGGTAGATGGCACCGCTGGTAACCATCAATCCAGGGTACAGAGTACCACCAGTAACGCGACCAAGGGGATGCCATGTTCCTGCATATTGTGTCAGTTTAACGCGTCTGTTGTCGTTGTGTGCGTCGTGTTGCGGGCAGTGCGGATGAGAGGCGTACGGTCGTCGAACCAATCCCAGAAGCTGTAGAAGCCATTCTGTACAAGGTATTTTGTAGCTCGGAAATTGAACCATGGATCGACTGCACTCTTGCATTAGCCAACTGCACAGCCCGAATCTCGAGTTGATACTGACACTCGTGGATGATGCTCTCGAAGCGAATCACGGAGAACAGACGGCTGCTCACAGCTGCACCTGCGATCAAGCACAGAATAACAACCCGAAGCAAGCCTCGAGTGGTCCGGCCCGTGGCCTGCTTGAGGAATTGCCCTTCCTCTGCGGTGGCCATGTTTGGGAGAAAGGAAAGTGGTAAAGGGAGAGGTGTTGCTTTCGAGGCCGCGTCACTGCAGCTGGAGCTCTCGATGTTCACACGTAACGTGGCTCCCCAAACTGTCTTGGCGGCACTAACCCCACATCCCTGCAGTCTCGCAGTATCGCACTCCCGCATGCTTCACGTCAAAATCATCTGCATTACACATCGCAATCAATTCAGAAGTGCAATTGTCGAGCAACAGGTAACCTGGTGTAGGATCTCAATGTGTTCTTCAACTACGGAACGCAAGCTGTACAAGTATAAAATCGTGGCAAAGGGGCTCCGCAACTAGAACTCATTGTCATCTGCGTAGAAACGAGGACAGCGATCACAAAAGGCATTCGAGCACTCTGCACAACTCAAATGCACCGAGTAGGTGAAAGGACCATCGTGGCATTTGCACTGCGTATCAGTCAGTACTGTCAGATGTACTTTGGAGATGCTACTTACACAGCTCCAAAGAATAGTTGGATTGGGCTTCTCCACAGGGGGCTGAGCCCTCGAAGGATTGCTTACGATTGTTCGTTTCCTTGAGTCGTCGTGTGTAGGTGGCTGATATGTTTCCGCTGATGACCGGTCCATTTGCGAGACAAGCTCGTCGTCACCTTTCAGGCCGTGATCTGCCTCATTCTCACCCACGTCCTCGTCCGCGAAATTTCTGCGATCCATGTCATCATGCAACTGCTTCTTGGTCTTGTTTTCTTCAACACAAAGCCATGTATCAATTCGCTTCTGTTCCCTCTCGAAGTGACGTGCAATATGGTCGAATCGTTCATCCCAGGCAGCATTGCGCTTGCTCGCGAGGGTGATGATCTTTCCACAAAAGCCACACCAAAACTGATCTTGGCAATTCTTGCCTATCCTACAGCGCTGTAGGTGCACCTTGACCTGAGTGCCGGGCGTGATCTTATGCTTCTCTTCAATATGTTTTTGAAACTGCATTGGGCGGTAACAATGCTGTCCACATTTCTTACCAGCCTTGTTCGCCAGATCACAACGAAAAGCTTCCAGTTGAAAGTGCTGAGAGTTCTCATGACGCTTCCAGTCTGACTTGGCGCCGAAGATCTTGGGGCATTTTGGGTACGTGCAACCATAAGGTTTCTCGTGCCGTTTCTTGTGTTTGTTCAGGTCACACGGTCGACCGAAGACATTACAGCCCTCGTAGTCGCATTGCCGGGTCCCGGGTGTAGACCCTTGGTTCAGACCACGCTTCTGCAGCCGCATAGGCTTGGGCTTCGGTTTCAAGAGATCTGCAATTGCTTGCAATGTTTGGCGCCGCTCAATGTCGGCATGCTCACCCCTGCTACTGCTATTCTGCTGCTGCTGGGCACCAAGAACGAGTTGCATAATCTCATCGATGTTGATGTTGGCCTTCGAAAACTTTTCAAGTGCCTGAATTTGCTGTTCAGCCTTTGTCTGAGGCGCAGTTGAAAGCTGCAACTTCGGTGTCGACTCGCAATTGTTGGATTGACCGCGCATCGAAGTCAATGTCGAAGCTACGACAGAGGGCAATGCTTTTGTAGACCTTAGACGATCAGCTGATGTACTTGAGACGGTCCTTGATAAGGCAGCACTGTCTTGTCTTCGCGTATTGGCGGCATCGCCCATGGATGGTGGTGCGCCAAGTTGCGAGACAGACAGGTTGAATGGCGTCGTACTCGGGGAAACCTCAGAGACACTCGACATCGAGGTCGTATTAAACGACATGGGTGAGTGGTAGGCTAAGCCATATGCGCTTGTTGCAATCAGACTGTGGTTGAGGTCACCAATGCCTGCAAGCAACGCTGGATCCACTGACAAGGGCTGTTGTGCCTCAGGTGCCTCTTGGAGATGGCACTCCGACCTTTAGAACGTCAGTTTCATCCGGTATCCTTTGTAGAGTCACTTACAGTTTGATAAGCTCACACATGTCATCCTCTTTATGCATACGCTCAACATGTTGTTTGAAATTATCCAAACGTGGCCAGATTTTGTCTTTGTTCGCACAAGCAGAAGCTGCGCACTGGTAAGAAATTGACTTGGTAGTGTTGATCTTGTGCACGCTTTTCCTGTGACGGTCGAGATCATTGATGGTTGAGAAACCCTTGCCACTCCTCTTGCAACCTGTTTCGCCGCAGACGAAATTCTTCTTGTGCTTCAACATGTGCTTCCTGTGACACCATCATCAGTATCTAAAATCAACAGCCACACGAAGGCCATACATACTTCTGTTCAGACGCACATTTCGAGAATTCGGAACAGCCAGGTTCGCGACAAGGAAATAGTTGTTTGTGACCTCCACTTCGACTGCTGTGATGTGACAAAACAGATATTTGATCCGATGTTCTGCGCAGCATAACTTGCGATCCAGTGGGTGAACGATCGACATTCAGATTCTTTGTTTGGTCGAGAAGTCCTGCTGGAAGCTCTTGTTGGACACGGCCGGGCTCGTTACTCAGGACTGACAGTGTTTGATGCGTGTAATAACCAGAGTCAGATGCTGGGACGTTGCTACCAACGTCTGAGCAAGGACCTCGATGATGTTTTCCATAGTTGACCTGGGTATGCAAGAAGTTGTTTTGGGCCGTGCCTTCTTGGGGATTTCTCATACCCCCGAATGCATTCCAAGGCCCTTCATTCTGGTGGTAGAACAGTGCAATTGGATTCAATATTGGCTCAGGATTAGGCTGATTTGCGGGCGACTGTCGAGTATCAAGATGCGGAAGGCTTTGACGAGCACTCTGCAACCTTGTGTCAAGATTGCTGTTATGCGAAACGGCCTTCCTTTGTCTGAGGGGATTCCTCTCTTGCACCACATGCCTTGGCAGTGCAGTCCAGTGTGTTTGTACGGTATTGTTCGGGCTGGGTGCAGGAGGTACGACCGTGGGAGGGCCCGAAGACAGCCAATGTCGGGGATAGAACTCGTGATCGAACTGATATTGTTGGTGTTGATAAATCTACATGGGTCATTTTTTGGCCAGACACCTATTGGGTAGTGTACCTACAGATCCATCAACGCTATTGAAGTCGAATATCGGATTGGATCCATTGTATTGGGGCATGTTTGCTTCCGCAAGTCAGCGCGTTGCTTTACACTATAGTCCAACCCCATCCTCAAGGTATCACACGGCACCGAACAGCCTGTGACAAAGATTGGATGAAGAGACGACGCAAACGCGATAGAAGGCAATACGTGAGATCTGAAACCCTGGGGACCTACCGATGCTTAGCGTACAGCTGCAGCCTGACGCCTTCCGTCTTCCGTCTTCGCAGGGTGGTTTCGAATAAAGGTCACAGAGTATTCAGTGTGCACACAGCTGCATTAGTATACGTCTGGCTGCAGTTCACCGCCCCGCAGAGCGATCGTACAGAAGAGCCGCAGCCGCGTCCTCCAGTTTCGTGTCCACGTGCACGGACAGCCGGTGAAGGATTGGGAAAGGCGGGAGGAGTCGATCAACGTCACCGTTGTTAGACTCTTACCGCAAACCAATAACAACGAGGTTGCAGGGCAACGAAACCACTGTCAAGAGACGGCAAAGTGAATAGAGAGCTCTCGTCGCAAGTGCGATGGCATGGTGGGGATGTGGTGGGCGGCCTCAGAGGGCAAAGGGCGTTGCCTGCCTCAGCCTGTTGTTGGTTTGCCAAGAGGAGGTGCTTCTGCGGCACTGCCTCACGCCATGCCATGTCACAGAGTCCTCCAAGGTGACGAGCCAATCAACGCTTACGATCGCACATTTGTGTAGCGCGAAGGGCGACTTGATGCTTGGCTTGTGCAAGTGGTCGCATTTGTTGCATCAAGGCTCTTGCTGATCGATCAACGAAATCGGACGCCGACGACTCACGATGTCTGATCGCATTTTGGCCTGGCGTGCTGGCAGGGACGATGAACGTTTCGATATTGACAAAAGCAGTAAAAATGAAGGCAAGGTGCGGACACTGATTGCAGCCATGCTTCTTCAGCCTTGTTCCTGCCAGTCCTTCGACCATTAGCATGTGTGGGTTTTCTCCAAAAAAGAGCAGCAGGTGATGAGATGAAGCTATTGATTGGAGTCTGAGATATCTCGAAATCACCAAGGCTGGAGGTATTCAGCACCTCCAGAGCCCAGGGAGTACGGAATGAAGCGGGGATGACCTGACCGCATGCAAAAACGCCGATAGATGAGGGTATGATATGCATCGCTCCTGTTTGTGGCAGATAGTACGCCGAATGCCTCCACAGATGCAGGTGAACTCCAGAAACATGGACAAGCAGGTCATTTACAACAAATCGAAGACGAGGACCTCATCGTCCAAACAAGCCACCACCCACACTCATGCCCAGACCACTATGTTGTGTCAATGGTGCTCTTGCGCCAGGCGGCCCGGTAGGCATAGCTGGTGAGCCAGAGGTCACGCCCCAACGTTGCGTCGGCGGCTCATGCAAGTGTGGCTCAGCATGCTGTGCAGTCGGACTGGACAGTAATCCGTATGTCTCTCTGCCCAAGACTCCCATGCTGCGTGGATGTGAGCCTAGCGTATCATTATACGATGTGTACTCGGTTGGTGGTCGCTTCATCTGCATGACGGGAGACTCTGACTCTGCTATCCGGCCGTTTGTGTTGTGCGCGTTGGACGATGGAGGATTGGAGTTGGCTTCGATTGTGGATGCAGAGCCGTTGGGCGCATTGAGGTCAACAATACGTCTTTGCCCTGCTGGTGTTTGATAGCTGGGTACGCGTGATGTCCCTGGCGCGAAACGCGACTCTTGCTGCGAGCGTGTCTCCTGGTGTGAAGGGTGCCTTGGGTTCGCCCATGGCGTGCTCTCGAGGAACTCGCTCTCTGCTGCTACTTCATCTGCTGTGGTCCTCTGGTTGTAGGTACGGAACGAGGGTGGAGGCACTGGTAACGTGGGACGTGTTGCGATCTGCAGCGTCAAATCAGCTGCGAGCGCTCGAGTAAAAGTGTTCTTCAACATACCTTCATTGCTCGGAGATCCTCATCGATCTCATTAGGTCGTGCCGCGCTGATATCTGGCGCAGCCGGGAAGCCAACATACTTGGCCACACCAGACAGAATAGAAACCTCGAGATTGTATGCTGTCTGCTGTCTGATCTGGTCAGACCGTTTCTCCGGGAGCTTGGCCATGTATTCGGTCTCGTCGCAGCCCAGCGATCGCCTGCCCCGCTGCAGCTCGAAGACACGCTGATTGCACTCTGCTATGATGTCCTCTCGCAGATCCCTTACTGTCTGGAAGTATTGGCTGTGCATCTGATGTCTATGAGCGGCCGTAATGGTGATCAGGTTCTCCTGCTTTAGCTGGAGCAGGGTTCGTTCATAATCGATCTTCTCTGCTCTCCGGTCGTCGATGCACTTAATCATCGCAAGGTACTCGGGGTGCTGACAGTCGGGCTGTTTGAGCATTTCCAGCTCTCTTTCGTATTGTACGATCTGCTCATCGCAAAGTCTATTATAGTAAGCAATTAATACTTGCAGCGGGTGCCTAATGAAGCTTACTTCTCACGAAAGAGCCTGAACTTCTTCTCAATCTTGGCCAGCTCGTCGATCGCGCTCTTTTTCTTGGAAACTTTGGCATGATTTAGAAGGAGTCTGACTCAGAGTTTGAGATCCCTTACCTTCTTCGTCGAGCGCTCCGCTATCTTCTTCGTTGTCATCTCCATCTACATCGCCTTCCACAGTCTCCGTCATCGCAAGAGCTTCCGTGTACGCAAAGCTTGAGTCCTCGGCCTTTCGCTTCCCTCTCCTGCCGCCCTTGCGAGGTTTTGTGTGTTTGGCAACTGTAGCTAGTTCGCTTACAGCCTCAGCGGCAAGATTGGCTTGCGTTTCTTCCAGATCCATTTGTTCCCTCTCAATGTCGTCCAGACGCTCCTCGGCGTGGCCTAACTCGTCCTCTGCATCAGGTCGCTCTGAGCTCTCGATGACATCTTCTGTTGTGCCATTGTAGATCGCGACTTTCGCCGAGGCGCTGCGCTTCCGAGCTGACTCTTCGTCTCGGTCATCGATAGGCGTGCCTCGGGCACTTATTCGCTTCCTCTTCTTACCTGCCAATTCGAGACTGGCAGCTTCTGAAGCCGCTGCGAGGGACAGGGCGTGTAACGGGTCCTGCACCTCATCTGCGTCTTCCATGATCTCATCTTCGGCCAGATCTGAGGGTGTCAGTGGAGCAGACTCGTCGTGTTCTACGGTTTTTGAGTGCATCAGCTTGCTTGGTGTTCGTGTGTACAGAGCTTCAGATGCTAATGACGTATCCGTCATGGTGCGCATGAGCTTCCGGGGTGTCTCTTCCAGTCGCTCTGTCTCGGCTTCAGAGTCGTTCTCGTTGATATCCCCTGTCGCGGTAGGTCGCGGTGTAGGTTGTTCAGACTCGACGTCAGAGGCGTCACCAAGCTCACTGAGGCTACTCGAGCGGTCATCGGCGTGGTCGTCGAAGTCGCCCAGGATCTCAGCAGCAGCGATTGGATCTGTCGTAATCATAGTCGGCGCTGGTACTGTCGAGATTATTGTAGGCGCAGCTGTCACGGGCACAGGGCGAGTGACCGGAGAAAGCTCCTCGACCTCAGGCCGGCGTGTGGGGGTGGTCGTGGGTGAAGGCCGCCGTGGCTTGTCCTTCTCGACTGTTGCTCGTAGAGCGCTGTCGCTGTCGCTCGTCGCGCTACCGTCTGTGATATCGTCGTTGGTCGTGGTAGGCGCCATTGTTGATGCGCCCATCGTGGCTCCATTGTGGGCGCTCATAGCACCTAATGCGCCCCGGTAGGAGGATACGTCAACTCGCAGCCAGTGTGGTATATGCCGTATATGGCCCTTATGCCAGATGTCTGCGAAGCTCGAGAAGCGTGGTGGAAGGTGAAGGACGCAGGGCGCTGGGCGCGGAGAAGGGTCAAAATCGCTACTACCGCGCAGGCGTCGAGGCCGTGTCTGGGATGGTGCGCGGACAGCTGCAGGGCTCCTAGAGCTGTGAAAGACGTAGGAGGGTCCGGAGATAAGAGCGTCGCTCTGTTGAAGCGTGGGAGGAGTAGGTGTGCCACAGAATGTACCCTGGTTACTCGCGGCGGGCAGACGAGCGACTGCCGGCGGTATGACCTACCGCGATTGCGCTCGCGGTCACATCGGGGCTCAAAGGCGGTGAAGGTTTCTGCCTCGTTCTGATTTGCGGAGCTGCCAGGTCCCTTGGAAGATCCACTGAAATTCTGCTCACGATTGCTGCTTGATCGCAAACCATAGAAAATACTACAGTCGATCGTCACCATGGCCAAATCAAAGGTCAAGCAAACAAAGGAGTCCAGGGGGTCGAAGCCGTCCGCCGCTACAGCGAAGCCAGCGTTTGATCCTGCGCTGAGTTCGTTGTTCGCCAGCAGTGTACGTGCGGAACTTTTCCGAAAGCAAGAAATTCAAGACAACTAGCTAACAAGATACACAGCTGGGTCCCTTACAAGTGCCTCCCAAGCAGCGATATGGGCAGAAGCTAGAGAACCGCGCAAAGGCGCCCGTTGGGAAATCAAGTGAAGAGGGGATCGAGGATGAGTACGACGATGACGAGAGCAGTGACGAAGCAGCTGCAGACGAGGATGAAGATTCCAGCGACGAAGAGTCCTCCGAGAGATCAGACGACGGGGCAGAGTTGGCCAAGCTGCGCGAAGCTGCTCTAGCTGGGGAGCACGATAAGCCTAACAAGAAGCGCAAGCGAGGCGGTCAGGAAGAGATCGAGGACAAGTTCATGCGCAAGTTGGCGCGCCAGGAGGAGAAAGAAGAGGAGGAGAGGCAGAAGAAGCGCAAGACAAAGGAGGTAGCAGCCGAGGACGATGACGAGGACATGGAAGATGCATCAGAGACGTCAGACGCAGCAGATGCACCGGAAGAAGACGGAGAGAAGTTTGAGATTCCTCAGCATGAGTCTCTGGCTAAGACGGATGGCAAGACCGACGAGGAGCTCGAGAAGGCTGCTCGCACAGTCTTTCTCAGCAACGTTTCAGTCGACTGCATCAACTCAAAATCTGCAGAAAAGGCCCTCAAGAAGCACCTCGAATCTTTCATTGCTGATTTGGCCGACGAGAAGCCTCCACACAAGATCGAGTCGATCCGTTTCCGCTCCACGGCATTCTCCAGCTCGCTGCCTAAGCGCGCCGCTTTCGCAAAGAAGGAGATCATGGACGCAACCACAAAATCCACAAACGCCTACGCCGTATACACTACAAAGACCGCTGCTCGTGAGGCTGTCAAGCGTCTGAACGGATCAGTTCTGCTCGACCGCCATCTGCACGTCGACTGGCTTGCGCATCCTACCAAGGTCGATAACAGACGATGTGTCTTCGTTGGCAACCTCCCCTTCGTCGATGATGAGAGCAAGGGCGTCGAGCCTGAGGAGGGTAAGAAGAAAAAGATTCCCGCGGACATTGAAGAGGGTCTTTGGCAACAGTTCAGCAAGTGCGGCAAGATCGAGAACGTGCGTGTCATTCGTGATGCTCAAACTCGTATTGGAAAGGGCTTCGCCTACGTGCAGTTCACCGACGAGAACGGTGTCGAAGCAGCACTGCAGCTCAACGAGAAGAAGTTTCCTCCCATGCTTCCTCGCGTCTTGCGTGTCACACGATGCAGAGCAGAGAAAAAGAAGGACAAGCCTCGGGGCCCTGCACCATCCTCAGAACGACCAGGAAAGAAGGGCGCGTATCAGAAGAAGTTCTCTGCCGAAGAGAAGTCGCAGCAAGGTCGTGCGAAGGCCATGCTGGGCAAGGGCGGCGCGGCCAAGGTTAGAGAAAGCTTTGTGTTTGAGGGCCACCGTGCAAGTGAGGGTCAAGGGAAGAGTGGCTTGAAGTTCAAGGGCTCAAACAAGAATGCAGCCAAGAACAAGAAGGGGCCGAACGGAAGGAAGAGCAGGAGTTCAGCATGGAAGTCGAGCGGAAAAAAGTAAGTGTTCGTGTCTGATTAGGATGATGCGATCAGATGATAGACATGGCTGAAAGGCTGCTGAAATGAAGATACCATGCATAGTGTTCAGCACATCGAATCATCACCAAAGGTCTAGGAACATTGTCAACTTCCCATTTCACTCCAACTCAGGCGCAGCATCCCGACTAGCTCCCAAGCTACCCAGTCCGTGACCATGCGCAACCCTGATATTCACTCTTTGCTGCCAATAATTTGACAACACCCAAGTCCTTTCAATGACCGAGATCGCTCCGGATGTTGGGCAGCAAGGACTGTAAAGCATAGTTTGAGCAGCTCAAACGACAACACCATTGCAATGCAAGATGTTTGATGCTGCTCGGACCCTCGAAATCCAAGATCGAGCCCGTCGTCTGTGAAACGAAGGAAAGCTTGACAAGCGTGGGATGGCAACACGTTGACGTCGTAAGTGTGGAGCTAGATGCAGGTCGGCGGCCAGTAGTGCGACTCAGCCGCTGCTGGCTTGAACGTCGAGCAAGTGTCTCGTCTTCGCGGCTGCACAGCACGAGCATTCTCCCCACACGTATGTTTGGTCTTACTGCGCCAAATATCACATTAATAGCTGTTGTGAGCATCTGCCCCAGGTGCTGCTCTACCTCACGCAGGCCTCGGCCAGCTTGCCCCTGCCAGCCCCTCGAGGTACAACATAACCCCCGTCGCCCGCCGAGAGCTTCCAGCTATTGCGCCTCACAGCCATCCATCGTCATCCGCACAGCACCGAAACACACACACGCCCGCGAAGAAGGTGCGCCGCACCGTCGAACGTCACAATGGTGTTCCTTGGCATATATCGCGCCCTGTACGACTATGTGCCCCAGAGTGACAACGAGATTGCGCTCACGGAGGGCGACATGCTGATGGTCCTGGAGAAGTCGGCTGACGACGACTGGTGGAAGGCCAAGAAGAAGGGCCACAATGAAGAGGAGGAAGAGCCAGAGGGTCTGATCCCAAATAACTATATTGAGGAGGTATGTCACGAGCATCAATCAGCCCAGCGCAGCCCAGATCAGCCATTGACAACGCGCCTCTAGGCCGGCCCCGTCTCGCAAGCCAAAGCTCTCTACGACTATGTGCGCCAAACGGACGAAGAGCTGTCGTTCCAGGAGGACGCCGTGCTCGACGTGTACGACATCTCAGATCCAGACTGGTCCCTCGTGGGCTTTGGCGGAGACTACGGGTTCGCTCCAGCCAACTACATTGAGCTAATCAAGAGTGGAGTGTCGCCAGTAGCGGCAGCGGCAGCAGCAGCAGGCACATCGCCCGGGCTGCCTCCACGCCGTCCTGCAGCTCCCGAATCAGACGACGAGCAGGACCCTCCAACACCAGACAGCCCTCCCCACCAGAGTCCTGCGACTGCTCTCGCCAGCATCATCCAGAAGAAGTCTGAGCAGCAGACAGCCACACGCTCGACAATCTCTCCGCCGCCAAATGTGGCCGCCGCGCCTCGAAAGCGAGTCCAGTTCACTCCGGAAGAGTCCGACGAAGAAGTAGCGCCGCCGCCTCGCCTACCCAACCGACCTCCCTCGCAGTCGTTCTCGCCCGAGCCTCAATACACTTCTGCGCGCTCGCCCTCGCCTGCTCAAGTCAGGCCGCCACCAACTCGAAGCGTTACGTTTGACGCGTACGACCCTCCACCGCGCGACAACGGGCCTGGCACACCTCTCTCAGGCTCTGGATACCACCTGTACAACATCTACGAGTACCTGACTCAGCCCGGCAAGAACAAGAAAATGCCTGTAACGTTGGGTATCAATATCCCTCGGGGCATGATCATGATTGCGCCTGAAAAAGCGCGAGATGGAGCGCAGGAAGAATGGTCAGCAGACAAGATGGAGTACTACTCTCAGGAGGGGAAACACATCTTCATGGAGCTGAAGCAGCCCAGCAAGAGCGTAGATTTCCACTGTGGAGCCAAGGACACCGCAACAGAGATCATGTCAGCTCTCGGAGAGTTGGCAGGTGCTGCCAAGGGTGCTGGTTTACGTGAGGTGCTCGCTGCTGGCTCTGGGCACTCAAACGTGCAGAAGAAGGGTGTCATGCTCTTCGACTTCATGGCCCAGGGTGATGACGAGGTCACAGTTGGTCTTGGTGATGACATCCTGATTCTCGACGACTCCGCCAGTGATGAATGGTGGAAGGTCCGGCGGTTGAAGAACGGCAAGGAGGGTGTTGTTCCCGCTAATTACGTCGAGATTACAGAGACCGTCCCAATTTCGACTCCCGCAGGTGTTGCTCGACCCGCAACGAACGCCGGCCGATCGACTGTAGAGCAGAACAGGCGGGAAGAAGAGGAGATGGCTCGCCAATCTTCGAGACGAGACAGACCAAAGAATGATGCGCGAAGTGATCAGGTAGGACCCGGTCTGCCTTTACCCGCCCGTGGTTCTAGTCTTCTGCAAACCAGATCTGACCATCGTCGTACTTCACAGAGATCAAGCATGCGCGAAAACTCCGCCAGAGACCCGAAATCGTCGTCCTCTAAGTCATCGTCGTCGAAATCCTCCTCCAAGCCGAGTAAGTCTGTCTAGAACAGTGCTGATAATTTGCTAATCGCTCCTCAGACTCTGCAAAGGTGCGCACATGGACTGATCGAAGCGGCTCGTTCAAAGTCGAAGCCGAGTTCATTCTGCTCAAAGAAGGCAAGATCCACCTGCACAAAATCAATGGCGTCAAGATTGCCGTGCCCGTTACAAAGATGTCTGTCGAGGACTTAGAGTATATCGAGAACGTCACAGGCGAGTCTTTGGATGACGACAAGCCACTTTCCGAGATCAAGAGGAGGAGCACAGTCCGCGCGAATGACCGAGCTGCTGCTTCGTCTCCTGGAATCTCGGTTCAGAAGAAGTCCAGCTATGACTGGTTTGACTTCTTTCTGAAGTGTGGTGTCAATCCTCAGATCTGCGAGCGCTACGCACAGGCCTTTGAAAAGGACCAAATGGGTGAGGAGAATTTGCCCGATATCACCCCTGCGCTGCTGCGCACATTGGGTCTAAAGGAAGGTGACATCCTCCGTGTCACAAAACACCTTGATAGCCAATACAGTCGCAGTGCTGGTGAGGCTGGCGCAGAGGGTGGTTCTGGAGGCTTGTTTTCGGGTCCGGGCGGCACATTGCGAAACAACACTCGCAAAGGACGTCCTGCTCCTCCTGTCGAGACGAACAACGAGATTGATGCCAAGGCATTCGAGCAGAAGTCCGATGATGCAGTCAAGAAGCCAGCAGACGCGACGAGGACGCCTTTGGCATCTGCCCCTATTCCAGAAAGGAAGTCTGAGGGTGCTAACGGTTTCGATGACAATGCATGGGATGTCAAGCCTGCCAGATCGACCCCTGCAGCGCCAGCACCTGCAGCATCACCACCTCCAGCTCAGACTGCTCCATCTGCACCAAAACCACCTGCACTCACCGGCTCAATGAACGACTTGTCTCTGTTGGACATGCCCGCACTTAAGCCAGAAGAGTTACCCAAGGCTCCAGAGCCTACCCCTGCACCTGCACCTGCACCTGCAGCGGCACCCTCATCCACCCCTGCTCAACAACCACAGCTCACTGGAGCCACGATGTCTCTGTTCGAACAGGTTGCCGCCATCAAGGCGCTTACTCAACCACAGAACATGGCACCACCTCGCATGCGACCGCAAGCACCTCAGCAATCAGGTCCTGGTGGTCTTATCGCGCCTCCGCCACAGCGGTCATCTTCAGCACCGCAGAACCCGCAGCAGAACAGCGCTTTCGGACCCCCACCGGCTCTCATGCCACAGCTTACCGGCTACCAAGGCAATCCCAGTGTGCCTCACATGGCTCCTCCTGGACAGAGCATGAATGACCAGCAGAACATGATGAACATGCAACGAATGCAACAACAGATGACTGGCTTTCCTCAGCAGAACTCTGGATTCAACAACTTCCAGCAGAACGGCCTGATGCCCCAACCAACAGGTTTCCAGCAACAACAGAATGGTTTCGCGTCGTTCCAACAGCCCCAGCCTACTGGCTTCCAGCAACCAATGCAAACCGGATTCGGTCAGCAGAGCTTCCAGCAAGGCTTCGGCAACGGCAGCCCGTTCGCAGACCCACCACGAGCGCCTTTCCAGCCCCAGCCCACTGGGTACAACGGCTACCAACCATCGCCACTTAACCCCCAGGCTACAGGCATTAACCAGTTCCTGCCCCCTGCGATCCAGCCTCAGCCTACTGGCTTCGGACAAAGCCCACCTCCCATGCCTCCAATGCCACCGATGCCATCAATGCCCACAGCGCAGCCGCTGGTACCTCAGAAGACCGGCCCGCCTCCTCCTGTTCGCTTTGGTGTTCAGGCCGCGAAGAAGCTGGCCCCACAGCCAACGGGGAAGGCCAGCCTTGCCAATGCTAGTAAGTCTGATGTGTTGTCTATCTTATCTGTACAATGCTAACCTCCGCTCCAGCTCCCCAAAACCCATTCGGCTTCTAGTTGTACGGTTGCTTTGTGGAAACCGCTGTTCTTTCTTGACTTGGACATGGCTTACGGATTGCTGGTTGTTTTGATTGCGCACGTGCATGTACATACTTCGATCTTGATCATGGCTTGCTTCATGGGTGCACAGGCATAGCTGGATCATACCATATTGTTTTCGTCAGCTAGGCATTTGCTCTTATTATGTATGCGTTTTCTGTTGTATGGTCCGTAGAATCGTTGTAATTGCAGTTGGAGGTTGTTCGAGAGCATGTGTCCCGGAGCTGAGCCTAAGATTTGGAAGATCAACACGAGCTGCAAGCATAATCGGACCTTTTTTAATTCAATAATCACGATGGGTCGGTCTATTCCGCGCATCGCGTCTCTCATGATGATCATTGTTTACATTTTGGTTTGCTTCATAATTCTAGCATTGACATTTCGCAGATCAAGCACAGTGTGACAGCTGCCAGACAGTTCAAACATCGTCTGTCCTTCACCCCTGCGATACCAAGCCTTTGCCAAGTGGAGCTTAGCAACGCATCGGTGGAGTTCAGGTGGCTGAACTATGTCGCTCGATCCATCAACTCTGGCTTCGTCAGCCTCTGCGCCGCAAACGTCTCTCTCAATCTGCTCTGCCAAGGTGTCCGAGTGCGCGCACCGTTTCTACGCCTCATCTGCTCGCATGGAGAACCCTGGAGCGCTTCGGTGCTTCCTCGCACGAGCCGTGCAAAATGTGAGAACAGAGCAAGCCACTTCCTGGCGCAGCTGCCGCTGACGAGTACCGTCGAGGCCGTGTCGTTCGCGCCAATGACAATACGGTTAGTCGCAAGAATGAAGATGTGGCTAATGCATGCTGCCCAATGCGACCGGCCCTCGAGCGAAGAGCCAGATGATCTCCGGCAGCTGAGCGGTCGTGTTTAAAGCGCGCAGGCTCCCCTCTTTGATCTGCTTGTTCTTCACAAGCCCCATTCCTCCAGTCTCGCCTTCCGTACTGCGACTTCGCACACCTCGAGATACAGAGGTATCGATTCGACACATCGCTTGCGCACCCCCTTGAGCTTTCGCCCAGCGATTCCAGGTTTCGCCTCGGAGAGCTCTCCGCGAACTGTGCTATTGCATCACCATCAAGCGCTGACCGACGAACCCGTATCGCGCGTTGAAGCCTGACGTCACCTCAAGACACCTCTGCGACAGTTCGATCTTTGTCGCTACCCTCTCATCTCGAATTCCTAAGACATTCGACCGAGTAACACAATCAGAATGTCTGCTCAAGGCTACTACAACAACGGCCCTGCGCCTCAGTACCCGCAGCAAGCCTATCCTCCGCAAGGCCAATACCAGCAGGGTCCTCCTACGGGCTATCAACAAGTCAGTGGATAATATACAGCCTGCTCAAAAGCTAGTTCTGACATTGACAGGGACCTCCGCCCATGCAGTATCAGCAACAACAGCCAATGTACCAGCAGGGCCCCCCACCTAAGCAGAAGAAGGAGTGAGTAACATCTGAATCATCTTTAGTCCTCGTACTAACGTAAGTTTAGCCGTGGCTGCCTCATGTCCTGCCTTGCAGTCCTCTGTTGTTGTTTCGTATGTGAAGAGGGCTGTGAGTGCTGTATCGACTGCTGCGAGTGTGCCGAGGACTGCTGTTAAGCACGATACGATCTCGACGATACTATAAGTCACGGGCGATTTTCCAAATCAACTGGAAGTGTGGAGGATGTCGGAGGTCTACAACCCCTTTTCTGAAGGCGCAGGTGGCCGGAAATAACGGAGGAGGTTCTTTTGTTCTGTCGGGAGCGCATATACCTGACACTCGTGTCCTTTCCTTGTTATGACTTTGTATACTTTTTTCCAACCAATGTTCACCTCATATTCCGACCCAATCGCGTGGTTGAGACAATTCTCTTTCCCCAAATCACAGGAGGTCCACAGCAGCTAATCATCTATCTCTTGTTGATAAACGTGCAGGTTGCGGACTACAATCGGTTCGCCGGAAACATTCTCTAGATTTCGCCGTTTCCAACCTGCCTCTACGATCTTCCCAGTCCAGAGCTTTTGTTCGAGGCGATGACTATGTAAACTATTAGTGAGCTCTGCTTGTACCACCCCTTCAGACAAATCGAGCGTATCCTTCAGTCCTCGAATCTCGCGGAGAGCGCTGGCACGGCAGTCACCCTGATAATCGCGCTCTGCAGCGGACCAGAGGCATCGTGAAGCGGCAATCTTGTATCGAGGACCGTGGAGGCCAATGTATTGTGCAATTATTGCCTCTGTAGATTGTTAGTGATAAACCAAAATAGAGAAGTGAAGGCTGAGGTACTTACCAGTGACTAGGATTGCTCCCCTCAGGCATTGGAGACCAGGCCACTAGGACCTTATTGACAACCTCAAACCCGTCTGCCTCTGCCTCTTGAATACAGACTTGAGTGCATCCACGAGAGTCGTACTGCTGAAAACGCGCGATGATGCCAGAGGCTGCGTTAGTTGCAGAGCCGCAGGACAGTCTGACTTCGTCTTCGTCCTCGTCAACATCATCCTTGTGAAGAGTAATGATGTATGCCTCAACGCCCGGCGTCAATGGTGAAGAAGCCGTGTTGAGATCTTTCGCTGCAAGCGCATTAACTTCGTCGAGGGGGCAGTCGAGTATATTATCGATAAAGGGGGCTTTGCGATCGACCAGATGCCAGACGATGGTCTCTGGTGAAGTGTAACCCTCTTGCTTGAGCCATCGCGGAGCGGTAAGATCTTCCTGAACGAGGCCGGATGCTATTTGAGCAAAGTGCTGAAGGTTGAGGCTGATGTCGTTGCTAAGAACGCGGGCTCGCCTGGCCAGCATTGACTGCTTCATGTTGCCTAGCCATAGCTGTGATGTTGATCTTCAAAATTATTGTAGTCCCTGAACTGTCTCAGTCAGCAACAGGGAGCGCAATGTGGCTGAAGACCTCCCAGGAAATTCAGACAACTGCAGCACAACTTATGGCACGGGGTTGTTTTATCACTGCTCATTCGCAAAACTCAGAGGTGAAGTTGCGCAGTATGTTCTATACACTCCTCACGCTCGCCTTTGAACCGACAAACTACTCAAGGGCAGAGTCCTCCAACGCCCTGTCATCCCGGCACCCACATTTCCCGGAGTTGCTTCAGAATGAGCAGAAGAGTAGAAATACGCATACAACAGGGCACCTCCACCAAGATCCACAGCCATGCGGTCCCTATACGCCCCCAATAGACAGAACATTTTGAATCCTACAGGTGATATCCTTACAAGCCCACATCTTACAACACCTCGCCGACGATCTTGGCCGCCTCCTTGTACGTCTTGAGCAGCTTCTCGCACTTCTCGCGCTCCGCCTTGATTGTGTCATCTTCGTAGAGGAGCTCCTGGAAGAGGTCTTCCTTGTAGAGTGAGCTGACGAGGCGGTTTTGCACGCCGTCCTTGGAGTGATTGACCAGGAGGTGCATGATGGCCTTAGGTACCTGGTCGGCGATTGTCTCGCGCACGATATTGAAGTAGGAGGAGATGAGACGGCTGATCAGCTCGGTCTCGAGCGCCTCGCGCTCTGTGAGAGCGGGAGCAGATTCGGGGTCCGAGGGCTGTGCAAATTAGTTCGAATCTCAAGTCAAATTGGAATTGAACGTACAAAGCCGCCTTGAATCTCTTGTACAGGGCTCGTTGGCTCGTCATCGTCGTCCATGCTGAACGATGGGACCATAGGCGAACGTGCCTTAGGATCCCCTCTCCTGATGCTTTGCGCAAAGCTGGGCTCAATGTTTTGGCTGACGTGTCGGCTGCCAGGTCGGTTGTCCAGTGTCAGTGAAGGGTTATGTGCAGCACCACCTTCCTTGCCAAAGAAATAGTTCAGGAAGCCGTCACGGGGGTTGCTGCCCGCTGGTGGTGATCGGTTGCGGTTGCTTAGCTGACCTGAAATGCTGTTGTGAGAGCCATTCAGCAAGCGCCCAACTGCGGGCGACATACTGCGGCTGGTCTGCGTTTGATGTTTTCTGAGCGGCAGCGCCTTGTCAGCGACCTTCAGCGACTCCTCCCCGTCATCAGGTGTCTCGCCACCATTTGCGCCGTTCAGCTCTTTCAGCCTCTTCTGCTCACGCTTCTTGCGTTCTGCGTCCTGAATGGCCTTCTTTTCCCTTGCCTCCTTATCGGCAATGACGGAGGACATGGCTGCTGCTGCGCCGAGAAAATTGGGGTGATTTGTATTGATGTACGCTCGCTGGATGTCGATAAGCGATGCAACATAGTTGGAACATGGCCCAAGCTGTTCTCTCAAGAGATCAGAAACAACCTCAATCAGCTTGCCTTGTAACCTAGGGTATCTGGTCAACTCGGTCGAACCGCAGGTGTGGCAGATCTTGATGAGCTCCTCGTATACAAGCTCGACGCATCGTTGACTGGGTATCTCGAGCAGCTTGATCTGCGGCTTTACGAGAAGATCAAAGGCCAGTTCAGGGACGAAAAGGCTTGGGCGAGGTCCAGTGGAGTTTCGGATGGCAGTGCGAATGTCGAGAACAGACAGGTTCTGCGTAGGGTCGACCTGCTCAAGGGAGTTTCCGAACACCGAGTTGAAGATATAGTAGATTCTGGCACCACCGCAAAGCTCCTTGGTCGAGATCTCGGTCGAGGTACCATCGATAGAGGAAATGAAGGACGAAGCGAAACGGGTCATGAGTTGCAGGATCAGCGAGCCCCGGTGCTCCTTTCCTGTGAAAGCGAGATCTCCATAACTTGCAAGCTCTTGTTGTGTCTGTCCCATGAGAGTGTTCAAGCGCGCCTTGATGTCGGGTAATCTGTCGCGAATGTGGGCCATAAGTGTCTGGTTGAGGCTCTTTGCCAGGAACTGGGTACCGCATCGGTTGGCCATATTCCTGTATGCCGGGTGGTGCTTGAAGAATTCTCGTTCGGCCTGCAGGGCGTCCGCAAGTGGTCTGCCACTTTGAATATCTGCCTGCGAGCGGTTGACAATACCAATGAAACCGAGCTTCAAAGGGTATACGCGACCAGATAAAATGTCCATAGCGTTTGTTCCGTGATCCATGAGATCTAGCTTGGTAAGGACGCCGATTGTCCTCCGGCCCATGGGATCGACATGGCGGGCCAGCTTCAGAGCCTCAGAGTTCACGAGATCGACGTTCGCGGGGGAGACAGCAAGGATGACGCTGTTCGGCTTGGCGATGTACTCGGTGATGAGGTTGCGGGTCTGCTTCTCGATGTCTGTCGGCTGGTCGCCGATGGGTACCTGCAGCTGTTAGCGCCCACATCGCAGAAGTTGCCATTGAGTACGTACCTTGGTCAGACCCGGCAAGTCGACCAGCGTCAAGCTGAGGACGTGTGGGGAGTACACCTTCAGGTTGATCGGTTGCCTGTTGATGCCCTTGTTGTTTCCAGCTATCCTCGCTGTCTCAGCCTCGATCTCCCGTCTGATCTCTGCAAAGTCATAGAACCTGCGCCCGGGAATATGCAGGAACTCTCCCCACTCTTGCTGTCCCGCCACGCTGGCAGGGGTGTGTGGTACGTGGACCTCGTCGCCTTCCTCGGCATCTTCGCGCTCGCTCGGGAGGTTGATAAGCTGGAGGATAAGCGGTCGCCGCGTTACGATGCCACTGCCTCGGGGGAGGAAGTCCCTGCCGACGATATTCTCAAGAACCGAAGACTTTCCAGACGACTGCGAACCCACGACAACCTGGGGAGGTCAGTATTGAGGCCTTCGCATGTCATGGCGCGCAACAGCAGAGCTTTCGCCAACGTCCGCTGCTGCGTCGCAGGTGCCTCGGCGGCGGGGGCAACGTACAATCTGGGGCAGGTCGAGGGAGTCATTGCCGATGGTGTTGAAAACAAGGTCCTGGAGCCTGTTGACGATGTTGAGGAGCTCCTCGCCCAGCGACGCCATAACGCTGGTGGACGTGTGCGGTTTTGGTGTTCCCCGGTGACTTCTGTCTGCTGCGAGTAAACAACAACGGCCTCGGTGGCTGCGAGAGGGATGCAGATGTCGCGCAGGGGCAAGGATTTGGGTCCGACGAGACAAAGAGAGCTCGCGCAGAAGTGGTACCTGGATGCCTGCTGGATTGGGAGACGCTCGTGATGGGATGCACCTCGTCCGTCATAGGGTTCTCGACCTTGGAAAAGCAGATGTCACGTGTCTGCGGCTCCACTCAATCACTCGAGAGCATGCCGCTGCCTGCTCCTTAGTTTCAGGCTTCAGCAACCCCCATTATGCACAAAGGAAAACTCCACGTTGAGAATCTTCCTGAAGGTGAACAGTGTATTCATCCTTGGGCACCGAATGCCGTGACTTGCGACTGCCGTTCAACGCGAGCATGTGCCGTTGCAGACGCGGCGCGTGCTGCTCGCTAACCAACGAGCACGTCCAACGGCCCAGGTGATACGTCACTGCCATCCGTTGGCAGCGATCCATGGAGCTCACTGGAGCGGCGTCGCCGGTAGTCTACCGCAAACACGATGCTGCCCTCTTCTTGAGTCGGATCGGGCAGTCGGGTAGAATCGGTGAGTGGTCGCTGACTCCAAAGTGGAAGTCACGGAAAGTCGCAGGGCCGCTTATCTGCTCAGCCCAGATGACTACCGGTATCAGCCTCTCAGCCTTATCTCGATTCAGCGTTTGGTCGACAACGGTCACCGCAAATTGCACTGCGATACCCCGGATTCCAGCCTCCGCATTTGTGCCGTCGCCCTTCATCTGTGTTGACAGCGACTGATTGCTTCGATTGGAGCCCCAGACCTGGCTGGATATCGCAAGTGAAGCTACTAAGTATCCGTTACTACAGCAAACCCGGCCACTGTGAAAGGCAAGCGTCTATGAATGTTATTAGGGTCCCATGATCAACACCGCCCAACTACAAACTCCGATGGAAGCCTATCAACATGATAAGGGTTATGTTATCAGCGAACGCCGCCCAACAAAGCGGCAAGTCTGTGCTCATTGAAGTTGGGGAAGGTACAAAGGCGGCGCAAGTACTTAGGCTTGTTGACCTCTCTACATGCTCTTACAAATCCCAAACCCTGCCACACCCTCAAACAGCCCCTATAATCCTTTGTTTACTGCCCGCCACCTATCGATCAAACAGGCATCAAACAATCTAACCGCGATCACGCCTATGGCCTCTAAGACTTTCAGTGAGCTACAAGAAGAAGAGTGCACGTCGACAACAGTTGGTACGATCAAATGCACAGCGCCAATTCCCTTCGGTGGTGAAGAGCAATGGCTCTACTTTCCAGACAATGGCAAATTCGATCTATCGAGGGGATCAGAGCGGAGGATGACAGTCGAGTGCGACAAGGACCGCCACAACCACACTGGATTCACGCTGGACCCCGATAGTGCTGTCTTGATTGTAGTGGACATGCAGAACTATTTTGTCCACCCACAGTACCGTGACCACTCCGCTGGGATCAAGGCGGTCGAGCCTACCTTGAGGGTTATCGAGAGGTGCAGGAAGGAAGGCATTCAGATCGCCTGGCTCAACTGGGGTCTTACCGAGCACGATTTGAAGACTATGGCTCCAGCCATCCAGCGAGGATTCCACAAGACTCTGGGTTGGCATATCGGACTCGGTTCTCAGCTTCCAGGTACCCAGGGCCGGTGCCTCTTCAAGCGAACATGGAATGCAGAGCTTTACGAGCCCTTCAAGGCAGTCGCTCAACCTGGCGACATGTTCTTCGACAAAACACGTATGAGCGGGCTGTGGTCTACCGCTGAGCCTCTGCACGAGTACCTTCGCGCTGTCGATAAGAAGACGCTGATCTTTACTGGCGTGAATACAGATCAGTGCGTCTTTGGAACGGTTTCTGACGCGTACTCCTACGGATGGGACTGTGTGTTGCTGGACGATTGCACAGGCACTATGACTGGGCTAGGTGCACAGGCTGTTGCGGAGTACAACATCGCACAGAACATGGGTTTTGTTACAGGAAGCAAGGAGTTTTGTGAGGCGACTAATGTCTGACTGTCTGATGCATCCTCAATTGGCATTTCTGGAGCGACTGTCTGCTTTATATTGTACTTTGACCTCGTGTACGCCACTACGAATACCCTATTACATAGCATGCGCATACCATCATATATCTTCACGATCTATTTTGCGTTGCTCCTTGAGGTTCTTGCCGGCCCACAAATAGTGACTGCCAAAATGGTCGACGATCTGCGATACCGATATGACACCAAATGACGACAAGGCGTAATATCAACTTCAAGTCGGGAACAGTCTCACGCGACAGCTTCATTTTGCCTAACAACTCGTGCGAAGAAACTCTAGCCTCGTTCAATTCGACTGTATCCTTTCAAGATTCCAGCAGACAGGAGCTGCAGACCACCATGCGCGTACACAGTCTGATTGGTACCGCAGGCCTACTACAGCTCTATGGAACTATCTGTGCTCTGCCTACCGAACAACAACCATTGCAACTGAACGACTCTCCAGGCGTGCAAGCTGTTCAAGCTGCGTAGGTTCTCAGCCCAGTGCTTTCACTGCAAGTGCTTACAAAGTGAAGACTTCGCGAAGCCGAGATCATCCCAACAGGTAAAGGCCTGGAGGCTTTGACGATGACAAACTTTCCTAACGCATCATAGTCATTGACGACTTCCTCCCAAGCCTGACCCTCTCCGTATCCTGGGGGAAAGACGAGGCTTCGTGTGGCAACATCATCAAGCCCAAGCGCCTCCAAGACCAACCATCCATCGCTCTGCACGAAGACACCAGTCCCGGAACCTCAGACACACACCCAACCTATGTCATAACACTGACCGACCCCGATGCGCCTTCGCGCAAGAACCCTAAATGGAGCGAGATGTGCCACTGGATCGCAACCAATGTCTCCGTCACGCCTCGGACCTTCTCCATCCTGCCTCTTCCCCAACATGGTCTCGTTGAGCAAGGTCTTACTAAGCAGAGCGCTTCAGATGATGTCGTCGAGTACAAGCCTCCCGGCCCGCCGCCAAAGACCGGCAAGCACCGCTATGTGTTCCTTGTGTTTGCGCCGAGGAATGGGACGACGAAGCCGCTGCACTTGTCGAAGCCAGAGGACCGTCAGCATTGGGGTGGTGAGAAGGAGGGTGGTGTGAGAGATTGGGCGGAGGCGAATGAGTTGGTGCCTGTAGCGGCGAATTTCGTGTATGCGAAGAACAAGAAGCAGTAGGAGTCATGGGCTGTAGAGGATGAACATGGTCATCGATGCATTATCATACGCTACATAGTCTCAGGCTCACGGGGTATACAACCTGGACACAACAAAGGAAACCTGTTATTATCCGCATCTTGAATCTCCCCCCCTCTCTAGCCGTGCTTTGAGGATGTCGGCTGCTTGTTGTGCCTCCTCCCAATGCAGAACTCGACCACCCAAGTCAACACGACGATGAGCATGAGCGCAGTCGCAGCCCACGTCAGCGCCAAAAACTTGCCGCCCCAGGTGGCCTGCAGTCCAATATCGTTGCCCTTGTCGTTGATGATATGGCTCGCCTTCACGATGACGGCCGTAACCAGCGCACTAGCGAGGCCAATGGCGAGGAACGCCAGCACCGAAACCAAGAAGTTGACGCACGCAGACAGGCGGCCGGACAGCAGCATGGCGGCAGCAGCCGCGAACAAAGACACGAAGATGAGTCCGATAGCGATGCAGTAAAGCACGAACATGGCGCCCATGAGCGCATTCAGCGTCTTGATCCCCGTGTCAATGTCCTCGGGCCAGTCGAGGTCGTCGAGCGTGACGTCTACGCCAGTCCTGTTCAGCGCATCCTCAATAATCTGAGTCGGGTCGAACTTGTACATGGCCTTGCTCTTGCTGCATTCGGTCACGTTCTTCGAGATGTCGGACTGCGAGACGGTCGCATTCGCGGTCTCGGTGGGCGTGTACTGGCCCTCGCAGTAGTTGAGCATGTGGGCTGAGTAGAAGTCCTCGATGCCCAGGCGCTGCGTGACTTCGCCGATGGCATCGTTGATGATCTCGCTGCCGGTGTTGCCGATGGAGTTTAGCAGGTTGGTGATCGGGTTCGAGGTGTCGGTGGAGCGGGTTTCGTTGAGAATGGTTTCGCCGATCATCGAGGTGTTGAGCGTGAGCAGGTGGTAGTCTTCCATGAAGCCCTTTTTGTGGCCTGCAAAGAGGCATAGGAAGGAGAGGATTAGGGCTGCTATGCAGCACAGCACGGGGATGAGGGCTGTTGGACGCATGGTAGCGGGTGTTTGATGAGTTCGCAGGATGGTTTTCAGTGCTGTATGTCGGATCGAGGTGCTTTTGTATGGTGGATGCAAGACAAAGACGAGACCCTGTACGCGCAGTACAAAGCGATAGCTGCGTTGAAGACGGACGTCAAAGAGTGAAGCACCAGCAGCACAGCACACGGCAATCTATATGCACGCTCACCGTCCACGCGGCGGCGCACGCATTCCAGGCTTGCTTCGTACTTCCATTCTTGTCTTCGCATTCACGTCACCCAAGCCAGGGTTACGAGCAGCACGTCGAATCAGTTGACGCGCGACAGGAGACAGGCACTGCCACCCAGCCTCAGGATCGTCGAATTTTCGCGCTGGTATTGGCCGATATTATTGTTGATGCACACCGACCGTGTTGACGTGTAGGGCGCTTTGACAGGCGCTACGTCACTAGTCTGGGAGGCTGGCTGCAGGGCTCTCAGCCTGTTGTTGCAGCCGTGCAGGGGTCTTTTCAGGATTCATCTTGCCGAGCACAACCGAACGACAGGATTGGTCTGCAAGGAGTCAATAATGACAGAAATGATTCTGGAAGGGGTCTGCAGACGCGAAGGATTTCCGGCAAAGGAAGGTTTGCGCGACTGTGCCACAGAGAAAGATGGGGTTGCACAGCCGCTGAGGTACGAATCAAGGTACGTGGAATGCGTGGGAGTACGCGAGCGTTGTGGGACCTGCGTTGAAAATAGAACCGTCGAGTAGTCCACTCGTTGTAGCATAGTACCAGGAACTTCACATGCCTATTGCATTGCGTGTCAGCAGAAACTTCACAAAGGATAGCAGTCAAACGCATAGCAGAGGCTTGTACAAGGTATACATTGTGTGCTTTTGAGTCTATTGTTCCCGGCCTTCGTCTAGTCGTAAGGTCTCGTCTATCATGAGCGACCATGAAGGCATGATCATCGTAAGTGGGGCATCCTGTGCTTCATATGCTTTTGAGTGGTGTCGTTAGGATATCTGATCGGAGTGTGGTGTGCACTGCAGTGCATTCGATGCGCCGTCTGTCACGACGGCGTCTTCTTGGTCTTGCTAGAAGGACCGGTTGAGGGCGACTTGGATTTTTTGCCAACTGCATCCTTGAAGGGCGAGTATGGCGCAGCAACTGAGTGTGGTGGAGCGCGGTGCCCGTCCGCTAGCTTTGGAGGCTCGCTGGACCCAGGCCACTTCTTCTGCTCTTCGTGCATCTTACTGAGCGGCTCTCCTACGATGTGGTATTTCGCCCACTCGATAGGCGGGCATCGGACTATGTTCTGCGGTTGAGGCATCGCGGGGAACCTGGGCGCTGCCTTGTGATCTGTATTGACAGAGTCTTTGCGCCCGGCTCCTCCTTGGTCGGCATTGCTCGTGGCTGCGTCTGTGAGACCAGCAAGCGTCGGCGCAAGGACGTCGTTGTGTGCGACTGCTGCCTTCGCCCGCTGTTCTTGCAGCGAGCGCACAAATGCTTCGGGGTCCTGGACTGCAGCATGCTTGAGCTCCTCCAGCGCCTTGAGGTCGCGCCTGCTCTTCTCGCGCTGTATCTGCAGCAGAGATATCGCGGAGCGCAGCGCTATGGCATCAGGGTTCTCGCTCTCTGAGACGGGCACCGAGGGCGGCTGCTGTCTGAAGGTCGCAGGAGCGGGTGCCGGTCGTGGTGGGGGTTCGTTGCGGGGCCGGAAGTCGGAGCGCGCAATGGGAGCGAACTGGGCGACGGTAGCGGTGGGGGTGATGGGCGAAACGGGCGGGCGGTCGGAGGTGGGCGACTCTGAGCGCTTCTCCCCGGGGGTCGACGAGGCGTCGCTGCTCGAGGCCGGCCGCAGATCGGTGTTGACGACCAGCGCAGGCATGGCGGCTGAGGGAGTCGTCGTCGTGGGGCGCTGTGCCCGCGAGGCTGGAGGGGCGCGCTGAGGCCAAAGGGCGGATACTGCGCTCGGCGCGGGTGGCGGCTATGCGGCGCTGCTCAGATGCGCATCTCGGCCGTGTCTACCCTGTTGGAAAGCGGGCGCGTAGTTTGGGGTGCTGCCCTCTGCGTCCGGTCGCTGAGGCGGTCGCTGTGGGGCAACTGCGGCAAAAGAAAAGTGTCCATGTGGCTTGGGCAGCCGGGACTGCGGAGGACCCCGGCGTCCATGACGGTCAATCCGAGCGCAGGACTGCCAATTGTAGTACTGGCACTATCATTGTGCCGTGGCGGCCACGGTCGTCAGCCAGCGTCAGCCAGCGCCGGCCATGAGCGGCGATGCCATCTGGTCGGCTGCCGGCGTGTCAGGCTCAGTGCGCGAGCTGTAGTGCCAGACGGTGGTCAGACAGACAGTCGCGAACAACGCCCTCACGCCGAGTGCAGAAGTGCCTATCCGGTAGAGTTGACCCCGTTCTGGCAGAAAACGACGAGACTACTGCGGGCGGACGAACCTTGACCCACGCAACGGGCAATGGAGCTGCAGGCCCCAGGGCTGATCAGGCCGCCGTCAACGCTCGTTCTGGTACGCTTGAGTCGACTGAGTCGACCGAGTCGACTGAGTCAACTCTATCCAATGCCTCGACTGAGTCAACTCTATCCAATGCCTCGTCTACGATGTCATGTTGCTGTTGAATGTGCCGTCTGCATGCTGCGGACCTGGGTCAGCGAGCATGGAATTCCCAGTTGAGCGAGCGTCCAGCCAAGGGCAGGCAGCCACATCAGTCTCTTCACCAAGAACGCCCGTCTGTCGTGCCAATTACCGTGCCCGGATAGCCATCGCCATGTGGCAGAATGCTGACACCGCTCGCTGTGGGTGAGGGCTGGCCTGTCGCAGTAGCGCAAAGGTACCAGCTGTGGACCATCCTCGCGTGTGAGTCGCTCTTGCTTTTGGAATGGGCTGCCCATCATTTGCCCTTTCCACGTGCGGCACGAGGACCACAGATTGTATTTACTCTCTGTCTTGCCCCAACTTTTCAACGCCTGCTGCCCGCGCGCGTTGCACCACCTCGACCACCTAGACACTTCACCTAGCCGTTTTATCGGGCTGCACGCAATGTGCTGTAGCCTTACCGCTTTCTGCCAATCAGTCGCGGTCTGAGAGCGCCCCGGTCCTCGCTGCTAGACCGTAATTGTCTGGCCGTCCGAGATCATCGTCGCCGTTGCTGCATCGAGTCATGGCGTCTGCCACAGACTTAACAGCGCAATCCCCGCCAGCTGGGCCTCGCATACCAAAGCTCAAGTACAGGAATCCACTGCCACCAGAGCAAATCTTGCTGCTACCGCAGACTTCTGCTCAGGAGACAGCACATCCACCATTGCAACGGCAAACTTCCGCGACAAGTTCAGACGTGCCTCCTTCACCCTACCGCCCATCCTTTGAAACCACCGCAAGCACGACGTCATCCAGCCTGGCTTCCACCCCGTCTAGCCACTCGAGTTCCAATGACTCCAAAACGTCGAAGAAGAAGAAGAAGAGCAACTCTGTCTTCAGCTTCTTGTCACTAAAGGAGCCCTCTCAGCTTGCACTTGAGCAATTCGCTGAGCAACAACGCAAGCAGGGCAATGGCAGGAGCTCGGTATCACCCTCGAACGTCTCCACCAGGACCGGCGGCACCAGTGGCACCTTTGCAACCAAGAAGCTGCCAGACAGTGTCCCCAAGGTCAACTCCAAATGGGATGGCATCCCAGACGCAGTCAGGAAGCGGCAGTCAACCACAAGTACTGTTGCCACGACTAGCAAAGACACAAAACGATCATCAGGATCCTCCTTGGGCCAGGGCTCACACCTATCCGCTATGCCCTGGAATACCTCGGAGTTGTCAGTAATGTCCAACGAGTCCCGCGGTCCACCCAACTCGATTCTGTCCGTGGCCGCTGTCAACGCCGATATCTATCACAATGGACACTACGTTCCAATATCACCTTCTGAAAGCTCGCTGGCTGAGCCATCTTACTACTGTCCTGAGGAGCCAATGGCATCCGGTGCCTTGCCGATCGAGCGCCCAGCAGCTGTCCAGGCTAGCGCCGGCTCTCCGCACAATGCGAGCTTCGATACTGTACGTGATGACAGGCCGGATTCGCCAGCATCCTCGATTGGCTCCGTCGACACTATTGTCCGGGCTGAGGCAGAGGTGATATTCAGGAAGATGAACGATCGGCCTCAACAACAGACCTTCTGGGGAGGAAGTGCACCAGCAGTCCAAACACCTTCTGAACCCGAGTCGAGCGTGCCAGAGTCGCATGATTTTCTATTCGAGTTACCCTCCAGCACTTCATTGCAGTCGCAAAAGAACGACTCTCCGATGGCGTCTCCAGCTGCCTCGTACACTGCTCCTGCTGTTCGCTACACAGAACCACCAGCGCACTACGTACCATCGACTGCACACGACAACGCACCCCTTGTCCCTTATTACTCCCCATCACGCTCGGTTCACAATTTCAGTCGACCCATGGTGTCAACCACACCGACCAAGCATGTCAATCTCTTTCAGCCCGCACCTCCGTCTCCTACGGGGCCGTCATCTTTACGGTCACGAACTATGAGCTCTGGCCTTCCAACCTTGTACGAGAATTCCATCACCAGCACCGAATCCTTGGAGACGATTCGGGACGACAGCGATGCGAGATCAATCGCGCCATCCTTCACGCCGTCTTCGATAGCGCCATCTGAACTATCGGAGCACTGGCACCAGTCTTCCCGCGACCGTCTTGGCCTCGGTGGACAGATGCGCAAGAGCGATGTCTTGCCATGGGGAAAGACAATGGAGGATTCTCCAGGTAAGCCCAAAAACAGGCATCGTTTGTCATTGTTGATGAAGAGCGCGTTACGGTCATAAGGTTCCCCCGGTGGTTGAACCGTGACTAATCCTGTGTGCATAATAGCTCGCGACAGCCAGCAACCAACATAATCTGCCATCTTTGTATTTTGTTCAGCCTTCAGCCTCGGCGTCCTGTCTCGAGCGACGGTCGCCTCCGTTTACGTATAGATACCCCAGTTCAACATAACAAATCACACGTTTAACAACATTTACGTTTCTCGAAAATCGCAAATCTTTTCCAGTGCAGCATCTTGTTGTCATCGAACATGCCGCAAGCGACGCGTCATGAGCAATGCTTGTCAACATTGCGTAACCTCATATTCTATACCACCAGCTTGAAGATCCAGAGGAGATGTCACTCGCCGTCTATTGTGCGCTACACTTGCTAGCGGCACAACAATTACGCGCCGTTCGCCAACAGTAATGTACCAAAATCCACAACGTTTAATCTCCGCCAAACCTGCAAGGATTCGCAAGGTGCGTACTCAAAATCGCCGACTCGTCGTAAAACAGAGTTCAGTGCCACAGAGTTCAGGGCCACAGAGTTCAGTGCCTTAGGTTGAACCTTACTCCGCAGCCCTAGGCAAGCACAGACTTGTGTCAGTTGTCGACCGGGATACTTTGCAGATTCGACACTAAGCCGTGCTTTATGTAGGGGGGGCGGGGGGGCAATAACCACTTTGATGCTGCCTCGGTACGCATGATAGTAGGCGAGGAGAGTTGATGATTTGCCGCCTTACAAAAATGGAAAACAAATTGTGGATGACAATTACTCAACGCTGCATGTGCAATCAATGGATATTCGCTCAACAGCAGTAGGTCAGTGCTTGATCGGTGTGTAAGCGACTGAAACATCTCACGACAGTTCGCACATGCTAAACACGCAGTATTACCCAACCTGGGCTTTTAGGCCGAAGATCATGAGGATCAGATTCGGTAACGTGCGAGATCTTGTGCCAGGGCTCATGTCGATCATCCGCGTCGGACCGCTGCTTTGTACTCGCGCAACGTACCGACGACAATCGTTTCCAACGTCAGATATGCAAGTTACGCGAGACGGCCGTTTGGAATAGCAAACAGCGAACTGGCCTACTTCGCCCGAGATGATTGTCTGCTCAATGCTGTTGTAGCAGGAGCGATACGAGCATCTACAAGCAGTCTCAGCGACCTCAAGTGCTGAACAAGGCGCATCACGCGTCCCAAGGCCTGGAGGTATTAACGTTTGCAAGTGTGGTTTTGGGGGTCTGAAGATCGAGATAGATTGAGATCTCGCGTACAATGGTTTACCAGTCTCTTCGGACGCCGAGCAAATCAGAACATGTCAAAGGAAACGTAGATTGAGCTTCGTTCTCATCAATCTCCTCAGGTGTCGCTGATCTGGTCATTGTAAACTTCGAATACCCAGAGAAAAGGAAATAGGACAAGTTTAGGCGAAGGGAGCCACCACCACAAGCACAGCCCCCTTCCCCCCCATCCCTCTCCACAACGAGAGCCGGTACTCCTCGGGCTCCCAGCCGCAAACGCCCCTGCGTTAGCAGCCCAGCAAGAAGAGGCACAACGCCGCTCCAGGACAGCCCACTCACCCTCCGAGAAGACCGGACCGCGTCGGACTCGCAAACGCGCGCTCCAGTCACTAACCCAGCGAAAAGAAAAAACCGAGGGAACAACACGCTTATATGGAGCCACTAGCCCTCCGATGCACCGCGCGTGGTCAGCAGTGTGACGTCCTCCGCGCAGCTGGGGGAAGCGCTACTCTGTGACCCAAGCAGCAGTCACGCGCGAGAGGATCTCGACGTCGGAATCGCAGAGGATATCGATGTCGGGATCCTGGTCGGACAGCGCGACGGCATTAAATGCCTCGTCGCCCTCGAAGTCCCAGCCCCGGTCGTCACGGTTAGACGCGATGTCGTCCATGGACGCGAGGAGGTCGGCATTGTCCCCGCCCAGGTGTGAAATCACCAGCTCCTCGACGGCTCTTGCGTGGCGCAGGCGCGCGCCTTCGAGGTGCGAGACTTGGGCGCGGAGCGCGCTGATTTGGTCGTCCCTGTGCGCGAGCGTGAGGGCCTGGGCCGCAGCGGTCTTCTCGAGGCGCGCAATTGCATCGTCGTGGGTGGCCGTCTGCACGCGCAGGGCGGCGTGGCCTGCGATCTCGTCCTCGAGTTGGTCTTCGAGGAGGGCGATGCGAGACTCTGCATTGCCGAGGGCGCTGTCGGCGAGTATGGTGCGGCGCGCCGTGGCGGTGGAGACGTGCTGGACGTACTCGAGGGTCCCCTGCAGCTCCATGTTGTGCGTGATGAGCTGGGTGTGGACGTCCTGGAGCGTGGTGAGCTGGGCCCTGAGGGCGTCCTTGTCGGTCCTGAGCGCGGTCCATGTCGCGCGCCAGTTTACGTTTTCGTGCTCGATGGCTTGGTTGCGGTGCCACACGTCCTCGTTCTCGGCCTCCAGATCTTGGTTGCAGGCCTCGATGGCCGTGTTGTGCTTGGACAGGCGATTGAAGGAGGCGCTTAGATTGCTGATTGAGGCGTGGAGGTGGTCGATCTCGGCGTTCAGTCTGGCTGTCTCCTCCTCCCAAGACTCGGCCTTCTTGGTATACTTGCGGAGCCTCGTCTGGAGAGCATTGATCTGGACGTCGCGGGCATCTTCCTCGGGGGTGGTGTCTTTTTCAAGCCAGTATTGGAAAAGCGGCGCGAGAAGACCCAGGAGAACGACCAGGAGAAAGACAAGACTAAAGACAGAAGACCAAGCGTAGACACCGTCTCCCTTCTCACCGACAGATACGGTAGCATTAGCAAAGGCATTGTTCAGGACAGATCTAACATGCTCAACAGGGCCCGTGGGGAGAGACGAAGGGGAACCCGAACAGAGCGCAGCACTGGCAGCAGAGACCTTCTGCACATAACCAGTGAGATCACAAGTAGAGCCGACGTTGCAGAAACACGGCGACGTAGCATCCGGGAGGTCGTCAGCGAGGCGGTCCGCGGATTTGTGGCTGGAGGGCAGGACACGCTTGGGAGCGAGTCCGAAGCGGGAAGACCAGGCGAGAAGACGGTCAACGGACTGCTGGCTGCACGAGCACGAAGCGTCCCTCGAGGCTCCGGCGACAGCCATGTCGAGTCGTGAACGATCAACCACTGTTGCGGCCTTGCGGAGGCGTTCAGTGTCCTGGGAGGACAACAAGAAAACGTCGGTGTAGCCTTCTCAAAGAAGTCGATGACTTTGGAGGATGCAGGGGGAAGTGGGTGAGCACTAAGTAGAGCAGAAGAGACGTGAAAACTCGGGAGGCTCTAAAGGCATGGAGAGCAGAGACGTGGAGATGATGTACCTCCTGTAGAGACGTGGAGATGATGTACCTCCTGTAGAGACGTGGAGATGATGTACCTCCTGTAGAGACGTGGAGATGATGTACCTCCTGCAGAGACGTGGAGATGATGTACCTCCTGCAGAGACGTGGAGATGATGTACCTCCTGCAGAGACGCGGAGATTATATACCTCCTGCATTTTTCGCAGAGTGGGTATGCCGACACAGATAGGGGACCATGTACCAGAGTTGGAGATATTGAGATGCCCTGCCTCCGTGGGCACTTTTTTGTTTCAGATATTGGATTTGTAGTCACAGTGCTATCCCCAACCTTTTCCCTCGCCAGGGTCCACAAACAATAATCTGGTTCCGAACACTGGCTTTGTACACCAATTATTTCTACTCGTCGAGCTGGACATAATTGGCAGGGAACAGTCCCGACGCGCCTTTGTAGCTTCCGAGCCACCAGTCCTCGTCGGGGAATTCCTGTTGGATGTTAGTTTTAAGTCTGGGCTCGGAAACCGCACCACTTACAACGCCTGTGATTGTGGCTCCCTCAGGGAAGCTCAGCTCGTTATCTTCGGCAGCTTCGTAATCGTAGATTGCAGTAGCGGTAGGTCCAGAGCTTCCAGCAGCCTGTCGAGCGGCAGCTGGGGGCTCCACCTCCTGCGCCGCGGAGGGGTGCGAAGGCAGAGGAGGAGCAGCAGCTCCTGCATCGTCGCCCTCAACAAGCTCGACGTAGTTGGCAGGGAAGAGACCACGCTCGCCCTGGGGGTTGGTGCCCATCCACCAGTCCTCGTCTACCATGTCAATATCGGTAACATGGTCGCCCTCGCGGAGCTCGACCTCGTTGTCTTCAGCCTTCTCGTAGTCGTAGATGATGACAGCTCGCCTGCCAGCACCTGAACCAGCACCTGCACCGGCATCATCATCGTCCTGACTAGAAGAGCCAATGGCCGCGCCGGCTGCGGCTCCAGCCACTGCAGCAGCGCCAAAAGTACCTGCAGCAACAGCAATACCAGCACCACGTGCCGGATCCCTGGCCTCAACCTTGGGCTCGGGCGACATGTCCCGAGCTTGAGCCGCAGCTTGTGCAAGCGATCGGTTGGGCATGGCAGGTGGCTGCTCCTCAGCTGGCGACAGCGGCTCAGGCTCCCTTCCGCGAGCTACAGGCATGGCAATGCGTACTGGAGAACCAGAAGGCTCAGGAGAGGGGCTGCGTGGCTGGCGAGGGGGCGAAGGAAGGCGTTGCGTCTGCGTTGCGGGGACGTAGTCCTCATCCTCAGACTCTGGTTCCCTGGGTCGGCTGGGGAGGCCAGGCATAGGAACGCCGCGAGCACCAGCATTCGGCTTACTTGAGTTGTCCAGAACTGGCGGGCTTGGAGCTTGAGGCTCAGGGACGGGTCGAGAGCCCGGAGCACCCATTGGTGAGGCACCCGCGAACCGATCTTTGAGAGAACCAACACCTCCAGAAGGCGGAGAAGCAGGCTCTTCCTGCTCCTGGGCATCACCAGTGCGCTGCTCGCTGAGGTTGCTTGCCGACTGTCCTGTACGAGTGGTCTGGACAGTTGCCCAAGACTTGCCAGCGTACCCACTCTTCCAGCCGCCGCCTCCGCTCTGCTGAGGTTGTACCGGCGCCGCCGCTGCAGCAGGTGTGTTGACCGACTCTCCACGTGCCGCCTTCTTTTCTGCCCAGATCTGGGCCGGAGTCTTGCCTTGTTCGTCCGCAAACGTCTTGCTCGCGGTGCCAATGGGTGCCGAGGTGGCAGGCTTGGGAGCGGTGAAGCCGCCTGGCGCAGGCGCCTTGGTCCCCGTGAAAGCGCTCGCTCCAGCGAACTTATTGGCGACCTTGGGCTTTGGCAAGCTGGTCAGACGGTCAGAGTGGTTGCTGAAAGCTGCCGAGCGCTCTGCGAGCGACTTGGGCCTCTCCTCCTCGCCGTCGTTGTTGGACGCGCCAGTTGCTGCTGGAGAGAGAGCAGAGGATGCCGGGGCGCCAGCAGCCTTCGCACGGATGGCTGCAATGTCAACCTTTCCAATAGGCTCGTATGCGCCCTTGACCACGGTAGGTCTGTCATCCTTCTGCTCCTTCGCCTGAGCCCTGATGGCTGCGATGTCGACCTTGCCAATGGGCTGGTATGCGCCTCTGACAACCTCGGGACGATCGTTCTGCGACCCCGCGGCACGAGTGGTGTCGTCTCTTCCTTTTGTGAGTTCGGCCATGTTGACCTTTGTAGGCTTGTAGGCGGATCCAACCTTCTCCAGCTGCGATCTCGTCAGCTCGGGGGCATCAGCGCCCCAGCCATCGGCGTCGCCGTTTCCTCGTGGTGCAGGTGCTCTCGACCCCCTCAACGGGTTGAATCCCGCGCCGCCGCCGCCGACGTTTGTAGGTGTGAAGACAGGCTTCTTCGCGGCAACAGGAGGGGGCGCGCTCGACAAAGGGATGTCTGCGCCGCCCGTGTACTTTGCGCCAGAGGCATCAGAGACCTTCTGGATAATCCTCTCGGGCGTGAGGTCTGCTTCGGAGCGAGCAGTGACCTGGACATGGTAGCCCTGTCTCCAATTAGCACAAACGCAAAACAGGGCAGGCGGACCAACGCACGTGGAGCAGCTTGGACACGACGCCGAGATGGCTGCCGAAGTAGCCCTTTGTCCTCTCTGGGACGCCTTCGCCGCACTGGAGTCGCAATTAGTGGCATGTCTGGCCGAGGGCATGGGCGGAGGCTACCCAGGCAATCAGGACGTTCTTGGGCAGCGACGAATTCGGGTCCTTGACCTTTACAAAGGCGAACTGGATGCGGCCATCTGAGAATTCGTCCATCAGGTCGAGCAATTCGCCCTCTGCGTGCGTCAGCAACGGCCCGTGGCAGTAGCTGTGCCTGTCGACATACCTCCGGTGCTCTGGACCTTCAGCACGCTCTCTTTCCCGCCGTCCTGCTGGAAGGCGCTGACAAGCGGGGCAGCGACGGCGAAGACAGCCCACTGGCCGTACGTCGGCGACTGTGCCTGGGCGGCGGACGGCGGCGGCGTGTTGACGACATTCTGGTAGCTGCGGGTGATGTTGGGCCCGTTGGCGGACGTGTTGAGCGAGGCCATGGCGAGCGACGGGGGGTCTGACGGAGGAGTGCGGTGACGTGTCTGGGACGTGTTTGGGGAGACAATGG